GCGGCAGTTTTGCCAAAGGATCAGAATGCAAGTGCTACTGCTGAGCTGAGCAAGGCTTCGCTCCTAGTCATTGATAACGTTGCACATCTTGCGACCACCGTACCGTCAAACCGTAAAAGAAATTCTTTCGATGGTGGCAGCAATCAAGTTGCAGACCTTACTACAATGGGTTATGTGTCGGTCAGCTACATTTCATCTGCGAAGGCTACCGTCCTCCTTTCCGTTGACGATGATGGACAGAATTGTCTTGATGTTGAGCTACGAGACGATCTTTTCGTTCTTGAATCATGCGCCGACTCGACTCAAACATTGATTGGTGTGCTTGGTAAATTAGCTCCTCCGGCACCACCTCCGAGCAAGGAAAGTAAGTACCGTACAAAAGTCATACCAGTTAAGGATCTATTAGCTTCTTTGTCTGGTGATGCTTTTGGAACTGCTGAGGGTAACTATGACTTCGACAACGACTTTGGCGATCTCGGAGATGTAGCAGAAGAGAATGACGGCGATCTTGGTTTTGACTCAGATTACTACAAGGATGAAACCGAAGAGGGCTACAGACAAGCTGTGCTTGAGGACCTTGGCGAGTCATTAGCATCTCTGAACCTCACCACACGAGACACTCGGGATGGTGTCTTACTGGATAGCTTTGTGGAAGATCCAGAAATTGGGAACGAAGCTTTGTCGTTCCACGAGGATCATTTTGGGACAGGCTCTGTACTGGAAGGTTCGGCTCATAGGTGGAATTCGGCTAAAAATACCTATGACACGTCCAACGAGAGCAAGGTCAAGAAGAGTCCTTTGAAGGTGTGCGTACGAGATGTGCACATTATCTGGAACTTATTCGATGGTTATGATTGGCAAGCTACCAGGGATGCAATTTCCAAGGCTGTACAGGACGTCGAATCAAAAGCCATCGAAAAGCGCGCACGAAACGAGAGACGACCGGCCTTTGAGCAGGATATTGATGATGATGAAGACACGGAGATTGGTGACTTTCTCTTCAACTCTATATGGGTTGGTATCCCTAACAACCGTGATCCTCGAGAACTCGCTGCAGCTATCAATCAAGAGCTGAATGATAACGCTACCGAGACGGAGTCAATAGCCACGACAAACTATACAGTCACTCCAAGCAGGCAAGGAACTGGTCGCAAACCTAAGAAGCTTCGACTCAACCGAAGTAAACACCATAAGATTACTTTTGAACTAAGAGGAGTATGTGTCGACCTTGTGGTTTTCCCGCCATTTAGTGGCGAAACCCAAAGTTCTATTGATGTTCGTGTGCTTGATCTCGAGGTTTTTGATCATGTCCCTACTTCGACATGGAGAAAATTTGCTACTTACATGCAAGATGCAGGTGAGAGGGAGAAGGGGTCAAATATGGTTCACATCGAGATCTTGAATGTTAAGCCAGTTTCTTATCTTGCGGCATCCGAGATTGTATTGAAAGTTACTATCTTACCGCTTCGTCTACATGTTGATCAAGATGCTCTTGACTTCATCACGCGATTTTTCGAGTTTAAGGAAGAGTCGGATATAATACCGGGAGCACCAAGCGAGGAACCATTCTTGCAACGAGTCGAAGTTAATTCTGTACAAGTCAAACTTGATTTCAAACCAAAACGTGTGGATTATGCAGGTCTTCGTTCAGGCCATACAACAGAGTTTATGAACTTCCTCATTCTTGATGAAGCCGACATGACCCTCAGGCATACTATTATCTATGGTATATCTGGATTTGAAAAGATGGGCAAATGTCTCAATGATATCTGGATGCCAGATATTCAGAGAAATCAACTACCTGGTATCTTGGCTGGTATAGCTCCAGTACGCTCAATTGTCAATGTTGGAGGTGGCTTCAAGGATCTTGTGGTGATACCCATGCATGAATATAAGAAGGATGGAAGAATCGTCCGAAGCATTTCCAAAGGTGCTGCCGCTTTCGCCAAAACCACCGGTACTGAACTTGTCAAACTTGGTGCCAAGGTTGCTATTGGTGTACAAACTGTTCTTCAAGGCGCAGAAGATTTCCTCGGTCCTCAAGATACCTCTATCCCCCATGGCAACTCCAGCGAAGATGAGGAAGAACGCAAACAAATCTCTCTTTACGCTAATCAACCAGTAGGAGTTTTCCAAGGCCTCAAGGGGGGTTACGCGGGGCTACAGCGTGATTTGGTCATGGCCCGCGATGCCATCATTGCAGTTCCTGGAGAAGTCATGGAAGGAGGTAGTGCCAAGGGGGTCTTAAGAGCAGTGAGAAAGCATGCTCCCACTGTGATATTAAGGCCTGCAATTGGGGTTGCAAAGGGAGCGGGTCAAGTATTGATGGGGGCTACAAACAGTTTGGATAAGAGAAATCTGGAAAGAGCTGATGCTGTGAGTTATATTTCATTTCAGTTTTCGCTATTCGGTTTTGTGATAATTTACTAATTTTATGTGCAGAAATATAAAAAGCACTGAGTTTTACCACGTAGCCAGATTATTCTTACACGACCCTTGGTGAGAATGGGGGAGACCACAAGATATTTCGGAAGAAGATTGCCAAGCTGAAATAGTTCGAAATTGATGTCATGGTACATTGTTTTTTTTACATCGCGATATTGCAAAATTGCAAGCATAGCGGAGGGGTTTCTGTATGAGCATTGAGAATGGTGCATTTTTTCTTTTTCTTTCTTGGTCATTCTATCTTCTCCTCTAAATCTAGGGATTATGAACGGAGTTACTTTATGGTTTTGGGATGGATTGGGACGGGGTACGATTTCCCATTTGAGATTTTGGTACTAGAGATGGATGGGATGGGATGGGTGAATGGGATTTGTTTTTAGGACATGGGATATAGGTTAGTTGCGAGATAGTTTGGGATGTGATAGTGAATGGATGAACAGAAGGATGGACATGATTTTATTAGATTGATTGGTTTAATTAGTTTGATTGGGGCGGTTTGACGATTAAATCTTGAGGAGATGGGGATAGGGGAGGAGAAGGGGAAGGAGGGGCGGTGAATATAAGATAATAATACAATATCTATAAAAATCTATAATTATATAATTCGAAGTGAAATGATAGGAAATGTGATGGTAGTATTATATTGCGGTACTTGTACGGAGTAAGTCTTGGTTGAGCGGATGGTGTGTGGCGGGTATATGGCGTATGGCTTATGCATGATAATGGATGGTGGATGGATGGTGGACGTCACAATTGCCGGAGGAGAGGGGATAATATATGCAGGTCCGGGACTTGGTTACCTGTGGAGATGGAAATAGAAATTTTCCGTACGTAGATGGTGCAGAGTCGGTGATGTGATTAGTAAGTTATATAACCTTACGTATGGGGCCATGTGTACTTTATAGTGTGTGGCGCCGTGATTCGGAGCTGCTTGATAATCAATCGTAGAACTGAGAAGTCTGTGTACAGCACAACTACACTGTAAAAGTTTTGATTGTAGTGGCATCGATAATATGATTGATGACCTATAACCTTTAGGTGTGTGTTAAGGCTAAATCGAAGAATCAGGGAATGGGAGAATGGTGGTAGCTACATACTAAGGAAGTTTAGGTGGTATTTTCAAATAGATCGAATTCCTATACCTATAGCTACCTCGTAAACGTGGTGTCGTTGGTGTGGCATGAAAAGTGGCTGGATTTATTATTCATTCATTGTAGCGCATACATGACTGAGTCAAGGTGGCTGATAGATATACTCTGTACTTCACATTACGCTTGTGTTTGTGAGGGGGGATTGAGGGATTGAGGGATTGAGTCTTGACTCTTGACTCTTGCCTCTTGAGCACCGCTGGTTCGTTTCGTAATTGCATCATCTTGAGTTGAGGCTTTTTTAAGGCTGGAATGAATGGTCATGGATGTTTGGAGCCGGTGTGATAGATACTGAGTGGAGTGGAAAAATAGATGTTCTTTGGTATAGGTAGTTGCTATACGGGTGCTTATTTATTAGTAGAGGTCTCGAATATTTGGTTAGGTGATGGAAGTGTGTACGGATTACGGAGTATGGAAGAGTGCGATGTTAACGATGAGATAGGTATAAAGTGGGATTTCCTCCTCTTGAGTCTTAACACTGTTCAACATCGGGGTTGGGGACTTTTCTCGGAATGGGACCGGTAGATGGGGAGATGGAGAGATGGAGAGATGGAGAGATGGAGATGGGAGTACCGTGATGACTCTTTTGGGGTGTGAATTTGCTGCTGGGTTGGTCGGTAGGTGTTTGTAGCCGATAGTAGTTAATACCTATGGTGGGGTGGTTGGTATGGTATATAAGGTTACGAGAGTAATGCATTCAATCATAGCTATTCCGGTAGGATATAACGAGTCACGACCTAATAAGGCATATGGGAAATGGCTCGTTGAATCATGAATGGTTTGTTTGCTGTGTTCCAGATGCTCTTTATACTTACCAGGTATCTAGTTAGTTATGTGCTGGTGAGATGGGATCAGCGATTAGTTCTACCCCATGGACGTTGAACTTTCTTTGAGAGAAGAGAAGGTCATCCATCATCTTAGCTAATTAATGAATCACGGTATTGATGGATTATCGGTACTGTAATTTTAATTCATCATTAGATACCTAGATATACTTAATTTGGTATCAACCGTTATTCCTGCCTACCTACCTATATAAAGTCTAGAAGTGAAATGGGTGGAGAATGGAGAATGGAGAATGGAGAATGGAGAATGAAGGAGGTTAAGCAGAATGCATATAAAACACATTCATAGACGGAATGGTGTGCCTCTAGTAATCGCACTAAATATAGCCGACGTTTAGAGTGGAAAGAAGTGGATCCAAGGGACTTTTCGTTTTTGATTAGATTCACAGCCGGGTGTGAGATTATTAAATAAATTACCAATTTTCACTATAATGATGGCATTCAATGAATCGTAGATTAAGGAAACCGAGTAGATGGATGCTACGCCTTCTAATTTGAATTAATTTCTCAATATATCAATAGATATTTATTATTCCTTTATCAATAAATCAAATCAATCAAAGCTCTTTCATCCAGATTCCAAACATTCCAAACATTCCAAACAACTCAACTTATATTAATTTCCTCCATCGAGGAATAAGAAGTCGACAACAAACAGTTGCATTAAAAAGGACAATCAGACTATTGAAATAATCCAATACGCAATACCCGATACCGATACCGCCTCACCTCGAACTCGTCAGATAAGACTTTAGACTACATTCTCGTCTCCGGTCCTCGTCACAAGACACCAAGCCAATCTTGTCAAACCAGTCAGCCATTCATTGTCAACCAAGAACCTTCGATTCCTTTCTTCTTACAATACCTCCCTACACAGTACAACGAATACAACGAATACTCAAGAAATCCGAAACTCCTTTCAATCATACTTGCAATCTATAATCTACAATCTAAACACTTCTTCATTTACAATCAATCACCCTTCAATTCTGTATTCTGTATTCTCTATTACTCTCACCGATAACATCAACATCAAAGCACCATCATCATCATGTCTACTCCTTCAAGCGCCACTTCATCAAGATCCTCGTCTCCAGAATTACAATCACAATCAATGCAAATCTTTGTCAAGGTTTTGTCCGGCGACAGTATGTTTGATCCTAAATTCATCCGTTCCTATAGTTTCCAGCTAACTCCGAATCTAGCTATACCCATAACCGTCCCCGAAGACACAACCATTTCAAACCTCGCTCACCTTCTCTCCCTCCGCACATCATCTCCGTCTTCTACATTACGTCTCGTACACGCTGGAAGGCATCTACCACCATCATCAACTCTCACCTCGAATAACATTACTCGAGACTCGACAATCCACGTCGCAGGGACACTAAGAGGTGGTATGCCACCTAAGAAGATTAAGTGTAATTATAAGGACTGTGGGGTAGCAGCACAACGAATAGTAGGACACTGTGGATTCTGTGAAGGGGAATTTTGTGGGAAGCACAGAATGTTAGAGGATCATAAGTGTGTGAAATTAGAAGACGTGAGTTACCCTACTTCCGATGATGTATTTCCCAAGTTTCACTTCGGGGAGTCTGTTCTTCAAGGGGTATTTTGTGGTTCTATGAAGGAAGAACAGATTCAATGGTGGCAGGTTGGATTAGGAGATGTGCTATCAGAAATCATGCATAAAGATGGAATTATAGGCTGACTTATTTCATTATAGTGCAAGAAGGAATGTCATGAACGAAATGCCGCTCAACTGAATGCCGAGCGTACCCAAGTTATCAAGGGCATCTAGAACACTTCATCCTCTTCTGCATTATGCATCCTACTCGAGATTATATAAGGAGGCATAAAGGGTATACCTATTCGAGCGTCATTACGATCTTCGAACTCTACTTGATCATTTAGTCCATGTCAGTAGTTTAGGTTTCCCACCTCCCTAATCGCCACTGGTGGTGCTATCTCGAGTCGAGACCTCATCCCGCCACTTACCATTCCACTTCATTTACATCTTCGTTATATTATGGTTTTTAGCGGGCGTAAGGAAATGGTTGTTTTACATCTTCGCTTACATGCCATCGATTGCATTTTCGTATCCATCTAATTCTCTCTCCTAGTCGTCATTGGGGAGTTCTGATGGTTTTGATGTAATACGATGGGTGATTGGTTTTAGATGTATGGGTGGTAATATAGTTGAGGTTATCTTATCTTTCGTAGGAGAGATAGGGTCGATTTGTTATATAGTTTTTGAATCGAATTACATATTAGTTTCTCCGTTATCTGATATTTATATGTTGATAGAATGTTCATATCTTACCGTTATGCCTTCCGGATCGATGGTTTCTATCCAAACCTTTTTTATATATTGCGGTATTAAAGCATTACGCACAGATATAAAGCCATCTATCTTGCATCCGTTGATCTCACTTTCCCCCAAATCATCTTCATCTGCTCTTTCCTACTAATGCATTTATATATAAAGGATCCTCTAACAAGCCTGGGCACCCATACTCCATGCAGTATTTTGACCTCTTTGGGGTGAGGTGATTACTCTATCTTATAAATGTTTTTATGGGTGTGAGATGGTTATTTGGAAATATTAATGAGCACTGGGTATTGAGTATTGAGTATTTATAAGTCGGGATTGTGTGATTATTTGAGATTATTTTTTGGGGCTGAGGTTGAGGTTGAGATTGAGATGTATTGTTATATGATTTGAATATTATATTATTTTATATGATATCAATATATTTCGTTTTGTAAAAATTTAATAAATTTATTTTTTTAATTAGATTTACTTTTTATTTTATTTATTTATTTATTTATTTATTAGATTTGTAAAAATAAAAATGTATATAAGTATATATGTATAGATGTAATGTGGAGGTAAAGGTGAAAATGAAAATGAAAAATGAAGATGGGATATAGAATTGAAATTGGAATTGGAGATATAATTAATATAGAGGGGTGTTGTATAGTTATAATTTATTATATTAATTTTATTAGAGTATTAGTATACTAGTGTAAGCAGTAAGCAGGTTGAGGGTTGAGCGTTCGTTATTGAGTGTATCAGAGGAAGATAAAGTTAGCATCCTTCAACCTAGTCCACGATGTACGTTGATCTCCTCGCACTTATAACTTTTCAGACATCACTCGACATCAAATATGGTTCGTATTATAATAGAAAACTAATAATAAAAAGAAGCAGAATTGAATTCGTGGATATGGATATACATTTATTATATTTAAACGAATAGATATTTCTACTTCAATTTCCCTCCCCTTTCTCTTTTTGTTCCTGGTTACTATATAAAAGATTAAGGCGTGAGGTTGACCTTTCATTCTAATGGGATTCTGGTATCGACTTTTGCTGTTGTTGCTTTATCTTGATAATATATTGTGTTGAAACTCGAGTAGAAATTCAAATTCTTAGGTGGTCTGATTATGGTGTGTACAATATAGCTAGTGTAAAAGATTGGAATGAAGAGTTGAGATGAAAGAATTGACAGTTTATATAATATAGCGGGTATTGGTAGATGTAATAGAGTAGGGGGTGAACCACTGACTCGATGGGATGAAGAGAATGCAGGATACAAGGATTTTGAGCCGGGCATTATATTCATATACGAAGCGAAAGCCAGAAGGAAGTAGAATGGTGAATTGATCATTAATCGCGCTGTATGACATGGCAACCATATTATTCGTTACGAATAGAGGCTAGGTAAATATGTCGACATATAATATGGAACATGCTTAAGACACAAAGATTGAATGATTGGATGAATGGGGAATCATCAACTGATACATGTACATAAAAGAATTAAATCTTCTGAACGTACCGATATCAAACCCATCTTGATAAAACTATCGAAAATCTGAACTCTTCTTAACCTTCATTGGTACTTGCCTCTTGCTCCATAAACTCACACAATTCCGGCTAAAAGCGCGAGACTTGTCGGTTCTTCCCTATCCTCAAACATAAAATGTTTATTTCAGTGTAGTATAGTATTGGGATCCTCAATAACACCATTACCGGTGCTCCCGATAAATTTCTATGTGCACCGCTGACTATCGGCCATGAATGGATCTTATGCAAAATCTGAATAGTCACAATTTCTGTAGAGGTAGTCACCATTTTCATCCATACCGGTGGTCGGATAGTAGACGAATGGAATATCTTATGAATTGTGTCTAGCAGTAATAGTTGTAACATTGGGGATGATAGAAATATGGAGGATGAAAAGACCATGAAGATACCGGGACGTAGCTTTCGCGCATGAAGGAAAAGGGAAGGAATCGAGGTATAGAGATGTTAGATGTATAGGATGGCAGCAGTTGGGAGAGTGGAAATATAAATCAATACACTTATATGGAAAGAGACAGTCCTGAGTAGATTTGGGCGCACAAAGACCTTTCCTGGTTTTACGTTCATGAAAAATCCGTATGGCGGGGTCTTGTGGTATAAAACAATGAGTAATTTGGATAGAACAGAAAAGCTGAAAGTAGCAGGGAACTACCCAACTTGAGATAATTCCTCTCCTTCAAAATGACCGAAATATAACAATATTAACATACCATCTGTAGGAAAGAAGTAATTGCCTAGCTCAGTCTACTACCAGAGCCATGCAGATGAATTTTCGATATTATTTAATAACCTCAAATGTCAAATATATAACAAAAGAAAAACGCAAAGACATAACCACAACAAGAAACACTACTTTCCAAACACAATACCATAATATCATAGGGAGTCTATTAATATACTTCCACTCAGAAAATTTCAGAAAGATAAAATCCGAATTACAAGTTCCACACTGAATACTGTCGGTGCCGGTAAGCCCAAAACCAACAGAACGCGCATGTTAGAAGAGTGACTGACTCCACATACCAAAATATTTCCGAAAATTTTTCTGAAGCAATTTGTTTGTTAACTATTCCAAAAGATGTAGTTGCTTGTGATGTCCTCTATCTAGTTCACAACACATTACAGTGTCTCAATTGCAGTGTCTGTTAAAAGATATTTGGCGATAGAGAACACTTGTTTCAACTCGAATGGAATATTCGGTGAAAGTGTCAAAATATCAGGGTTTGATTAGGGCATCGCACCTCAAGATTCGTTCCAAATGTTGCCGATGGACATGAGGTTATACCATGTCACTGAAGGGCAGTTCTTGATTTAGGACGGAATTGAGGTCTATCTCTCGCTCCGATGTTTCAAGAGTTATCTTCCAAGTGGTTGACGTCAAAACCTTTATCAAAATCGATCCACAAATATCCTCAGCCACATTTGCCTCGGCATAGGTAAATAATCCCATCTCTTCCCCTCCAGTCCCATAAAACTAAAAATAAAATCAAAAGGTCAGCAACCTGCATAAACTTCCTTCCCCCCCTGAAGTTTCTATAAAACTGAAAAGGTCAGCAACTTGCATATACTTTTTCAAGCAAAGCTTGAATTCCTTGAAATCCCCATTGATTATCTAAATTCCTCTACTCCGTGCTCTTGATTGTGCTTAGTGTTCGTACTAGTACTCAGAAACGAGCGTGATTTATAATAAAACGGGGATCGCTAACGACGCTATCGACATCATCGTCTTTCTAGACTGCGCTTTCTCCTACTCAGAGTCTCAGACAACAGCACGATTTGTTGACTTTGGTAAAAAAACATCCTTTGCCAGCTTCATGACTCGGCTTGTGACCATCTGATTGGTGCTATTTGCGGATTTAAAATAGCTCTCCTTTATTTGCCTCTCGATCAAAATATACAATTTAGGGAAAAGGGGATGCAAGCATACAGCGCAACATCATACCTAGGCGTAGTGCTCTAGGATTCAACATTGTGTATATATATCATGTCGAATCCCACGAAGACTCCTGCTTCTGTAGCTACAGACAGAATTCTCTCTCTCACAAATCACTTCAAAGACTCTTTGAACCCAGCAGACGACTTACAAAAAGCGAAAATGGCAACCTCATATAAATTCCAAGGATGGATGGCATTAGATAAGGAGGCGGCCAAAGGAAGTATGGTATGGCAAGAATTTGAACCGAAGCCCTGGACAGAGGATGATGTCGATATCAAAATCGCCTACTGTGGTATCTGTGCGTCTGATATTCATACTTTAAGATCTGGATGGGTATGTATTCATATCGTGGAAAATGCAGAATAAGACTGACGATTTGTCTATAGGGCCCGTCAAACTATCCGTGCTGTGTAGGGCATGAATTGACTGGTACTGCGGTTAAGGTCGGAAAGAATATAAAACACATCAAGCTCGGCGATCGATGTGGTGTCGGTGCACAATCCGGTGCTTGCCTCAAGCCAGATTGCGAGGAGTGCGCAAGTGGATTACAGAACCATTGCCCAAGAATTGTTGGAACTTATAACATGGCGTACCCCGATGGCTCAAAGTCCTACGGTGGTTATGCAGATTACTGGCGGGGTCCAGCCGATTTCGTTTTCAAGATCCCTGAAGAACTTTCTCTTGCCGAAGCTGCTCCTATGCTGTGCGGAGGTATCACAGTATGGTCACCCCTTGTCAACAACGGAGCCGGACCAAACAAACGAGTCGGCATAGTGGGCATCGGAGGTTTGGGTCACTTTGGTCTTCTATGGGCTAAGGGTCTCGGCTGCAAAGAGGTGGTTGCAATTTCGCGAACAAACGGGAAGAAAGCCGATGCAGAGAAGATGGGTGCCACCAGATTCATTGCCACCGAGGACAAAGATTGGTCCAAGAAGCACGCCAAATCACTCGACTTGATCATTTGCACTGTCTCCAGCCCAGACATGCCAATCGATGGATATCTTCAATTGTTGAAAACCAAAGGTGAATTCATTCAAGTCGGAGCGCCGGAGGACGTTATCCCACCTTTGAATATGTTTTCTTTGATTGTGAAAGGACTCAAGCTTGGAGGTAGTGCTATCGGTTCACCAAAGGAGATCAATGAGATGCTCGAATTTGCTGCCAAAAATAAGATCCATCCATTCATTGAGGAAAGACCAATGTCGCAGGCAAACCAAGCTATTGTTGACATGGAGGATGGAAAGGCTCGATTTCGCTATGTCTTGGTGAATGAAAAGCATGCAAATGAATTAAAGGAGTAGATAGATAATATTAACTGTTTGGATTTGGAGGTATATGGAGCAGATGAGGAGGAGCAGATGAGGCGTAGCACATAAAGAGAGATAGCTGAAATCGATAAGCACTTGCAAAAGTAGTGAAAGATGCCAATCCAAAAGGCATCAGTATAAAAAGAAATGTGACATGTTGAGTAAATGTTTGTATGATCCATCGCTCAAATCTATGAGCTCCTAAGTAAAAGGATATCAGTATAAGGTGAATGTGCCATGTTGAGTAAATAAATGCTCGTGTAATCCACGGCTTATGATATTTTGTCCAGGATTTAACTTGATGATATATATCTTCCTGTAAGTTCAAATATCTAGACAAAAATTATCCTTTCATCCAAACCTATCCCAAACTTTGAGTAATCATCAATACCTAGGTAGCTATAGGGTATTTGCCTTAGATTTGAAGGACAAACAAAGTAAGATATCAAGTACAAGTACAAGTATAAGTATGGCTGGATGTTGGGATTTTGGAAATATCAAAGTCTCCGTCTGTTGACAACAGTATAAAGGAAGTTTGTACAAATCCTCAACAATAGAATAACTAAAGGGGTTTCTCCGGGTTCGGATATTAGTTATTCCTGGTTTAACACTAATCCCAAAAAGTTAAGCTCATGTACCACACACTTTTGCTTACTGTACATGCATGCTCTGGGCAACAACTTCTTTGAAAGGGTTCATCCAGAAACTAAATATTTCTGTATCTTCATTAATCTCCCGTCGAATCTTGGAACTTGGGACTCGAACCTCAACATCAACAACGCCAATATCATCGTACAATTATCCAAAATTCCTCCAGCCAGTTGTTGTATAATCTTTATGCCATTGTTTCTTTGTTCTTGAGGTCCTTCTGGTCCTGGGGACGCGCCAATCTTTTGTTCGAGGCGACAGCTCTCAAACTTTGCCTTTGCGACAGAATCAACGACAACTCTGCATTCCATCGACTTCCCAATATCAACTCGATTGGCAGACATATAGCGGATCTCGCGTTAATACAATATGGCGGATTACGAAGAAGGATATGAGTATGATGACTTTGGAGAGGAGGATACGGGTATCACGGCGGAGGACTGCTGGACGGTTATTTCTTCTTTTTTCGATGCAAAAGGTCTAGTTTCGCAACAAATCGACTCTTTCGATGAGTTTGTTCAAACTACCATGCAAGAGCTCGTCGAAGAAAATTCACAGCTTACACTTGATCAAAACAATCCACCGTCCTCGAATGACAACCCTATCGCGCTTCGCAGATACGAAATCAAGTTCGGCACCATTATGCTTTCGCGACCAGCAATGACCGAAGGTGATGGTAGCACACAAGTCATGTTGCCACAAGAAGCTCGTTTACGAAATCTCACGTATTCAAGTCCCCTTTACATAGAGATGACGAAGAGTACTCAAGTCGCCGTAGAACGTCCTGTCCCTCTCAACGAGCTGGATGACGAGCAAGAAGCTGATTTGGCGAACGGCGGAGAACATCCTACACGGTTAGTTTGGGAATATGAAGATGGCGACCCTGATGGTGCTAAAGGTGGTCCGGCTCCAGAACGAGTTTATGTCGGAAAATTACCTATGATGCTGAAGTCGGAGTATTGTTTCTTGAAAAATTGTGACGAAGATGATCTTTACGGATGGAATGAATGCCCTTATGATCAAGGTGGATACTTTATCATCAACGGAAGTGAGAAGGTTCTCATCGCACAAGAGCGCAGTGCGGCCAACATCGTTCAAGTCTTTAAGAAGCCAGCGAACCAAGCAGTTTCATACTTGGCCGAAATTCGAAGCGCTCTCGAGAAGGGTTCGCGCCTTATCTCCTCGTTACAGATCAAACTATATGACAAGGGTGACAGTAGCCGAGGAGGTTTTGGTAAAACTGTCAAGTCAACCTTACCTTACGTCAAGTCAGACATTCCAATAGCCATTGTCTTTCGTGCACTTGGCGTTGTATCAGACGAGGATATCTTGAACCACATTTGCTACGATCGCAATGACACTCAAATGCTCGAAATGTTGAAACCATGTATCGAGGAAGCTTTCGTCATCCAAGATCGCGAAGTTGCCCTCGATTTTATTGGAAAACGTGGTAATGGTACATCTTTGACTCGTGATAAGCGTATTAAATATGCACGTGACATCATGCAGAAGGAGCTGTTGCCTCATATCTCTCAAAAGGAAGGTAGCGAGACCAGGAAAGCCTTCTTCTTGGGTTACATGGTTCACAAACTTCTTCAATGTGCTCTTGGACGACGGGAGACCGATGATCGAGATCATTTCGGCAAGAAGCGTCTGGATTTAGCTGGACCTTTACTTGCAAAGCTCTTCAGAAATCTGTTCCGCAGATTAACAACAGATGTCTACAGGTACCTGCAACGTTGCGTAGAAAACAACAGAGAGTTCAATTTGACGCTGGGTGTGAAATCCACGACGATCACGAATGGTCTGAAATATTCTTTGGCTACAGGTAACTGGGGTGACCAGAAGAAGGCAGCAAGTTCTACCGCTGGTGTTTCCCAAGTATTGAACAGATATACCTTCGCATCAACACTTTCTCATTTGCGCCGAACCAATACGCCTATCGGACGTGATGGAAAGATTGCCAAACCTAGACAACTGCATAATACTCATTGGGGCCTGGTTTGCCCAGCAGAGACGCCCGAAGGTCAAGCTTGTGGTTTGGTCAAGAATTTGGCTTTGATGTGTTACGTTACAGTTGGTACGCCAAGTGATCCAATCGTTGAGTTCATGATTCAACGGAATATGGAAGTGCTGGAGGAGTATGAACCGCTCCGAGCACCCAATGCAACAAAGGTCTTTGTCAATGGTGTTTGGGTTGGTATTCATCGAGACCCTGCCCATTTGGTTAAATGTGTACAAGACCTTCGTAGATCACATTTGATTTCTCATGAAGTCTCACTTATTCGAGAAATTCGAGACAGAGAGTTCAAGATTTTCACTGATGCAGGACGAGTATGCAGACCTCTGTTGGTCATTGACAATGATCCAGACAGCCCCAACAAAGGTAATTTGGTATTGAACAAGGATCACATCCGCCGTTTGGAGGACGATCAATCTCTGCCATCAAACATGGATAAGGATGAGAAAGCACACCATGGTTATTATGGATTCCAAGGTTTGATTAATGATGGTGTGGTTGAATACTTAGACGCCGAGGAAGAGGAGACTGTCATGATTACCATGACACCTGAAGATTTGGATATCTCTCGGCAGCTTCAAGCTGGTTATCAAATTCGTCCTGATGACAGCGGTGATTTGAATAAGCGTGTCAAGGCACCTATCAATCCAACTGCGCACGTCTGGACTCATTGTGAAATTCATCCAAGTATGATTCTTGGTATCTGTGCAAGCATCATTCCCTTCCCGGATCATAATCAGGTAAGCTTTAAGTCCAATAAGAGTTTATTAATTCTAGGCTAATTCCGTTGCTACGAAGTCTCCTCGTAACTGTTATCAATCCGCTATGGGTAAACAAGCTATGGGAGTTTTCCTCACTAACTTCGATGTCCGCATGGATACCATGGCCAATATTTTGTACTATCCTCAAAAGCCCCTCGCCACTACGCGTTCTATGGAGTTCCTGAAATTCAGAGAATTGCCCGCAGGGCAAAACGCTATTGTAGCCATCATGTGTTACTCGGGTTACAATCAAGAAGATTCCGTTATCATGAATCAAAGTAGTATTGATCGTGGATTGTTTCGAAGTTTGTTCTATCGAGCATACACTGATCAAGAAAAGCGTATTGGTATGAACGTTGTAGAGCAATTCGAGAAGCCATATAGATCCGACACCCTGAAGCTTAAGCAGGGCACCTATGACAAACTCGATGATGATGGAATTGTCGCACCTGGTGTTCGTGTCACCGGTGCTGATATCATTATTGGAAAGACCGCGCCGATTGCTCCTGATTCCGAAGAGATGGGACAACGTACAAAAGCTCATGTCAAGCGTGATGCGTCGACACCTCTTCGAAGCACCGAGAGTGGTCTTGTTGATCAAGTACTTCTTACCACCAACGCCGAAGGTCTTCGATTCGTAAAGGTTAGAATGAGAACTACGAAGATTCCTCAAATTGGTGACAAATTTGCTTCACGTCACGGACAAAAGGGTACCATTGGTATCACATACATGCAACAGGACATGCCATTCACGAGGGAGGGTGTTGTTCCCGACATTATTATTAATCCTCACGCTATTCCATCTCGTATGACGATTGCACATTTGATCGAGTGTCAATTGAGTAAGGTTTCTTCTCTGCGTGGACTTGAGGGTGATGCCACACCATTTACCGAGGTCACTGTCGATTCAGTCTCCAAGCTACTCCGTGCACATGGCTACCATTCTCGTGGTTTCGAGATCATGTACCATGGTCATACTGGTCGTAAGATGATGGCACAAGTCTTCCTTGGTCCAACATATTACCAACGTTTGCGCCATATGGTCGATGACAAGATCCATGCCCGTGCCAGAGGTCCGGTACAAATTTTAACAAGACAACCTGTAGAAGGTCGTGCTAGAGATGGTGGTCTTCGTTTCGGAGAGATGGAACGTGATTGTATGATTTCTCATGGTGCAAGTGCTTTCTTGAAGGAAAGATTATTTGAGGTTTCGGATGCTTTCAGAGTTCACATCTGTGACATCTGTGGACTCATGACCCCGATTGCGTAAGTTGATATTTGGAATTCAAGAATGAAACTATGCTGACTCAATTATAGTAAAATTAATACCGGTTCCTTCGAGTGTCGTCCTTGCAAGAATAAGACTAAGATTTCTCAAATCCACATCCCGTACGCCGCTAAATTGCTTTTCCAAGAGTTGGCAGCAATGAACATCGCCACAAGAATGTTCACCAAGAGATCTGGAATTACAGTGCGCTGATTTTGTATGATCTGATTTACGAATGGATTGGGGTTAGACTATGATTTTCCTGGTGAGGCAAATCTTTGCATAACGTGGCGTTTGGGAAGGAAAGTGGAAGATTGTGACCATGCCGTTGAGAAGCGAATATCCAAATCATTTGCATAGGATGAAGAAGTTTGGTCGCGTTTCTCATCAGTAGGAATATTCTGCCAGATATTATACATGACTAACACTGAAGATGCACAAAAAAGCGGTATATTGGACACGCATCATGACTTTCGGTGGTGGTGCTACTATTTATCACATTGAGATTTTTCTTTAGCCATAAAGAATAAGATAATAACAGGTAGTTGATCTGATGCTGTTCACTGCCGTACTGATTTCATTTCTTCGTGTAGAGTTTTCCTGTATGTTTAATCTCCATAACCTATTATTAGTACAGTACATATGACCCTGAGATGACAAATTCCCATGCTCGGCGTGCTACAGTCACTGCACGTATCCCTAACGTCTAAAGGCCTTCTTTTCTATACTCATACATCGCCATCAGGAAGGCATTTAGCTTGTCCTATACCACTTTCATAATATACAATCGCCCCCGCTAATTGTCCCAGTATTTGTAATTCCTAGGTATAAAATATATACTCATTCGAGACCGCAGCAGCATATCACCTCGGAGTCCCATCACTGACTTTCTGCACCTTTCTATATTCTTCTTCCATCGCCCGCTGCATGTCAAAGTCTAGCTGGCGTTCTTTTTTTATGCGCTGTTGTTCCATGTCCCGGATCACGCCTGCATGCATTGCCTGTATCACTTAGTATATGTACAGTTTAAATTGAAAAGGGAGAAAGGAGAAATTGGGAGGGGTGACATACAGCTTTCTCGGCGTTTTGCGCATAATGTACGAAGACTATTGTGCTGGCTGCGAAGAGGGAAGTGCCGAGGAGGGTTAACTTTGCTGCACGAGACATTGAGTTGCTGTCTATGAAGCTTTTCGTAAAAAATTAAAAGGTGCACAATGTAGTCTGAATCCCTCCAAATATTTATTAATGTGCAGTACAAAATTAAAAATAAAATTCTAGTCGGGTGCAGTGATTTCCCCAAATGGGAGAAACTACCTACAATCGATGCGATAGGCACAGACGGAAGTTACCGGACAAGGATGGTCACAGTAACCTTAACACCAGGAGAGGAGAGCTTGTTGCTTCTGTTGGAGCTATCTAAGCTTCAACCATCCCAAATCCAACGTTAACTCTCCACTTTACTCTTGCGCAACTTTTGATAACGATTCTCTAACACGATTGATCTTTGCAAGGGAAAATACTTTGAATTAAATTATATTGTTTGTGCAGAGCAGAGTCGGTTTTGAAGATGGTATGTTTTAATCCCGTGGTTTGCTTGGGGGATATATGTGTGCTTGGGATGGCTTGCATGCTGGGTTGTTGAAGACTTGCTAATTGTGTGGTGATAGTCGGCACAGAATTCGGCAGGTATTCAGACGCTGCTTGATGTATGTTTAGATTCTGGTTGATGGAAGCAGGATGGAGATACTGATTTAGAGGTTAGGCAGAGAGAGATGCGCAGAAGATTGTTCAGAAAGGTGAGTTGGAGCCCTACAGCTAGAGGATTAGCACAGTTAGATCATCTACTAATAATTTTAATCTACAGCTAGAGAATGTGAGTAGATGTTAACCAGAATTTAATGTCTGCGGATTGGAACGAGGCTGATATAAAAACAGACCGCACAAAACGTGTAAAGGAAGCAAGAGACGAAGCAAAGAAGGAAATCGAGGCGTATAGAAAGGAAAAGGAAGAGGAGTTCAAGAAGTTTGAGGCAGAGGTATGTTATGCCTAGGAGGATGGAATTACTCTAGTTGGGAACGAATGGAAGTGCTAATATACTGGATAGCACACGAGCGGCAACAAGAAAGCAGAAGAGGATGCCAATAAGGATGCTGAGAAGAAGCTGGAGGAGATAAAGGAGGCCGGCAAGAAGGGGGAAAGTCAAGTCATATCGGATCTCTTGAAAGCAGTCTTTGATGTTAAGCCCGTTGTACCTGAACGTGTTGAAGGACCAAAATAGGGTAGTCAGTCCTGAAGTTTTGGGGAGGGATAGAGCAATGGAGATTTGGGGAGGGATACTTTGGTGATGGTGACTCCTAGCATTGCACCATGATGAGAGTATATTGAAGTTACAGCTGTGGTGAAGAGGCAATTGATGATAACCTGTGTATAGACTAGCTTGCGATTCAACAACAAATATATCCTCTGTTTGGAATTATGGTTCAATTTATATGTTTCATGTGACGATGCTATAACTCTCCTGTGGGTTTCGATATTGATCTGGGGTTCTACCAAATGAATCATCTAACCCGTTTATGTATATATTCCGGAGACACATAATACGACTATTTTTAGCAAATACCCGTTTTGCTCCTTGAATCCAATCACATGTTCCCATCTACGTCACTAATGAATTCTACTACCAAAATCTAACCCCGCGAAATCTATCAAGCACCTTCCAACCCAACTCTTCTCACCATGGAAATCATTTTTAGTCAAACTCAATGTATAAAATCCAATTATGACATTTCAGGTCGTTCGTGTAGGGTCAACAAGATGGCTATCCTACAATATATCACGAACAAAACAACCTATAATGCTATCCTTCGATATCTCCCGCCCCCGTAAACTTTCCACCCGAACAGCTTCCCAAATACAAATACATAATTCAGCTATCCACACCTTGCAAACGAGTCCTCTGCAAAGTCGTACCTCATTCATTCATGCAGCGCGAATTCATACTTCGAATGCTCGACACCATGAGAAGGAAAGGGATCTGAGGAATGCGGATCCGAAGGTTAGTGATATTGGAAGGGCAATTGAGGATGATTTTGCTACGATTAGAGATTGTTATGGTATGTTTTCTCCTATATTTCACTTATATAAATTGCGTTAGTAATAACCAATTCGTTTAGCTACACCTAAAAATCCAATCGTCCTTGCCCATGGTCTCTTCGGCTTCGACGAATTCCGCATCGCAGGCAATCTCCTTCCCGCCGTCCAATACTGGCGCGGTATAACCGACGCTCTCCGCGCCAAAGGTATTGAAGTAATAATGACCTCCGTCCCCGCCTCGGGCAGTATCGAAGAGCGCGCCGCGGTATTAGGAGAAGATATTGCCGCGAAAGCCAATGGGAAAAGCGTTAATATTATCGCGCATAGCATGGGAGGACTGGATGCACGATTTATGATCTCGAGATTACAGCCGCAAAATGTAGAAGTGTTGAGTTTGACGACGATCGCGACGCCGCATCGTGGAAGCGCGTTTGCGGATTATTGTTTTGAGGAGAGTTGGTGGCATGGGATGATTCCGGGGCTGATTCGCAAATTGAATGAGGTGGGTATTAGTACGGGGGCTTTCATGCAATTGACGCGGAAATACATGAATGAGGAGTTTAATCCTAAGACGCCGGATGATGAGCGCGTGAGATATTTTAGTTATGGAGCTACCTGTGATCCGAAGCTGTGGAGTGCGTTTCGGAAGAGTCATGGGATTTTGCGGAAGGTCGAGGGCCCGAATGATGGGTTGGTTAGTGTGGAGAGTAGTCGTTGGGGTACGTATAAGGGGACTTTGGTGGGGGTTAGTCATTTGGATTTGATTAATTGGACGAATAGGGTGAGGTGGATGGTTGGGGAGTTGACGGGGAATACGAGGAAGTTTAATGCGATTGCTTTTTATCTTGATATTGCGGATATGCTGGCGAAGGAGGGGCTTTAGATTGTATTATACGTTTCGAGTTTGGTCAGAAGGGATTGGGCGATTGGTCTTTTTTTGAAAGAAAAGTTTGGAATGAGGAATGGTTACATGGTATATGCATTTGGATAGGATAGAAGGATAGAAGAGACAGATGTAAAGTCTTTAGCGTAGAAATATAAATACTTCCTCCCTTCCTGAACTTCCTTTCCTTCCGCATATTCTTCTTCCTTCTCCGCTTCTACGTCTTTCTCTCCCTACTTTCCCTTCCTCACCAACAACACAACTCCCCATACATAAAAAACTAATTAACACTTCGCTTCTCCTCCCGCATCATATCAACCTCCGCAGAACTCCCATTATAACATCTACACTTTTTACTACTTTCATATTATAAATTTATATAAAATCAATATTCAATTCTACTTCTTATTTTATAACCTTAGCTTTATTCATATACTTAGAATAGAATAGAATACGGGAAGAGGAGACATACTAGCCCCTCCCTTCTTCCCAATAATCGTCGTGTATAATTCTTTAAGCAAAAAAGAAACCAGAAAATAGTGTAGTTAACGACGGTGATACTGCAATTTCATCACTGGTCAGTCATATCACTTGAATTTACCAAGTGTAAAAAATATGGTTGTTGCAATACTGACTCCATAGAGGGTTTTAAAAATGTGTTGAGGAGTAATCGAGCGCCTTTATGCTAGATCCCCCTTCCCCTTCAAGCCCAGTTCGAATTCGAGTTGTAAAGCCAGGAGAGATTGGGAACATTGATGGTCCTGGGTTTCTTGGTAATATTTGCACGCTCGAAGATATCTCCCTTTTATTAGGCCAGGGATAGCAGAGACGAGCTGGGAAAGAAATGTGTCAATCTTGGAGAGAGGATGAGGGCTTCATATTGAATATTCAGTCTTAAAACATTACTGCTAAACATCTGTTCGAGGAGGTGATTATAGTTTCCAACATAATGTTGCTTGGGTCTGTCTTGCTCGAGCCGTAAAGAAATATGAATCTCGTAGATTCTCCACTCTATATATACATCAACCCTCCTCCTCGTCCAACCTCTAAATCATTAAACAATTTTCGAATCTAATTCCACATCATACGCAAACGTAACAGATAACTACACCCCTGTAAAACAATTAACACAGAAATCAAAAAATCTCTCTCAGAATTAACCGTGCTGAAGAAATCACTCGATCCCAGAATAACCTTAATGACTTTCCATTCATCATGTAGCTAGCAACGAAACTCCTCTTAGAAGTTTCACTTAATTAATATTTATGAACGCAATATCGAACATGCCAAGCGGATGGGAATGGAGATATTCTTGTATATGCCTAGCAATACAGATGAAGCTTCTTCGATGCTAAGATCGGAGGATACTCGCTATGGAAGATTTCAATCTTTAAATTGCTGCTCTAAATCTAGGGAGTCCGCAATACTAATGGTGTATAGCGATATTTAATATCTAGTCCTGCAGACAGATACTGAGTGGAAGATTGTCTCCCCGTAGCACATGTTTTGTGGAGAGAAGATACATCATCATATCATTGTAGGCCACGTGGTTAAGAATGGAAATGGCAACCGCAAAGATAGGGTATATATGATAGAAAATCGCGTTCCATGAAGAAGACCTTCTGCTAGAGAGCAATAAAAGCTACACCGAATATGTATATTTGCTTCCATGTGTTTGGAATAAATCATATCGGGGGAGAATGTAATTCCTTCAGGAATAGTCGTTGAGGGTTTTGGTCGTGTAACTCGATTGCACAGTAGTTAAACTTCAAGAAGTTTGTAATCTTACTACGTCTCATGAACCAGTAGGTAGGTTATGGAAAAGCTTGTAGCTTTATCAACCGACTATTAGATTGACCATCCTGCAGCACCCATCCATCATAATTGCTGGAGATTAAAAGATTGAAGGAAGAAAGGAGAATTCTCGGAGCAGAAATCACAAAGTACCCGCCAAATTCACAACACGGTCTTCCTGAATTACGGTAAATTACCTATACCAAATTCCATCCCATCTCGCCATGCAAAATATCCCCGAGCGCCTTGTGGTGATCTTCCATTGCCCTCATTTACTAAAGAAATTTGTAATCTTTTGACTTCCCTTTTTTTGATCCGAAGATTTCTTCGGACTTCCATAGTTATTGCTCGTAGCACTTCTAGTCTTCCGGGTTGATGCGACAGGCGGAGAGACTTTCTGCGGGCTTGCAGACGTGCGTCTTGATTTTTTGGGCGGCTCTCCGATATCAACACCGTCAAGTTCGTGTTTTATTCCTTGCCTGTTTTCCTTTTTAGGCACAGGTAAAGGTGAATTATCCTCAGAGCCATCATGATCAATAGTTTTGCGATCGTCTCTGTTTGTAGACTCTTCTTTGATTGGTGTATGTTTAGTATCTTCTTCCTTGGATTTTTTAGGTGCATCTGATGCTTTAGATGACGCTTTTACATCTTTCTTACCCCCTTTAGCAAAGAAATTGGCAATATTGGATTTGTTCTCCGTGCTTGCCACTGGGACAATGAAATTAGGAGAATCATTGCCCACTTTTCCTACTTCTTTGCTTACTGGATAAACCTCCAAGTCTCCCTCATATGGCTTCAGGAGAGATTGAAGTTCTTTCGACCAAGATGATCTTTTCGGATCAAGCCAAGTACGGACATCCTCCGAACCATTGTCGAGAATGACTGGCATTCTATCATGTAGAAAATTCAACTGCTTATTCGAACTCGTTGTGATGATGGTGTAAGTATAGTGTTTTTCATCCGAACCTTCATATTGAACGACATCCCATAGTCCCGCCATGCACATCAATTGTCCATCTTTCCTCTTGATGTAATGTGGTACCTTCTCCTTTCCCTTCTTCAGCCACTCATAGAATCCCTCTGCAACAACAACACACCTCTTCTTTTGCTTCATCGTATTCCACATCCCTCTATTCTCAATCAAAGAATCATCACGACAATTAATAGTCTTCATCATCGATCCATAATCTGGATTGCGCTTCGTCCAAAATGGTATCAAACCCCATTTCATACTCTGTAGCTTATATCGAACAGCCTCATTCGCATGCTCTTCTTGCTCAGTGGCTTCCGTTTTGGGAGCTTCCGACTCGGTAACTCTCTCCTCAGTCCCATCAGCACCGGCCTCTTTATGTAGTCTCGGTCCCGCACCCCAATCTGGTACATCTGCCCGGTAAACAATACCATGATACCCGGGAGCAAAATTGTAACTTTGTCTTGGTGCGCCAATACCCTCGTCATCTGGCGCTTCCCAGACGGGCATATTCTCATTTTCGAGATATTGGCGAACCTCTGAAGGTCGCTTTATTTTATTAGCAAGTCTTTAATCGATAGGGTGGTAGATGACTTACCAGGTGTAGTGCGTATCTCCCGCACATGCTGATGATGTTACATTGCCGCGTTTGACGTTGAATTGAAGGTCGCGTTTGAGGAGATATGTGACGAGCGGCCGCATTCGCTTCAATGACGTCACGGTTTTGAATATTATTTTTTAATCCAGCAATAGGTAAATCTCATCTACTCTCGTCTCATCCAAATTATTTCAAGCCAAAGCACAATCATCCATAAAACAAGAATTGGTTCATTTATATATCCATCATGGCTCACGGAGACACGCATAAAACACATTAAAAAATCCAACATCACAATCTAAATGATGCAAAGATTAGTCCCATATGTACAGGAACTCATCCTCTGATTTCCTCGGTAGATATTCAGATATTGAAACCACCTATGACTCCGAGGATTTCCTTCTGGGTTTCAAGAACTAGAACCAGAACCAGAACCACAACCACAGCCATAATCAAAAGAATTTTGTACTAGAAACTTCATTCTTTCAATCTCATCCTCATATAGCAGTAGGGAAGGTTAACATTACCTCTATAACAAACGAGTTTCCCTCTCATACATCCTCCTTCCTATATATCGATATCGACAACCTTACCATCGCATTTTCTCAAAGAATACTATCACTACTATCATTTCCATCTTCTATTTTCCATTTCCATTCCCCTTTATAAATTCTATATTCAAAATCCTTATCTTATCATATCCATAATCATATCTCATAGAATCAAACTCCAATGATCTACCATCTACGTCCCAAGTACGCTATACCAGTAATATCTCCCGAAATATCCTAGTTTCATAAAATCCATGCCAACCTACCTAGGTATGCATACATGCGATGGATATCAAAGCCTCTAAACACCCACGCCCAAGCAATATCAATCCAAGAAAAGGAAAAGAGACCAGCCGGTGACTAAAACAGCCATCTATCAAGCCTCCATATCTACATCATTTTTCTTCCCACTCCCCATACTCTTCACCCGTTCCTGGCCACCCTTCCCCATTTCCCCATCAAAGTCACTTCCTTCCTCTCCACCATAAGCCATATGCGGATCATCGAGTTCATCCCCGACTTCCATCCAGACATCGCTAGTCGCAGGGACCGGGAAGAATCTACATAGAATCCAATATACACCTCCTGCAATAATAAATCCGCAGAAGAAGTTTAATTTATAAATGTATGTTGCGCCAGCTGGTACTTCTTTTCCAATTGCTCCTACGAATCCAACGATGTTGATGAGGATTCCAGCGATGTAAGCTGCATAGCCTCTCCAGTGAATACCCAGGGTGTAGTAGTATGGAGAGGTTTTCTTGGCGGAATAGAGGTTGCGAACTTGTAGGTAGCCTTTACGAACAGCGTAGTAGTCTGCGATGATGACACCGGCGATGGAGGATAGGAATACGGAATAAGCGGAGAGGTAGGTCGTGAAATTGTTGGCGCTAGAGAGAAGGTTCCAGGGACACATGACTAGACCTACGATGGCGCAGATGTAGCCACCGCGGCGGATGTTGATGTAGCGTGGAAGAAGAGCGGTCATATCTGTACCTGCAGATACGGAATTGGCTGCGATATTGGTACCGAGTTGGGCGAGAGCAAATGCAGTTGCGATAAAGAATACACCGGCACGATTTCCAGATCCACCTTCGCTTAGGAAAGATTGAAGAAGTTCGAGAGGATTCCAGATGGCTTCACCGAAGATGACGGTCGAAGATGAGGAAACAATAATACCGATGAAAGATGTAACCGCGAAACCGACAGGGATGGTAATGAGTTGTGACCAGAAAGCATCTCTGGGTTTTCGAGCAAAGCGTGCGAAATCCGGGCTATTCACGATGAGAGTTGCAAAGTTGGCGATGGAAGACATGATTCCTGTAACCATGTACCAGGCCATTGTACTTCCATGTGTTGTATTTCCTTGTTTGACGATTGGACCAAGACCCTTTGCGCGAACGATAGCCCAGATGAAAAATGCAATGCCTGCAGCTGGTACCACATATGCCTTGACTGTAAACAAATGACGAATTTTGTGAACCGGGAACCAAATCGCTGGAAGTGAGCAAAGCCAAAAGATGAAGAAGGATATAAAAGCAACAGTGTTTGTTCCAGAATCAGGAATTCCATTGTGAACTTTGGTGAATGATGGCCAGATGGCAGAGATCATCAATTGAACGCACTCTCCTCCAATCCAAGACTGCACTCCGTACCAAATACAAGCCATGGCTGCACGATTGAAGACAGGCCATAGAGCACCCCAGATACCGAAAGATGATCGAGCGACAACCGGGAAGGAAAGATGATAAGTGGCACCGATTCTGGCCGTGAGTACAATGAAGCAAGCTGCAATGGAATAACCAATCCATACACAAAGCCATGATTGCCACCAAGATAGGCCGCTGGGCGCAACGATCATGCTCGATGATATCATCCAAGTGTTCTAATTGGTCGAAATGTTAGAATCTCACTTCCTGAACAGGGAAAACTTCTTGGAAGCATGCTCACAATATTAAAAGAATCCGCAACCCAAAATCCTACAAAATTCCACGCTCCCCATTGTCTACGTTCTGGTTCGACTAGAAATTTATGTATCAGTATTTAGTCCTCGCACATGGTATAGACAATTCACCAGGCTTCAGATCATGATTGTTTAACATGAGTTGAGCATTTGTCAAGCCGGGTTCGCTCTCTACTGCCAATTTATCGGCCCAGTAACCAATCCTCGTATTTTTAACCTTCTCCATGATGTAGTCGAGAAACCAGTCGCCCGATTCGTCGGAAGAATGAAATGTAATATCTCTAAAATAAATATTTGAACGGGTCGAGGAGGGGGAGAAGGAGGAAGAAGAGGGGGAGGCGGAGGAAGACCGTTTAGAAAGGGAAGCCGATGTAGTTCTGTGATGCAATGAAGTGTCTTTGTGTGACGTCGTACTTTCTTGGATCTTCGACGGACCACTAGTAGAAAGTAACGGAGTGAATTCGTCGTCTAGTCTAGCACTGCTAGCGTCCCTGGAATCATCACTTTCATACTTGAAGGCGGACATTACCTCTATTATATAGATTGTTGGACAGACTAGGACCCTAGACGACGTCTATGATCTTTTCTGGTTCAAGAATCGTCTAAGTTGTCTAAATATTTTTACCCCTCTGCAGCTGCATAAGAAAATTCTTGGATCCCTACACAATGTGAGAAAGAAGCATAGACACCGCGAACTGATTAACTTTTATTAGTCTCTTGTCCCAGTCAAGCGGTTCGAAATCCTCTGGTTGGAATAGAATAGCTAGACCATTATCTACTTTCGGTTCTTATCTTTAAGCATTCACCCACAGACAAATGAATCTACACCAACCAAGAGTGAATCCAAGTTAAAAAAAACCGGCCATTATTCGTAGAAAAGCATATTCCACACCAATTCTCTGGCAGGAAAGATAGGAGATAGAGATACGCAACGCAACGCAGACCCCACGCTGTAAGATCGAGCCAGGATAATGATCTCATACGGAATATCATGAAACATTTTTGCATCTCTTTTTGCTCATGTAATACATTTTCGTGAGAGCTGATGGGCTTCTTCTCCAATCATGCGGGATTATGATATTATGATTATGATTTAGAAATGATTTTAGTCTTTTGACCATGGACAGACTGATTATTGGCGTGCGCATCATTCTCTAGCGAGACCTATCAACAGCTGCATCGTTATCTGACTAACGTCGGGTGGATTCATCGAGACTGTGATAGTTTAGATAGTCTTGATGTTGAGATAAGTAATTATAGATAAGGCTGTTATTTTACTCGATGTGATCGAGCAATGAATTGTAAAATGCGGGGAAAGAGACATGGAGAAATTGATGAGATGGAGAACATCCATACGGAGTACAGAGTATAAGAAAATACATCTCCGGAAATGAGGCTATATCAACTTTAGGATATCGCCGTCGTCACGAAGGATTCTCATAGGAATGAAGATGAAATTCTTCTCTTTACTAAAATGGCCATCCTCATTCTAGGGGGCAAGAACCATAAACCATAAGAGAGATCCCACGCATCTGTTGCCGATTTCAAAAAGCGTGATCAAAGTCAATCGGCAAGATCACGGGTAACAACCTTAGTAGGTGTTTCTGAGAAACCGGATAGATATTCGATCTGCTTTTGGGATTCTCGGGAAGCAATGAAATGTAACGCCTGAACAAGCAATTTGTGAGACATGCAACAAAAAGTTCATATCGTTTTCCACCGCTTTACGGCAGAATAATTAAAACACGTGCTCTCGCTTTTCATCGTGGGGCGTCCCGTCCCCATCTATCATTTACTGTTTTCTGATACGTACAAGTGTATAACGCAGACGTCCTTTGACTATGAGCACTTTACTTCCCATCTCATATCTATTTACCACCTTTCCTATCACATCTAAGCTCTATCATCGCTATCATTTCCCAGACTTAGATTCACCATTCACCTGTATTTTACATAAAGTTTCCTGCAACTACAACCTCAAATCATCCCAACACATCACAAGGATCGCGCAAGCATCAAATATCCCGTATAAACAGTCATCCTGACTTACTCATTTGGGGAAGTGACGGGTCGGCTCGTATGCGATGTGCAACAAATTCCCTCTGGAAGAATCATGCCGTCACTGGATTGTCTTTTGCAGTGACTAACCACGTGCTGAAAGTTTGAGATTTGCGGATGATTTACTGAGATGTGGGTGAGGACAAGATTGAGTTTGTGTTGTTCTTATTTATGGATGAGTTTGAATGTTGGAAATAATGAATCTGGACTTCAACATTGGGATCGAGTGGACCTGAGGTCGTCTTGTTGGATGCTAGATATTTGTGGTGATGCAAATACTTGATGGGATCTTCCATAAGACCGGTCGCTGAAAATATTCGAAAGTTCGAACACGACAATATTACGCCAGCAGCATAGAAAGCTTCGAGGCTCTCAAAGCAATGTACCCGCTCAATATTTCACATACTTGCAGTCTTTTTTCATTTGCAATGTTTTTCTTTTCTTTTATACAGCACGTGCATCCATCTGAACAGCATGGGATTCTCATATCTGAGGAAGTGGATGCCATTTGATGTTTCTAATTAATCAATACTCCATCAAGCTCGCATCTTTCTAATCCCAGCATTTTTCGTTTCACCTTCACATGCGTGTTTTTCTTGTGAAAACTAAGAATTGGTCATCAGAGAATCATCAAACGTTCTCGCCTTTGCCTATTATTTCCATCCAACTACCAATGCGATTCCGGGAGTCTCTCTTTTTCGGGACTTACAGACCTTCAGAGCATTCATAGTGCTTGTAGTAGAGCCCACCTGTAGCCGATGAGGAGGTGGGAATTGTCAAAAGGTAAATAAATTTAAGCCAATGAAAAGGAGAAAGCAGGAAATGGAGTTTGCCTGTAAACGTAACGTCGGGCAGGACCTTGTTGAGAGAATGTAACACCAATGGACTTTTTGATCAGAACAAGAATATTGTCATAGTCTTTACCGTCCCTCAAATGATCATATTTGCACATAGTACAATGCCATTTACATGTTTAATTCTTCACCTGAGCTTTCATACTAAATGACTTTGTGGCGGCGCGGCGACCTAGCAGTCGTTCGTATGTCCATATATCCTCAGTAGATTCACATTAAGATACGTCCCTAGCCCAGCAGCCATTACGTTCCTTTATTAGGCTAATGATAGGTTTCTACTATGGTTTTTGCAGAAACATGGAAGTGCCTTCTTGAATAGGTTGTTGTGGGTATTTGAAAGTTTCCTCTTTTAGCTATGTTGCTATTATCCAGTTCTTTCAGCGGAGGTTCGAGGATAGATATTTTGATTTATTCTCGATGGAGCAAAAAGGTTTATTTACTTTTATACCGGCAGTTGCTGGATTGCACAGATACTTTGCCATTGCTTATGTGTCTCACATCTCGATCCCTGAATGTTCATACAGCTTTGAGAAGGTTTATCTCGTCACTTAGAATGTGCAGATGTATTTTAAAATTTAATATCGATCTTGTTTTGTGTATACTCTTCTCATATACTGTTACCTATGTACAACCAATTGAATATATACAGACTCACTCCCTTATGTACAGAGCCTTATCAAATTATTTACATCCCCGTCAACCAACACCAACTAATTCGATCGAGTAAGACAAGCTGCAACAAGTGGTTGATCTGTCATAGATGATCCACTTCCATAGGGTGTCTCCGTTAATGCTATCATCAATATCAGTACATATTCATATCCCATATGTCCTCACCACAATTTTGGGACGAGTTTCAATTCCACTTACTGTAATTCGTATCGAAGCTTCCAGCAGCCCACCCAAGATATCCCAAATACACATCCGAATTGGCACTGTGTAGAAACATCGTTAGCATTTTGTTATTCTAATCTTTCACAGACAAAAGAAAATTAACAACGTACTTCAAATAAGCAACTTCCTGACACAAATACGTCTCACAACTAGCGACGTTTCCACCACCTGTCTCGGTTAGTATGGCTTGTCTTCCATTTGCTCGTAACCAAGTTGCTAGTGGTGCGAATGCGTTATCGATGTTATTGGTCACGCATTCAGGATTAGTTCCTGAGTTATCGGAATCGAGATATTTGTGGACGTCGAAGATTAGATTTGTCGTTGTGCCGTCTGGGTTGGTGACTTTGGAGAGGGCGGCTGCTGAGCCGTCGGATATGAAGGATCCTGCGGAGGTGTACTAGAGGTGGCTGAGGTTAGTGTTGTAATGTGGTGGAAGATTTGTGAGTCGGGGTTTAAAGTATATTGAAATTTCGGGTTTCCGGTTTTGAAGAGAGAGTAGGAAGGAGACAGGTGAGATTAAAGGGGAAATCCATGACCTAATGATACTTACATCATTACCAGGTAGGAGGAGCGGGTTAGATGTAGCACCGGCTTGGCGAATAGCAGTAACCACTGCTTGAACGGAGGCTGCCCATGTGGTAATATTTGGCATATCTGACAGATTTGTTAGTCACATCGCACAAATCCAAGATTCGTTTCCCTTCGAATAATCACTACACCCCAGACCCACCACCAATAGAAAGTGAAAATACACACCATGCGGTTCATTCATCAAACCAAAAATCACCTTCGTATTCCCCTTATACTTATTCGCCAACTGAGTCCACAAACTCGCAAACTGCGCATTAGTCGGTCCACCCTGTCCAATAATGCCCCCATTCCATCGCGCATAATTATGGATATCAATTATGCAACTAGCACCCGTTGCCAAACATCCCTGCACCAATGAATCATACGTCGCGAAATTGCTACTGTCGAGTGTACCCCCGAGAACATTGTTCACGAGATATTGCCATCCTACTGGGAGACGGAATATATTGTGTCCGGTGCTTTTGACAAAGTGGGACATTTGTCCTAGGCCATCTGGATGGTTGACTATGCTGCTTAGAGGCTGTGATGGAGTGGGTTAGTGGGTGTGTGTGAGGTGCAGGGGAGGGGAGGGGAGAAGATAAATGTGGGTGCGCACCGGGTAGACATCGCTGGTTATACATGTGCCGTCTGTTGTGCAGCCGAAGTCGAATCCTGCAATGTTGGTTCCAACTGTTGTGTAGTATGTTAGTCGGATTCCCTTGTGTGGGTTTTTCAGAATGAAATGTATAAGTGTATGACATATGAACATACTATATTTCGTTTTCCCAGTTGAGCTAGGAGCTGCTGATGAACTAGTCTTGGTACTGGAGCTTGATGGTTTACTCGAACTCGTAACTGTGGTCAGTGTTGCTATATTTTCATTTATTAGACTTCTTCTTTCTTTGATTTATTCATCCACTTTTCCACTCATGGATCGACAGTCTCTGAGTGTTGGAAAACTAACCAGTTCCAGGTAAACATTGCGAGTAATATTCACTCGAATAAGTACACACATAACCCCCAACACAAGTTGTGGCTCCCGTCCATCCTTTCCCTCCACATTGTGCATAGGCTACGCCTTGTGCTGTAGCGGTAGATACTAGTGGGAGGATAGTGTATAGAGGTGTTGGGACCTTCATATTGGGAACTTTGAGTGAAAGGAGGAAAATGGAAGAAGTGGTAAGTGAAGAGGAAAATGAAGAGAGAGATAAATGAGATGGAATGGGAAGATATATATATAAACTCAAAGTTGACCTCGATTCTATTAATGGGAACTACTGGTTATATATCCCGAGGTCATAAATGTATACATCCCCCAATATAATCATATTAATCATACGATCAAATCACGTCCCGAGCTCTTTCTCCCCTCTTATTCATCTCACCTCTCAATATCAACCCTACCTTACCCTACCCTGCTCCATACACTCCGAGCGCCAAACCCACTCCCGAACTCCCATATTTGCTATCCCCATCCCCCATCACCCATTCCCTATACGCCTCCATCTCCATCTCCACCTCCATCTTCCAACCCATCTCATCCCATTCCCTCACACCGCCCGCCCACAACCATCCAACCCACGGACCGAAACCCCCGACCAGCAAACTCCCATCCCAAAACTCTAGAAGGTTATAAACCCCTAAATGCCAAATGCCAAATGCCCTAGAAACCCTAGTTCATTAGCTCCTTGGATCATTAAACTATTAATCTGTTTCATACAGAGTATATATGAAAAATTAAATTAGTCAGTCAGCATAGGCGCAGGATGAATAACTCGTGATGTTGTTTGCGGAAAAAAGGGGATGCGGTTCCGAGGTGGGATTGCGGGATTGCGGGAAGTCTTTTGTGATTAGTGATTAGTGATTAGTGATTTGTGATTTGTGATTTGTGATTTGTGATTTGCTTTTGTTTTGTGGGGAGGAAATGGGGAGGAATGGAATGCATCTGTGTATGGGTCGGTCTCTACTGGCGTAGGTTTGGTTTGGCATTGTGATTGGAATTGATTAGTGGGAGGGGAACTTGTACTCTGTATTGTATGTACTCTGTACCGGTAGGTATATGATCTGATGTGATGTGCTGTGATGATCTTTAGATCACCTAACCTTAGGTACTTACTCAGTGCAATTGTGAGGAGTACGTACAGCAAGAAAACCACGCCGAGATTTAAGTAAGACTTACATAACCTAGAAAAATCCTAACCTCAAATCACATACTCCGTACTCGTACTCCAGAGACTTACTCGGGTATTCTTCCCCAACAGCCCGAAACCATACATCTCCGAAACTCTATGCACATACACCTACACTGTACAAAAGATACCTAGAATAACACAAGTCCCATCCGACTGCACAGCACGTACAATACGATACAATAAAATAAAATAAGATACAATACAATATACCCAAAGCAATACTCGCTCCCATAGCCTATAGGATAGAAAAACACCAGTTACTCCGTACTCGGCAGAGATACATTTCTTCACACTCCACACATATATATTAATTTCATCTAAAGGGTGTTGGTTAAATATCCTTGCTCCTGCCGAAATTACTACTTCTGTCATATGCCATGCTGCCTAGGTACTTAACTATGTACTGATTACCCCGGATTTCGGCTATGGTGGTTGGTGGTAAGGTTGATATCCCATTATTGCTGGATCCTATTGTATGTATGTACCCCTGATATATATCCATAGTAGTAATCCTCCATGCACTATAGACCAGGAGACTAAAACCCCGGAAATTCTAGTTTAAAATCTAGATTCTTCTAATCTTTATTTAGTCTTTAGTCTCTAATTGATACTCCCATGCATAAACCTATAATCTTACATCCATACTCGAGTTACATGCCCTGCACTCTACACCCTATCCTCCATCTAACACCAGACTTCAATCCTTCAATCCTTCAATCCCGCACTCCGTAGCCCCTCAATCCCAAAATCTTCCGGTACGATATACCTAGTGTACCGATAATCTACTACGTACACACACTATCACCAGACCATTAATATCTAGTCACTACTCCATTAACGTCTAGTCACTACTCCGTACATACAGAGTACCTGGTGCCCAGATATAAATTAAACGGTAGCTTGGCTTTTTTAATTTCTTTTTTCTCTTCCCATTTACATTTGCATTTGTATTTCTAAATCTAGATTGATCTAATTATCTATATTTGAACTCGAAGTTTCGAGAAAGAACCGCAGAGGATACGTAGATTATGGGTATGATAGTGTTCACCGACATGGTTAGTTTTAAGCCTAGATTAATAGATGGATAGAGTTTCGAAGAAATGGAGATGTAACTTTAGGTATAAGGAGCTAGGAAGCCAGTAAGCCGAGTGCTAATCTGCGGCCTGTTGATTATCGATTATTTGTTTAGGTATAGGGTTTTATCTGTTTGTTTAAGATTAGATTTAAGGTTATTTATCTGCGATTTTACAAAGGTTATACTCCGTATATAAGTGTGATTATACTCCGTATGATGCTGTTCCATACTATACTATCCTATCCTATCCTATCCTATCCTGTGTTATAAGATTCACTAACTATTATACTAGAAGATGAATTGGTTGTACATGTTTAATCTGATAGATATCTACTAGATTAGGAACAATAATTAGTTTTTACCTTTCTAGAAGTTGGAGGCATTCAGTACATTGTAAAACAGTCTAGAGCCAAGAGACTCAACTTCACATACATACAAAAATTCACAAAGATAATTAGTAAGGTATAAATAATCACCTCACAGAGATATTCTCGGGTGCAAAAATTTGTATTTCATATATACAGATGAAGAGAAGATAGAACTTTATGTACAAATTTTAGGGTAGAAAAAATAACATAACGATTGACCATGCAGTAAAGACTGTCTCATTTCCTCATACTGTATCGCGTTAAAAGAATGTATGCATCAGCGACCCAATCCCCTCATCCAAATTTCCTCAATTTAAAAGCTAGGATTAGCATTGGTGAGTAATTGGGCAAAGTAAGCTTGGAACCAAGTACCAGCTTCCGGAGCTGGTTGAAGGGCATCCGAGAGACCGCAGTGGAAATCGTATCGAGCTGCTGTTGTATTTGAAGTACCCTTTTCGAAAGTTAGTAGATGAAAGATTGAAGTATGGAACAGGGGAAACAAACATCGGCTTCTCCACCTGGTTTGACCCAGACAAAGGCATCTTCCAAGGCATCTCCTGTGTTGGTGGTAGGTCGAACACCGAATCCGGTTCCGATGACATTACACCAATCTCCCCATGCTTGTTGAGCGGTTGGTTGAACTCCATTGCGAGCTATTTTTACTGTTAACTTCATCCTCAAGGAAGGCTATAGAGCATTTCACTTACCCGTATCCATGATGAAATGGGCTGGGAAACCTTGTGCTGTCAAAAGTGGAGCGAGAGCATTGATGTACAACTTCTCGTTACAGTTAGAGTCACCAGAAGTATAAGATGGGCAACTGCTGCTAGTCCAAGCATTGTAGTTTGCGACATTGGTTGCGAGACCTCTGACTTGAGATGGGCTTCCTGCTGCTTTGTAGACTTGACCAAAGAGTTGTGCAGCTGGACCAATGTTTGCAGACCATCCTAGCCAACCAGCATGTCCAGCATCCAAGTACATGGAGACGTTTGGTAGGTTCAACTTTGAGATTGCATATTCGGTACATTCTAGGTAAGCTGACTGTGCATTGGCACATTTTTGAACATTTAGGTTGGTAACTAGGTTTGCCAACGAGTCCGGCTCTATTAAATTGTCAATCGCCAATCTACTTTAGTAAAGGATGAAGAATTTACTTACCGATGATTAAAATAACGCTAGTGTCAGAATAGCTCTTGAGAATAGTAACAATTGAATCGATATAAGCTTTGTAGTTCGCCACGCCATTGTTTGCAATGCTATATTCTCCATTGGAAGCAGCTGCTGCACAATCTCTGTCAGGTAAATCGTAGACCACGAAAGTACCGGCAACTGGTGGGTTTGCTCCTGCCTTATTTAAGGCTCGGATATTGGAAAGGTAGGTTCCCATCGTTGGAACTTTATCAGCGGTATCACTGAGCTTATTAGCTTTCACATTCGTCATCTGATTGAAAAAAATAACTTACAGCCAGAAAAAGGTTGGAACTTTTGCTACCGCGGCAGCTTTAGTGGCCATGGCTCCAGTGAGTGAAGGAATTGCACTTGCGGAAATCTCAGAAGCATAGTATGGGTTTGCGTAAAGTGCTTTGCCTGAAAATGGGTTGCCTGCGGCTGGTGCTGCTGTTGTTGTTGCACTGTTACCTGTGGTAGTGGAAGCTTTCGTCGTGGATGTGACGATTGTTGTAGGAGCGGTAGTTGATGGGCCGGAACTCGATGCACCACCCCCCGAGCCAGGTAGACATTGAGAATAGTATGCATTATTATAAGAACAGGTGTATCCAGAAACACAAGTTGTTGCGCCAGTCCAGCCTTGACCGCCACCTAGATTTTATGTTAACGACAGTTCCATACCAACTGAAGCATGATAACTTACATTGTGTATAACCAGCGCCCTGAGCATACACAGTAGGTGCTACTGCAGCGGCAGCGAGGAGAACATTCTTGAAACCCATTTTAAAAGACAATGGAAGAAGTAAAGATTGTGTGTGGTTAGATGCTCAAAATTTTGAAGAAACGAACGATCTTTTATATCATTCGAACCGGGACGTGACTCGTAACCTTGGCCATGTCCATTTTGGCAGACCAACAAACACCCATATTCTCTATATGCAAATCACCTCCTCAATATGAGACGGAAGTCCAGCGCCGACTTGCCAGTATAGTTTGTATAGCCTGAGTAGACAACGAAAAGTTTCACGGACTGATCGTGGAGAACATTACTATAATTAATCCTTGACAGGAACCCATAAGACCTCATTGGATAAGATCAAGGTATTAAGAATGTTCCTCCTATAACAACGAATTAAAGTAGTATTAAGGATCCAATCATGTTAATTTACGGAAACTCAGTCAAACCCAAATTCAAATTAAAGATATTACCTTTGCCAGGTACGTGAGAGACTAAGGAGCGACGGCCCGTTGTAGAGTCTCTCACATCATGTGCTATGTGGGACTGCTGCCACTTTGCCGTATGATCTGTACGGAGTAATATATCGCCTGTCATCTTGACGGAAAGTGTATTTATTGCATTGCAAAGTGGATAGGTTAACAAAAACGTGATTATTCGTCATGTATTATAGGCGGGGTAGACACGGAGTATTGCAAACCATTTGCGACATTAAGGAACAACCGGCAATAGCTAAATGCCAGTGCAATTAGAGCACTCGAGAAGAAAGAGAGAAAAATGAGGTTTTTGGACCAGTATTTGCATGTTGGCACTTCCGAGTCTCCGGGATAGTGTGCAACGATAAAATCGAGCCTCTCCAAGTTACACAAATACCTTCAAGAATCCCCAAGTATAAGCTTAAGCTAGGCTGATATGAAAATGCGGAGAGAATCTGGGGATGAAAATCGTGGAGAAAGGAGTACAGTGTTCGTTTGCAAATTTAGCCTATGTTTTAGCAAGATTAAGGCTACGTACAGCTAGCCGCAGCTACCAATTAGGTCATCTGCCATCAACTTCATCTATGCGGGTTTTCTCCTTGTCGCCGATTCCAAGTATAACATGTATAACATAATAATAAATGGCTCGGCTGGTTCGAATCTGCGCGATTAAATTGATTGCTGGCAGAAGTCGAGACCTTGGCTTGAATAGATCGGCCGTCCTTTTCTGAGCTTCGGTCCGACGGCATAGAATCTCAATTGCATGTAGCAACATGTAAGGCTATGAAGACCACAGTCGAGTTTTCGTACGGCATGTGTGAGAATTTTGCGTAGCGGTAGGATCTCGCTCAGGAGCCGATGGAATTGCTAGGCTCCGTTATAGATCTCAAGTGAGCCTTTGAAGTGTACGTAAGGTTAAGCCAAAAAAGTATTTGGCGAGAAACCTACTTCATGTTGAATCCTTTACTCTATCTCCGAGACCCAGTGATACCTAGTATAGTTCTAGACTTGACTCGACCCCTTAGGTACCTTGCAGATTGGGTACCAAGGGTCTTTCCATGGCATAGAGTAAAGTACCCCGCCGGACTGACCGGAAACTGTTTCCGAGTTTGATTTTACGTCTGAGTCTTTTCTTGTTCAATTCTCGCTTGAAAAGATGTAGGTGGGTAGAGATTATAGAGGGAAATGTTGCTGTCATTCCCTCAATTCTATTTGAAGCAAAAATGGGATGAGATTGCCTTAGAAAGGAGTATTGCAATTTTAGGAAGTTGGACGAGGAATTAAGATGTTGACAGGAAGCTGAGTCAAGCTATAAAAGATGAATCGTAGATACCTTGATATAAGGGAATGCAACAGGATAGGAAACGGTATTTCCAACCCATCTACGTCCAATCAGTCAGGGAAAACATCTATATGCTATTATCACCCAAATAAGACAGTACAGTAAAACTCCTTGACCCAACACCTCACTACCATATTAACAGTCAACAATCCGCTAAAAGCAAACTCAGCAAGATTCACAGTATCCAACTTGAACTCTAGCTCCAACAAACCAGACCATATCAATTTGCAGCTTCTCGATACCTTTATAACATATATACAAGAAAAACTTTCCAGTTTTACTAATTTCTTTAGATCAATGATTCACTAGTAAATTCTCTCATCTAATCTAGCTATCTATTTGCATTTTCTTTTCCATTCCCTCCTTCACCGCCACCTTCTCCTCTACCCTCCCCAATCCCATCCCAATCCCTTCGTCCTTACTCTCCCCCTCTCCCGCCACCTCATCTCCCAGCTCCTCCCCCTAACCCCCCTCTCCCTCACAACCAAACTCCCAACTATAAATAAGATCTTACTGGCCACCCAACCAAAGACCCTATTACGCATCTCCATTTTTATTTCCATCTACATCCTTTCACCTAACATTAACCCTCCTCCAAACACCACATTAACAATATCAACCCACCACTTCCATAATCCCACACACTATTTCCCATTCACATTCCCATTCTAATTCCAACATAACAATACAACCAAAGAGAATCAGGAGATCCATACTCTTTACTCTGCCACAACTACATGTATCTATATATCTCCTACCTATTTAATATCCAGATGTATCTTATTCATATATATACATCTAATCTTCCCCCTCACATCTCCCCCTCATATCTCACTTCTAAAATCTAAGATCTTACTGTCTATATAATATTTGTATATACAATATTTACCAGCTACACAAATAACAAAAATCCAACAAATAAATACCAAAAACTTCATCAAGAAAAACTATTAATAAACATTAAATACAAATATACATACATACTAATTAAAACTTTAAAAGATCTCTTAGAATCTTTAAAAAACTCAATCCAATTAAATTTTTATTTTTCAATTTTTTTTAATTATCTCCTCTTTTGTTTTCAGATAATAAAAATAATAAAAGTAATCTAAATATTTATTTAAATTTTCTATTTTTGTATTTATATACTCGTTATTCATTTTATTTATTTATTAGATCTCAAGTCTTATTTTCATAATTATTCAACTGTTTTACTTTTTAATTTCCTGTCTTAATTTTAATCCCCGGGTGTTTTTGTTTGAAAAGATTTGCTTTGTTATACGTTATATATATCATATTATAATGATTAATATGTGATACAAATCAATACAAATCAAATAAAACTCCACTTATCTCCCTCCCCTTCCCTCCCCTCTTCTCTCCCCCTTCCCGTAACATCCACCCTAGCCCGATCCCCAACTTCTTCCTTTCCCTACATCCTCATTCCATTATTCATCATCTCGCATTCACCAATCCCCTTTCTTAACCCTCTTCCCTCCTTTTAATCCTCTTCTCTCCTCTCAATCCTCTTCTTTACTACCAAGTTCCATCTCCCCATCCCATTCACCTATCCCACCCAACATCCAACATCCAACGCCCAAAAATAAAAATGAAAATCCTACCTTTATACACACATATACACCCATCTACCACCTACCACCTACAATATCAACTTAGATCCTTCACTTAATTTTTCATTAGTATGCAAGAAAGTAAGCAAGTAAGTAATTAGTGTATCCAAGGTATTTTAATCAACTAACTAACTGATCGACAATCTACCAACGGACTATGTATTGTGTTAAGGTTATGTATGGTTAAGGTTAAGGTTGAAGAAAAAGAGGGAAGTACCAGTATATAAATGATAACCGAGGAATTCCGTCCTCAAGTATGCGAATAGGTTATGATTTGCGAAATAAAGGACTTTTTTGATTTCCATCTAAGTTCATCGATATCGATATTCAAATGCATGCCAAGCAGTATCATGGCCCATTAACCAGTTGCGCCCATCTACCTTTCTCCCAATTATAAAGCACAAAATCACCCATTTAAAAACCATCAACCTTAATTCCTCTCTCCTTTTCCCCTCTTAATCTCTCTTGGTTATGTGTCACCCACCATGCATGCGTACCATCCTTCCCTATAAAATTACCCTCCTTATCCATCTCATCCCATGGTTTCGGCGCTAAAATATAATGAATATTCTTCACCTTATCATCTCTCCAAATTTGTGGATGGACACCATCCCATTTTAACGTTTTAAGCGCATTATAAATATAAGGAAGTGGGACCCAACGATCTTTGAATAAGTCGGAGAGGAGAGATTGATCTGCAAAATCCATATTGATTGCTGCGTCTGAGGCGAGATGATCGAGGATAGCATTGTAGACTCCTGAAGAGGGATTCACAACTTGGAGACCGCCGTTCATGAAACCGAGAGGTGAGGTATTGGGTGGTGGACCAGTGGTTTGTGCTACATCTGGGGTATCGTGTTGAGATGTGAATGCGCAATTTTCGGGGATCCTATGTTTCTATTAGTATATCGAATCTTTTATAGCAGGAATAATATTGAGGAAAAAAGGACATACCAATCAGCGGGATAATGTTTTTTCTTCAACGGATTACAAACACAAGCATGCCCCGCTGCAAAAACTCTATTTCCCTTTCCCGCCATCTCCGGCGCATCAAGATCCATCTCCATTAACTCATCCATATTTTGCAAAACCAACATATCGCTATCAAGTTGTACCACGCGTTCATATTCGATTAAACTGAATGGTGCGAGTTTGGACCAACAATCATAGAAACGGGGATCATTGGAATAATCTTTTCCACCGTTCTTGGGGAGGAGATATTCGATGCGCTGTTTAGGAATCCCGCGCGCTTCAAGAGCGGCGTGGCCTTCGGGGGGAAAGGCATCGGTGTAGAGGGCTACGAGAGGATATTTGGAATGGTGTTTTTTGAGCGAGTAGTCAAGAGTTAGGAGACCGGAGAGGTAGGCGGTGTTGGTTATGAGGGTTGTCCAGACTATCGAGAAGAGGTTGTTAGTGAATGTCAACATAAGAGATGAGATATGATCAGTTGAGTATAAGGCAATATTCTTGAGGTAGTGAACGATAAACATACCCTTTTTGGAGTCTGTAACTCGTTCGGAAGAAGTCATTTTCCTGAAATGTAAGTAACTTTGAAGATTTTGTTGCTGAGATGGATGGGGATCAGATGGTATATATTAAGTGTAATGAAGTGATCACAGTATTCAATACTGTGGCAATTACAAATCGATCGCAAAGCTCAAGAATTGGAAATGAGAGATATTAGTCAATACAGTACTAGGAAGGGGAAGCGTAAGGTTTAAACTGTTGCCTCCCAACCTTGTAGTTTGTTTGACAGCTTTTCGTGATGCTGAAAATTACCCCCACCCCACCTCCATCATTCCAGTATGCCCCTCCTTCCTAATTAATATATTCTTCTTTCTCTCCTTTCCCGTGCTGCTTTTGGCCCTTTTAGTCGGTCTGTGTTTGGTTCGTTCCTTCTTGGTATGTATCTGATTCTCCAAATAGAGTATTGCTTATCCAACCAATGAATACCTAGTATTTTATCAATTTTGATCGATAAGAGGAGCACTCTACTCTATAAAAAAGATCTCGCTAGATAAGTCTTCACATCCATGTCCATCACTTTACTCTCAGACGTTTCAACCCGTCATCCATTACGGAGCATTCAAACAGATCAGAAGAAATCTATTATTAATCCATGCTCTGATCCAAGACCCTTGCTGCACAACTGATCAAATCGAGGTACGCAAGCCATATCCTACGATTTCTATTTCTCGATCGCTGTTTTAATAAGCAAGCCCCATCGCGTCTTACTCATAACGTTATCTTTCTATCTGCTCGTCGTGGTTTGTGAAGTTGGAACAACGAGCAGATAAGACTTCATGTTTGCGACAGAGTCGCATACTCATGTTCGAATAGCCTATACAGGCACTCGAAATTATGGCTACGAATGAATCTGCCACAATGTCGCCGTTGCAGATAGGAGGAGTTAGTGGAGCTATAAACAGCGGAGAGAAAACGGTGGAAAAGAAGAGGGAAGCGAAGAATTATAGAGGATTCGTCGCGGGTGTGTTCTCTGGGGTCTCGAAACTTACTGGTATGGTAAATTGGGTTTGTTTTTGTTTGTGCTTTGCGAAGGTTTAGATTAGCGGATTTCGCATGGTTTGGTCCATGCGATTGCAATTGCGGTTGGCAATTGGAATCTATGTTTATGAGAAAGTCAAGAGTAAATGCTAATGGTTTACTTCGAACAGTTGGGCATCCATTCGATACCATAAAAGTCCGTCTCCAAACCTCTACCACATCCCAATTCAACGGACCACTACAATGTCTTCTTCTCACCCTTCGCAATGAAGGTTTCACTGGTCTCTACAAAGGCGCTACTCCCCCTTTAGTAGGCTGGATGTTTATGGACAGTATAATGCTGGGTTCCTTAACCTTTTACCGCAAATTCCTACATCAAACCCTCTTTTCCCCCTCCCGCATGGCCGCCACCCCATCCAGTCTCGCCCGTCCAGACCCCCTCCTGACAGATCCTTCAAAAATACACAAGCTACCCTCTTTAGGCCACGCCCTCGCCGGAGTCATGGCCGGCGCAACCGTCAGTTTCATCGCCGCTCCCGTTGAGCATCTAAAAGCACGCCTGCAAATCCAGTACTCGAGTAAGAAATCCGAGCGTCTCTATAGCGGTCCTATCGACTGCGCCCGTAAAATCTATCGATGCCATGGTATACCAGGTCTTTACCATGGACTTGGCGCTACCCTATTCTTTCGCTCTTTCTTCTTCTTCTGGTGGGGTTCCTACGATGTATTCACGCGTCTCCTCTCCGAACACACATCTCTTAGTACACCCGCCGTTAATTTCTGGGCTGGAGGTCTCTCAGCACAAGTTTTTTGGATGACGAGTTATCCCAGTGACGTGGTAAAACAGCGGATTATGACAGATCCATTAGCAGGCGGATTAGGAGATGGGGTTAGAAGGTTCCCAAATTGGAAAAGTGCTGCTACGGCGGTTTATAGGGAGAATGGATGGAAGGGATATTGGAGGGGATTTTTACCATGTTTTTTGAGAGCGTTTCCGGCGAATGCTGTTGCGCTTGTGGCATTTGAGGGTGTTATGAGGTCGTTGCCTTAATGTGCATGTGCGGTGACGAGGATTATGGCGAGGGAAATTTAAGGAAATGTAAGATATTGTACAGTCAGGAATGCATGGTATGCATGGCGTCAAGGACACCTGTGTTTGCTTACATATGGGAGTAAGATGGAACGATCCAGCGAAGGAGGGCGACAACCTCCATAACGAACAGCATGAAAGATATATTGGACTGAATAGAGTAAGGGGTAAGAGTGTCTAATCTAAATCTCCTCTTACATAAGATAGAGATATGACATGTACTAGTAAATAGATGAATAAGTGGATATAAACATACCACTTGATACACTAAGAAATATAAGTAAAAAAACTCCACTCAATTCATCTTAGCTTACCCAAAGATAAGACACAAATTGACCACACTGTTATACTGTTACTGCATCCGAGAAACTGATTCTGTTGTAGATACAGAATAGTAAAGGATATACTTATGGTATATCTTACTTGCCCCTAGACTTTAAGCGAGTGGAGGTTTACCGGCAGATAAGAAGGGAAAAAGTAAAAGAGTAACTTTAGCTGGGGAATAACTTTGTTTTCGGAAAGATTTTGTGTCTATCATCTGTCCTGGGGGCCGTAAGTGTAGGTAGGTAGTGTTGATTTGGGAGTATGTATGGGACATTTATGTATTATAGTTAAGAATTTATAGATTGGTTAGTTAATATATATATATATATATATATATACCTGGAAGGTGAAATATCCTCCCTCTCACGATTTAAAGTAACAAAAAAACAATGAAATACTTGACTCCTTTTGATCATATTCATTACTGTTTGATGGAGCTAACGTTGTCCATCTGACGTTCGACTTTAATCTGTGATTTTATCAGAGGAAAGTCTAGTCTGGACTAATTGGCATAATAGCATCTTGTTGATTTTTGATCGGTCAGGGGGAATGAGGGAGTGGAATTTGGTGGTATATGCTTACAATTAGGTAAGGATACTTCGTCGTTAGTATCGGAAACTATTCTATACAAGTACGTACACAATACACTGTAATGTTATAATTTAGAAAAATTTCGAAAGAATGTGTGTAAGTCTTTGGGTGGGAATATGACGAATTTTAGTGAAATTCATTATATATGTGTTGTTATCTTAAGATCTTAAGTAATATTTTGAGGTAGTAAGAATATTTTTCTTAACTATAGAAATACAACAGAGCTCGAGAAAATAAAAGAATTAAATAAAGAATAAAAAGAATTAGCGCTAACTTTAAATTATAAAACGAGAATATTATATACACACTAGTTGTCTCGTTTCACAAACCCCCTTTATAGATTTTACATTTTACATTTTACATTTTAAACAACAAGATAATCCATCTCCCCAATATTCAGTCTAATAGTAACACAGTCCGAAGTCCCGCATGCTCATGATCTCTTCTAGTCATTGATCATCGACTAAGAACTACAACCAGCTAAAACTAATCGAACCAAAAATCTACAAGTACTTGAGCATTTCAACGAATTTTTTAAAGGGCAGTAATTGAATCCCACATTTGCATGACTCGAGTATAAGGGAGATGGGATAGCTCAAGTGCGCGGTGGAAAAGGTCACCGAGAACTATCACGGCTGATGCTAAACGTATCTGAACAGAGGATTGAGCTTCATTTCAGTAGAAGGGTAAGTATAGATGAATGTGGAAGATGAATGAGATGTGATGTACTCGATCGAATACATAAAGTTTCAAAAGAAGATTAAAAGCTGGGTATCAAGACTTTTTTATTCCTATTCAATTTCTCTGCCCAGCCGAAGACAAAACGCCAGGCATGCCATGTGATACAACGTTATCTATATGCATAGGGCATTTCCCTGCATTGCATCACCCAAATACTAACCACAGGACCTATTGTGTTCTTGTTCATATTAGATTCCCAACCATACTCCTCGCCAGCCGTAAAATTCCCAATGCACAATTCTCACATGCCATTCATACATCTTCATTTCCGTCTCACAAGATATCATCGGACTCCTGCAACCAAGCTTTCGCCAAATCCTTCGCCAACCCCAGCCTCAACACCCTCAAAATATCTTCTGCCGTTATACCCGCCGTAATCCCATTTCTCCAATCCCAACCCCTCTTAATATCCCCCTTGTTCAATAATCCAGTCGCTGAAACCGATTTGTGGAATTGTGACGCTATCATTGAACTACCTACCATAGCGAAACTTCCACTCGTACCTGAACTCGATTTGCTTAGTAAATCCATGGGATTAGAACCTTTAAGACCCGAGCCGCTCTTGATGACTGTTTCGAGAAAAGCGTTGCATACGGAGTAGATGCGAGGACCGATTCCTTGGATATCTTCGATTGTGCGGAGGAGAATGTCAATTTGGGAGGTACTGAGAAGGGAGTCGGGTTGATTAACGAAAGGCATGGCTTCGCCTAAGAGTGCTAAAATGTAATGAACGGGGATAACGGCTTTGCGATCTTCATCGTAGATGCCACCACGAATGTTATCGTCGGAACTGATTATGAGTGCTAGTAAAGCATTGGCTGCTTCTGACCTTCTGGCGATTATGCCCATTGGTGGCTTAGAACTTGGTGATGATGTGACTTCTTGATCTCTAAGGCTGTAAAATCTTCGGAGTGTTGCGTAGCCACTCAAAGAAGTATGAACAAGCTCTGCCGCTTCAAGATCCATGCTAGACATTTCATTTAAAGCGTCTTTTGGAGAGGAAATTAGACGCTGTAAGTGGTCATCGAGCTCAGACTCTGAAGGATAAGCTGTTGAGTAGACTAGACATAATTGAATGAGGGTATCAAGGACGTCCTTGACCTTATCAGAATTATGAGCTAAAGCATAATACCACAAGGCTTCACCAGGCGAAATATTGTCTCGGGCAAGCGAATCGGCATATGACTATATGTTGTTAGCAAATGATGTACAGGCATTGAGAGACCATAAAAATATACCATTGCAATCGCCTCGGCTTGAGACCTCATGTCAAGATCACTGAGCAATCGCCAAAGTTTATCGACAATCCCAGCACTATCGAGCTTGACTGTTTTCATGATCTCCCCAACCATCTCCTCCGATCTTTTTTCTGAGTCAAGCCTACCCAATACAGCGATCGCTAGTTCCCAGCCTTCCTTGGTTACCTCTGTGTTTCCAATCACGGCAGATAACTCTGGCATCTCTTGTAATGACCTTGCATATGTAATCAATGTAAGATCTTTGACCCCATCCTGTAATGCTGGTCTGTCAAAACTAAGAAGATCAAGATCTCCTTGGTCAAGTTCGCCGTTTGTGAGTAGTTCTTGTGGTTCAGTGCGAGGAAGCCACCCAGCCAATGATGCAACCTCAGCTAAAGCTGAAGATACAGGTCCAGACCAAGCACGCAAGATACAGATGAGGGACTCAGTGTCGCCTTGAAATAGGCAAGCTAACCCCACCTCAACCATATCATTGCTATTGATGTGAAAGTCAGCATTGCTAGCAACGACAATTTCAAAGGCGCGTCGAAGTTTGCGAAGATCATTTTCAGGACCGTAATTGATGGCAGAAGCGCGAAAGCTACTAATCGACCGCCCAGGAGCTAACCGCTTGTCATCCTTCTCCTCATCGTTCCATACAAATAAACCGATAGTTGCTTCACACCAATCCTGGGAGTTTTCAATAATAGGAATAGTCTCCCCCATAACCAAACTGTAAAGCGTAAGAAGATTCTGGTAGACATTCCAAGGTACCCTACTTGCAGCTCTCTTTGCAAGGGTACTATAATCTCCACCTTGACTACCTCTCATGGAAGACTTGCCAAATCGTCCCGATGCAGGGTGAGAGCTCCCTTCTGCGAATTGTTTTAAATCCTCCGTGGCCTGTGATATCCTAAGTCGAAATACTTTCCAATCACTCCCATGAATATTCCAGTCTCCCTGTATTGCAGGGCATAAAGACAAAACATTAACCGCATCCTCCACTACCTTTTCAACGTTAGCCAAGGCTATCCCAGTAAAGCCTCCTGCTCCTCCTTGAGCATTAATATCATCTGCATCTGACCATGCGAACATCCAAGAGCTATTTTTGAGGCAAATGATAGCATCTGTAAGTCTCCCACGGAGGACGTTGTTAAGTACTGTTGTCCAGAATAAGCGATGCGAAGCAGGGCCCGGTCTGGTGGATTGAACCTCCAGAAGTTGACCCGGAAATGGATTATGATTTACGTCTAGCCAATCCAGCATAATGTTGGGAAGAGGTTTGACCACAGTTCCAAGCCCTTTTTCCACCGGTTTAGAGTGATGAATTTGCAATGCAAGATGAGCCAGGTAATTAGCTTTCGTAAAATCTGATGCTGCTGGACCTGGGCCAATGAATAAAGCGTGCTCTTTTTTATTGTAAACTGCGCCTCGTTCGTTGTACTCCTGCCACAGCGCCGTTAACTCGCTAGGTATAACGGCCAGAGCACGTTGGAGTTTTTCCTCATTATCAGCCTTCCCCACACCCTGTTCGTAGAGCTTTGTAATTATCGCCTCCGTCTTTAATATTAAATCGTCTTCTTCGTCCACAGCTGGAATTCCCTGGCTTTGAGATAAGGTTTTCGCAATACTAGCAAAATCCGAAGCTGGTACCTTTTTTGCTTGTGATTGCGCCAAAGAAACTTGGAAATCCACCAGTTCGTTCCCCTTGCTCTGGCGCGTTTGTCCGCCAGATGTGCTGGTAAATCGAACTGAATTGCTGTGCTGATTAAATATATTGCTGTCCATTGCCTTTGTTCCTCGATAATCGTTCACGTCGTCGTCCTCGTAGCTGCCATCTTCGCTTCCCATATCTTGGTCATCATTGTATGAATCCGCGTAGCGATTACGAGTTTTTGTATCAAATCCAGTATTTTCATCATCTTCCTCATCATCTTCCTCATCATCTTCCTCCTCACTTCTCGATGGCGACCGTAAATTCCTTTGCGACTTTTCAGATTTGCTTCCAAACACCACTCTCTGCTGTCTTGCTGCTGGCCGCGTGAAGAGAGGAGAGGAAAATTGTGGACTTTGAAGCTCAGAATGACCGAAGTCTGATTGAGAGTGGCCGAAGTCTGATTGCTGTGAATATTCCGAGTATCCAAAAGCAGACTTGTTGGGTGTTGGGCTTCCCATCGTGCTTCCAAGAAATGATGATGGTGCTGGACCAGCAGGAGTATAAGAGCCAGCTGATGAAGCGGGAGCTCCAGCTGGCGTAGTCGATGGATTGTTTGAAGTTCCAAAACTGTATCTACTACTGGTGCTTCTATTTGGTGTTGATGGAGGGCTTGAGGAATACTCAAAACCAGGCATGTTGCGCTCGACCGTACGTTCCCCGACAATGGCAAAATATTATGATTATTATGCGAACCTGATTGTTCAAAGGTGAAAGCTTAAGTTAATATAAATTTGAGCTTTATTGTTGTCCTAATGAAGTTTTCCGTATACGGGTGATATTTATTCATAAAAAGTTCACATACAGACCCCTGTCCAACCATTTTCAAAGAGCCACCGCGATAACTAGCGCGAAACCTTATTTCACGCGTCGACAATAAGACAAGTTATCGAACATCGATAAGATGTGGATATTTCAAAAATCTATCTAAAATTTGTATGATATTGCGCATCGTTACCATATTGTGCATTTGATGCAGCAGCAATGCCAAGGTAACCAATCGTTTTCCGTTTTACACATTATGGCCTCTGATATGGTTTTGTTCACAGAGAAATAATCACGGTCCAGGCCGGCCAATGCGGTAACAGCAGTCAGTAACCCCTCATTTTGCTATACGAAACGGAAAGTATTCTAATAGAGATGCTCGACAGTTGGTAGTGAATTCTGGCAGCAGCTCTGTCAGGAACACGGCATAAGTCAAGATGGTAATCTCGAGGAATTTGCTACGGAGGGAGGGGATAGAAAGGACGTCTTTTTCTACCAGTCAGACGACACACGATATATCCCTCGTGCAATCTTGATCGATCTAGAGCCTCGCGTACGTGCTTCTTAGGCTTCCAGGCTATATTCTTCGATTTCGGAGTATTAATACGTGGTTGTCTAGGTCCTCAATGGCATTCAAACAGGTCCATACAGAAATATTTACAATCCGGAGAACTTTTTTGTTGGGAAAAATGGTTCGGGTGCTGCAAACAATTGGGGAGATGGATATCAAACAGGCGAATCTGTACATGAAGAAATCATGGAAATGCTTGATCGAGAGGCTGATGGTAGTGACTCGCTCGAGGTGCGTACGAAGCCGATATACAAACAACGAAGCTAATATGAGTAGGGCTTCATGATGTTGCACTCTATAGCAGGTGGTACTGGCTCTGGATTGGGATCTTTTCTACTCGAACGACTGAACGACCGCTTTCCCAAGAAGATTATTCAAACATATTCCGTGTTTCCAGACACTACCAATTCTGGAGATGTTGTTGTACATCCATATAATAGTTTACTCTCCATGCGAAGATTAACACAGAACGCCGATTCAGTCGTGGTGCTCGATAATGGTGCACTATCAAGAATAGCTGCAGATAGGTTACATGTTCAAGAGCCATCATTTCAACAAACTAATCAGTTGGTCAGTATTTCCCTTTTTCCGAGCGAGGTGTGCTTTACTAAAATATACAGGTCTCTACGGTTATGTCAGCTAGTACCACTACACTTAGATACCCAGGATACATGCACAATGATCTTGTTAGCATAGTCGCCTCCCTCATCCCAACTCCTCGTTGCCATTTCTTGATGACAGCCTATACACCATTTACGGGGAACAATGTTGAGCAGGCAAAGACTGTGCGAAAAACTACAGTTCTAGATGTCATGCGAAGACTTCTACAGCCCAAAAACCGCATGGTTTCGACGATACCTGGTAAAAAGAGTTGTTACATATCAATTTTGAATGTCATTCAGGGAGATGTCGACCCAACGGATGTTCATAAAAGTCTCCTTCGAATTCGTGAGCGACGACTTGCGACATTTATTCCTTGGGGCCCAGCTAGTATTCAAGTCGCATTAACAAAGAAGAGTCCATATATACCCATGAATCACAGAGTCAGTGGACTTATGCTGGCGAACCACACAAGTATAGCTACAGTAAGTTCCGAGAAGCTGTTGATGTGCCCCAAATCACTAATAGGTCATAGCTATTTAAACGTATCGTAAGACAATACGATGGGATGCGCAAGCGCAATGCCTTCATGGAAGGTTATAAGAAGACTGCACCATTTGCTGACAATCTTAACGAATTTGATGAGGCAAGAGAAGTAGTAACAGATCTTATTTCAGAATATGAAGCTGCAGAAGACGCAGATTATCTCAGTCCTGACACTGGAAATACTGCTCCCACCGGAGAGACAAGTGACAGAAGACTTCCTTAATTGTCTGTAGATTTACAGCGGATGGAGAGCATTAGTAGGAGTCGAGGGTCACGATTTAGGGCGGCAAGGAGAGATGCGTCTAGGGAGTCATTCGAATGTCCCAGTGGCGCATAGACATTGATGATTGAGGACATTGCAATTGGCGTTTTACAAGGATGATTAATGATACCAATTATGAAGAAGTTTCCATTTTTTCTCTCGTTTTACCTTCTTCCACTTTTTCAATCGGATTTTTCATCTGAGATCGAATGTTGCTGAATTGTGTTGTTTTTTTCGATTTGATCCCGGCGGTAATTTAGTCATGTCAGCGGGAACGTTACCCCACCATGAAAGGTGCTTGCATGATCGACATCATAATTACATCACAATCCCTAAAGCCCCTCAATTTTCTCAATTGTCTGATGTTTCCGGAGCAAAACATCCATTTCTAACAAGGAGTAATTGGATTATGCCTTGATACAGTACCTGAGTAAGGTGGAGCCTTATTTTGTCATAGAACATGGCTTCGAAAGTTCGAAGTTCTTTTAAGCCTCCTTTTTTACCCTATTTCCCATCCTTCTCTCCTCATACCACAGACAAACATCACATAAAGTACCAATCACAACATAAGAATTCGCAACAAAGTACCTTCATAAATAACTGTTCTATCTCAAAACCACAAAGTACGCTCTTCCCGAAGATCCAATTTATTCTCATCTAACAATTCTCAGAAATACACATCTACCCGCACAAATCAAAATGCCAGAACAATCCAAAGCCGACCTCATCTCCGAGCGTCAATCCAACCTTCCTCTCCCTGAACAACCACCTGTGGCAAGCGACTGGCAATCCGCCGATGCTACCAAAGTCAACATTGGATCAGGCAGAGACGTCACTAGCCAGACCTCGACTGGCAATGCTTCCGAAGCTGGACTAGAGGGTGCTGCTACTAGGGGAAGTGGTGTCAGAGAAGCGGGTGGTGTAGATTTGACCAACATTGGACGCGAAGGTGTTGAGAAGAAGAATTAAGGAAATGCTGGGGAATGATTGAGTGAACACCTAGGATAGATGGTGGGTGTACTATTTTATGGGAATGATTGATGATGGATTATGATTCAAAATAGCATGGATGGATTAGATAGCATTTTGTTTTATTATACGCATCAGCCTAGGATTTGGGAATGATATTGCTTCTGAGAAGCTTTCAAAACTCAAAATTTGTCCCCAAGTTCCATTTCTTGTGATGCTTATTTCGATAATTTTGATATTTAATATTACTCCGAGAATTGCTTTCCTTTTAAAAGCGAACCCCTCTATCTGTTAGGAGGATAAGGCTTTCAATGACTGCTCACATCTCAACTTCAAACATGTTAATCTTAATCTCATGAAATCCCATTGCAAGAAATTGCAATAGATATCAATCCTCGATGCTGAACGGAACATTGCGAGTTCTCACAATCACACATGAATAACCCTCATTTATCCTAGATAGGTCTTGGAAACCAGCAGTCAGAGGATGGCTCCCAATAAATACAATTACAACCTATTTTTTCATATCCGTAGATGCAACTTCTACCTTATGTCGCCTTTCGAGCCCTCACAGAACAGAAGCCGCAGCCAAATGCGAATACGGTAGACTGCTTGGCTTGTAACGAACACCATGAGTAAGCGGGTCCAAAAGCTCGATGATTCCCAGAATCCAGGGAACAATTTCCGTGCATGGCAACCGCGATATAATTGGCTGCAGTTTTAACACATATTCTTGATATTCACATGCATCGACCGATCAATTTCATTTAGTTCCATTCATCTCGATGAGTACCTTTACAAGATATGCAAATAATTCTGAATTGATACGGTACACGCCCATCCGCTTATGCGCTGACGTTGTCCAAAATATGCAGTAGTGCCATCACTAAGTGTTGATTGAGGCATGCCTCATGCCAGGTTTATGTACCTAGTGAATAATGCAACTCTTTGACTTTAAGAGTGATGTCATACTAAACACCAGCTGTATATTTTAGTATAGAACAAAGGATGTTGAAGGACAAACTGATGTTAACTAAACAACTTGCCTGTTATACTTGTGTATTACAATCGCTCGAAGCCTCAAATACCAGAATTTTATAATATCAATTCGCGATCAAAATGTCGAGTATTGGTAAAAAGGTAAATGAGCTCTTTAACATTTCAAAAACTTAACATAATACCCTCTAGAGTCCACCTTAGTTCAACATGATGGAAACTGCATCGTAAATCTTTGCCTCGAACTACTACATCTATGTCATGATTGCTCATATATTTCACAACAGGTCAACGACCCACACTCTATCATCAAGGAACCAGCAGGTGCAGTAGCATCGGACTCTCTCGCGGCAGAGTCTACCAGATCTGGCGGAGGCTTCGCCGAAAATCGTCATGGCGAACCGTTAGGTGTCAAGGGCTCAAATTCCACGTTCGCAAATACCAACACATCAGGAGCCAAATCTCTTGATCCTGCTCCAGATGCTGAAGCACGAATGGCGGAGGAAGATTGGCAGGAAGAGAAGAAGCTTGCAGCATCTGGATCATCTGTATCATATCAGAAAGATGCTGGTGACCCTAATGTGCAGAAGGATACAAGCAACGCGGAAACAGCACCGACTTATGTTCTCAACCAATACCAGTCTGGCGGCAAACCAAAAGGAAAGAATTTGACAGAGAATGATTTTGAGAGTAACGATGCGAAGAATGCTAGTTTTGATACGGATATTGGAGGAAAGAATGACCCCAGTCGTGTTGCGGAACAGAAGATACAGAGGGAAAATGCTCAATCGGCATACGATAGTGGCTATCCTAGAGATAAGGGAGAGCCAGGAGGAACTCCATATGATGTTTTGAGTGGTGATACTGCTGCTTGAGAAATTGTCCTTAGGTTTTTTTTTTTACAACAGTTCAAGGAAAAGGTTGAGGATAATTAATGGACATCTATGATTGATTCTACATCTCATGGTGATTTTGATATGTCCATGTATAATCACGTGATGATACAGCATGAAGGAAGTTTTGTTCATACATAATCATCTCCTCTTCTGCTCAAAACAATAAAATAATATGAGAAGGAGCACTTGTCTCACTGAATGATAGGTGAATATTTCAATAAAACAAATTGATTGTCCATCACTGAATGAATGTATAATTATCAAAAGTCCTTGCTCGGACTTGCCCTACAACCAAAAATGCCTGAAATTTAAGGATATGAGCATAAGGACAAAACTAATTCCCTTCAACAATTTCGGTTGCAGAACCACGAACTTCTTATTCTTTTTATTGATTAGATCAAAATCCTTAAGTTACCAAATTGTCTTGTTGTGTTCGAAAGAATCATAAATTTTACAATAGTTCTAGGTCAGAGTCTATTGTTTGGGAAGCCGCGCTAGTACCACCTCGCTTAGGAAAACCTCCCACCACAATTTCTCAAATATTTCCAAAGCGCACTGTTACCGTTGTCATTTCGCCCATCCTTCAATTCTCCGTTCACCAGATCAATACTCCAATATGGCGGAACAACTTATCCTCAAGGGCACCCTCGAGGGCCACAGCGGCTGGGTCACTTCTCTTGCGACTTCCCTCGAGAACCCAAACATGCTCTTGTCTGGTTCTCGCGACAAGTCTCTCATCATCTGGAACTTGACCCGGGACGAGACTTCATATGGTTACCCAAAGAGATCTCTCCACGGTCACTCTCACATTGTTTCTGACTGTGTACGTTTACCCGCTCAAAATTGGTGGCTCTTGGAAAATGAGCGCAATCTGCAAATTGCAATTGAAAGCTGAGACTTTGATTTCTAGGTGATCTCCTCCGACGGTGCTTACGCTCTTTCCGCATCTTGGGACAAGACTCTCCGTCTTTGGGAGCTTGCCACTGGAACAACCACCCGCCGATTTGTTGGACACAACAACGACGTCCTCTCCGTTTCTTTCTCTGCCGATAACAGACAAATTGTCTCCGGATCCCGCGACCGTACAATTAAGTTGTGGAACACCCTCGGTGACTGCAAGTTCACCATCACTGAGAAGGGACACGCCGATTGGGTTTCTTGCGTTAGATTCAGCCCTAACCCACAAAACCCAGTCATTGTCTCCTCTGGATGGGACAAGCTCGTCAAGGTAAGCATGAATGTTCTTTATGGTACACAAAAATGGAGTTGTGCGAGATTTATATGATGTTTTGCAACTTAAAAGTATTTGCTACTTCAGAGCTTGGGAGACCAAGCCATGAGACAACTAACACCATTGCCCTGAAATTATCTTCGCATAACTCATTTGGTACCAGATTTTACTTGCCTGGAATTAATGCTAATTTTGTTTCTTTAGGTTTGGGAGCTTAGCTCTTGCAGATTGCAAACCGACCACATCGGACACACCGGTTACATTAACACCGTCACCATCTCCCCAGACGGATCCCTCTGCGCTTCCGGTGGAAAGGATGGAACCACCATGTTGTGGGACTTGAACGAGTCTAAGCACCTTTACTCTTTGAACGCTGGCGATGAGATCCACGCCCTCGTTTTCTCCCCTAACAGATACTGGCTTTGCGCTGCCACCTCCAGCAGCATCATCATCTTCGATTTGGAGAAGAAGAGCAAGGTTGACGAGTTGAAGCCAGAGTTCCAAGCTGTTGGCAAGAAGAGCAGAGAGCCAGAGTGTGTCAGTTTGGCATGGAGCGCGGATGGACAAACTTTGTTCGCAGGTTACACAGATAACATCATCCGAGCTTGGGGTGTTATGTCGAGAGCGTAAAGGGGTGGTGTAAAGGGGCGTGTGTCATTCATCTTGAGGTTTTATGGCTTTTCCGGGGTTTGTGGCTCCTTGTCATTTGACAGGATGTACTTCAAAAACATGGCATAGCAAAAGGCTCATGGACATGAGAAATGCAAACAACGTAAAAAGTAATACCATGCATCATGATTATCTTGCTGTGAGTGTGAAATACTATGTCTGTTAAGAAATGGATTTGTATGATGTGATGTGCCTAACCTAAGAGGGGGACGATAAGGATAAAGTTAGCGCCACTTTTGCTTGCATGGGTTTCCATATGCGCGTCACCCAAAACTTTCAACGCGTTTGTTAAGATAAAGTTGTGTGATGATCATGAACCAATTTCATTACTCAACAACTACCAATTGCTCAGCATGGTTGCTTGCCCCATCTGCGAAAAACAGGTGAAGGCCAAAGACATTAACAGTCACATTGATTCAGGATGTGAAGACTTTATCGATACTGTTTCTCCGCCGCTCACTCAGCAAAATGGGAACATTTCACAGAAACCAGTTTCCACACAGAAGCCTTCCGTCTCCAACTTTTTCTCAACTCCTGCGGCTAAGAAGGCAGCATCGTATCCTACTCCAAAGATAGCACCCAGTCCTACGCCTATTTTTCAACAAAATGTGCAGGATGGAAGCACATCTGGAAATCAGGCAATGAAGCGGCAGATTGAGGGTCATGCGAGTGAGTCCCTCACGGTTCAAAGGAAGAGGTCGTTCGATGGTGTTGGGGCACCGGGCCCAGAGTTCGACAAGGATAACGATAATAGAGATCCACCAGCGAAGAAGACCAAGTCCAATGCCTTTCAGAAAGCCGCTCCGTTGGCAGAACGAATGCGCCCACGAAATCTAGACGAAGTATGTGGTCAGGAGTTGGTTGGACCTCAAGGGGTTCTGCGAAGTCTTATCGAGCAGGATCGAGTGCCGTCGATGATACTATGGGGAGGGGCTGGCACGGGGAAAACTACAATTGCACGTTGTGTAGCTGCGATGGTCGGGAGTCGGTTTGTCGAAATCAATAGTACTTCTTCGGGTGTAGGAGAGGTGAAGAAGATATTTGCTGAGGCAAGAGGGGAACTGGGCCTGACTGGGAGGAAGACGATAATCTTCTGTGATGAGATACATCGATTTTCGAAGAGTCAGCAGGATGTGTTTCTGGGGCCTGTTGAGAGTGGGCAGATTACCTTGATAGGAGCTACAACTGAGAATCCTTCTTTTAAAGTACAGAATGCTTTACTGTCTAGGTGCCGGACATTCACGTTATCAAAGTTGACGGATGATGATATACTGGAGATATTGGAGAGGGCGTTGAGGACTGAAGGGCCCAATTACACTCCTACAGATCTTGTGGATACAGAGCTCTTGAAATATCTATCTGCTTTCTCTGATGGTGATGCACGGACAGCCTTGAATCTTCTAGAGCTAGCCATGGGTCTATCCACAAGGCCTAATATCACAAAGGAAGACATCAAAGCCTCTCTCACAAAAACGCTAGTATATGACAGAGCCGGAGATCAACACTACGACACTATATCTGCTTTCCACAAGTCAGTAAGAGGCAGTGATCCAGATGCTGCTCTATACTATCTGGCAAGAATGCTTCAATCTGGAGAAGACCCTCTCTACATAGCTCGGCGAATGATAGTCATGGCATCTGAAGATATAGGACTAGCCGATAACACCATGCTAACCCTCGCAACTAGCACATACACCGCATGCGAGAAAATTGGCATGCCAGAATGTCGGATCGCAATGGCTCATGCTACTGTAGCGCTATGTCTAGCACCAAAAAGTACAAGAGCATATAGGGGGTTAAATAATGCATTTTCTGCACTCAAGGAACCGGGGATAGCTAGTCTAGCTATTCCTATCCATTTGAGAAACGCACCTACGAAGTTGATGAAGGAGATGGGATATGGGGATCAGTATAAGTATAACCCTAATTATAAGGAGGGAAGAGTAGTTCAGGAATACTTGCCGGAAGAATTGAGAGGTAGGAAGTTTTTGGAGGATAGAGATTTGGGAACAGAAGTTGATCCAGGTGCTTGGCCTTGAGATTTGAATAGACTTGCTGCGTAGGATATATCGGGTGCATTGCGATGGTGTTGGAGTCTATGATTGGCGTTACAACAGGTGCATATGGCCATAGGAATCATAAAAAGTATATCTCTTTGGTAGGGTGTATGTAAAGTTGCGCATGAGCAACAATTTATGTAAGTTTTACACATACAAGAAAATACCTCTCGCTCATGCAAAAGTCCATCCACCACGAATTCATTGGCCCCTGAAAATGTGACCCGGTTAATTCAAACCCCAGAACTCCTCGCTGAATATGCATGCATCCTTCCATCCCTCCATTCCGAACCCAGGTTATTATTCGTAGACTTTATCATAAGCGATTCTCTATGGCTCCAATTGTATTAAATCCTCATCCATAGGCGAAGGTGGAGGCGGAGGTTGAGGTTGGATTTTCCTCTTCGCCGGTGCTCCCGTTCTAAAGTACTGCTTTTCCGCATTAACCACCATACTGCGCTCATCCAGCGCCAGATCCCTCATCTTTTCTTTTCCATTCCCGCTCCCGCTTGCAGTATGTGTATTACCCTTTTCGCCGGCCAAACTTAACATGGCGCGCTCCCATAATTCATGTCTTTCCTTGCTCTTTGGATCTCTACCCGCCATCCGCTTCATATCCCTATCTTTGCTCACCTTTCCAACCTTCACCAAACGTCTCAGAGCCTCCTCCCCCATCCTCGCATTCTTTGCAGCTTCTTCGCGGATCTTTCGCGGATCCGTTACGCGTTCGCTTTCCTTGGGCGTCCATTTAAATGTATGTTTGCTTGGAAACGCAGGGAACCCTTTCGGGATATATGATTTCTGTGCCTTTTCCACCTCACCATTAAGTTCCTTCCCCAATATCCTTATAATATTTTTCGTCGTCTTGTCTTCCTCCGGCGCCGGTTCGACCTCTAGCTTGAGTTTCGGTACGGAAATCGGAGGTCGCAAATGTGGTTCTAGTGATGCGAGTGGTAATTGATATCGATTAAACGCGTATGCTATGTCGTGTGGTATCGGTGCACTTCTTCTAGCATTCAGCATCGAATTTGTAACTTGCGAGAGTAAATGCGTAGTATCTTGTAGACTTGTCAACACAGGGCCCATTGCCCAAAAATGAGGATATACAAACAAGTGTCGACCTGCATACACATCGCCTCCAGCGCTTCCTCCGTCGCTCTATCATATCCGACATGTGCTAGTGTCTGGCATATAGTTTTGCGCAGCAGCGTCCGCACGTCGCTGTCGAAGAGTGAAGATTCCATTTTATCAGTATGCGTCAGCTCGAGCTCCGGAGGAGGTGTTTGTGGGAGAACGGGCGAAATGCGTTGCCGTTTGCGGTGGGGTTCGTCCATATCGTCGTCGTCGCTGGAATTGGGTGTCGATCTCTTTCGTGACACTGGGACCATGATCGCAAGTATTTCCTGGGGTTTTTTTCACTTTGACCGCAAACTTGTAAATATATAGTTCGTGGAATTCCCTGTGCAAAGAAGGATTCGTAGCCGTAGCGTATGCTGATTGAATGAGCTATCGAGCCAATTCAAATGGTAAATTGGTGCTTGTGAATATTAAAGGTTCAGAGCGGTTCATCACGTGTGAAGTTTGAGTTGGCGTGTTGAAAGTAGCGTTTGTGCCTCAGGTATCGACGCGCTAAAATTGGAGGTTCCGGCTATCGTGGGATGCATCATGCGATTTTGAACTGCAACTTTGAGTGCAAATAAGAGATTCAGAAGCAGATTTCTCACCTCAGAACAAATATACGCAATGGCGATTAAACCAATTACTGGAGTAAGTATTTTCTCCCGACGGGAAGAAGTGGGAAGCTGAGGTTGGAGGGAGAAGTTGGAGAAGTTGAAATTGAATCGAATTAGATGAGATGGGATAAGATTGGAAATTAAGCTGACTTTATGCTGTAGATGCTCCGAAGAGGGCTTGTCCTTGACCTTAGCGTAGCTTTCGGTACGTGGTGAAGAAATGCCTGGGGGGAAGTGCTGAAGGGGAAGGGTGAATGGAGAGAGAAGCAGAAAGATGGGGTAGAAATGAAGTAAAGCAGGCAACTAACATAATCCACCAGGTATCGGAACGACTTTCGGATACGCTTTCTGGTAAGGCTTCATTTCTTCTCGGCAGGACTGAAGGTACACAGTATTAACAAAAACAATAGGTACGGATACCACGTTCCAGCTGTTCGCAAGCGCGATGCGTTCTACTCAAAGTTGGAGGATCAGAGAGCTGCCAATGCTGCTGCGTAGAGAAATGGGGTTTGATAAATGGATGGTATAGATTGGACGAGTTGTTTTGTTCTGGTGGATGCTTGATTGGGGGAGAAAAGGGAAAGGCATGTGAAGGAGGGCCATTGCATGCTGCGCGGTTGAAGTGGGTTGGCAAGCTGTACATTACCAATATTGATGTGCTTTGGCAATGCGTGCATTTGTCCTCTGGAAAGCTGTACACAGTGCTTTTGAGGATTTGTCTGTGCAAATGAATGAGGGGTGACTTTGGGGACTTTATGAACGACATAAGGGAATTACCCCTATTCTATGAAAGAATTCCCTGTACCAACGGGGGTTGTCAAACATTTTAAAGGAGGGCATATTGTATTAGCTTGACCAGCCTGTTTATAGTCGCATTGAGCTGACTGGCAGGGGAACATTGAGATCAGAAAGCTTCATATGATGTATGTTCTGAAAACAGAATGCTTTACAGTAAAGTTTCATTTCTCAGATCAACTTCATATGAGCGCTGATTTATATTCCGAGCCATTCTATTCTATGCCATTCTAGACGCATAACTTAAATCACATAGCAAGCTCGCTCAACCATGTCAGATTATTCTTCATGCTCGATATGATAAAATCCATGTCATCCATCAATCCCATCTCTTCATTCCCATTCCCCATTCCCCATCTTCCATTATCTTCCACCTCCCACCATCCCTCCTCCATCCCTTCTCCTCTCCTCCTCCTCCTCCATCTCCTCATCCACCTCCTCCTCCTCTCCCCCTCAACCACCCCTCCACCCCTCCACCCCATCACCACCTCCGGCCTCCCCATCCCCTTCACATTCAACCCATTCCCTCCCGCATCCCTCCCATCAAACCCAAATAAAATCGTCCCTCCAAATTCCCTCCCATAACTATTATGCTCTCCATACAACATATACTTCTCGATCCCTCTTAAAGTGCATTCGAGATTCTCCGTCGAAGGCCGAAATACATGGAGATGTTTAAGATCGTCTCTCTTTAATTTTATCTCCTTCCTCACTTGTTCATTAATTTCCCCCTCATCCTCATCCCCATCATTATCCTCGAATACTAAAAACGAAGGCGAAAACCTCCCATTAACATCAATCAATACAACACACTTCCCAAGCTCTTCCTCCTCATCTCTGAGAAGCCTCGTCAGAATATGAATCAATAACGGTAACTGTCTACCCGAAACGGATAATCTCGGTTGGTTATGATACGATTGAGACCAGAGTGCATCGAGAGAAGGGATATGGGTTTTTGGAGGATGGGGTGTTAGTTTATTTGTCAATGTCGTTAGGAGCTTTTAAATATTATAAAATTAGTTAACGTATTTATATAGTTTGGAAGAGGATGAGAGGATGGGAGGATGAGGAAAAGACAAAAGTGTTATCGATAAGGAATAAAGAGAATGAACAAACATGAACAAACATACCGATTCTAAACTCTCCTCACTATCTTCCACCTCTTGCAATAACCTTCCTCCAAATATCTCTTCAGTAGACTTTATTCTATCCATCTTATCTAATCCTATCCTATCCTCTTCCCCTCACTCCAAACAACACCCTCCTCCGCCCCTTCAATCCTCACTCACCCCACAAAAGAAAATGACACCACCAATCCCCACCTTCCCACCCTCCTCTCTCCCCTACGAAGCCCGCTTCGCCGCCAATGCCAGCTATCGAAAAGACTTCGACGGAAACCTTGAAAACTGTGAATTAATCAAGTTCTACCAGTATAGCTGTGATCTCGAGAAGGATAAAGATGGGAAGTTTGGGAAGAAAATTGCTTGTCAGCCTGTTAAGCGGCTTTTTCGACGGTAAGTTTTCTTCGATTTCTTTTCAGAAGCGCTTTAGTTTAGTCGTGAATGTAGATGAAAATGTGGATGTGTATTGGATTGAGGGAGGGACGGATGTTTATATTGACGGGAAATAGATGTAAAGATCGAAAGGGAATTTTTATGGTGGAGACAACTGTGTGGGAGGGAGAAGGTAGTGCAAAGTGATGGTTGAATTTGGGGATGGATGATGGATGGATGTGGTTAGCGTCAATCAATGGGTGGTGGGAAGATAGTGCTTTATGAAAGGGACTGCAGATAGGAGCATGATGAAAGAGAAAATCAATCATAGAATTGATTGTGGTTTATACACTAAGTATCCGTAATATTGCTAGGAATGCTACTGAAATTTCCATTTGTCTATCTTCAAATGCGCTCAACACTATGTTGTCGCCTATCCCTAACACCGGTTTTCCAAACCTCCCCTCATGAGCCTCCATCACACCCAATCACGATCATAGCTTTGCAATTCCATTCGATAGCTCTTCAATCTCTTTGCCATTGCTCTTCTCTGCCTCTGCAGGAGAGTGACCTCTACTATCCTCCATTTCCAGCTTCTCCTTCGTTAAGGCATTGATTTTCTCTTCCACGGCACAAAGCGAAGCCTGTTTCTGCAAAGCCTCTATATTTTCCTTCGGGAGAACCTTCAAAAAACTCTCCTTTTGAATCATCTTCTTCCAATATTCTGCCAGAGGCTCAAATCCCAGAGAGTCACCCCACTTCCCATTTACCATCTCGAACACCGGCGTGATTGCAAAGTCCGCAAGACCGATCTCGTCGCCTGCTATGTATTCTGTCTCTTGGGCGTAGATGTTCCATTTAGCGAGCTCAGCGCGGAAAGGCTTTAAATTAAACGGTACCGTTTGCCAGATCTTGAGTAGGGTGCTGGCTTGTTCAAAACGGGTGTAATGACGAGCTAGATGGGCTGGAGATTTGCGGTCCTTATTGGGACAATATATAGCTTCGAGATAAAACATGATGGGCATGCATCCTTCGACTGTGGTTTTGCTTGGATCATTGTCAACAAATTTGATAGGAGATGTGTCTGGTATCTCTGGACCGTCGACTGTACAACTTTCTTTTTTCCAATGGAAAGACGGGGAAATGGTAGCCTCTATCCAAGGAATATTGTACTCGTTAAGTATGAACTTTACACGGCAGTCTGAGATGAAATCTCCAGATAAGTAAAGCTTTTTGGAATTAGACATGTGCAGTACGTCAAATCCTTTGCCGTATATATCATGCCAGTCGAAATTGCTATCATGATTTTCTTTTCCGAAAGCTTGTAGCATTTCCTGAGATTGTGGTGTATCTCCATTAATAACCAATTTGGCATCCTGTTTCCTTTTTGCAGTTGCGCCCTGGCCCCAAATCTTCTGTTGGCTTTTGTCGAGATAGGTACCAATATGTCTAAATGTCAAAGATATACGCCCGCAATCGTAAGCCAATTCAGCTTCGGACTTCTCACTCGCCATCCTCTTGTCCGGTCGAATGCCATGTAGCCACCTCTTATTGGTTTCCAAGCCCATCTTACACAATGAGTTATGCGGAAGTGCTGCCCTGCAAGATTCTCGAGTTGTGGACTGGGAGTCTATACACCCTACATTCTTCACAGATTTCTTTCTGCGAAATACCATTGTTCGTTGAGCACCCAGGCTCACGTTGGCGATGAATGTATCGGGAACAATGTCTAACGTCTTGTCACTATGCTCAGAGATATTATCATTTCCATCTCGGTAGAACTGGATCAAAGCGTGGTTCACAGGATGCCCAAGCCTTTTTTCGACTATGTTCTTGACTATTTTAACCGTGGGCGAAAATGCAAGGAGAGCAGGAGATTCATCTGCCGGATGACGGTATATTGGAATACTACCGTCTTCCTCAATTTCGCCTTGAACTGCTACAAGCCTCGGTACCTCACTACCCTGGTGACCCATCTTCTGCCAAAGAACCTCATCACGGATCTTCTCGAAAATCCCGCTTGCCGATTCCTCAGGTAGGAGCTTGTGGATCACTGTTGTATCACCTTCACAAAGTTTAGCTGTATCGACTTTTGCACTGTCTTCGCCATTTGGCATCTCTTCAAGAGTTGCCTTGTCTGATGAAGGTTCTACTTGGAGTTTCTCCTCAGTGCTTCGGGTTTCAAGACAGGTCAGCGCCGCTTTGACCACCCGTTTGTCCACCGGGTTCGGTGATGCTGATGAGTCAGGTGACGGGCTTTTGGAAGACGTCGAGCTTCGTTCTTTCGATGGACTGGACGGTCCTCCTACTTCCACTGGCTTCGTATTATGTCGACGCGACTTTGTTTTCGACTTCGCCTTTTCTCTTTTCTTAGCTTCTGCTTCAAGTTCAGCTGGTGGTTTCGCGCGTCGAACTTGTGCACGCAAGAGTTGAATAGTGATGTCGGAATCGTCTTCGATGGCTGCCGTCGATGATGGGGCTATGACGGTGGTGGCTGGTGGGTCGTCTGCTTCTAGCTTTAAGTTCCCCATTAGATTCTCAATCCCAGAATTTCGAGATTCTTTCGGTTGTGGTTCTTTAGGTTTAGGACGAGATTTCTTACTGGAAGTCGTTCTCCTTTCTGCGACCTTCTTTTGCTTCTGTAAGCACTCAATGAGTTCCCCGCTGCTTATGACATCACACCCTGTGTAAGCTCGGAGCTGACGTAAAGCTTCTTCATGTCTAGCCTTGCTCCTATATCCCAGACAGTCCTCAACTATGGTTATAGCGTAACCATGGCGAGCAGCATCCATGGCCGTGGCAAACACACTGATATTCGTAAGAGCTCCAGCTATGTATATTTCTGTCACAAACTTGCCCCGCAGTTTCTGGACTAGACTGCCATCTTTGAATGCAGAATAGTATGTTTTATTGAACACCAGGTCTTTCGCAGAGACGGGCGCAAACGTATCTGAAATTTCTGAGCCCCTCGAATTGGGCTTTAGCATGTGCTCCTTTCCTTCTGGCTGAACTGTCAAAAAAGCTTCCACTGCGTCCTCCTCACCGCCAGCTCCTGGAAGCTTGTTCTCCTTCTCGTTAGCCCCGGAGTCAATTTCCGGAGTCGACACGTCTCGTTGAGGTCGTGGAAGCTCCTTATTCGTTATTATGGCCTCGCTATCGCCCCGCGGTTGATTAACTATCCTCGACACACCCTCCGTGGAAACGCTGCATATCCATATTATGTCACCAGAAGGCCGAAACGGCTCGATTAGATTCCTTATATTGTCGATGTAGCTTGAGGGTTTCTCGACTGGCAACAAGCTTCCCTCTCCTATGAAGTCATTTTGCAGATCGAGGAGAAGTAGAGCCTGGCGGGTTCGTATGAACGGGATAGTTTGTTCGTCAATTTCAAACATTTGGAACAACCTGTATGATAGATATCAACCACTGTGTTTCCAACTGAATAGAATTTCAGAAGACAGAAGATTTAAAGGTTGTCTTTTGTGGTACAGGCTGCACGACTCTACATGCCGTGTTTACTAGCTAAAGGAACATGCATTTGCTTACATTGGACATTATTCAGAAAGACCGCGGAGAGGTAGGAGCGACCTCGATGCATGTGTAGCACCGCATGATGCTGTAAGATTCCGTAGGCAACCGGCACTGCAAATAATATGCACGGATCAAATAAACTTTCAATGAACATCAGACAGTCTGTCATTGGTTGTACATAGGCGAAGGCGCATCGAATCGAATCCCTTTGGTTGCTCAAAACAAAACGATGGATGTTGAATGATTCTGGTGTTGAGCTTAAGGTTTTACTCTTACTCTGTCCGGGGTAGGGTACAGAAAAGTGATCTGGTAAAAAAGGGACAAGACGGACAAAGGGACACGGACCCCGGTAATGTTGACGAACTTGACCTCTTTGGGAACATTTAACTCACATTGACTAACATTTAACTCACATTTGATGAGGATATAAATGCGACATAATGAATTATAACACAGGGGGGACACATGGTAAGGTAATGCCAGAGCAGCAGCAGGGAGTGGGAAAGAAGACGATTGATTGGTTTTAGATTGATTCGATCTCATTAGTCCGGATGCGTAAGTCGCGATTGACCGTTGAAAGGTTATCCGCTGATCTTCCCCTTGACAGCTGGTGAGCTAGGCTTAGTGAACAGGCTAAGAGCCCTATTTGCTACTCTGTGGACACCAGGACAAAGTACAGTACTAGGTACTCCCGAGAGGAGTTAGAGGGTTAGAGGAACCCTAGTAAAATGGCTTTTTCACCACACCGGCTTGTTCTGGGGGCTTCACTTGTTGCTGCAGATCAACGCATATGGAATTCAATACCGTGTTGCAACTTGCATATCATACCACCCGTGCCTTTCACCTACTCCGTTCGTACACTCCGTAGCCATTAACCAACAAATCTCCATATAACGCGCGTATCTATCGAATACAACATAACATGTGCCGTACCGAGCCCACGAATTAGCTTTTGCCCGAGAGTCTACGGAGGATGAAAGTTGCTCCATAGTACAACCCATTGACCGTCATTTGAGATTACCGACCTTCGCCAAATCATGAGATTTCATATAGATCCTATTAGACGAGTGACTGAGTTCTCCTAAGGGAATAAATCGGAAATCAAGTAGTGGACACGAATGCGAGAATACCTCTGTATCTGATTTAGACATTAGGGGGATTTAGCCGACAGCATAAAGTGAATCTTTTAGAAGAAGCTTCTGATGCTAGACATGTGTCTAAAAGTATCTAACTTTTAGGAGAGGAGACGACACATCAGAGGAATAATGATTGGTTTCGTATTTTACACTTTGTGCTTTGCTTTCCTGCATTGCATCGAAATCCATTCCCTCTGCATTACAGCAAGTACCGCTACCTATTGGCAATTGCATGTGTTGTATGGTCAAGGAAGGGAAAAGTATCTTCTCGCATGATGGTGATGATGGAGGAAGAAATATAACTACGTACAAATGCCACTTTTTTACTTTCTTCCCCTCGTCCTCTTCGCCCCACAATCCAATGAACGAGGGAGGGGTTAGAGAACATAAAATCCTTCGAAACAAATCGTTCGGAGGTTTTAGCTAATCATTGAAATCATTCAGAAATAAAGAACCCCACCACCACCAAGAAAAAAACCCCTTGCACATACAACGAAGCATCATATGATCGATCAATCATCAAGATTCCATCGAAAACATATCATAATGATCTTCGCTACTACAGTGCTGTTGTCGATCTCCCTGCAGCAGCAGCTCGAGCCGTAGAAGAAGTGCTTGTAGATACATATGAATAGTGTCGATTGTGATTTAAGTTATTGGTTCATCTGCATGGAAAGCTCAACAGGCACGAATGCTTATTGACAAGTTGACAACTGTCAGATCTACTCAGCCGTCCACTTGCATACATCTCGTCGGCTATCCTTTGAAAATCGATTGATATGGAAGTATTTGTCTTATTTAACAATCAGAGTTAATAAACTTAAAAGATTAAAGGCTTATCGGTCATCACCAGCGAAAACCGGTAGGGATATTGTTTTTCCGGTACAACACCATTTCACACCAAAAAAATTATTATTTTTAATTACTCTTTTTGAAGAATTCGTTCAAAAGATGTTGATGAAATCTATTATACCAACTTTTATTAAAGTATTTAAAGAATAATCTCTCTTTGATTTAATTATTAAATTTTTGAATCAATATTATATCAATAATCAAAATCTTTTTTAATATTTAAAAAAGACTTTAATAAAGTTTAATAATTATCATTTTGCTGATATTATAACCTTATTGTATATAAGTTTTAAATAAGAAACTTGTTTAAGTGAGTCCCGATCCGGACAATCTGGACAGTACATGCAGGCTATGATGTATATGCAAACTCTTGCCGACAGTTAGAGAGTAGTATTCGGGGACCAAATGGATAAAAGGGAATCGGGAATAGCCAGATATGAGGCTGCAGAGGAATAATACTTTAGTGCTTAACTTTCGGAATGTCACTCAATATTGTTAGGAGTTCTCTTGTGGCTTGATTCTCTTGGCTTATTTTCGCATCTCAACGTTGAGAGTTGGCTTTGTACTTTGTACTTTGGACTTGGACTTTGAGCTTGAGTTTGAGCTTAGAGCTTAGGACAAGACACTTGAAAAGCTACCCCGCGAAGAAGAAAAGGAAGGAGAATGTGATCACGTGTTGGCGAGCTCAAGACTTTGCCGAGGTTCGGTGATGTTGTCTCAAGTTGACCGACAACTTCATCTACCTACCTCTGTGCTACAATTCATGATAACTTTCTTGATTCTTGATTTACACTGATTTACGATTACTCTCTCGGGATTACCATCTTATCTCTAACTGTATCAACCTTTTACAAGTATATCTTACAAGTTAGTGACCCGGTCAACAAGCAAGCAAGCAAGCAGAAGCTGTCATTTGCCCAAAATGGCCTCCTCAAAATCCACCTACAAATATTTCATAGTCACATACCCAGCGCCATTTGTTGCACATGTTCAAATTAACCGTCCCGAGAAATTAAACGCGTTCTTCGAAGCCATGGTATGTTTGCAAACATTAATCAACAAACTACTATCGCAACAATTCGCTAACCCCTAAATCTAGTGGCTCGAATTCCGTACCATCTTCGATACCCTCTCCTATTCCCCCGACGTTCGATCTATCATATTATCCGGTGCTGGTGATCGTGCCTTCTCAGCAGGCTTAGATGTTGAAGCTGCTGCACAAGAAGGGATCTTAGCAGAGAAGGACGGAAGAACAATAGATGTAGCGCGAAAAGCGCAAATCTTTAGACGCCATGTTGATGAATTTCAAGAGTGTATAAGCAGTGCAGAGAAATGCGAGAAACGTCTGGTTCCTACCCTATTCCAGAGGATCATTGAAGCTAATCTCATGTAACACAGCTGTGATATGCGTCCTCCACGGCTACTCCTTCGGTCTCTCCATCGACATATCTACCTGCGCGGACATCCGCATTTGTACATCAGACGTCAAGCTGGCAGTAAAAGAAGTAGACATCGGACTTGCAGCTGATATAGGAACACTTTCTCGACTCCCTAAAATCGTCGGCTCTTTCAGCTGGGTCAAAGACGTTTGTTTATCCGCACGAATATTCGGAGCCGAAGAAGCTCTCAAAGTAGGTTTTGTAAGTCATGTTGAGCCTACGAAAGAAAAGGCTATAGAAAAAGCCCTCAGCATTGCGAAATTGTTGGCGGAAAAGAGTCCTGTGGCGGTGCAGGGTACGAAAGAATTGTTGAATCATGCGAGGGATAATAGGTTGACGGATAGTTTGAGGTATACGGGGGTGTGGAATAGTGCGTCAATTCAGACGGATGATGTTAAGTCAGCGATGTTGAGTGGGTTGCAGAAGAGAAAACCTACATTTGAGAAACTTTGAGAAGGAATTATGGATGATCGATAACCACGATATAAAGATTCGAGCTTCAAGGCCAAGGGACATTTCTGCTCTAAGAGCTTTCCGGGCGAGGTCTGCTCAAGAGAGATAGGAACGAATGCAGCGATTGCTACTCTGAGGTATACACCTTGTAAGTCCCTCAATGTACATACTTGGATGTAAGTTCAAAAAATACCAAAAAGAGATCCACAGAATACCGGAAATATAAATACACTAAATAGACACATCCAATTCCAAGTTAAGATACCACAACACAAAAGCACAATATATTTCCATTGTCCCAAACTAAAAGCCTTCAAGGATACTCCACGATATCTAAACTATCCATTCTCTAGAAGAAATAGAAAGCAATGAATATTTGATCTTCCATTTCACCCTTCACATACTGACCATGCCTATGCCTTCCATCCCAATCTCCCAGTCTCCAACAGTCCATCCATCCATCCATTATCATTATCATTATCATTATCATTATCATTATCATTATCATTATCATTATCATTATCATTATCATTATCATTCATTCATCCCCACCGCATCCAATTCATTATCCTCCTTCATCCTATCATCCCATCATTCCATCATTCCATCCCTCCCACTCTTTCCCCTCCGCTCATATCATATACATATATTAGATTCTACTATCCTATCCTATCCTATCCTACCTGCTACCTGGGTATCCTAGATTAAATACCTACTGATATACCTCTTATCAGGTAATCTGAAGATAATCTTACCTCTAAAATACCTAAATATCTAGTTCATATATCCATTCATTATTACAACATCTATTATCATAAAAGAATTCTAATATTTCCTTATGATCAGCTTTTTCTAAATGGCTTCGGACCTCGTTTTTTTTGATACTGACTTTATCTGTCAATTTATTGACTTGTTCTATCCAGGTGTTCTTTTTTGTGAATTATGTTACTTTTGTATTACCTGTTCTCTTTTGATTACCTATTAATCCTAATATTAGTATCCAAACTCAAAATAGTATCATGTCATGTTGACAATGACACCGAAGGAATCCAAACGAGGACATCTTTCCAAGATGACCACAACAACAAAGTTACCATCAAGCAGTCTCAATTTCTTTACGATGGAATCTAGCTCTCGATTTTATCTCAAATGCCTAGGTACTTAAGTAATTATCTTAAAAATCCCAAACCGCAGCAATATTTTTTCTCTTTTCTCTCTTACCATATAATCCCAGCTTTGGTATTCTCACCCCTTTTTTGATGGTATCCCTGTCTTGAAGAGTACAAGTATCCATGAATAATCGAAAGCAAATGAAAAGAAGAGAGGCTGAGCAAACTCGCCATCTACCAACCACCACCGGACGTAACCTCTTGGCCACGGCCACCACCCCAGCTATCATCGTCGGCAGTAGCGATAGGAGCGTACTCATCGTTAGCTACATCACCGTGGCCATAATCACCAGCATCCGCGGCTACTTCGCCACCGCCGTAGTCGCCACCATTGCCAGCGTCGTCTTCGACAATTGGCTCCTTGCAGCGAACCTTCGTGTGGCCCACTAAATTGTATCAATACATCGTGGAAACCGAATTTTGAAGGAAACGGGTTTCAACTTACTCTGCTTACAGTTCTGGCATTGAACACGAGAATAGTCACGAGGCTTTGGACATTCCTTGCCGGTATGACCCTATTGATAGTCAGTAAGCCGTTTGAACTTGTACTACACGTGATAAAATGTGTCTAACTAACCTCCGCATCACAGTTGCGACAGATGATAACTCGCTCATTGGTACACTCCTTGGCTGTAAGCAAGAAAATTAGTATAACTAGCAGCTTCTGATAGATATGCCACTTACAGTGATGGCCAGGTTGATTGCAGTTTCTGCAAACACCTCCATCGCCACCACCACCGGTAGGGCAGTCACGAGAGAAATGGCCAACTGTATTTTGTTAGTGAGACTTAAAGAATTCGGAAACTTTGGCGAACTTACTCTCATTGCATTTCTTGCATTCAACACCCTCAGCGGAACGTGGCTCTGGGCCTAAATTCAATGTTAGCTTGCGGCATAGAATGCGAGAATATTGTTAGGCTTACACTCCTTGGAACTATGACCAGACTTCTTGCAGTTGCGACAAGCGAACTTATCCTCACGAGGAATTGGGCAATCGCGAACACGATGACCACTATTCCACAATTAGTGCTTAATGGAATATCAATGCTGGAAAACTTACATCTCACTACAGTTGAAACACTGAACCTGAACACGTTCACTCTCACCTGCCTCCTGAGTGCAGTGCTTCGAGATGTGTCCTAGTTCGCTGCAGCGGGAACAAAGAGGAATACCACGATCAACAGGTTCGCCAGCATCGGCAAGGCGTTCCATGTTTTCCTCTGGAGTAGCTGGCCAATTTTCCTTCTCCTTGGGACGAGTATGCTTGCTTGACTTGCGCCAAGAAACAGTGTACTTTTGGTCCAGGTTGCCTTGCAAGTCCATGTTGGTGAAGGTCTGAGTGAGTTCCTTCTCCGTTGCAATAAGATAGATGGGAATACTCTGACTACGGAAAGCTTTTTCGAGTTGCACATAGGTAGCATCTGGTGATGCTTTGATGTACTTCATAACCTCATCCTTCATGTCATCGAAGTCACCTTCTTGAGATTGCTTGATCAAATTTTCCCAAGCAACTTCAGCTGCGACATCTTCGACATCGTTGCGCTCGATCTTGCGAGGATTCTTGCACTCGAGGATTGAATGGCCTATTATGAAGTCAACTTAAGTGGGAATGAAATGTTGGGTATTAGTTGCTATAGATATACCTTCCTCCTTGCAGTTGTTACAAAGCTTAGGTGGAGCAGATGGACAATCAGATGCACGATGACCTTGTTGCTCGCAGATGCGACAAGTGCCACTAAATTCACGGGGAACTGCTGGATTGGTGCACTCGGCCTTTGTATGACCTTCTTCGCCACAATTAAAGCATGGGCGTGGCTTTGGAGGTTCCGGACATTCAGCCTTCGAATGGCTGATGAAATATGGGTTAGCAGAGTATCTCAAAACTGAAAGAATTGAAACGTACCCATCTTGACCACAGTTGAAGCACGCACCACTGAAGCCACCACCACCACCTTCAGCTTCCTCCCTACCACCGTAACCATAACCGTTCTCAGCTTCGGCACCATCATTAAAGGCATCACCTCCATGTTGATGAGAGGGGCCAGCCGCAGGAGTGTCCCATTCACCGCCACCGCCGCCACTGGTAGCAACAGCTTTGCTACTTCCCCATCCGCCACCACCAGCTGGAACTTCCCAAGACATGTTTTAAGATTTAAGAATTGCAAGTTTTTCTTGGAGATCTGTAAGGGGAAAAAACGTTAGCTATGTGTCAAGTAAAAGTTGGTGGAAAGTGAGGGTAATGCGCAAGATGTACCAACTTGGTGTTGCTCAAAGTCAAAGAACTTTTTGGAGTGAAATCAAAAAGTAAATTGAGACAGGAGAAATAAATCAAGAGACTCAAGAAGTCAAGCTGATAAGAAAGACTCGGCATGAAAGGGCGCGAAAAGAGAGACGAATGGGAAGAGGAGAGAAAACAAAAGAAAAACTTTGTAGTTGTGAGGAAAACGAAAAAGAAGTTCTTGCTCTTTAGAATAAAACACTTAAATGGCGGGCGGGCTTCAACTCAAGTGAATTGGCTGCCAATCAAGAAGGTGCGGCTTCAATCCCTAATGCGATCTAATTGCTTCTTCAAAAGTGAATACTCACTTATTAAGAGATCGTCGATCCCATTGACGTAAGAAGACAATCACAACCAGTCAAAAGTGGTTTGAAGTGTACTTTTCATGTGAAAGAAAGAAGGAGATGGTATATTGTTTTCGAAGTGATATCTTGAAGAATGAGAGACAGATGCTTATGATGATAAACGTACATGCTTTAGTGTGTATGGGATGTTATAAAATGAAGGTATAAAAGGAAGGTATATGTGAAGACTTGGACGTGCTTTGAAAGTGCGACATGAAAATCTGATGCTTGAAGAAGGGAATTTTGGGACGGGATGGTTTTACTTACAGATCGAGGCAAAGAATATCAGATAGAAAGATCGCGGAGGACTCTACGAACTCAGTACTGATAAAAGAAGAAAAGGTCTCGGTGAAGTACTTTTTGTCGGATGAAAAAAGAAATTCAAAGTTTGCTGTTGTTGTGGGGAAGGAGAAAGAGGAAAGTGCGGGTGGAAGGAAAGCAGAGCAGAGCAGGTTGAGGTACTTTGCTTCCAGACGTGGCAAAGACAGCAAGCGAAGTCCTCAAATTTCTACCTCTCAGAAACTCACATGACCTTTCAAAGGGAAGCTGAGTAAAATTCCACGCTTCATTTGAAATTACTGTAATCAATGAGGACTATCCTGCAAAAATATACATGATGGTACATCCACAATCCACATTTTGATAAGACTATGAGAGAAACTCAGAAATGGTGAACCAAAGTCTTGTGATCTCCTCCATAACTGTAGGTCTCTTTACTTTTTCGGCCCAGAGCCAATGAGTATCTTTGAAGTACCACACCACCAAACAATATTTCTTAGGAATTCCATTTCAATTGTCCTAGGGCATTATAGAACCCTGGTAACTCCTACCTCTGATTCTCATCATCCACTGCTTAGTGGATTTGTCTATGCCCCAAACATGATCGAGGCTCCAAAATGAATTGCAGGTAGTGAGGCAAGAAGAATAAGAAATACCCTTAGGGATAAGAGAGAAGAGTCGCCATGCTCTCATTGAGGCAAGCATCTCCACCCCTTGAAAGTTGAAATACCAAATCAAATGGAAGGGATCCGTTACCTACGAAGATGGGATCTCCAGATCGAAGGCTGCATTTGAAGGCCACCAACTTAACTTCCAGAGCGCACTGGTTGTAGATGTCTGATAGCTCCAAGGTTTCAAGTAGCTCGTGCTGGTGGTCCGCGGTACCTCAAAGTCTCCCTCAGCCCATCAATAAGACAATAGCAATTGTAGAGAAGGAGATCTGCCAAGTTTCAAGCACCACATCCCGCTTCCTGCCCTGAATATTATAATCAAATGACGACTCTTATATATAACAGTACTCTCTAATAATCCCACTCGTCACTACAATATCATCTTGCTTAGCCAAAAGAACGTCATTAGTCCCATAAGTATATGTATATATGAAGACTAGTCCTCCGCACCTTAGTCTTACCACAACCACAAGGCTTACCACGGAGAACTTGACGACAAGTTGCGAATGTACTTCCGCAACCACCACAGTTTTTGATCTACAAAACCAAGAATGGTCTAAGATGTTATACAGCACTTTTCCTTCAACAACAGTCCATCATGGTGTCTCGAAAGCAGTTGTTCGGTCCAGATTAACAGCATTGATATCCTCAAAGGACAAATGTGATGTTTGCGGCCAAATTGCACGCCGTTTAAAAGATGTAAGACATACAGCGAACTGCCGTTAAACTAGCTGATGTAAGAACGTGGCTAATGTTAGTCATGGGCTCGGCCATGTTCATCCGAACTAAGTCTTACATTACGGCTAAAGAAGAAGCTCGGCCAGCACCAACATCTTATAATCTTGTGATCCATAGATATGATCAAAATTCATTATCACTATCACCGATGTTTTCGATCCATCCCACTTTCGGGCTAGCGATTGTACCTAGGTAAGTTTTGAGATCTGATAGTGAGAAATGATTGCCCCGCTTTAAAATAACAAATAAGGTAACCCCGCTATGTCACGACATTCGTTCCCAAGCCAATGGTAAATATCTTCTTGCAAGTTGAATCTGTTTTTTTCTTCTTTTCCTCGTTCAAGCATCCATCTTCAAGAGTGTCTCAAATTTATCTCTCGCAATTTCTATTTTCCCGAAAATAACACAATCCTCCCTCAAAATGGTGCCAGTTCCAGAAGATCTTCCGGAGATGGAATACAGATACCTAGGCCCGTCTGGTCTCCAGGTATCTGCCATCTCTCTCGGTGGCTGGCTGACATACGGTGGCCATGTTGAAAATGGTATAGTTTCCACCTTCTTTAGGTCAAATGCAGGATTAACATACATTAGAAAACACATTTGCATGCATGAAAGCCGCCTATGATGCTGGAATCAATTTCTTCGATTGCGCCGAGGGTTACGCAGGTGGAGAATCCGAGAGGGTGATGGGTGAAGCCATCAAGAAATTTGGCTGGAAAAGAAATGATCTGGTTATCTCGACCAAAGTAAATCTTACCCCACATTCTTACATTCTCACCACAAACACTAACGAAATGCAAAATAGATCTACTGGGGTCAAGCTAACGGCGAGAAAATCGCCAACAACCTTGGTCTCTCCCGTAAACGTATTATTGAAGGTACCCATCTCGCTCTCGAACGTCTTCAACTCGACTATGTAGACCTCATCTATGCCCACCGACCCGACCGCGCTTGCCCGATGGAAGAAACCGTCCGAGCATTCAACCATCTCATCAACACCGGTAAAGCATTCTACTGGGGAACCTCCGAAGTAAGCCCCACTAGTCACCCCTCCATTCCCATCCCCATAAACTAACCCCCACCACCATTAGTGGACCGCCGCTGAGATCGCCTCCGCCCACGCCGTCGCCCAGCGCCTCAACCTCATTGCCCCCCTAATGGAACAACCTCAATACAACCTCCTCTCCCGTCAAAAAGTCGAAGGTGAATTCCTTCCCCTCTTCAACGAATTCGGCCTCGGCCTAACCACCTTCTCCCCCCTCAAATTCGGCTTCCTAACCGGAAAATACAACTCCGGCATCCCCTCTGATTCCCGTCTCGGCACCTCCCAAGACAACTTCGCCGCACGCATGAAAGCCAAAAGCGGCGACGATTCCTGGCGAGCGGACATTGCCGCCGTGGAAAAACTCATGCCCGTCGCGGAGAAATTGGGTATTAGCATGGCGAACTTGGCCATGAGTTGGGTGTTGAAGAATGAGAGGGTCAGTAGTGCTATTACAGGTGCTAGTAAGCCAGAGCAGGTTTTTGAGAGTGTCAGAGCCTTGAAGATCAGAGAGAAATTGACTCCGGAGATCATGAACGAGATTGATGAGATTCTGGGGAATAAACCCGAGCCGTTGCAGAAGAGGTATGTTTAGACTTTAGATGGAACGAAGGACTAAGCTGTCTGAGAGGTGTAGAGGTAACATAGATGGATGGATGGTGGTGAGCATTCGAAAATGCTAGATAGCTATGTCTGTCTTATACACATACTACACGTCCTCGTGATTGCCCTACATACACAAAACCATTCCAGATAGCAACGAATGTAATCAAGAAGATTCAGCGTATTGTCTATTCCATATATCATTTGGCATCAGTGCCCAAAACTACCTAAATATGTGCAAGAAGCTAATCTTACAAATAAACTTATCATGATATCTTCTCCATTTGGACTCCAGAACGGATGGTATCTCTCCATTCTCCATGATCCGCTCTTCGCTTTCACAGCCTCCAAATACAATAATACAGATTCAATAATCATACACCAGCAAAATCTGTTTTGCAAATATAATCTGCTCTCCGCATCAACCCCTAAGGTGTAAGACGTATCAAAAATTATTCTTCAAATCCAGGCTGGCACCCAGCTATCCATTTATTTCTTCCCCTTCTTCGCAGTAGCACTCGCTTTCTTCTTTTTCTTTGGAATCTCTTCTTCCTCTTCCTCATCATCAATCATGTCATCATCCTCATTAGTCTTCGCCTTCTTCTTTGCTGGCTTTTTGGCTGGCTTCTTCTTAGGTTGCTTGATATATTTATCCTTCTTCAAATCGGCCTCTTCGTCATCATCAACTGGTTCCGAAATTACATCACCTTCATCTTCTTCCTCGAATGCTTCTTCCAGATCTGGTTTCACGGCGGCTACTTTGGTGGGTTGGAAGACATTGCTTGCTTTCATGAATGGAACGGGATGGGAGCGTCCGTTATAGCTTTGCTTTGTTAGTATTCCCGAGTTTGAGAAGAGACAATAGAGAACTTACGATCTTGTGAAATTGGCTTTTGTTTGGGTTTCCAATTTGACACCTTCCATATCTTGTTCTCCAACACCGAGTTCGAAAATATAGTCCCAGTCCTCCCTAGTTAAGAAATAACTGTCCATGAGATCAATAACATCTTCCACGGAGTCCCTGCCCTCAACTTCGAGTCGACGAATGAGTTTATCCCAGAGAACTGGTAGATATTGTTGACGAATTTCATGACGATCTCCAGAGGACCGCAGTCGCATGTGCGATTGAATTTCCTTCACATAACGAGAGAGTTTCCCGTATTTGCTATTATTACCAAGCCAAGATGTAAAGTTGGTTCTTCCAGTCATTGAACCAGATATAAAGCTTGCTGGTCGAACTGTACTGAAGACTGCGTGCGTAGGCATAAGCGACCATTGTTGTTGGGATCCGTGAATCATCCGATCAACTAGATCACCATCGCTGATACTCTCTGCGGCTTGGTCTACGAGTTGTAACACTTTTAGCCTGTGCTCTTTGGGTGTATCTGCACCATTAGCTAATTGCGGTTTGGTGTTTAGGTAATTTTCCTGGATCATCAGCGGTGTGAACTCGTGGTCATTGAAGTAAAGCTCAATCTTATCGTTCAAGGTAGATTTACTACTGGGAGCAAACATGTGTCCTCCGAGGAGTTGATGGGTTATGTCCCATGGCTTTAGAACAACATGCTTTTCCCATGCCTTTGACATTTCCTTTCCCCGGTCGAAATCCATGGCTGTTTGATCAAGCTTAACGGTAGATATCATGTTAATAATTTGTCTGATATCCTTATTGCTTCCTTCAATGAGGGCATCGATGACTTGAACAGGGAGTTTTATGCCTTCTCGGTGACAGATAGTAGCGATACGTGAACGAACCATATCAACGGTAGGTCTCTTGAATGGCATATCGAATGTCACAAAATCGAATGGCTTCATCTTCGGAAGCCTGCGGTCGTTACAGATCAATATCATGGGAATATCGGTAGTTTTGCAGATTTTCGCGAGAGCTCCCACACCACCTCGATCACCAGATGACATACCATCGACTTCATCCATGATAAGGACTATCTTCTTCCTAGTCTTATCGACGTTCTTCCCATCGCCTGCGAAGTAACCCAGAACCGAGGTGTTATTCAGTACTTCACTCAACCCAGTTTCAACAAGTTTCTTGCTTCTAACATCACTAGCGTTTCTCTCCAAAATATCATAACCAGCAAGTTTGGCAGCCAAATGTGCCGCAGTCGTTTTTCCTATACCAGGTGGACCATGGATAATAATGGCTCTGTAGCCTCCGAGTCCATCTGCACCTCTCTTCTGGAAATTGTACTTATGAGCGTTTGGCCAACCCTTAAGCCAAGTCTGAATCTTTTCAACTTGGCCTTTGTTGCCACAGATTTGATTCATTTGCGTTGGCGCATACTTGGTGGTCCACAATTGTGATGAAGTTGGTACCACTGCTTTGCGGGGAGCTGCTGGTATAGAAGATTTTCCTTTTGCTGCAGCAAGCTTTTGAGCCTCCTTCTCCGCCTTCTCCGCTTCTGCAGCTTTTCTTCGCTCCTCTCTGTCCATTTCCTCGGCGTCTTCTCGAATCTTCCTCTGTTCAGCTGCCTTCTTCTCGTTATTCTTCTCCGCAGCCTTGCCATCGCCACCGTTAGGAGGCATGGCTCTGATAATGGCGAAGAGCCCTTCTTCATCAACACTTTTGATCTTTAATTCCTTTATCTTTCTGAGTTTACTCGGGCCAGCATCGGCTCCAAGTACAACATAACTTGTTTTGCTACTTGGCGCACCAGTGATTTTACCCCCATACCTCTTGACGAGCTCAATTCCCTCATCTCTTGAAATTGTGTTGAGCACTCCCGTGAAAACGAATGTCAAACCTACCAAACAATTCTCTGCACCTTCAGGAATCTCCGCGCAACCTGCAGCCGGTGGAGCGGCAGAACTACCACCTCCACCAGCGCGCCAATTAAATTTGACACTATCATCTTTCGGTGGAGGGGTTGGGGCTCGAACGGTTGGAATGCTGTCAAGGATTGCTTGTATACTCGAGCTCTCTGGAGCAGCTGCTTTCTTTGCGGGAGCTCGAGGTTTCTTTGCTGGAGGTGGCTTTGAGCTTTTGCTTTTGGTGGATTTTTTAGATAGAACATCCTCCTCGTCATCGGATTCCAAATCAACAGATTTGCGCTTCTTGCCATTCGCGGCAGCGTTCTTTCCGGGCTTTTCAATTATCATCATATCATCATCCTCATCGTCATCAGGCACAACAAAAGCGTCGCCGTCATTCACATCCTTCATTTCAACATCTTTGTCCTTTTTGGCTGGTGCAGGCTTCGACCTCGACACAACTATCTTAGGTTTTGGTAGCACCTCGTCATCGCTATCATCTTCGACATAACCATCATCCTTGCGTTTGCCTGCTTTTTTCACATCTGCTGCAAATATATCATCGTCCTCATCGAACTCGTCCTCGTCTTTAATTTCTTGATAGGTCGTAGGTGCCTTCTTTCGAGCAGATGTTCGGCTATTCGTCTCGGGTGGTGGCTGTTTTGCTTTGATGGGCGTTGATTTTGCTGGTTTGGCCTTGGGTTTACTGCTCGAAGCAAAGAAGTCATCCGCGGTTGTTTCCTTTCCTTCAGGCTCTTCATTTTTACTAAATCGCTAGGTTAATTATGCAGAATAGAAAGAAACCGGATAAATCATACATTGATTTTTTAGGCACAGCTCTTTTCGGCTCGGGCTTTTTTGTCCTGGGAGACTTTAGTATACGCTGTGCAAGATTATTTTGGTAACTCATACACTGGTTCTTCATCATCGCTATCTTCGATGATTTTACGACTTTCTAGATCCCATCAGTATGATGCAACAAACCAAGCTGTCTGAAAAACTCACTGCTCTTCTTTTTCTTGGAATCTTCCTCCTTCTTGTTCTCCTTTGCTCGAATAGGTGTAGAGGTAGAGGTCCCAGGTTTACCTCCAAAGAAGCTTCTAATATCGGCAGGCATACTGGGAAGATGCAGTGGTAATTCTCTATGAAACACCACGAGTTCAATGAAAAATCAATGAGTCCATGGAAGCAATTGCAGGAAGAAAACGGTGTTGTGAAATTAGCTTGGATCTTTTTGATAAGGTTACCTACGGTACGTGAATACGCGACCCGACGCGGAAGTAACGCGTTGCCACTTTAGATTGATTTTTCCCCAAAAATGTTGCAGCCCCAAATATTAGGCTCACTTATTGAACATTGAATATGAGGATCCAAGATTTCTTTAGAGTTGGTCGACAATAACGTCCACTGCCATCCACGATGAAGCCTCAAAGTCTGCAGAGCTTCACGGCTCAATTTGGAAGGCTTTCATTAGCCTCCAACACAGTTCGACCTCTTGGTCCGATTTTAGCTCAAGCCTCAGCAACACCTTCAAATCACACTTCCCCTCAATTCCGCCGTCCGTTTTCTAGCACAGCCGTTAATTCAGGCAATTGGCTTCTGCCTACATTACCAGAAAAGAAGAGATCGCGGAAGGGTAGACCTCGTGTGCCGACAGGAGGATCAGCCAGAGGTACGACTTTAGTTTGGGGTGAATATGGTCTGCGAATGTGTGATCATCATCGCCGTGTTAGTGCGCAGCAATTGAAGGTTGGAGAGGATGCTATTAAGGTCAGACTAAAGGGTATGAGGTATCGATTATACAAAAGAGTTGCTGCTCAAATTGGTGTGTACAGCAGTGGTAATGAGGTGAGCACATGGGCTAGATTCTATCAAGGTCATAGGGATGGGGTTTAATTGCTTGATAGGTCCGTCAAGGTAAAGGAAAGGGTTCCTTCGATCATTGGGCTTCGAGAATTGCTGTGAGCAAGATTATTTTCGAGTTGAAGGGAGATGTGCACGAACAGGTAGCAAGAGATGCATTTAGATTAGCAGGCAACAAGATGCCAGGTCAGTAGCCACGACCTCCACATCGTTCTCACATACTGATTTGAATGATTTTAGGTCAATATGAGTTTGTCAAGAAGGGAGATCCTCCGGTTGTGGGAATTACCAAGCTAGATGGAATTACTCTGGAGGAGTTAAAGAGACCAAGGAGAAAGCTACCATTAGACTCGATACCTCTCGGTTCTACTGCAGAAACTACACCTTCTAGTGTGTCTACATCGACCTCACCGGATGCGTAGAAGGAGGAAATGTAGACTGTATCATAGAACATGCTGGCATTTAAGCTCGTAGACGAATGAAGATGTACAATATTACACTCCAGATCGACAGATGTGGGAGGAGAACGGGCGTCTTGTGATTTTATGTAGTTGTCACGATATTCCGTCTGTTCTATGTTATTCGGGAAAGTCAGCGTCGACTCTTTCAGGTATCAGATAGAGACAGTTAAACAATACACACTGGCCATCCGAGGCTTTCCCAAGCAAGAGGGCTAAAATTTGTGAATTTCGTTGTAAAGTCAATGAAGCTTAAATTTCGATGCCATAAAAACTCCCAAAATCTTGAACGCCATTAACCCCAGTTTACCCCCGTGCCTTTGTACCCTGTGATCCTCTCGCTCTACTCAGACCCCGAATCTTCCAAAACCTGCGTCTCCTTAAGCGCCTACAGATGCCAAGTCAGCGATAACAAGTTAACCCATAAACATGTAAAGAAGAATACATACATCTTCCAAACGCGTCTTCAACATGCCCAACATATTCTCTTTGATGACCAGAGTTTCATCATCTAAATCCTCGACAATATACGCATGCGATGAATCGGCATCTATTTTGACAATGATGGATTTAATAGATGGATCGCATTCCACGAGGACGCCTTGGTGTTATGTTAGTAAGTATATACATGCGTATGTGTGACCCAAGAGACTTTCTACTAGATAAATGAAATGAAATGCACACTGGTGATATTTGTCAATGTATTCTGCGAGGTTTTCCGGGATGTTGGCTAGCACGCTGTTGTGGTGTAGGGACAAGGATGTGGAGCAAGGGAAGTATATCGTGAGGATATGGTAAATATACATACCTCTGATAGCTCGTGGCATAATGAATTTATAGACAGTTCCTCTTGCTTTGGCTTCTCAGAATGCCTATTCTCGTGATTTTCATATATAGAATAAGAAACCCGTACTCTTTGATAGGGAACAAAGTTAATGGAGTGGGTTCTGCCGGAGGCGGTATAACATAATTAAGCCACTAAAAGTGTAAGCTTTAATTAAGCTATGCATTAACAGGAATTGCATTATTAGGGTATTACTGAGCCTGCAATGATCTAATTACCTAGGTTAGACCATTCAACTGACCCAGAGGTTCTTCAACTTCCACTCTGGACATTGTTTGGTATCATTAGAAAACTGCCTTCACGTATCATCTATTCACAAATCTTTGCTTAATAGTCATCTAAATATATCAAAGCTACTAGATTAAAAACTACATCTGCAGACTAAAATATCCTTTCTTGTGATGACATCGAAAGTGGAAGTGAAAGTCTCATAGTTCTACCATGCCGCCGCATCAGAAAGATACAGGAGGAGATCTAAAATCCTGCTTTCAAGAAATCGTAGATTTACCTAATAACAACGGCTTAAAACATGATTCCGAATTGAAGATGAGGTATAGCGGGAGACAGAGATTCTTCGAGGTCTATGCGCAAATTATTACTACCGTCTGATTCGATAATCCTGTCACTTGTAGCTGTGTTATTCCAGTTTTCTATGCTTTGAACGCTCTCATCATTTTACTCATTCGAATTGTAGTATTAGTATATCTTCAAATCCCTCATCTTGTACCTTCAAATCACCAAATATACCCGCATTCTGCTCATCTCTTCCGCTCGAGGCAGGGCTTGTTGGTAATCCGCAAATAGAGCCCAAAACGCCAGTAAGATGGATGATTGTTAGAGTTTTGTTTCTTCTGGTAGGATGAGTCCACAATTCTGACAATAGTTGCCCGCATGTTCCGGTGCTCCATTTTTGTTCTTTGTGATGACACCTTCTTATCTCCATTCATCCCTATTCTTGCCAATGCCATCTGTTCTGTTGGAGGGAAATGTGTAAACTGCGATGGATTATTCAAATTCCATGCTAGTATTGTATGTGTATGCGTGTCTTGACTCGTGCAGAAGAGCACAAGATACTAGCAATCTTAAGTCTGTTACTACGGTGTTTTGAGCTTGCAGGCCGGAGTTCCTGATTTCATCGCGATCCAAAGCGGATTCTTTTGTCAATCCGGTGATTGTGACTGGATTCTTTGTCACATGCCTATGAGCATACTAGCTTTTGAATATAGCAAGAGCTTGTTAAGAAATACAGTTGTAGTGACACACGACCTTTAGGCATGCCTGAGCCTGCTCCGCTTTTCGCCAATTCCTCGAAGACGATGGCACTTTGGTAGCTAACCCTCTGGTCTCGCTGAAATGATATTGTGGTTGCTTTCTCTTCAATATCATAACACTTTCGTTGAATTAGACCTCGGCCAAGGAATTCAATGAATTGAAACGGCCATACTTTTCTATGTCTCGGTATCCTACATGTTGCTATTTCAATGTTCTAGGATAGGTCCAATGACCGTGGTAAAAAAAAAATATGTTCAAGATGATTGCCGTTGCCGTCTAACCATGTAAAAGGTACATAATTGTGCAACACAGAACAAATGATTGCAAGCACTTGACAGGTAAAGAAAAGTCATGATAGACGGTCCAAGCAAGGCGCATCTAGGCACTGGAGTGCGGTTTGTAGTCTGAACGGTACTCTGGAACTTGCCAAAGGACTGTACATAATACCCAGGAAAGCATAGGACAGACATTATGAGCGACAACTTGCAGTAATAGTTCCTGAACAATATCAATATTTTCAACCGATCGTGAGTAATCAGCCTCCCAAGCGATATGCAAGATGTTTAGCGTGCACAACCGTTCACCCTGGGCGCGCCCCACCGAAATCGTAAACAACTCATCCTCCAGCTACAAATATTCATCTCCTCTATGTTTCTTCATCATTCTCTTTCATCCCTTTTATCCCTTCCATTCCTTCCATTCATTCTTCGCCTTTCCAAAAATCATCCATATATCTCAGCATTTCAATCATCAGCCTCACAACTTCATGCATGCACCCCGCCACGACGAACAACAGCAGAGCTTCGCTATGCCTCTTTTTGCGGGATTTTTTCGCCCATTTCAAAACTCCTCTGACTCATTGCTCGATGTTGTATGCTATCATCTGCTTCATATTTCTTGGCTTGGCTTGGAGTAGGAAGTACGGTGCGTTGAAACTACCTACCTGGAGGATTGCAATAATAACGCTTAGCTTAATAACGCAGAATTCTTCCTTCTAGGTAACAAAATGATAAAGTGAATCATTAGTTTCACTAGTTCTTAATCCTTATTTACCTTGAAGCCAAAGATATATATACTCTGCGTAGGTATGTAGTTGGTATATACTCTATTCCCAATATATACTTTAAATGTAATCTTCATTCGATTAAATGGAAGTCGGCCCCTCAGCGGAGCGAGGAAATCCCCGCTGAGCCGTTTATCCGGGAACCATTCCCAATCCTCTATTTCTGATTGATTCATTCACAGATAAGCCTCCTAGGCATGATGATTTTTGATATTTTAGTCACGGACTGTCTCGGATGGGGCACAACTGCATCCAACTCTTGTATATACCTAGTAGAATGAGCAGCACAGTGAGGTAAGCAATGGAAGGTGCAAGAGTCTTTCGTTTTTAGAACGAAAGTACATATTGTGTGACATATCCTGAATATGTTTAATATTTCTTGATTGTATTGTACATGTTCTTAGCTTATCAACTTTCCTCTGCTCATCAATCCGTTGTTTGTGGTTTTCATCTCGTACTCGTACAAAGTGCCGCAAAGATTATCCTTGCTATTACGTACTTGCGATCTACTTGCGATCCTTCCGGAAATAGTCCAATAAATAGCTCAATAAATAGAAGGTTTTGATGACGAGTACTATATCTTAAGCGCAGCTATATCTGTCCCTCCTCAAGCGATTTGGTTCCTTCCGCAAAATAACCTCCTCAATCAGAGATGACATCAAGATTTCAGAAAAATATCTGCCAGTGCAACAACCAGCCTTTCTCTTCAGCTCTCCTCTTATTGTCAATACTCTTTCCGAAATTGTCCTACGCGCAGATTTCCACGGTTTATGTTACTCCTGATCCCCTACCATCGTATACGCCCCAAAACTCCAACGTCAGTCCGCAAAACCCCGACACCGGCTCGGAAGTTGAAGATACTTCCAGCCATGTCTACAACTACTATTTCGTGATAGTCGCCGTCTTCGTAGTTATCGTCTTCTTCCTTCTTCTCTATATAACTCGACGTCGAAAGCGCAAGGCGGAACTCCTACGAAATAATGGACGAAGTGCTTTGGCACGCGATGTACAAGCGTTCACAGACTTTAGAACGAGATTTGGACCCAGGAGAGGGGGATCCGGACTGATGGGAATGACGATGGCAACGATGGGTGGGCATAGTGAAAGACAAGAAGGGTTGGATGATAGGGGTGAGGCACCTCCGGCTTATGTTGAGGGTGACAAGCCGCCAAGTTTGAGAAGTGAAGATGGAATCACAATGATGATTTCTAATGAAGATCATTGCAATGCCGACAGTGCACCTAGTGCGCCAACTGCAGCGACTCCAGGTAATAACAGTAATACTGCGGGACACGATGCATTGGGCGCGGGGTCGAGACTATCTGCGGAACTTTCACGGCCAACTAGCACAACCCCGAGCAATTCGGTGATTCGTACATCTATAGGGGGTACATCAACACCGATCACAAGTACAGCCGAGTCGAATCAAAATGTGGAATTACGGCCACTGAGTCAAAGTACATCACCACGTCCACCTCTGGGACCCCCCACATATTCCGAAACATTCCAAGCACAACCGGATCTTGCAAGACCAGCTGCTGCCGTGACAGCCCAGGACCGGTTTACTCCCACAAGGAGATTGATCAGTGAGAGTAGAACTTCATCTGAAATGTGAAGCAGGAACTTCGAGTGCAGTATGATTATGAACATATGCGAACGATTTTTTATTAGATATTTTACATGGAGGGTCTTAAAACGACAGGGCGATTAATAAGGATACGGAAGGTGTTCAAGATTTTGGACGAGGTTTTGGATATGGATATGGAATGGGATTCCCGAGGATATAAGGTTACGGTGCCTCTAGAGGGCGTTTATGATGGTAATGATAATAGGTCATGAAGCATTATTTCGATATTATTAGTATGGTTCTTGTTATTGTGTAATGATATTCAAAGCAGGAAGGGCATGTATATTAAATCATTTCTTATTCCAGAATTACTCAATGACTAGTAAAATTAGCTCGATAGCGTATGATGAGAACTGGTTACTCCAAACAATCAACATGTCAGTCCAATACTTCCCTTCCTGGAATCTACATCCAATCATACTAGGTACTCAAAATCCAAAAAAAAAAAATTATTTCCTTCAATACTACGTTACCAACAATCAATCATCAACTTAAATAAAAATCCCTACAGAATAAAAGATTTCAAATCTTTTCAATCTCCTCGATTTCGTCATTTCATTTCACTTAACCTTACTATGTATGACGAGTTGGAAATCTGGAAATCTGGAAATCTGGAAATCTGGGAAGTATAAGAAAGTGGAGTACTGTGGAGAGGGATGCACGGAAAAGGGGGGGGCTAGAAATAAGAGTGTGGAGAGAGTGGAGAGAGTGGAGAGTTATGGGGATTTGAGAGAGAGGGGGAGGGGGGAGGTTGAAGGGATTTATTGGGATTTATTTAGATGGATGCGGTGAATAGGAAATGTGAGGAGAGACATGTGACGAGGGAAGGGGAGGTGAAGGAGATGTATGGAGTTTAGGTTTGTTACTGGTGGGGTTGGCGAGGAGGGGAAGGAGAAAGGAGGGAGATTTATTGATTTGTAGGTTAGATGAAGTATAATACAGTATCAAATAATACAAAATACTCTTAGATTATTAAATTTATTAATTTTAAATATAAAAATTTTAAATATTTCTCAAGGAATAAATTTATTCATATAAAAAATTTCAAATATTAAATTAATAACAAATTTAATTCTAATATATATCTAGGTATAAAAGATAAATACAAAGTAATCCTGTTTAATAATTAAATAATAAATTATATACAAAATATAAGATATAAGATATAAGATATAAAAATAAATAAAATGATGAAGTCGAATATATAATAGCTTGTAAAATTAGATAGGTACATAGCTATAATAGATTGATTGAAGTTGAAGATATCATAATATTCCTTATTCCTTGATATACGGAGGGGGTGTAGAAGGTATATATTGAGGGGGTATTAAGACTCGAGAGGGTACTTTCAGTTGTAGTAGGAATGATATGATGAGAGGTTATTGGTGATAGTTGATGATTGATAATTGATAATTGATAATTGAACGGGGATGGGGGGAAGATAATAGGGGATGAGAGATGATGATTTAGGTGATTTAGGGATATGATAGCGGAGTGGATGAATATTAATGGATATAGAAGATGGAGAAGATGTTTGAGGTATAGAAAATAAATGCTCAAAGTATGGTGTGTGATTGTTTTATAGCCAGGACTACATATGGTCATCATGTGAAATGTGTTAAATTTATAGGAGTCCATAAATGCTAATTTCTCAGAAAGGTGCTATCTCTCAACAGAGAGTATGTGTTGAATATGAAAATTATGAACGACGCTAGTCATTCTTGAGCTACCAATGGTTTAAGAATTGCCAGAATTGCCGTAGTCGCATATCTTCTTCACTTTTAACATCCCATGAAAGTCCTTGTGACTCAAGTTCTTCAAGCCTGGCCTTCGCCTTTTGGCTCTCCGTCCTACCAAAGTCTCTATAGTCATACCAAAGTACGCTCGGTATGAGAGAACATTCTTTCGCTAAGAGATCCTTGTGTAAAAGGCGGTCATTCAGTAACGACTTAAATCGGTGGCCATGGTAGATATGTGTCAATATGATAAAGTTAATGCCATGCTCAAAGCCTGCTGCAATGTTGGGCTCTTGAAGTCTAATGCCCATAAAATTCACTTTTTGGAGGGTCAAATCATTTCTGATTGTATCAAAAACTTCAGCCCAGTCTTTGGGATCGCTTTTTAAGCTACACTGCCGGATTTTAAAGGATTTTAGAGATTTGCTATGTCTCTGGAGGAACTTGGCAAGCGAGGTACTGCTGCCTTCGACATAGGAGAATTCCAGGACTCCTAAACGTGGCAGTGTCAAACCCGGTACGACTTCATCCCAATCTATATACCCGAAGCTGAAGTCAGACACCTTTGCGATGGTAAGATGTTCGAGGTTAGAAGTGGCTTGTAGCAATTGCCTCAATACGTGGTAAGAGGGCAAGTTCCATACTCCAAGATGAAGATAGCGAAGATATCGAGCATCTGGTCCATCTGGAAATATGATACCAGTGCTATTTGAGGCACGATACAGCATATTCAAGTCTATTCGGTCAATATGAAGCCACTCCAGCTTCGTGTCAGCCTTTCCAGCAGCAGAGAGAAATGCTAAAACTTCTTCATGGCACTTCCTATCAAAAAATCCAAATTGGGGAATGATTGCCATAGGGTCGAGACCATGGGATAAACGCCTATTTGGTCTCGCAATACGGTTTTCCATGACGAATCTTTTCAGAGAGCGGAACTTTGGTAGCACTTGTGAAAAGATCCATTGACTAAATTTGCTCTCCTTCATTAAATTCTGATCTTCCCGAATCTTATTGTAAACTATAAAAGCATGAGATGTTTGAACCGAAAGCTGTGACTTTGAGGGGTTTCTTACTACTTTCTAGTCCGTAGTCCCTGCTGCGAAATTCATTTCCGTCCAATGTCTCCATCACAAATGGCTCATACCATATTGTTACGACATGCTTCGACATCTCGGGATGTTTCGAGATATTGAGTAGTTTTTCGAAGCTCTCCCTAGTAAATATAAGGTAGATAACCTGGACGAGACGATCCACTCCAGCTGCAGCGCAAACATTGCTCGTTAATCGAAAATTAGCTGCATCTTTTACCGGGAGATATTCGCAGATAGCCCGGATTATTTCGACAGGTAAAATATCGACAAGTGAAGCCCTAGCTTCGTCGTTCTCGTCCGCATTTACACTCATTGTGACTCCTGTTGAAAGGTAAGTTAGGGTATGAACGTAAAGGTGGATGGCGGCTAATACTACCATCAAATGATTGTTTCTAATTATTTGGTATTGATAGAGCATTCGTTGCATGAATAGAAATTGCGAATTTGCTCAACTAACCTTTTAGAGAGAACCTACCAGATTGTCTAGACGAAATCATAAAAGTCAGGTGAACGATCGATTCACCTAATACCACCATACTTTACCCAGTCAGTGAATATTTGCATTTGCATTTGCACCTGGATCCCCGTCCACTCATAGAACATCCTCCAAAACAAATCTTCAAAGTCATCCGGTTAGTTGTTCCGTCTACTCATTGATTTGATTCAGAATATGTGATTTAGATTGACTGTCCGAATTATGTTGAACGAGCCAAACGTCGTCATATAAAAAGCCGAAAGGCAAAGATTGAATAATACCTAATATATATACCTAGGTAGGTAATTATGAATGACTCTTCCCGGCCTCAATTGAATGAATAAGGCTAGCTTTCCCAATTCAAATTTGCATCAAATAAGATTTGAGTCTTTTGTGTGTCAATCGTCGGCTTTTTCTGCAGGTCGGTCGGCAGGTTGTGTTGGAAGTGAAAGTTCCTCATCCGAACTTCAAGGTAGTCACGACCAATCGATAGAACTTTACTAGTCATCACTTCTCAGGATGACTCATTCTCACTCATTCCAACCACCCTATGCATATCCAAAATGTTTCGATGGTAGCCACCTCATCGCACCACATCACATTTATCCCGCCAAATTTTCCATTGGATACTCATTTGATCGAATGAGTATTATCGTTTTAAAGAGGCTCAAGGTAAATAAGCCTTTTGCTCAAGGAACTGTGATCGCCGGCCTGATAGCCGTAAGCAACTTCGAGATTTTACCGAAATGCAAATTCGTCCAGTGGCGGATATAATCTCGAACATTCTACTACAAACTGGAACCATCTTTGGAAGGGGTTGGCCTGGGTTGGTCTTTCCCTTTTTGTTTATCGGCGAAGGAATCAGAGAGTGTGTAAGCATGTATGCGCATGCCTATTACCCTGCACCAAAGGCGCGTCCGTGGAGTCATCTTCTCCTCCACATGGCAACCACTAAAAGGGGTCAATCAATGTCTAATCCTCGAGTATGAGTGAGGATGAGTTGAATGTAAAAGCTTTGTATGATTTATATAAAAGGATCCTGCTATTGTCATGATGAAAGAGAACAATTCTCCACATCAGGCGTTTCACTTTTATACCTTTTTACCTTGCCTGAATCCCGGTTACTATTACTTTCCGCTTGACCCTTCCCCTATAGAGCATACACGAAAATATCAAGATTGCTCTCCAAAACGAGCGAGCAAAATCGGAGAATTCGAGACCAGCGACAATGATGTCTGATACCGAGTTGGAAAAGAGTAATGCGCCTTCAATTGATGATTCGACATCGAGAAAGAAGGAGATCAGTCCATATGGCGCGGAAGTAGTAGATGGAGAAGTAAACAATAATGGGCAGGTGGAAGATGGTCTAGAATATCCAAAGGCTCTTGCAATGGTGATGATAGTGGTTGCTTTATCACTCAGTATCTTTCTAGTTTCTCTAGATATGACAATTGTGGTATGTATACTTTCTCTCTTCTGCCAATGAAGAATATCATTAAACCCTTCAATCAAGTAGATAACTGACATTAACAACAGGCTACAGCAATTCCCAAAATCACTGATCAATTCCATGGATTAGATCTGGTTGGCTGGTATGGCTCGGCATTCTTTCTCACCGTGGGATCCTTCCAATCAACATGGGGAAAAGCGTACAAATATTTCCCACTAAAAATCACCTTCCTCATGTCCATCTTCATATTCGAGCTAGGAAGCTTAATCTGCGGTATGTTCTCCCAAGATGCACATTCAAACACTGAAACTAATTACAACCTCATAGGCGTTGCCCCAAATAGCACCGCTCTAATAGTAGGCCGAGCCATTGCTGGACTTGGAGGTGCAGGAATTGCTTCCGGAGCATATACAATTATAGCATTTGCAGCACGGCCCCAACATCGCGCAGCATATACAGGGATTTTGGGGGCATCCTATGGAGTAGCATCTGTAGTTGGACCCCTTCTTGGAGGTGTATTCGCAGATAAATTAACATGGCGTTGGTGTTTCTATATCAATTTGCCTATTGGTGGTGTTGCCGCGGCTATTATTCTGTTTTGTGAGTACTCATGATTCTTCTTACTCTAGACATAAAGCATGAAAACTAATATTTCCACATTCTAGTATTTACTTCCCCTCCAAATGCAGTACCGACGCCCGCTACCCTCAAAGAAAAGATTTTACAAATGGACCTCCCCGGAACCTTCACAATCATGGCCAGTCTCGTCTGTTTCTTCCTAGCTCTTCAATGGGGTGGCCAAACTAAAGCCTGGAAATCTGCCGATGTGATTGGTACTCTCGTCGGTTTCGTCTTTCTCATCGTTCTCTTCATCGTAATTCAATATTTTCAAGGTGAACGTGGAATAATCGTCGGCCGTTTATTGAAAGAACGTACTGTTTCTGTAGGAATGGTATACGTATTTTTCCTTGGCGGTGGATGGTTTATTCTGCTTTACTATCTCCCCTATTACTTTCAAGTCGTTTCTGGGGTTTCGGCTGCTCAATCTGGAGTTCGAAATTTACCAATGATTATTGGTACTACTATTGCTACCATTCTTTCGGGGGCATTGATCTCTGCATTTGGTCACTTGTAAGTCTCCATTCTACATGAAAGTGAACATTAAGTAACTAACATACCTTTTCAGCGTCCCCTTCATGATTCTCGGTGCAGTTGGAGCAACAATAGGATGCGGACTTCTGTATACCCTTGGTGCGGCCTCTACCTCCGCCCAATGGATAGGTTACCAGGCACTCACCGGTCTTTCTACCGGTTTCGCTTTCCAAATCCCCGTCATCTCCTCTCAGACCACCGTCTCCCCAGCCGACCTATCATCCGTTACAGCTATGGTACTTTTCCTCCAGACCATCGGCGGCGCATTTTTCATCTCCATAGCCGAAGCAGCATTTGCAAATCGAATTCTACATGTTCTTCCACATTACGCACCTTCTGTGTCTCCAGCCCGGGTATTATCAGTAGGAGTTGGCGAACTAAGAAATGTATTCGGGAAAGAGAGAGACACGATTCAGGGAATTATAGAGAGTTATCTACTGGGGCTGAAAGTTACATATGCTATGGCGATAACTTGTACAGGAATTGCATTTTTTGTCGCTTTGGGGAGTAGTTGGCCTTGGAAGAATTTGAAGGGGAAGACATCAATGGGTGGTGCTGCCTAGATGATATTACGTGTGCACTGTTTAGAGAGAGTATTTACTAGAACGATCTGTTTTGAAGATAATGGATGAAAATGATTAAAAAACATAGAACTGGTCATCGATTGTCATTAAGTAAATATGTTTCTTCTCAGATGAAATAAAAATAATAAATTTATTCAACGGCTGACAGAATTACATCCCCTCCAAAAGCTGTCTTTAACTATGGGATACAAATTTCTCCTATTAAGATGAGCTCCAAAACATCAAAGTATATAATTATTGACAAGTATTCCTCATTCTCATTAGTACCTACTATCTAACGGCTTTCGAAATAATTTCGAATAAAGTTAGATATATATCAAGCACTCAAAGTAGACTGACTGGTTGAGAAACTGGTTGAGATAGAGGTAAGTAGAGCTTATTAGTTTCTTCAAAGTTCATTCAAGATTTTCAACTTTAGTTCTAGTTCTAAGTAAGGGTTCTATAGTAGACACTGGGTACGTATACTAGACAACTCGGTTAATTAACCTTACAGTTATATACTGATTAAGATTAAGTACATGATTCTTCAGAGCAGACCCAAAAATCAAAAATCAAAAATTTGAGAATTAAAATTATATAAATTTTATTTCATTACGTACTGGAGCTTGTACTTGTACTTTATTGTTCTGGTTTTTTTTATAAAAAAATATATATAGTGTAAAAGTGACAGGTTGAGATATATGTGTTCCGATAGTATATTGTAAGGGGGAATTGGAAGAGAAAGTTGATTAGATTATATTGTAATATGTTATTTATGAAGAAAACGAGGTTCATAATAGGCTTGGGATTGAGGTTATATAGGTTCAAATATAAGAGATTATATGATTAATTTAAAACCTTTATGTATCTGATCTATAATTCCAATTTTCTCATAATAGATATAGATAAACTCCATCTAAGATTAGATCAAACAGTCAACCTATTCCACACAATGAAGACACTCCGCCCTTCTGGCGTATATCCACAAGAATTAAGCAAAATATTAGAGGCGCTGTCTCTTGAACGGACTAATCAACAGGAATCATACCCGTTATACCACTTAGCCCATACATTAATCAATCAAAGCAATCCAATCCAAGCAATCCACCACCATCCAATCCTCCCTCCTCCGCCCCCAGCCACCCCTCCCGCTCCTACCCCCATGAAAGCCTTCAAACCATCCAACGACTCAAACTTCCTTTATAGAAACTCAGTTACTACTACTACTACCACTATTATTAATAATATTATAATTCTCTCTGATATCAAAATATCAATACTACCTTCCACTCACCCTCTTACACTTCAAACCCTTTCAACTTGGTAGGTACAAAATCATCTAGTCTTGCCCTGCTTTCTCCTCAGATAATAAAAGAAATTAATCAACCCTTTTATTGCTTCTCATATCCAAATCTGAAACTTAACAATCAATATATTATTAGACCACAATAAAAGTCCTTGCTGATCTATAGGCTAGACCATCTCTGAATGAATTATTCGCTCTTCAAAGCATTAGTAAATACGATTAATTATTCATTTATAATATGGCTGTATACATGAGAAAATAACCTATTAGTAAGGGTTTGCAATCAAAAACCAAGAACCTTTGCAATTGAGGCAGACTTCGCGAGTGCAATTACTACCATCACAGTATACATATCGATTGCGCTCTGCCATACATTGGCAGCACGTCCATTATCCGTCAAAATCAGAGAGGATGCATCGAGGGCGTCCACAGCAATTGCTATTTGGTATAATGGTTGCGGGTCTCTTCCATCTACAAATGATAGTCGTTCCAGCTGCATTCCGACATGCCTCGGAACAATAAGCTATGCCTCCTTCAAATATTGATGGTAGCATTTGTATTGAGTTTTGTTCCAATGACACATGATGTCAACTCGTGGTTAGGTTATAGAAAGAAATCAGGCGCGAAGAGAAGGTAAGAGATAGTTGTATAGTACCTGGGGGAGTTTATATTTGAATGTAGACTCAAAAGACTATGGTAATATCGTATGATATTTGACAGAAGAAGCGATGAAAGGGATTATGTTAGTGACAAATACAGATATCTTACAAAGATAAGCGATACCTTTTCATATACTGCGAAGCCTCTCTATATATTTGCTGCTATCTTCCAAGCCACTGGCTAGAAAGCTCGACGTAATCTCTCAGTATTGGCTCATCGTAGGCTTTGCTGATAGATAAATATGCTGTAACACACTAATGATAGAGGAAGCACAGGACTACCTTGAGTAATCATCACCGCTTAGTTCCAGCTTTGCTCAACTATGCAGCAAAATTTTCGATTTGGTGGTCTGCCATTACCACTTATATCAACCCCAAAGCCACCGAGGTATGTGTAGCGTTACTGCGTCATCTAAGGAAGAGAGGTATATCTTTTATTGGAGATGATTTGTGGTTATAATCATCCTTGATTTGATAGTAGCTGGTCCATATAAAAATCGGGATTCTGTCCTGTTACGCTGTGGAGTGACAACTTACCGAACACAAACTCCCCTTCCATTGATTGAACATCTATTTGCCATCTCTAGAGCATACCCTTCTTTTCGTATCCGTTCTTCCTTGTCTCGTCATTTACTCTTCAATCTTTCCAAGCTTTCTCCCATCCAAGCATATCGCTGCCAGCATCGCATTCAGACTGGCGGCGGAAAATCCTCACAGCCACGATATCATTGAAACATCGAATAATTACCAAGACCGTATCCAAAATTTCGAGGAGAGTATCGGATGTCTTTTCACAAGCTTTCTATCTAGAAAATCCCTTACCTCGCTTTCAAAATGCCAAGCCAGATTATGATGTTAAGCGTTAAGCCATAACACAATCCCGTGAAACTTCTCCATGTGACTCTGGCAAATGACATCGATGCTCGAGGCGGCCATCGCAAAACTGAAATCCTTACTCCCATCCACACGGTGCAATCATCTGTAATCTGTTACCTAACAAATAAGCAAGCCCAGCAAACAGGTAAAAGAAATGTAACCTCTCTCTCCTGTCTATTCTATCTGAAGATGCTCTTTGATTCTCTGCAACCCTTCCAAATCTCCTTCGACAGATTCACACTTCTCTTTGCTAATCCATTCAGAGGTATAGCCTCCCCAAAGTCGATCATCCATACTTCGTTTGTATTATCAATAAGAATGTTATCTGCTTTCGCATCTCCCAAAACAATACCTGTTTCATGTAGTAACCTAAGCATATTTTCAATATCAAAGAACCATTTTTTTCGTAGAGTGATATCAGGCTTTTGGCGAAGGATTCCTTGCAAAGTATCTTGGTATTCAATATACGTCAATAATAATCCCATGACCTTGTCCTTTTTATCGACCTTCACATATCCGCAAAGCTTTGGTATACGAATCTTCCTTGTCAATCCTGTCCGTTCCAAACGTAGTAAAAGATCAATCTCACGTTCGATAGCTGTAGATCTTCCGTGACTGGTAGCTTTGTAGAAATACGGTAAATGATCTCCAAATACCTTGGTAGGAAATTGTGCTCCTTCGGATCGCAGATCACAATGTGTATAAATATTCGAAGGTTGGAAGGTTGGCAAATCTGCATCGAGCACAATCGGAGGTAGTTTCATACTCGGTATGAGATATTCGAGAGAGTGAGAATTTGCAGGTGTGGCTATTGGGGTGAGTTTTCCTTGAACCACTTTGAGTGTGAAAAATAATGTAGGAGGATTAAAATATTCGTATAAGGTTTGCATCTGCGGAGTTGATGAGAGCTGTGGTGGTAATGTTTGGAAGATGGGAAGGAATGGAGTTACAACCCAATCAAATATCGCTTCAAGAGGATCTGGGTCTTCGGGATTGTACTCTATTTCATCCTCAGATTGGATTGCATGGAGAAGTTGAAGGCATTCTCGTTCATATTTTGAAGCTTCTGTTTGTTCGGGACAATGCAAATTTTGTGCTAACAAAGTAACATGGAAACGTTTGGCTCGACAAATGACGGTCAGCTGGGGAACTGAGTGGACGATGCACCTTGTTGCTTCTTCCTGATGATATTCAACCTTATATGTAAGTTATAACGAAGTATTATCGAATAATTTCATTTGATCATATAATAGATGAGAACATGAAATGCCAAAATCAGGAGATGATCATGATAAAAAAATAATGCAGCCTCTGAAATCCAGAGGTATCTGCGAAAAAAGCTAATAAAACAAAAGCCCACAAAGCAGCGGATAGGATCTAGAAACATTATTGCAAGCTTATGAATAACTGGATAGAGTTCTGAACAAACCAATCTATAATTTCAAGATCCTTATCAAATACAAATGAGTATAAGATCCTTTATTAAGTATTTTATACTAAATAATCTGATGAATAGATCAAGATATAGTCAGTCTAGTATCCTACTTTTGGGCCACCCCTCTTTTGGGACATTTTTCTCATCAAAAATGACGAAAATCAATATTTATAATTTTTTTATTTATAAATATAATCCCTTCAAATGTTAATGATTAATATATTATTTGTATAATAATAAATTCTAAAGCTTCAAATGACTTTATTTATTTATTATTAAATTATTAATAAATAAAAATCAACCTTTTTAATATAAAAAAATAATTCAAAAGAAAGATAATTAAAAAATAAGATTCTAGATTTATTTGTTTAATAAGATTTTTTATTTTTTTATTTACATGACCTCTAATAAGAATATTCAATTAAAATATCAAGATATAATATCACCACCACTCTCAAAAATCACAAAGTAATAAAAATAAATAAAAACACCCTAGTCATCTCATCATCTCGACTAGAACGAAATATATCCTCCTAAACTCTAGGTCATCCATCACATTTAAAGAAAATACATACCCTAGTGAGGACAAGATATTGGATAGTATATTGACAACTGTAAGATTACATCTTGAATCAATGCATACCCGTCAATTGTACAGAGATGGTGCATCCTCACAATGTGTAGATACGATGCTGAAATTCCTATCATTTGGTCTTCAATTCAGTACACGATAATGATGCTGTAAAAAGTCATCCATGTCCTACGTCGAGATTCTCATTCGGATGGAATATTCGGCCGAAGGGTTAAGTATTCAAAGGTACTATGTATAAAGCTAGAGAGCGGGACTCATTGAGTTTGAAAGGAAGGATAATATCCTCTTATATTCGTATCGAAATTTCATGATCAAAGTACTCTTGCGAAACACAGCATACATATATATACTTTGAAGCAGGGAGCAAATTATCATTCGTTTAGAGAGAGTATTGGCATCAAATAAGACAAAGGTAAATAGGTATTTCTCTACTATAAGACAACAAAATTTCTCCTCGAGATTGATTATTCCTCGCCGATCGAATTGATGCCCAGAACATGGCAATATCGCAGTTGCTCATTCTTGCTAGGACACTTAAACTGGAAATCTGGTAACAATTTCGAATTGAATAGGAAGAACCCTTCGTACCCTTCGTACCCTTCGTAAAGTGTATTTACTTCGTATGGTAAAAAAAGCTCCACAGAACGGAAGCACAAACCTGGTATACCGTCGGACCGTTGGCAGAACTCTATATATTTTCCTTGTGGGCCAACAATTGCGAGTAGTGCCAAGCATAACTTTATGCTCTGACATGGCACAAGCACACTCACGACACCACGACCAAGCCAAATAGAAAGAGCCTTCTCTTTCCACAGCCTTCATAACTCACTCCCGCGATACCGATACGAGGTCCAATAGTAATTGATATAAAGCAACACGAAACCCAAAATTTACATCCCACCTGAATGCCTCGTGTGATTTAAAAGCCCACTGTATATGCTTTAAATTTCAATCAAGTCTTTCTAAATTGTAATCTGCGGTAGATCCCCATGACACAATTGGCCCCGACTGGTAGGATCAGGATGAGGCAAGGAAATCCTTGATGTTTGATGATTGAATCAAGTATGATGATGACATGAATAATCTACATGAAGAGGTGTGAGACTCTCACGGCTCTTTATGAGAGCTGTGAGATTCAGGTTCGCTGTTGAGATATGGGTAAGTGAGGAGTAGCCAGGGACCGAATGTCTTGAAGCTTTGAGCATAATTGGAGTAAATATAAAGTTAAAACACAGGTACCGAATGATGAAAACGAGAAAGAAAGAAAAACGTTGATGATTAATCTTACCGTTGTTGATGATGGATGGGGCGCCTATGGAGTATGTACTTGTAACATCAGATTACGACACTTGAAGAATACGGAGTAGAGTACCTCTGTAGATCGTAGATTTAAGATGACCGATTATCTCGAGCCTCCTTCAACTCATTCCTATCAACTCATTCCTATAATTAGGTAGGGTCACATTACATTAGTTTCACGGTACTGGGAATCCAGAATTACGGTAGCTAAATTATCGATACGAGTTTCTCTCAAATCCCCAATCCCCAATCCCCAATCCCCAATCCCCAAATCCTTTACTGCAACCTCTTCCTCTAGTAAAGGAAGGGAAGGAAGTTTGTACGCTTTTCATGATATGAACTGCGCATACGGAACCCCATTCTCAAATCGGTACCTGCGCCGCCAAGAGGTATCAGTGGGGAACTGATTTTTCTTTGGCGCCCGAAAACTTCCTGACGAGGGAATTAATCACGTGCGAGGGACCTTTCCGAATGATTCTTGAAGAAAATTTGGTCCGAAGTTAATCCATCACACAAGTGTTACCTGACGGATCGCAAGATTTCAATAATGTAACAAGCCTTCGTCGGATTTTTCTGAGAGTTTCGAAACAGAAGACTAGTTTTGGATCTTCATGAGGATTGGTGGAAAGTGGATACGAAAAAACCGTTATTATTGTGATCACCCCGTTATCTTCTGCTGCTGAGTAAGTCCAGATGATGTTCACTTGAGAATCACGCAGTAAGAGAATAGGATCAAGTAATTGGGTAAAAGTTCAAGAATAGGGGGTCAGCAAAAGACAAAAATTGTGTATTTCGGCGGTATTGATGAGGTCATGAAGGAGATTCCAAATTGTAGGACGCACAGAAAGATTTTCCAGGATCCTGAGTCGAGTTAATCCCAATAGCGTCAAGCGAACGACGGTAAAGGGAGCGGGCCATACAGAGTTTTTGAGAATAGTCAGGGGTATTAAGGTAGGCAGGGCCAGGGTGCCACTTAAATAATTCGGACGCGTAAACAAGCTGAGGCTGTGAATTAGAAAACTATGCAGCTTGTAGCAAAGATACGACGATAGGGCTGTATTGTACGAGATGAGAGTTGCCACTGCTCGGTGAGAAGTCGGCCATCTTTTGTTGGTGGGTGGGAGAGACCTAGTAAAGCAGGCATTGGTTGTAAATAGAATCATGAGGGGAAGTACGAGGTAGACAGATAGAATTGTTCGCAACTTCGCATTGATCGAAGATGCGCTCAACTAAGACTAAGCTAAACCCAAGGTTTGTGCCTCTACTTCGGAATTGACTCGATCATGCTAGCTAAGACGAACTATGTGGGTGAGATGTGAGAAAGTATGACTTGCAGTGCAGGTACGGATTCGACAAATGCTATGGGTATTTGGTTGACACTTAACAGAGAGGTTCAAAATAGAATATCCAGCGTAAAGGAGACGATAAAAGAAAGTTTATAAAGATCATCCCATCCATCTCACACATGGGTGGGCATACTCCGTAGACACGAAGCAGAGAAGCCCTGCCAGTTATCTATCGAGTAGTAGGCTAGTAGCACACCAACGTTTTAGTAAGTACCACTAGGCAGTAAGAGGTGAGAATCCGTGAGATGTATCATTTTAGCGATCTACCAGTGGCTTTTCAGAATAGATCCGGCCATCCCATCTCATTGATATGGACCTGGAAAAAGTAAGCACCTAAAATAGCTGGACTGCTGGACTGCTGGACTGCTGGACTGCTGGACTTCTGGACTGCAAAAGCCGACAACATGGGTATGTTAGAGGTTAGAGTAAAAAGTGATGGAGGTTTCATGGGTTGATTTTGCCTAGGTAGAGTAATCTCTCAACTCTTTCTTCTGTTCACCACTGCAGCAAGTTATTGATTGTAGGTATTGATTGTACTATCTACAGAGTCTCATATCGCCCGATACGATATTAATAATTTAAATCACATACTCAAGCACCCGGTCGAGAGATCCATGATGCGGTACTGTACAGAGAGTGTAATAAGAGTGATAAAGAAGTGCTTCAATTCCTCAATGATTAAAGAAACATAAAACATTGGCACAATCAGGTACTAATAAAATAACTAGCGCGTGCTCTTTAATGCTTTAGGATTGCCATGAAAATGCAAGCCTATGACTCTTTCTATTAATCTTGTACACAGTACGCACAGCCAGACTTCCTTTTAATCTTGTGTAACGTACCTACCTAGGTAGACCTCCTTTTGATGAATACAAAGAGCCCAGCCAATTTTGCAATCGGCGGTAGCTAATCTTGCTTGTGTTCCCGTCTTCTTTTTTACTGAACTAAAATGGCAAGGTTCCTATGTAAAATTATATCCGCATATAATAAGACTTCTAGGTAGGGTAACATATAAACTTTTTAGCTTCCAAAGCTTGGTTTAACTGAGAGAAGTTAATTTATTACTCGTAGAAGTTAGGAGTGAAATGAAAAGATTAATAAAACATGACTGAAGCAATCGATTAATCAACCGATTAATCAATCGATCAATCAATCGATCAATCAATCCAATCAAGCCAATCACTCCAATCACTCCAATCACTCCAATCAATCCCATCCCATCTATTGACCTCGACTGAATAGGGCGGTGCGTGCGTTCTCAAGGGAAAAGATTGAAAGATCAAAATATCAAGAGCGCGCTGAAAGAACAACCTAAGAACAAACTCAAACTAGCCCCGAGAAACCTGCACTGCATTGGCACCTTCCCACTCCCGCCCAACTTTGCGCATTTCTACTTCTGCATGTTCTAAAGAAAGCAATTTGGTTCAAAGCCTCTCAAAGTCGAACCGAAGCCTGCTGATTTCTTTCCTTTTTCTTTTTCTTTTTTCCCACCCACGCCACCAACCACCCACCTAACGCCAAAAGAGTTCTCCTGCTGAGTTCCATGTTGAATTGAACGCCCAAGTTTGTTGACCACAACCAAACACCGAACAGAACTTCTCTTTACACAAGAAACAATACTTGAGATATTCTGTAAGAAAGATATCAAGAAAGCCTGATTCAACAAACGATCAAGATCTCGACCTTGTTCGTTTAAAACCGACATTCGTTTGTACACACACTCCCTTCTTATTTCGATCGAGAAGGATTCTTGGATACACCTCCTTTCTTTGTAATTTCTGCTGGCCCATCGGGAAGATCCTTCAACATTCAACCTTTCCTTTCCAGCTCTTTCAAACTAACGACACTCAATACCTTCACGATAACATTCCATGAATTTTGAACTTCCACGAATTGATCTGAGGTTGCCTTTAACTGTTTTTCGATCACTTCGAGGAATTGGGCGCGTGTGTCCTTGATCTATTTCCATCCTTTCTTCCACATTACGAACCTCTTACGAATTCCGCATTCCAGAACATCAACCACAACCGCCTTGGCTGACGTAGCAGATGCTATTGGAGTTATAAGATTTTTTTTAATTTGGGCTTGTTTCTATTGTCGCTATGGACCACTCCTATAGTGGTTCCGGGCGAAAGCCCCCTCACATAACAGTCAATTCGGGCAGCGGTGCAGATCTGTTGGATTCATCTACTACTTCTCCTGCTACTGCAGGAACTCCTGGTCAATCGAGACAGTTAATTCCGCCGCCGAGACCACCGGCTACCGGTTCGCAACAGTCACTAATGACTACTCCTCAAATGTATGGCTCACCCGATGTAGCTCAGTCCAATGAAATGCTACTTCCTCCTGCGAGATCGCGGACTACAGCGAACAATCAATCATCATCATACTCCGATTACCCTTTACCTTCTCCTTCGGTATCGGGATTCTCATCACGAAGAACAAGTTGGAGCTCAGAAGCGGGAAGTCGAGACAGCCGAGCGGGACCATTTGGCTCACCTTTTGATGATTCGAGAGCTTCTTCCAGAGCAGGCGACAGTGACGATGAGAATATAAATACACAAACTGTCTCCGAAAAATATAATATCATGCCATCTGCAGGATTGTTACTTTTTCCAGAGGATGTCGAGAAAGATGATTACCTTCACAACCCGGACCCAAGTGACAAGGACTTAGATAAGTGCGACATATGGAACAGGAGAGGTCTTACAAATGTGGGAGGCTTAGTTTTCATCGTCTTGGGCGTGCTGGCCTTGTTTGTAGCATATCCAGTGGTGTATGTTTATTTTGTTGATGTTTGGGAGAGCTTCTGCTAACAATCGCATAGTACATTTGTCAAAGGCAAAATAGATCCGACTCACGGAGCTTGCGCGGCAGCAGTAGATTGTTTATCCATCAAAATTCCCCTTCTCAAGAATGTGAGGACGGGTCTCATAGATCCGGATACCCCAGACTCTGTCAAATCTAAAACTGCTCAGGACGGTACGAAGTTGAAGCTGGTGGTAGGTTCATCACATAATGTAGCGCTGCATCTAATACTAACAAACCATAGTTTTCTGATGAATTCAACACCGACGGTCGAACTTTCTATGATGGTGATGATCCATTTTTGCAAGCCGTGGATATCTGGTACGGTGCCACTCAGGATTTAGAGTGGTATGATCCAGATGCTGTGACAACTGGAAACGGTACTCTGAACATAAAATTCGACGCTTTCCAAAGTCATAACTTGAATTACCGCTCGGGAATGGTCCAGTCGTGGAATAAGTTGTGCTTCAAAGGTGGTCGCATAGAAGCTAGTATTTCATTACCGGGACGAGGAGATTGGCCTGGTTTCTGGCCTGGTTTCTGGAGTATGGGTAATTTGGGAAGGCCAGGGTATCAAGCTACCACGGAAGGGATGTGGCCGTACAGCTATTGGGATAAATGCGATTACGGGATTACGGCAAACCAGAGTTCATCAGATGGTGTCAGTTGGCTGCCTGGTATGAAGCTGCCAGCTTGTACCTGCAAGGGAGAAAACCACCCTTCATCTGGCAATTCTCGGTCGGCACCTGAAATCGACGCATTAGAAGCCACTATTGGGTTCATGAAGACAGACTGGGGAGGAGCTACGGGATCCGCGTCTCAATCATACCAAATTGCTCCCTTCGATATATTCTACATGCCAGATTACAATTATGTTGAAGTGTATGATAACGAACAGAGCTCCGTAAACTCCTACCGTGGTGGGAATTATCAACAGGCTATGTCTTCGATAACTTGGCTCAACAATGACTGGTATGATGGTAATGGATATCAAACGTATGGATTCGAATATACCCCTGGAGCCACGGGGAAGGTCACATGGTTCGTCGGTGATCAGTACACTTGGAAAATGGATGCCCGGGCTTTGAGGCCAAACGGAAATATAGGTCAACGAACGATGCCTGAAGAGCCCATGACGGTCATCATGAATTTGGGAATGGGTACCAGTTTCTCGGAAGTTATGATGCCTAACTTGAACACTTTGTTTCCTGCTACTATGCGTTTCGATTACCTCCGAATATATCAACCAGAAGGATCCGAATCGGTCACTTGTGACCCTGAGGGATATCCCACCACCGAATACATCGCACAGTTCCCAAAGGCATATGTAAGTTTATAGTTTCCTTTCTCACGAGAAGAATGTTGCTGATCAAGTTAGGACAACCAAAACCATACTTCTTGGTCAGACGCTGGCTATTCGTGGCCCAAAAATTCTTTCGTCGATACTTGCTAGAGACCCTCCATTTCTTTCACAAACTTTTTGTATAAAAAGAACGTACATTGCTTTGCAAAATCGCAAAAGCGAATCATATACCCCTCCAGACGTGACACGATTGTCATGCGCCAAAGGACATATAGAAGGCGGTCGGATATAGCGGCGCCTGGCGATTTCAATTCATCTTTTCTTCAACATATATTACAAAAGAGGGCGCGTCTTTGTTATTAATCTTGTTTCCTGGCTCCAAATACACAATTGCATAGCGGCGTCGGCGTTTTATTCTTCTCAGCATCGAGCGTGTTCATCGATTTGGCTTTCTAGCTTTTCACCGACTAGTTGGTTACATTCAAATTGCATTTTGAAGTCTTTGTGCTATTGCTGTTGTACAAAATACCACTGGTTCATATTCTGCACGTTTTTAGTAAGATTTGGGGTTTTGAGTGGATGATGGATGGAACGGATTGTTCTTCGTAAATCGAATATTGCGTTTAATCTTAGAGGAGGACATCATGGAGCTCTAGACGGGTATCCTTACCAGAACATAGGAAAGAGGATTCAGAGGACGGAGGGAGGATAAATGAATGAATGGATTGACTTTATTGACTAATTGACTTAACTGATTGGATCGGATCGATTGGTTTGGCTTGGCTGGCTTGGTCTTTGGTTTGATATTGTATTTGGTTGGATTTTGCGATGCGGACGGGGTTCCTCTGATCGATCTCAATATGATTTGTTTAGGACGAATAGGCTAGCATTAGACCAATGAGTGCCAAAGAGAAAGTCGGAAGGGAGGCGAAAATGGGAGATGGGGCACTGAGGATGGTTGAGAAGCGAGAAGTGGGAACCCATAAGAGGTGTATATACCAATAGTGATACCAATTTCATGATAATAAAGAATTCAACAAGTACATATCTAAAATTCAGAGGTTTGTGATACTATCGCTACTTACTCCAGCCCTGACAATGATTGCCATTAAAGATGTGAAAGTCAAAATGTATGAAGATGGAACGGAGAGAGATGAAAGTATCTAATCACATATATATAGGCCGCTATACAACAACTTTACTTGGTGATTTCTACTAAAGCAATACTTGGTGGTTTAGTATACTAATGCCTCTGTTAATAGAGTTTTACGTCTTCAAGTGTGTGATCACGTGTACCAGGTCGGGCCCTTGCTTGTTGATGCCAAGACTCATGAACTTTTTCTTCCACTTACAGACTAATCCTCTTTTGGAACACTAAATCAATTCTAACCGAGAAATTCGCACACTCTCAATATTCGTGAACTTCTCCCGTCGAAAATCTTTTGAACTTTTGAACCTCAACACCCAAAGAAGTCGACCACCGCCAACATGTCGCACCGTAAATTCGAAGCTCCCCGTCACGGATCCCTTGCTTATCTCCCAAGAAAGAGAGCAAGCCGTCACCGCGGAAAGGTCAAGAGGTGAAGCATTTACCCCAATTTCTATTTGGTTGCGATATTCACAAAATTGCTCGAATCAATTGATATCTACCAGCAAAGTTATTTCGTGGAGAATTTTCACTAACTTCTCAATTTCAACCAGTTTCCCCAAGGATGATAAGACCAAGCCAGTCCACCTTACTGCCACTCTTGGTTATAAGGCTGGTATGACTACCATTGTCCGCGATCTCGACCGTCCTGGTGCGAAAACACACAAGAAGGAGGTCGTTGAGGCAGTGACTGTCATTGAGACACCACCGGTACGAACAACGCAGCCCGCTTGGCTCAAGCCAATGGCTAATATCTTTTTAGGTTATCGTTGTTGGTCTAGTGGGTTACATTGAGACTCCTCGTGGTCTCAGATCCCTTACAACTGTCTGGGCCGAACATTTGAGCGACGAAGTTAAGCGCAGATTCTACAAGAACTGGTACAAGAGCAAGAAGAAGGCTTTCACCAAGTACGCCAAGAAGCACTCTGAGAACAGCGGATCTTCCATCACCCGTGAACTCGAGCGTATCAAGAAGTACTGCACCGTCGTCCGTGTCCTCGCCCACACTCAAATCAGAAAGACTCCTCTCAAGCAAAAGAAGGCCCACTTGATGGAGATCCAAGTTAACGGAGGTAGCGTCGCTGAGAAGGTTGACTTCGCCAGCGGTCTCTTTGAGAAGCCAGTTGAGATCGGCTCCATCTTCGAGCAAGATGAGATGATCGATGTCATCGCTGTCACCAAGGGTCACGGTTTCTCCGGTGTCACCAGCAGATGGGGAACCAAGAAGCTTCCGAGAAAGACACACAAGGGTCTCCGTAAGGTTGCCTGTATCGGTGCCTGGCATCCAGCCCACGTCCAATGGACTGTTGCTCGTGCTGGTCAAGATGGATACCATCACCGTACCTCTTGCAACCACAAGGTTTACCGTATCGGCCGTGGTGACGACCCCAACAACGCCGCCACCGAGTTCGATGTCTCCAAGAAGGCCATTACCCCGTAAGTTTCCAAAGTTCAATATTTCTGATGATGCACCAACTAACAAAAATTTCAGCATGGGTGGCTTTGTTAGATATGGTGAGGTCAAGAATGATTACATCATGCTCAAGGGTTCCGTTCCTGGTGTCAAGAAGCGTGTCATGACTCTCAGAAAATCTATGTTCGTCCACACCTCAAGAAAGGCCTTGGAGAAGGTCGAGTTGAAATGGATCGATACATCCTCCAAATTCGGTCACGGTGCTTACCAAACCGCCGAGGAGAAGCACACTTTCTTGGGTACCCTCAAGAAGGACATTGCTCAGTCCTCGTAAATTTAAAATTTGGTTCTGCATTTCTGGTTTCTGGCTTTTCGATAGGTGTAGTCGGTGGGGGTATCATATGTGCAATAATGCAGTCCATGATTACCCATGGATATACTAGCATAACATCAATGAAGAAATGTCAATGATATCCAATAATTTCAAAATATGGTTAGACTTATGATGAGCCCGGTAATAAATTGAAAATTTGATCGGGAGAATGTTGGTTTTAATGAAGTTAAGAGATTTTACATGAGCTGGTCATTGTGGTACTAGCACTTTTGACCCTTTTTCCCCTTTTTTTTTTCCCTTTTTCTCCCTTTTTTTCAATAATTCAACCGACCTTCCAATGAGACCTCGAGCATGATTAATGAGTTTACCATTGTTGGCCATTCATTAGAACCTCTTTCGGTGCTCATATTAATCCAACACTCCTTATAAGCTTCTATTTAATCCAAATAATTCTTGCATTTTTCGCATTTTCCCTTTTCTTCACATCACCATCACTTGTAGATCGTCATACCATCCATCCATCTTATAATCTTATAACCTTACATCAAACCCCTGCAGATTTCACCTTGCACAAACAAGAAAAAGAAAGTTCCCAGTTCCCCATTACCCCACGTCACCGAAGCATCTTTTCTTCCTCCACCCCTCTCTTAGCTTAGTAACCGATTCATAAAAGTCACATCAATGGGTGCACTCTCCGCCGTTCTCGCCATCCCATATCGAAGCATTAAAGAATCCATTCAAAGAAATCGCAAAAACGAGAATAAAAACAAAAGACAAACGAAATCTGCGCCGGGCAGTCGAACGCCTTCCATTTATCTCAAAACAAGAGAATCGTTTGATAGGAAATATAGAACGGGAGATAGTGGGAGTAAAAAGTCGCAATCATTAGGTCATTTACCTTTGGTCGACGTGCCGCGGCCAGAATTGTTGGCTGTGGAGAACGTTGCTTTGAGCAAAGGAAAGCGAAAGGAAAAGGCGATCGAAGAACCTCTTGTGCAGAAACGGAGTTCGCAATCAAGAACGACTTCGCAAAAGGATTTTGTGTTAGATTCAACGGCTTGAGTTCCGGTTTTCGATTGGGTGGAAGGGTTTCGCATACTTTTACTACCGCTCTCTTTCCACGAATTTCAATTACAGGATTTGAGGGAAGATCTAGGGTAGGAATTTTTAGAGGGATTACTGAGCGCAGTTTCTCGCACGGCTCTGCGGTTTTTAAACACGCGAACGGGAAGAAAAGTTTAGAGGTTACCTATACGAATTCACAGTTGCCATCCGAAAATACTGATATCAATACCTTTAACAAAATGGCCACCGACGAAGATTACATGGCGTTCCTCGATAAAGCCAACGAGGACCCCAACGCCAGCATATCAAACACTAGTAGTAACAAAAAAACAGGGTTTAAGACTATGGATGATGATGTCGATGTACCTGGAGTACTGGTTAGGGCGACAAAGGATGCGTGGTATGTCAGTGATGCCGATGAACCTTTTGTGGTTGTAGCTTTGAAAAACGAGGGAGAGGGATTACCAGATGAAGGTTTGTTTCCCCTGATTTTACTGTCTTCATTATACTTTCTATGTATGAACAGCTTTTATACATATGAACATGCTAACAAGACTAGAAACATTCGCCCGTCTCATTGCCCATCCTTCACCCGCGGACGTAGTAGAAGATATCCAAATTATGGATATAGGCGAATGGGATCCCCACGCACAATACAAGGAGATTGTAAACGCGGTTAGGGAAGCTAGTAAGGGAAGCGATGTGAGGGTTTACAGGGTACCGGGACAAGGAGCCAGAGTTGAGTATTGGGTTGTGGGAACTGAGGGGGGAAGATTAGTAGGAGCAAAGGCTTTGGGAATCGAGAGTTAAATAATCAAAGGGGAAGATTCAGGGTTTGAGGATTGTGGATCGGTGGTGAGGAAATCTTTTTTGTTCATACCTGGCGTTTTGGGGAAAAGGGAACTTATGTCATGGATTTTTTATTGATCTTTTGGCTGTGTTGGCCTGGCTGTCTAGTCATGATGTATGATTTTCACATCATGTAAATATGGAATATGGAGTAAAGGGGTTATTAATGTCCACATGATGATAGTTGAGTGAAATCGTCATAACGAATCTTTTGTGATTCTGTATAATTATGGAGTAAGATTAAGATTATGAATCTCCTTATATGATATATCAGGACAGGATATGTCCTAGAAGGTTTTCTTGACTCTGTTGTAACCTCAGTTATGTTATGTATATACTAAGATCTGGGTATTTATAATCTATTACTATATATTCAATATACAATGAAAATATACACTATAAATTTCTTGTTAAAGATTATAAGTAGGTGAATATCTGTATATATACATATATATATATAACACTAATATCAACAAAAATCTCAGTATTTATTAAAATATTTCTTTTGAAAAATAAAAAAATTTTGTTTACAAAATATTTAACATTAATATTCCATTCATTCAAGTATGTGTCTGGTATCTAGTATCTGGTATCTGGTATCTTTAAGGTATTTAGTTTCTTCATCCATTCATTCATCCATTCATTCAGCACATGACATCTCATAACATCGTAAATGAATCGAATCGCTCATAAGAAAGAAAGAAATAAATCAACTAATGTCCAAGCTCCCCTTGATAATGCGTAACTTCCATATCCTGTTTCTCGCTAATTTCATGGGCTCTTCGCTCGACGTCGGCGGCGTAGCCTGCGTTGTAGGTGGATTTGTCTGTGCCGGGTACCTGGGGAGTTTTGTTGTTAGTGGTGTTGCTTTTTTATTTTTATTTTTGTTTTGTTTTTGTTTTTGTTTTTGTTTTTGTTTTTGTTTTGTTTTTGTTTTGTTTTGTTTTTGTTTTGTTTTTGATGTTATAGATAGGGAAAAACTTACAAGAATAGGCGCATGAGTAAAAAGATAATTCATTTCCTCCAAAGGTTTCCTCGCCGTTTCGGGCAAGAACAAGTAAAAGAATAGCGCATTGGTGAAATTACAAATGATGAATAGGAAATAATATCGATAACCGATATTGGTCATGGCCGTATCGGTTACTTGACCGATGAGGGTGTTAAAGGCGAAGGAGACCATGGTTGCGATGGAGACACCTTTGGAGCGTGTGCGGGTGTCGAAGATTTCGGCGGGGATGACCCAGGAGAGGGGACCGCAGGTCGCGGAGAAGGAAAAGTTGTAGAGCCAGGTTACGATGATGAAGCCCCAGGAGGCGCCGATGTTGTGGTTGGATGATGGGGGGAAGGTGGCGATGAGGACACAGGCGATGATGAAGGTGACCTGTGGTTATTAAGGTTAGTATTTTTGGGATGTTGATGGATGAGGGAGAATAGTTCTACTAACCATGTTGAATAGATTACCCCAGATTAAAGGCCATCTTCGTCCTAATTTGTCGATGAATAATACACAGCAGGCTTCTCCGATTAAGGCAATGATATTGTTGATAGCTTGATATTTCAAAGCATCACTACCTACAATACCAATTTGTCCATAGATCTTTACTGAATAGTACTGAATAGCTGAAACACCCGTCATTTGAACCGATGCTTGTAAAGCACACGCGATGAATAATCGGCGGAAGGATGATTTATGTGTGAAAAGATCCATATAGGATTTCGCTTCATGCTCGTGCTCGTATGTAATGCTCTCTTGAATTTGATCGAATTCGGCTCGGACCCAGGGATCATTTTCATCACCATGTGCGTGCAATCTGGCGAGGGTTGAAAGACCTTTATCGGGATAACCGTGGTCCATGAGCCAACGTGGTGATTCGGGGAAGAGGAAAATGAGACCTGCGAGAATGACGGCTGGGAGCATTTGAAGACCCAAAGGCAAGCGCCACTGTGCAGAAGATCCCTTGATGCCTACGTATGTTCCATAACTGATCCAGCCGGCAACGAGAGAACCAATACCCAACATGAATTGTTGTAAGGATGTGATACGACCTCGAATACTCGGATGTGCAATTTCAGCTTGGTATAGAGGAATAATCATAACCAGGAAACCGACTATTTATTGGTTGTTAGTAATGAACCTTTAGAGCAAGTTGCTGAGGATTTGATGGTTTACCTCCTAATCCGGCGATCCATCTACCGGCCCAAAGATAATGAATATGTTGTGCACCGGTTTGGAGACCACCTCCTAGTATAAAGAGAATACATCCTGCAAATATAGTCCATCGACGGCCAAACTTATCTCCAATTGGTCCGGCAAGGCCAGAACCACAAAATGCTCCACCGGTGAAGAAAGATACTACAATTCCACTGTGCTAATTAGTTTCATGTCGTATCATTGGAACAAAAGTCACCTACGTTTGTGTTGAAGTTGGCTTGAATTCACTGATAAAAGTTTCACTTGCAACGACTTCGGCGATAACACCTGAATGCTGTTAGAGCGGGTAGCGGTATCATTGAGTGTACAATGTACGTACCTAGATCGTAGCCATAAAGGATAGATCCGACGGAGGCAAAAACACCTACTAGAAACTAGATAGCAGTGTTAGCGAAGACCAAGAACCGTGTTCTTCAGGAACAACATGTCTTACCTGATAGACTTTTGGAGATAAAGCCCCCATAGCTGCACGTCAATGCTCGAGAGCTTACAATATCAAATGAAGAATTAATTAGTCTCAAGAAGAGATACTAGAGAGGTGACTGATCAACATCTACCAGGGGAAATCTTCACGTCTTTATATTCCTCGCTTCACGATTTGATCCATCCCCAGAATAGCACCAAATGGCAACATGCCATATGAGAACACGCTAATTATGCGGGGATCCTGGGGAAATAGCATCTAGAGCTTCCGACATGGGACTTTATCATACTTTCAAGCTCCCTGCTTACTGAGCCCAGTCATCCCTTGTCATGATTCGTCTTGATCGTGCCATCATGAACATGGTTACTTTGACACACGAAGCCAATTGGTACGCTTCTGTATGTTAAGTAACGTATCAAAACCCAATTCAAAACATTCTCTAGCGTTACTTGGAGACTGACCGTGTTTCTTTTGAATGATGTGAATTCATAGAAGTGATTGGGAGTACCAAGTTATTGAATACTCAAGGGCGTGGGGATTGCGGAGGAAGTTCTCTCGCTTGTGGACGGCTTGAAATTTCCCATCCATTCGGAGTGATTCGCTTGTGGTAGTCCCTCGGAATAAGTCTACCACTAATTCGGCAGAACGTATATGCGCACCAATGGAAGAAGAGAACGGTGACCGACTTTATCCCCAACCTTCTTCTTGGACCGTGTGTTCTATGTGATTATGAGTCGATCTCCATCGTATTAAGTGGAAAGGGTGGATACTTGAGGATGGACTTCACTTATGAAAGATCATGTGTTCCGAGGTACAAGATGGTAGGATCTCATATGCGGCACTTTATATGCTTTGCCATTTCATCCCGTAAGGCACGGAATACATAGGTATATTCAAATCAAGGAAAAGATATAGACAGGATGACGACGTTTACGAGAATTCCTGATGGAGAGACTCCTTCAATTAGTATTGATGCGTCGAGGAGATTGTCGAAGATTGGTATGTTGGAGGGAATTCTAGAGGTCTATTGACACGAATTATACTGACTTCAACTTAGATCCTATGATATATGGAGGGTTTATGGAGTGAGTGATATTTATATATATCTTCAATAGCAATGGTGTCGTTTGACCATGTTGGAGCATACAAATAGAAGCCTATTTCCAGGTCCTCTTTCAGCAATCTCTCATCCAGGATTGCAGGACGCAGGATTACATGTTATTGTCGATGATATTATTTGCTCAAAGGTCTGAGGAATAACCATCAGACGAAAGCACAAAGGGCTTAGAGAAGGTCCAGATTCGAAGGGCGCCTGACGTAACGATATATGCGAGTGTTGTCATCTACTGGGGCACTGGAACTTCTCGAGTGAGGAATTCACTGTATCATGTCCGTTTGAAATATGAAAATTCTTTTTTCACTCTCTCGTCCTATATCTTTCAAGGCATGATTCTGTCATGGGTTAGTGACCTGGGAATGAAATATCTACATATCAGCCTTTGTTATCAGTGTGGTCAAATTTTCTCACACAAATTAGACACATGGGCCGTTGCATCTACGGTGGAATTTACGATCCAGGAAACCCTCTCTCCGACAAACATGGCTACCGCACCGATGTTCTTGGCGCGCTTCGCGAACTCGATATTCCTGTGATCCGTTACCCAGGTGGAAATTTCATCGCTACATATCACTGGGAAGATGGTATCGGACCTAGAGAAAATCGTCCTGCTCGTCCTGAACTTGCATGGCTAGGTACTGAGACTAACGAATTCGGTATTTTCCCCTCTCTTTTGTTCATGCATAATTTGGCTTGGGATGAGAACTGATACAAACTAGGAACCGATGAATTTATGCACTATCTCAGCGTGCTCTCCGAAGGAAAGGAAAAACGGGTCGAGCCCTATTTCTGTCTCAACATGGGTACAGGAACATTGACCGAAGCATTAGCATGGGTAGAATACTGTAATGGTACCCGAAATACCTACTATGCCAATCTTCGACGAAAGAATGGACACGAAGAGCCATATAACATCAAATACTGGGCATTAGGAAACGAAGTATGGGGGCCATGGCAAGTTGAGCAAATGACTGCTGAAGACTAGTATGTTCATTCTTTCAATCCCTAGAGTAGTATGAGCTAAATAAACCCAGCGCCAAAAAAGCCCTCCAATGGTCTAAGGCCCTCCACCTTCTCGATCCAACTCTTCAACTAATTCTTTGTGGCGAGACCGGTCTTTCCCCATGGGATCTCACCGTGCTCCTCCCCAACATCCACCACATAACCATGCATAGCATCCACATCTACAGTACCTCTTCAAAACATCTTCCCAACGCCCTCTCACCCCTCCAAGCCGAAACAGCCATTGAATCCGCCGCCTCCCTCATCCAAATCGCACGCATCCAAGCAAAAATCCCTCCTTCCGTGCCTGTCCCAAAAATTTGTTTCGACGAATGGAACGTCTGGGATCCATTGCGTGCACCAGGAGAAGAAGGAGCCGAGGAAAAATACACATTAAGTGATGCCTTGGCAGTAGGTGTATGGTTGAATGTTTTCATTCGACAGAGTCGATATGTAGGGATGGCGAATTTGGCGCAGAGCGTTAATGTAATTTCTCCATTGATGACGAGTAAAAATGGGATTATTAAACAGACGACTTGGTGGCCATTGTGGTTGTATAGTAAGTATATGCGTGGATGGACGTTAGGGTTACATGTAAGAGGTGGAGCGTACGAAGGAGTACAGGAACCAAAGTGGTTGGCGAGTGTAGTGGGAGAACAGGGAGGAGCAAGTTGGTTGGATGTAGCGGGAAACATTGATGAGGATGGAGTTATCAGTTTATGCGTGGTGAATGTTAGCGAGGAGGAAAGTTTCGAAACGGATTTATTGGGTGTGAAGGGGGAAGTGCAGGTTTTTACTATCACGGGTGATAATGTTACGGTGGTTAATACGGCGGAAAAAGAAGAAGTGGGTGTTAAGGAAAGTAAGTGGGATGGAAAGGGTAAATATACTTTTCAGAAACATTCTCTTACGATGTTAAGATGGGCAACGGGGGAGAAAGTTGTAGAAGTAAAGAAGGGTGAAGGTGAGAGATTAGATACGAGAAAGTTGGCTTGGGCAGGTGATAGAGAACTTGACAAGTCTTGAGTATGCATGGATCCTGAAGAATATCAGAGCAATTCCAAGAAATTTGCGAGAAAAATTCCGACAGCAATCAATCATCACGAAATGCCAACTCGAGTGAAACCAGCCATAGACGATCAACGCTTCAGTGAATCTATCAACTCCTACTTGCTAATAACTTCTCAAAGTAAGATTAAAACCCCAAAGCCCTAACCCTAACCCCTTAAACCTCACCCCAAAAGGCCCCTCATCACAAAACCCCCACCGCAACCACCACCCCCGCAGCCATCAAAGCCATTCCCCCATTATTACACAACCCACACTGCGCTCCTGCAATTTCTGTTCCGCCCACAAGTACGGGCTCATGCCTATTCATTTATTAACATCTTTCCTTTATGGATTATCTTGGAACCTGGAACCTGTAAAATGCAACTCTGAGGAGAAATGAGATTCCTGTATTGAGTACCAAGTCCGCAGCCAGTATTGGTGGTTTGAATGAAATGAGATAAATAACTCGAAGAAGTAAAAATAAGAATAAAACAACATACCACCCACAATGCACATAAGTCCTCCTTGTAACACAACTCCAATAAGTAGTCTGATGATACTTTTCCTGCAGCTGGATCTCATCTATCATAGGCGCAGCTGTGATTACAGGAACTCCTTCATCCATTCCAATCGTCCGAGTAGCTTGGATTTTTTCTCTAGAACCTTTGCTCGAACCCTCCCGACTCTGGGAAGAAGTCGATGCTGCTGATGCGGAAATAGTAGTTGTAGCCGTAGGAGTCACCGTAGGAGGTACTAACAACGAGGCGGAAATAGCTGGGGTGAAGAAACTCAAGACGATGAGTATCGGGATGAAATTCATGATTATATTTGTTCGAAATTTTAATTTTAATTTCGGTTTTTGGTAGCCGGATTCGTGATTCATAATCGACGTACCCAAAGCTTTCAGACGAGAAGAAGAGTTGAGATTTATATATGTATATATCCTGTCTATACGCACGAGAAACCCACCAACTTCCAACTACGGAAACGAAACGTCGAGAAATCGATCGTAGCTTCGAGGTTTGCTGTGTGATATGAGTGAAGAGAGGTGTTATTGAAATTCGTCGATACAGGCAAATAACAAATAATGATTGAATTGTGGGGTAGTATCGAAGCCGTATGTATGCGATGCGGGGTGATATGGTGAGTGGCTCTTGGGGAATATACGTATTAGCTGACGTTGAAAACAAGGAACTTTGAATCTTGAATAGAACTATGTGCAGTTACGAAGGTGTGAAGGCGCGATAGATAAATTTGGCAGCCAGATGTCACCCAAGAATTAAATATTAGAATATACCAAGGAAATTCAAAAGTAGTCGAGAGGATATCTTGAATGAAAAGAAGTGAATATTCATAGTAATATATAGGGATATGAGATTACATACCCTTATTCAACATAAGCAAAAAGATCCCGCCCGACTCGCACTTACGAATTGATTCATCACTAGATAAATATTTTCTGCTTTTGAAATCAAGAAAAAGGGATGTCATAGGGATGAATGGATGCTGGTAGAATATAACAAAAATTCTAGAAGGAAATCCTGAACTCGGTTCAAAATCAAGAATCACTCTAAATGATCGAAAGCCAATACATTGTCCTTGGCTGAACGCCCGCTAAACGAATGACTTAACATAAAATGATTACAACGATGAGATGAAACGAACAAGAAGAATTCTATACATCGAAACAGGAAACATGAAAACCATTATGAGATGACTCGTCTTACGAGGTTACATAAAAGGAAAGGAAGATCGAGAAGGACCGCATGTAATGTTGCGGATGTTGAAAATGAAGATCTATAGAAAAGGATTGAGGACGAAAGTCAACGTAAAAGCACCTATCACCATCTCCATCACCATTCAACCGCAAATAAAGAATGGAATCCGATGCAGATACATCCCTCATGATAAAAAAAAAATGTGAAAGCATAGTTTGAGAATGGTTATCTGTAGTTATATTAATTTTTGTGGCTGCCTGTTGTATCTTGCTATTCTAATCCGCTAAGTGGCACACACTCACTACCTAGCTACTATTCGTTTTACAAGCAACGCTTGTCAATCGGAAGTACATTTCCTTGCGATACAACCCGGACTTGACTTCATAAGCCTAAATGCTCAAAATCTTCTTTTGGAAGCTTTGGCGTTTAAAGCAGCGTTTGTTGTGCCTCCCAAGTTATTGCTCTCCTGTCTCTTCAATCCTGTCAGGTTACTTTTCGTCTTTGGTCCCCACCCAACCTGAAAATCGTCGTCTCCGTCGGAGTCATTGGCCTCTGATTTCTCCTTCTCCGGTTCAGGCTCGATATCGCTTGAAACGGTCAGGTCCATAACGACTTGGGAACTTTGAGGTGTGTTGGAAGTTTGATGTTGAGGCTTGGTAGGTTTGGAAGTCTTAGGCGTAATTAGATCCTCTTCATCAGAAGTATCAAACGCGGCCATGATCTTCTTTGATTTGGTCTCAACTTCCTTCTTCCATCCAACCTCCGATTTAATCTGTGCCATATCCGAATCCGTATCCGAATCATCAAATGCTGCCAAAGCTTTCTTCATCTTCTCACCGGGTTTGGTTGCTGAAGACTGTGTATCATCGAATGCTGCCAAAACCTTTTTATTCTTCTTAGTAGCAGCTCGAGGAGTATTTGATGAGGGCTGTGGAGCACTCTTCCCATGCTTAATCAAGGACTGAGAGGGTTGACTCAGCATTTCTTCAATAGTTGGAAAGTCTTCCGATAAGGGCTCAACCATATTGTTGTTTTCAATAGGCATATTAGATGTCTTGACTAGGCGTGGAGGGAGTTCAGGCTCATCTTCAGACACATCGCCATCGTGTGTGTCTATATCCATCGCCACGTCCTCTGTTCTAGAGTCATGAAGTTCCTGGCGTCGCATATTCTCAAAACTGAAATCTGGTTGCCGTCCATGGTCGGCGACCAGACTTGTGAATGATGATTGCCCCGACAATTTTGGATCCACTGTTCCGCAATCTACCTCGATCGTATCAAGTGTTAGGTCTGTCTCAACTAGACTGGTAGCCTTTCTTCGTGGCTGAAGGGCTTCCCACTGCGCCTGAGCCTTATCGACGTTAATTTTCTTGGTGGGTGGCTTGATAGGAATGTCTGGTACGTTGGAAGTTACTTGTATCATATTTTTACGCCGGCCCTTCCGCAAAGTTGTTTCGGATTCTTGATTTTCAATCATTTCTGGTCTATCTTGAGCTGGAGCGCTTGAAGGTTCTTGAGAACCTATAGTGTGCCAGCTCGATTGTTGCCTGTCCGGGGAAGTTATAGCTTGCCGTTGTCGAGCGGGTGGACTCAAGCCGAAGCCATTGAATTTTGGTGAAAATGAAGTGTCGTTAATTTCTGCCATTATTTCGGTCCTCATTTCATCACGCGTTGGCGCCTCATCACGCCTTTCCGGGCCATTAGGAGCAAAGTCTCGAACTATGGAGGAGGGCACATTAGAGCGGAAACCAGCCTCCTTGATAAGATTTGAGATATCTTCTTTAGCACTATCTGTGATCGATTCCGGTAATGCTTCAGCTTGCAGATACTCTAACTTCGAGTTACGTGGCGTACTGATTACGTCGACCATTTCGGCAGATGCAGGTGGGTCTGTGTCAAAATATTGCGTCTCAGTCACATGAGAGCACGGTATTTCATCTGCTTTTTCGTTGTTTAAGGTCACTGATTCATCAGTCGTCATGCCAGATTTGGAAATTTCTGTCGACAGGCTTACTGGAGCAAGCTCGACAATCTTGGGTTCGACAAGGTCGTTGAAGGTGACGACCATCTGTCCATTGTCCTCTTCATCATCTTCTTCTTCTTCATCATCAGGCATTTCAAACTTGCCCCAAATTCTCTGTCCATTCTCATCGTAATGCTTCACAGGGTAATTTCTGTCTCTTCTTGCCAAGGAAACTGAGATACTACCGCTGTCGTCGACTGAAAGAACAGAGGCCGTGCGATAAGCTGAAATTTGTGGTTGCCATTTTGTGGTTTCGTCCATGAGCATTTGCCTGAAGGCAATTATCATTCCTGACTGGACCGCATTCGCTTCAAGGTGTGGTAAGGTAGTTGGATCTTCTGGAAGTTCGACCAGATCAGGGGTTTCTTGAATAAGATCTCCTGTATCAGGCCTGTGTTCCACACTTTCAACTTGTCTTGCTGGTGGTTCTGTCGATTGCGTCTCCATGGCATCTTCCTCATAGCTTGGCTGGTAAGATTCGTCAAAATACTCCTCTTGTTCTTCAGTGTAGTTTTGCTTTCCCTTGCATCGCTTTCGCTTTTTTGAACCTTGGGGCTCTTCATTGTACGCCTGGCCCTGATTCTTCTTCTTGCTACCTCTATGGTTCTGCTGCTGAGGATCCCATCGTTGAACGAATGGAAACGGAGGTTCACTTAATACAGTACCTTCTTGACAACATTCGACTGCTCGATAGATAATCTTATCTCTCCATGAATCATCATCAACAGCGGCAGTGTCAGCCTGTCGGATTGGAGGCTCTTCGGGTGTATTAATAGTTTTCGAAACTCGAACATCTTTCATCAATTCACTACGAAGCTTGTCCTCATCTTTTTTCGTCTTGGGGTTCTTCATACCAAGTGCCCCGAACAATAATCGACGACCAGCACCTACGTCTAGCTTTGATCGTCGTGAAGCCGCTGGTTGATCGGCGCTTGTTGGCGTAGGGTTAAAATTCTCCTGCAAAGGCACCCCAGCTATACTGGAATCTCCAACAGGCTCCTTGTGCGTATCTTTGGCAGTCTTGGGAGCGCCGCTAACCATTTTCGGAACATCAACATCCATGATATCAACCATGGCCTTGCCACTTCTGGGAGACACCTCGATACCACCGGATGCAAGAGATGCAAGCAATTCACGTCTGCGAACGTCAAACTCGTCAGCTTCTGAGAGTGCCTTCCTTGTTCCATTCTCAATTTTAGCAGAGTTGGTGTTGGTTCTCAAGACTGCGAGTGCAGCAAATGCATCCTCGGCAGAAGTGCTTCGGTTAACCTCCAGCCGTTTGAATTCTGATGCGGTGGTGTCCTCTGGAAGGATACCTTGCTCTTTAAGATTAGCAAGTGCGATACCTTGTTTGCGGCGTTGATTTCTAGATTGTGTCGCTTTTTTACCCTGCCTAGGAGGCACTGGCGTTCGGGATTTCGGAGGAACTACGTCGCTAGACGGGTTAGGCTTTGAATTGGTGGCCTTTAACTCTGGCACAGCCAATTTACTCGATTTGACTTCCGGTGCTCCGTCGTCACTGGAGGAATCGCTCGAAGAATCGCTATCGCTATCGCTATCACCATCACTATCGGATGATGATGATAATGCATCACCAGCTTCACTGGAATCGTCCGCGCTAGTCGAATCATCACTACTGCTACTGTCCGAGCCACTTGATTCGGCTTCGGAAGACGAATTTGACGAATCGTCACTATCGATAGTAATTTCATCATCGTTTGACTTGAGGTCTATTGCTGGTGTGGATGTAAGGCCACTGCGCAAACCTCCCTTGACCGATTTGGTACCCTTCTCACTGTCAGAAACAGTCTTATTATTGGAAATGGTTCTTTTGCCATTACTGGTAGATGTAGTTTTACTGTTGGAATCAGTTTCAAACTTTATAAGTTTTGACTTGACATTGGGGGAGCCGTCCATAGCTTCAGCCATGTAAGACAATGCTTTGCCGGACTTGATTGACCCCGGCGGCAAACCGTGCTGGTCATAGTGTGAAAGCAACGCATCTTCCTCATCTTCAGAGCCAGATTCTTCATCGTCTAAATCCATCGCGTTGGCTGATGCGGGGTAACTCTGTTTAGACGCGATTCCTGTTTTGCCGCCCTTAGAAACTCGTTCCTTAGACGACGGCCGCGAAGATTTAGAATGACTAGAAGACATTTGCAAAATGGAGTTCTTCGACTGGGCAGGAACGTATCCTCGAGCTAAAGCCTCAAACGCCTGGGATATATCTCCGTCAGATCCTTCTAGAACAAATTTGACAACGGCAATTGAGGCCTTGGGAAAAGCCGTATGTAATTTACATATCTTTGCCTTTGTTGATGCGTTCTTCACATCCGAAAGAACAGCTTGATCGGCAATAGATAGCTCGTCAACCTTGACTGGCTTTCCCACGCCATTGTCGGGAGCGCTCGAGGTCGGCTGATTGTCTTGAAAACCCTCAAACCCCTCGGACTCCTCCGAATCTTCCTCCTCAATATCTGGCCCAAAATTTTCATCTTCTTCATCATCACCATCTTCAAAACCTGCATGAATAACTAGTTGTCGATTGTCTGTATTTTCACTTTCCTCATCGCTCTCTTCTTCGTGCTCATCATCGCCTCCATCTGGCTCAAAGTCATCGTCGTCTTCGTCATCCTCGTCATCCTCGTCTTCATCAAGTTTTGATAGCAAGGCGAATCTTTTGGGTGCTGGTTCAGCATCCGCCGCGTCTGTGGCTAACAGATCCTCGTCATCTTCGTCCTCCTCATCGAACGTGATTCTGCGGCGCTTGCGAGGTGGGATATCTATTGGTGGACGGTTTACTGGTCTCCTTAACATAGGCCTTCCAAATGCAACACCATCGACCAAGTGTTTCCCGTTCGATGAAATTTGATGCCTTCCAGATATCCTTCGCACTCGTAGATCATGGGTAAGAAGCGGGCGTATGCTAAAATGGGGGATTAGAATATATTTTTCGCAGACGCGAATTAAAAAATGCTAGACCATACTTACATTACTTCATCCTCTTCCTTCATTACTTTGCTCACGGGCTGAAAGTGTAAACATTCATAGTTAACACCTTCTTTTCCCTTCACCTCAACAGCATAATCCTCCATTCCCCATTCTGCAGATTCGATGGGGATTACATCATTTATTTGATCTAGTAATTCTGATACTGTGGGCGTAGATGTTGAGGTATTGACATCCCAAATGATAGGACAGTCAGGAAGATTGTGCCTACGCACATTTAATCGCAGTCTCATATTGGCGATGAGGAATGTAAATCGATTCGTTTGACTCCTAGGAGATGTGAGGCCGAGGAGGCGTGGGGAAAGAGGTCCAGCCTTTGACGCGAAATGCTTTCGCGACTTCCCCAGAAAATAAAAAAATAAATATGCGAAATCACGTGTCAGTTTTAGCACTTCTAGGTATTCTTCGGAGCTTCTCTCTCAGATGAGCTTGGTGATGGAGAGGCTAGGGTATACGAGGAATCTTTCCAAATTCCCTTACTGGTCTCTTCAAGCTATTTGATAAAGAAGCTACTTCATACTCTACAGGCTTTAGGGCTTGTGTGGGGGCCAACCGTAAAGTGCAATACAAGACAATTTTAGCTAAAATAATGATCATTATTCAGAACCCTGGTATCCATGAACGCCGTGTAAGACTCATACAGCACCTCAATCTCTCCGCCTGTGCTTCTTCCCTGTGTCCACTTCCGTAGCGGGGGGCTCCACGGTTACTCCTAAACTAGTTGCACCAAGAGCTTTCGCACCACCAAGACGTCTACCAGCACTATCTCTACTTCCAACCTTGTCCTGTTTGGTTTCCAGCAATCGCATCTCTGCCTCCTCATCTAACATTGTTCCGTCAATCGTCAAGAAACCGCGTTCCTTATCATGATTCGATTCAATCTCCTTGACTCGAAATTTCACGGTGCCCTCAATCTTTTTGCCCTCTCCATCCACATAATACCCAATGCCATCTTCAGCATATGTCGCACCTTCTTCAGCTTCCTCATTTTTCTCCTGGTCCTCTACACCGACCCATTTCCATTCCTTAGGTAATCTGGCTCTCTCGATACTCGCATTGAAAAGATTCCAGCAGACTAAGCCCAGATGTCCTTCGCTTTGTAAGTTAATATAACCTTCCAACCAAGCTCCCTTCTCCGGCTTGAAAAGTAAGAACTCGGCGGTCACCCAAGCCCAACTGACCGCATATTCGTCCAAATTTTGTAGCAGAGTCGAATCTCCATCGTTTCCGAACGCCTTTTCGGCGAATCTTGGATTGCTGTAAGAAAGGATAACGCCGTTGAATGGCGGGTAATATGTGAGAATGAGTGGAGAAAGGTGCTCGGCGCATAAACCCTCAAGAGGGAACTTCTGAGAAACTGGCGCTAAGGGTAAGAAAATGGAAGATGTCTGTAAATGAAATGGCGACACTTCTGCTGTGGCCTCTATGGACAAGGGAGTTGGTGCGGTCTTTTCGGATCTGTGTTTCTTCGATCGATGTCCTTCTTCCCAATTCTCTCGTTTTCGCTTTTTCTCACTATCTGTTAACTTATGCTTCTTTTCCGACTTGCTCTTATGCTTTTTGGGAGAAGTCCCGACAGTCGTTGATTGTGAAGGCATTTCAATTGACATTCTGTTGTCATCGATTTTAAATGTCACTTAGAATTTTTCGAGCACCAAACTTCGAAACTTTTCGTGCGGCCGCTAGCGTATTTCCGATAAGATAAGCCCTTGCAGCAGATCTCAAAGGATAAGTGGCTTTATATTACACGATTGGGATACATTTCCAATACAAAAGTGTATAAAGAACATTTGACGAATCCTTTTCCAGCCAACTCTTCTCCTTTGCGAGTTGATGATATACATTTTTCGAAGATACAGTATTGGAGGAGGTAGTGTTTTGAGAGATGTCTACCAATAATCTTCTTTCTGTCGCTGCTTGGTCTTTCCTACCTAATGTGAGTCTTGGAGAATATGTAATCCACAATACACATGATCTTTCTAATACGGCTTTGTAGTTGGTTACAGGATGGGTTCAAACAATATGGTACGGATTGACAATACGCGTCGGGGATCCAAAACCACAGCCCGGTTCTTCAAAATGGGTCCTACATAGGCGGCGCATCAACATACTAGTTATATCCGCATACCTCATATACACAATATACGAAGCCGACTGGGAAGTTCGCAAGGCTAGAGACTTCTACCAAGACTTGGGGCTCCCTCATTCGGCGACTGAGCGAGAGATTAAATCGAGATTTCGGCGACTAGCAGCCATTCATCACCCCGACAAAGTATCATCGTCTTCTCCTTCCTCTGAGAGCCACTTTGTCCATCTCAAATTGGCCCAAGACATCCTTCTCAATCCAGCAAAACGATTCGCATACGAAAGATTCGGACCAGAAATAACAGCCTGGCAACATTGTTCATCGATCAGAGATTACCTTACCCATGGTACGCAGTTGATCGCGCCCTATTATGCGGTCGCTGGGATAGCTATGTACGCTTTCAGTGTTGCTGGATATCTAGAATGGGGCAAGTACTGGCGCTGTATTACCCTCATTATACTTTGCGTATTTGAATTGCACACGGTTTCACGCCCGTACTTCCCAGTTGTCACAACGAATGTCATAAATCCGATCCTCACAAAATTTACATCACATCCGCCATACCTCCCATTTCAACTGATCCAACTCGCTCGAAAACTGAGTTTAACATTGTCTATTGCATTTTCCCAGCTTGGCCCATTATTACAACCGCCTGCGGCTATTTCGCAGAACGGAAACCCGGAAGCCGTATTGAACCAGCAACTTGATCGATTAGAACAAGTTGCAAAAGCTGCAGAAATCGATGCCTCTAGACTTTACGGTATGGAAGTGGTTCCATTTGCCAACGATCCACGTGCGATGGAAGATGTAAAGGGAAAAGTCAAAGAATGGCTTGTACAAAACACCATAAGGTCTGATCCAGAAGTTAGAGATGCAATGGGGACTGTATTGAGGAGGAGGAGGACGGATGCCCCAGCTGGTGCAAGGGGTAATCGGTAGACTAATATCTGGCCAGCGTGTATAATGAAAACTTCATGGCAAAACTTTTTAAAAGGGATCCAAAGATGTCTAGTGTGATGTATAATTCCTTCACAAAGTACAGTATTTCCCAGTTTCTCTTTTTCCGAGTCTTTCTAAATCGGGACGCTCATGTATCCCTTCATACTCAAGCGAGTGGACCTTTCCTCACCAATTGCAATCTTCCACCTCCGCTCCCTTACCTTGTCAGCTAAAAATCTGCTCACTTTGTTGCACATCTATTCAAGCCGCTCATACATTAGGCTATCATAACATAGCTGCCACGTTTCTTTAATGTCGCCACCGGGCACTGTCGATTGACTAGTTGGACATTTGTTGCACGTCGTGACAGGGACAGGGGTTATCTCGTTATGACGATACGTGCAGCAATACCGGTAGCTTCACTTTGTCTTAATTGATCCTCGTCTTTGTTGTTGCATGTCTACCTCTGCCGTGTCCACGTGGTTATGTACCCCTTGAGCTAAATTTTCCGCCTAATGTTGTCAATGTATTTAGTTTAGTGCTGTGGTTTTGTTATATGCGTTGTCTTTCCGTTGACTGGGAAACAACTACGTACATTCCCCCCAAAAATGGATCTGGTATGTATTCCGTGTTTTAAGGTCAAAACCTGTCCTTCTAGTCAAAGTAGGGCTAATTAATAAGACTAGCTGGAGATCTATCAGACCTGTATTCATCCATTAATCTCGGTCATGATTGTTGCTTGTTGGTAAACATCGTACAAACTCTTTTGTCAGTTCTCGCTTCATTTCAGATCAGGTAGTGGACTTGATTCTAATGTTAACCATTTCTGCCAAAACTAATACAGTTTTTTGCTTGTGTATATGGAAGGCTATTGTGAAATTGATCCGATGCCTACCTGGGATCGGTGAGTATCCTGCCGCAATATGGTTGATTGTTGCAACATGAAAGTATCATTCAATCTAATTAAGTTAGTAGTTTTCAATGCAAGTACTGCTATACTTTATCATAATCACTGGTCCATCGGTACTTTGTGGTTGACACATAGCACGCTCCGCACTTCGAGCAAACCCTCACTGGCGATAATTACTCCCGTGAATGTATAAATATATGGGAAAGGAACATCTTTGAAAACTACATTTCAGTCAAATCTTCCCGATCCTATTGAACCACTTTGGCTCCCTGAATCCCCTACACTCTCAAATTGCTCAACCCATTTTGTTGCTGTACTTCATTCCTAACCCTCCCTCCCTCCCCGCCAACATCCCAGCTACTATATACCTCCCACAAATCTTCGTCCTTTTGAACTACGTCCAATGCGCCAATCCATCCACATGCCGCTCCATTTACCCTAAAATCCCTGATACATGTCCCCGCTTCCGCAACTGAGGCGCCGACAATGCTGGCAATTTTACCGCCTCTTTTCTTGTTGGATGGTCCATTATCTATTAAAATAGGAGCAATAGAGTAGATTAGTTTTTTCTAGGAAAGTGCAGGGTTTTTTTGGGTTTTTACTAAAATCAGGTTAGTTGTGGACAAGGTCAGAAATTCTGGGAGACGGGTATAGCGTCCGCTGTAATGCGACTAGGCTAAGGAATAGATGATATGGAGGATTTTAAACATCATTAAAGAGTTATACAGAACAACTTCCTGTGGACTTAACCGGATTCTAAGACCATTTCTCATGGAAAGAGCAACGCTAGAACTAGGCATTTGTAGGCTTGCTAAGGCGACTGGTTTGATCAACCCGAAAAGCAAATAACAGAGTGTGTTGAACCATTTCGGGAGCTGTCAAATGTGCGAGAGTCTTTCGCCGAACACATGATAGTATCCCTACATTACTCACCAATTTCCAACATCTTGTTGCGGACACGAAGGCAAGCCTTTGTGGTTCTGGTAGCCGTTAAGAGCTCACATATATGATTAGAATGCACTCAAGCCGATTCACCAGAATTTTCAATCTGGTACCAAACTTGGCGCCGCTGGATAACCACCAAATGTGCCCGAATCCAGCTAACATACTGATCAAATAGGGATCATGATCGAGAAGTTGTATATCACAGATCGGTATAGACCCGTCCTCCATTGAGTCAAATAGTCTGTATCAAAGGTCGGCATCCTTGACGGAGTAGGATTTCTTGGATGGCAAATGACTTGTCGATTGGGTCGTTTGCTTCTTTTATGCGAAGTACAGAGCGACTTCGAAAGTTCGGGACCTGGCTGTATGTGACATAACTAGCTACAGTATTTGTCAGGAGGGAGTTCTCCAGGCTAGGTGATTATCAAAGGTAGCCGGCTATAAGATCAGCGGCCATACTATCGCTGTAGCTAGTTACACACTCTGATTATAAATAAGAAAGTGCACTTCAATAAGAGCGCATGCTCAGAGATCGCATATCCTCTAGAACGAACTGTAGTCGAAAATAGGAACACAAAATAAAAGCATCCATTTTCTTCCTCAACAAGCAGCAAACTTGCTCGCTATATAAGTAGAAACATGCATTAGAAGAGAAGAAAGATAAGAAGGAAGACAATGAAGGCGAGTAGGGAGAAAGAAAAAAAAGCAAATTGAAGCATTTGTGGGTTTGGTATTGTCATATATATCGTTAGACCTCGAAGTTCTTCGAATAGCTGTTTGTGCATAAAAGTTGGATTGCTACATGTGATTGCAAAAGATCTCAATATAGAAGTGATAAAAGTAATAGAAGAATAAGTATTGAGGAGACCAAGAACTCCTTTATTCAGCCTTTCCTTTTTTCCCTTCGGCAAGATAGTTCTTGCCAGCCAAACCTTTGCAGTAATTTTCCTCGCCATCGTTGATATCAGGAAATAAACAATATATACCTGACACCCGATTTTCAGCTGATATGCAAATTTGTATGGGGACTTTGAAGCTAGAACATGCGACGAATGCACTCCACATTCAGATTTGTTCCTTGAAAGTTAGTCTTCGTAAAACACCCCGTCGGGACAGCTTGGTGGAAGACGAGGACGAATAAGCAAGTATCTGCAAACGCAATATCAAGATCAGGAATCAGGGTTTTTTTTTTTCCTTGGAAGCGAGTTTGTTTTCTCGGGGGGCCGGCGCACTCTCCCTGGGTAGTACCGCCCAGAAACATTCCCGGGCGACCCCTTGTCATTTCATTATAGTTGTCAATTCTGAGCCTTTTGCGAAGATGGTCAAAAAGCAGCCAAGGGGGTCTTCGAAAATATTTGATTCACACATAAATGTTTATGATATATCTTGAGGACAGTTCCAACACCTCCATCTATAATTGAGCCGTTTGGCAAGTCTTTGCCTCTATCCTATAAATGATACACAACCTCGCTCTCACTGAGAAATCATCAAAAATACTCCGTAAAACTTGTATTAAATGTGTTATTATTGGAGACGAGACAGAGAGTGTGGACATTCGGTTTACATAGTACTTTCATGGTGTCATATTTATGAGACAACGGGATTCCGCCATTGCGATGATCCTCGTGCATGGAAAGATGAGTAAGTTATTCATCTTATCGATTGCTAATTGTGCAATATCTCTAATGGATTGATTAATAGTTATGTGTATAAGAAATGTCATGAATGCAGTCGGTAACTTTAACCCTCAAAGGCAAATTCGAGACTGAAATAAACAAGCCCTAAGAAAGATTTTGAAGCCTCTGGCTATCAACTTGAGTATGACCAGACAACAGCTTCCCAGGTAATTCTCCTAAGCAGCTTCGACGTTGAGAAAAAAAGATGTCTGACATGTGCAAAAGCGAAATTCCCACAATCCTGGAAAGGTCCAACTGTCGAGTTTCGAAGAGGAAATACTAGGTGTTATGCAGTAGGATGGTGGAACGCTATATGCAGGAAGTTCAATTTGGTCATGACCTCACGGTATCAAGTACATTAAGCCACTGGGAATTCGCCGTCAGTGATAAGATAGATGTGGAAGGCATTGGAGATAGGATTACTCAGCTCGCAATAACATGAGCCTGATTTGACCTCATACTTGTCGCATGGTTGCTTCACTTGATTCCCTCGAATTCAATTCTGCTACCTTGGCTATCTGAAAAACAATTAGCCTCCCTTGCCATGGCCTGGAGCTTGACTACCAACAAGACTTTCCATCAATCTTTGGTTACCTTCAAGCCCCGCAAAAACTCCAATAACTAATGATTGTAGTACAGCTTAAGGAAGATAAAAACCAAAAAACTTTCATACTCTACCCTTGAGGAGTGAACGTCTATTGCCGGTGAGTAGATTCATGTCAGAATAACACTTTTCGAACCTTGAGCCTTTGAAGTTGAAATCCCACATATCATCTATTTCCGCCACAATAATTTGGTAAACTTCCGATCTTCGTTTGAGCAAACGAATCGATCATCCAACAAGTGATACATCTTCGATCATATCCAAGTTGTTGCACGCAAATTCGCACGGCTCCTAAAGCTACAGAGATGGCGTTAGGTCAGATCATACAAGAGCCCAACGCCGAGCTACGACTTTCTTTCGTACCTCGAACTATTTCCGACAGATTCCCAAATACTTTTACCAGTTACCCTATCCCACCAGCACCGGATGGTCGCAGGGCTCTGCTAGTCTTCCCACGCTCCATGATAAACCTCGCGCGAAGGCCAAGGTCAAGTCCGTAACAAGAATCAAGGGGCTTTAAGCTGGGAGTTGTCTAAATCAGGGCTGGATTACATGCGATGTCACAAGTTTGGCCTTCTACGTTCGTGGGACAAGTGCTTCTTTCAAACCGGCGGACTTCCTCAATGGGGAAATGGAGACAAGAATTCCGCAAGGGGTTTGATCCTCCATTACCTAGAGCATCTACATCGCTAATTAAGACGCAGTCATCCTTTGATCAGGCACGATCCGATCCATGGGTAGCCCTAAAAATACGAATGGGTGTCTACAGCCTCTGAGACGACAGAAAAGAATTGTCTACTGGGCAGTCACGAGCACTCGGAGGCAGCATTGAGTGCCGCCATTCGAAACGGAGATGAATCTGGGCGTCAATTAAGAGGGGCGGGGGAATAGTGATAACCTCGTTGTCCAATACAACTCTGCTAGTCTTATCCATGACCATAAGATACGATACAACAGACAGATCCGCACTCTGAGCACAGACCTTCGCGGGGTCTTACCGCCTTGGGCAGTAACCTTAACCTCATGTCGCAAGATGAGGTTAGCAGGAACAGACCCCGCATGATTCTGCTTCGAATTCTTCTTCGCTGTCCTCCAACAATCCCGATAATGTTCTTCGAATCAGCATTATTACTATAAGGATACACTGTTGTCCCCTGCAAAGTCATATGCGGACGTCTATTTACAACCTTAGCCCTAATCTGCATCTGCCGGTTGCTTTTCACAGGGTAATGGGCAGCCTTCTGCATTTCTGAAACAACTACTGATTTTCCGTCGCTCGAAGACGTCGACCATCATCTTGAAACTTACAACAAGCAGTCCGTGGCGCTGATCAAAAACCTTTATCGCAATGCCTGAGTCAAGGCAAGGCTATGTCTTCCTACACAATATATTTGTATCGTCTAATTTAAAGCAGCTCGAACAAACCAGGAATGGTGATTACGAGGTGATCGAATACTGTTGTTTTGGGCCGGTTGGATATGATAGCTATATGTCATGGAAATCCAGAACTACCTTTGCTGAAGGGGGTTGCCCTGGAGAGAGTCATATTGGAGAAAATCATCACAAAAAAAGTCGTGTACTCATAAATCCGCAGTACAAAATTTACGAAACAAATGAGGAGAGAAAAAATGAAGTTTTGCTTGCAGGACAACAGGCTCTTGTTATAAATTCGGAGTTCAGATTAACGACACTTAAGAGCTAGCTGGCTAGGAAAAATACTCCCAAATGAATTCATACCTATTTCGAAGTCCAACATAAGTCCTAATACGAAATCGCTACTCATATCATCATTGAGAAAAAATAAATCAAGCTCTGTTATCTCATACCCTTTTCTCCACTTGCTAGTTTCTATAGCAATAGACAATTTGTCACCAAGAATCCCCCTCAGTTTCTCCATCGATGTCTTCATAGCTTCCAGAATGTCCTTCCCCATAGATGAGCATACACGAATCTCTAACCTAACGTCGTCGCCAATCATGAATGGGAGATACAGATGCAATGCATAGGTAAGATTACATTTCACAGAACTCAATTTTTTTTCTCGCTGGTCTCAAATAACTTGCATTAATACCTTTAATGAGACAAGCTCCCAAAATGCAATTCAGCATCTGAACTGCGGGCAGCAACGCTATGTTGCTACCTCTCAACTCGCTATCCGCTTGAGATGCTTCTTCGCCAGCATCCGGCTGTTGCCACGTTAAGATCTCTATTGCTTTTTGTCGTTGCTCACATGTAAGATCGCCTAAAGATCGAAGAAAAGATGAACCAGGTGCATTCAGACGTGCACTTATCAAAGCGGACTTGGCTCCGAAAGCCGGTGAATAGAGATGACCCACAAGGCTTGCCATGCGAGCTCATTGAAACAGAAAAAGTGCTGTTTCTTTGACTTTCTGCCTCGAGCTGATGAGATACTCCCGCCATTTCCTGGTCATCAGCTAGCTGTGCCGGTGGACGTTAGAACCGAGACATCAACCGAAGATGGTACTCACATGTAATCACTTCCAAGATCGGGAAGCAGAAATAAACATCCAACATAGTTAAGGGAGGCTGCTAGACAATCATACCTCATTCCAATATTGGCCCACCTTTTCACGTTCTCGCTCATATCCTGCTGTGAATCAACAAAAGGGCATGGAGCCCCAACCTTGACGATCGATATGATATTATCCAGGGCTATCTCCTTATTGTCTCCGGAGCCCGCAAACAAATTCCTCAAATCATGAAAAAAAGGGTGAGAAACCTCCAACGAAGTCGATCGCCTGCCCGACGTCTCTCAAGCCCAACCATATCGTTGTATGCTCCTTGTAATACATCGTGTAGATGGTCACCACTGATACTCTCTAAAGCTAACAGCTTCAAAACATAGTCCAATCCTGTAGCCAACAATCAAAATCTTGCCGGACTGAATTGCGAGATCGACATTCTTGATATGCACTAGACGCCGTAATTTCTTTGATTGCGATATCCCTTGAAACGATGACTGAGGGGATTCAATCGGATTGATGTTGGTGTTCCAAAGTTTTGCCCTGGTTGACAGTGGCAATAACGGTATTGACTCGAGCAATTGTCCCAGAACCTAATTCGAATTAATGCAGATTTGAATATCGGGTTCACAATGGGACTTTTACATTATTATCTTGTAGGATTTCATCAATTGTCTGAGACTCTAGACGTTGCGATATGACAGTACTGATTTGTGCACCCATATCTTCATGTCGTGGGTCTACTTATTCGCAGAAGAAGATGAAAGATCAAAATGAATGGCTTCAAGTATTAGTTCTAATATGTAGAATTCATCGAAATTTCCCTCGGCTCGTACCATTGGGTTTAGTGCTCAATCAATTCATTCATGAAGAAGTTGGATCCACATTATTTTTCATATCATTTAGAAATCAATAACCTAACGGTTAAATATTTTGTTTGAAGGCGTCTTGTTGCTTGCTAATGTAGTGACCGTGCAGATAATAAATACGAAGTACATGCTTAATGCTACAACCACAAAAGCAGGTTGGCGCATATCGCATATGCATGACCAAAATCGTACGATGATGAGTGATGGGAAATAGAGAGAAAAGAAGGAGAGAGATAAGGGAGGGCTGAAAGGATGAAGGACTCTTCTCATATATATACCTTGGCATATATGAATACCATTCATTCAAAGGTGTGAATATATTGTGAAGGAGGCAGCTGATATATCGTGATTGGTTCATTGTCGCTTTCCTACATACAATTCATCATGCCTCACCCAATTGATATAGAGCTTAAGCTGGCCATTCTTGGCGCTTCGGGTAGTGGGGAATCTTCTGTGCTCTGCCGTGTCGCCAGGGAGCGTTACCTTGTCCGTACGTCTGTACCATTTTCCATGCTGACCCCGAACCCTACTCGAAAGCTGATCATACTGGAACTCTGATACGAGCGAAGCAAAACCTGCATCTGTAAAGCTTCTGGAGTTTGGTGCTTCGAGGAGATTGGATCTTCAAGTCTGCGAGGTTCCAATATCCTAGGCAGCTGAATGCCCCTCTTTCTAAAGGGAATTGCCAAGATTTCGTAACGATTTACAATACCGCTGATAGCGAGAGCTTCGAGGCATGTATGGGAATTCTATCGCATTGTTATCAGATGTGAACATTCCCCAGTCCGACTTTTTAGTTCAAGATATAGATCTCGCCAATGAGAGACTTGTACACGATCGAAATGTCAGTCATTTCGTGGCGGACTCACAATGTTAATTTCTGCAAGCATCACTCGTGATCATAAACCTCACTTCAGACCTAGATAGTGAGACTCAGTCCTTGCTCCTGAAAGCTTATTAAAGTCACATCCACCAATCATTAGACCCTGCCGCAAACACTCCTCAGTCCATCAATCATCCTCTAATACTTCCATACAAGGATTCCCTAATCCAAACACAAGAATAGCGACAAAGGAATCCATTGAAAAATCCTTGGCTTCCACTAAAAAAGGTCAACGGAAGCTAGTTCCTGTCAAGGAAGAGCCAGAGAAAATTCGGGTTGTCAACGAGGCTTTTGGAGCTCTGAATGACGCATTGTGTCCAATCTGATGTGGATGGAAATGTCTGTTGAGGGACCATGGGTTGAGATCTGGTCGACTACGGAAGCAGAAGAACGGAGTGTACAACATCCATATATATGTTAGAATATCGTTAGCGAGAGCGGCAGAGCTTCCTGTGAAAGTGGACACTATGACAGTGTGGTACAAGAGTTCATACTCTCGGTTCTGACTATACATTGCTGAGAATGAGTTGAGGAGTTGGATATCAAAAGTACACAAGCTGCAGCTCCGGGAGAAGGAGCATTTTGGACTTCTAGTTTGCAGCGCCTGCGACCTCTGGAGCATGCATGTGCTAAAGCTGAATGAATATCTAGTATGTAATAAATTTCGATTGTATTTTAATTTGGTTACGTATTTTTCCCCCTGAGCTCTCCTACACAGACCGTTCCGTGCAACCATAGCGAATTTGCTTCAGTTGTCTGCAAAGAGCCTTCGGACATGGTGAGACGGTTTCTGATTGTTCCCGTAGCCGACAAACTGTCATGATTGACCACTGTCAATTTGTCGACTGGACCAGCGGCTTCTTGTTAGCCCTTCATGTATAGAAGGTCCGAATTGTTAAAATATGGAAGCTCATACTCATTCCCTGGGCTGGGCCTAAGTACAGTCCAACCGAGCAGGACTAAGGCCGAATGAAGAAAAGGACTTCGCCAGTGATCAAACATGACTATCTCCTGGCATTTGCAAGCCATTACACATAGAAAGATTCTACTAATCGAAGATTTACTGCCGGGATGAATGAGTTATGTTGAGATTGGAGGGATACGCCCTAAGTGAAGACGGTTGGCTCACAACAACTACCAATACCGTAGTTGGTATGATGAGAAATTGATAATCGAAAGGTTCCCCCACATTGCTTTTTAGTAGAAGAATCCGTGGTATTGGTCATGGTGAGTTATTCGTAGACGCCTTTAACATTTCGTATCGAACGTATTAAAAAGATAGATCTAAGCGATGAATGGCTTGCGAATCCTACTTGGTGGTGGATATTTGTTGCTCTAGAAATCCTTGAGTTATCACTGTACTTTGATTACTTGCTTCTTTGGTCTTTATAAATAAACGTACTTGTGCTGGAATTCTGCCAAATGTTGATACTTCATCCGCTGTTGGACTTCTGACGTTACCGCACCATGTCACCATGTTCTGGCTCTTACTTCCCATTTTTCAATCCTACTCATTCTTTGAATTTACAGACAAAAGCCCCTCTCAGTCAACTAGCCTCCCCTCATATTGATAAACTTATGCCCCTAACCTTCAATCAAAACTTAGACGAGTTTTATAGAATACCTAGCAAATTCATAGCGAAGTTTTTAAAAGCTCTTTCATCTGCACCTTGATACAAAATTGGTAGATCCGCTACCTGGGACAGAACAGTGTCTCATACTCACGGAAGTCTCATGTAAATCACAAATAAAAACGGAAATCTTCGATCCAAACGTCAATCGTGAGCCCTTACAACGAATTGAAACGACGTACGATATTTGGGACGTGATTTAAGCAACCCCACGGCATCCGAGAAGGGTCAGAAATGGGAATGACCTGGGTGGAATCGGGAGACTTTGGGCGTAACTCGAGAAGCTAATAGAATCACGGGAGAATCAAGACAGCATTTCCTGAATGCGCGGTCGACTCTCACCCCCTTCACCACCATGCTAAACATTTTAGCGTCTTTTCTGCAAGAGATCAATATCTGCTAGCGGATTCGAGAATTATTCTCGAAGGGACACACCACAGTTCCTTACACAAAGATACGGAAGAAAGCGTCAACATTTATGGGAGGCATAAAGGCACGGGGCAGGAGTTGAAAAGTCTGAACAAGCTGAGCACTTGTGAACACGAATAGAGGAGTGAAATGGTGAGGTGATACGATTGTAATGAGCCCTTTTGAGGTTACATCTACTTGAGAGGGTATGCTTTACCAGGAAAGTAGGAGGGATTTGGAAGGGAAAAATTACTGGAAACATTGTAAAGACATCGTAATTGTGGTCAAAATAGCTTTAAAAGAGACAAAAATAGTTTTATATTGGTACACAAGAATCGATACATGAGCGCCAATTTTTCAGATCTATATTCGTAAAACCTAAATCAATGTCCCACAAAAAAGACTCAGATTATGCCAAGATTTCCCGCTAAAGATACTAACTGCCGCCTACATCAGACAGCTAATAAGGTACTAACCCATCAGGTACTACCCTAGCTTTGTTCCAGAACACTGCATCCTAGCCCAACGAAGACTTTTGATCTTCTTTACAAGTAGCAAGCGACTTTGAACTAGTAGGTACTAAAATAGGGTCTATACTTCGAAGTTGTATAGTCGAGTATATCATCCTTGACATAGGCAGAAAAAGACTTTCTTCTGCTTATCAGCAACACCGCAAGCTAGCGGGTTCATTGCCGGGTCGGGCGATGTTTCCCGGGTGATGATGATGGTGACAATGATGATAAACAGGAGGCATTGCTTAACGCATACGTAGTTTTCTTTACGTTTCTCTCCATCCCCTTCTCCATCCTCACCTTCACGTCTATACTCCCTATCAAAGGACGAGCTCGCCAGTAAGAAGTTCTTTCTCCAGTTGGAAGCAAAAAGGAGGATAGACAAATAATATCCGATAAACAGATCTGAACTTTACATACCTACCTGAGATTAATTCAGGTTAAGAAATCGGTAGAAATAAAAAAGAATAATGATCACATATCCAAATCCCACACCCGAGCCATCCACCCTGCGAGAATTAGAATCAAAATCAAGACTGTGTATAACCTAAGGAGCTCAGGGACACTCGAAAATAAAATCGAGAAAGTGTTTCCGTTAATATATAATAATATTTACCCAGGTATAATAAAAGTGTAAATTTTGAAGTCTCCAAGCTTAAAGATATTTAAGCTTACGAAATGATTACTAACGTTCATCAATATATGCACGGCCCATCCTAGCAACAACTTATCGTATATAAAGCAAACTAAATCAATCTCCCTCATCAAACACAACAAACAAAGGCCTGATAGGTAAGAACTTCCTACAACATCTCGCTCCTCATAGCACATCTAACAACCAAACAGTTCAGTGGTAGAATTCTTGCTTTGGGTTTCCCAATCTAAACTGTAAGAGGTCTCCGGTTCGATCCCGGATTAGGCCCCATTATCTTTTTACTTTTTCTTTCTTGCTTTTCTGATGACAGATTAATTAATCATGAAATTTTGAAGATCTGTATTTTACTTATTTAGTTATTTACTCACTTATCGAGCGCAGCGACGGTGGGGAAATGGGAGGAGGAAAGAAGATTTTTGAAGGACAAACAGGTGGAGAGGGATAGTGGGGTTATTATGGTGGGGTGAGACGTTAGATGTGGATATGCTCAAGCGTACAGAGATCGGCTAAAATGCCTAGAGCAGTAGAGGGAGGAGTTGAGCTGCATGATTAATGTGATGATTTTGTCTAGACATTCTTATTTCACACTAAACTTGTAACAAATGCAAAGCCCTGAATAGGATTTCAAATTGATAGGAAAATATTGAATGTATCTAAAAGAGTGAGATGTGCTTTAATTTGATATGCCGTTGTTGCACTCATTATCATTTACTCACTATACATAGGGTACTATGTTCGCCCAATCATCACTATTGTACACCCCCAGGAAGCCTCCAACCCGCTCAAGGGATATCACAAACGCCAACGCCCCGCCATATTTCATTTAATTCCTAGCAGCAATCTAATGCTGGCTCCACTCAATACTGTCCAATGCAATACCTTCCTGTACGAGCTCCCAAAGAGGACTCAACTCTCGTAAGAATGTGACTCTGTTTTCGACAGCTTGCAAGACGTAATCAATCTCAGCCTCAGTTGTGAAACGCCCAATACCAAATCTAATACTGCTGTGCGCACTCTCATCACTGCTACCAAGTGCCCGAAGAACATAACTGGGTTCGAGTGAAGCAGAGGTACAAGCACTTCCGGATGATAGTGCAATGTCCTTTAATGCCATCAGGAGCGATTCTCCTTCAACGTAGGCAAAAGAGACGTTTACACATCCCGGATAGAAATGATCTGGGTCGCCATTTTGAGTGGTATGCTCCATGGCGAGAAGACCTTTGAGTAGTCTGTCGGACAACTTCTTAACACGAGCATGGTCATACTATTGTAGTGTCAGCATAAAACCCAACTTCAAGATTCAAACAAATTCAAGTAATTGAGCAGCAAATTCAGACAAGGTACTGAGAGTCGTCAAAGAAGCCTCAACCTGCAAGCAAGGAGGTCACTAGGAAAGCCATGCATATGTAAAGTATGTCATCATGTAATAAAAAATAACGAAGAAATGTTAGAACTTACATCCATTTCCTCCTTTGCAATCCGGCAAGCTTCACCGAAGCCGACCACTATTGCAGGCGCGAGAGTACCACTTCTCAGACCTCTCTCCTGTCCACCTCCACTGATAATTGGCTCAAGCCTAACCCTGGGTCGTCTGCGCACATAGCATGCACCGATACCCTTTGGTCCATAGATCTTATGAGACGAAATCGACATCAAATCAATGTTCATCGCATTGACGTCCAAGGGAATCTTTCCAACAGCTTGCGCACCATCGGTATGGAAGAAAACCTTCTTCGAGCGGCAAAGCTTGCCTATTTCTTCTAATGGTTGAATGACACCGATCTCGTTGTTAACTGCCATTATACTGACAAGGGCTGTCTCGGGACGAATGGCAGCTTCGAGTTGAGCCATATCAACCAAGCCATTTTGCTGCACTGGCAGATATGTAATATCGAAACCGTCATCTTGCAAATGCCTACAACTATCCAGTACACATTTGTGCTCTGTTTGTGTTGTAATAATGTGCTTCTTCTTCCCCGCTCTACCAAAGAACCTCGCCACACCTTTGACACTCATATTGTTACTCTCAGTAGCTCCACTGGTGAAAATAATCTCTTTAGGGTCAGCTCCGATCACCGCAGCAATATGTTCTCTTGCTTCCTCAACCGCCCTGTCAGCTTCCCAACCATAAGGATGGGTTCTCGAATGTGGGTTGCCGTATAGACCGGTATAGAAGGGTAACATTTTATCCAATACTCGTGGGTCCAATGGAGTAGTAGCTTGCATATCTAAATAAATTGGTCTCTGGCCTTCGTCCATGACAGTAGCTTGCTTAAGCACACCTAAACAATGATTAGCTAAGCTTCCTTACGTGCCAAAATATATACGCGAGAGGTAATTACCAGCAATGGGACTCATCATCGCATCAGCATTTGCAGATGTTCCTGAAATAGATTGATCCTCAGCATGCTTGCCAGTCTCTTTGAAGAAAGCCTTCTGTTCTGACCGAATGGCAGTATCAATATTAACTTGAGCGCTGTCTCTTTTCGTCTCGGAAACATAACCCCTCCTTGATACTTTTTGATTTGATATGGACGCCACCCGAGCAAACGCAGAACCCCTCACCAGCCCAACAGGCGGGGTCGACTGCTTTAAGCAAAGGCGCGATGCCTGCCTCAACGATGTTGAAGCTAAACTCGACATTACTATGAATGGTAGATAGTAAAAATGATGATTTCAAAGTGGAAGGCAATTCCACAGAAGGGATCATTGACGTTCTTATTTGGCAGACTTTCGAATTTGAAATGCTAACGGATTAAATTAAAGCTAAACTGTTTTTGTGCTAGACTTTATCATAACTCCGTGCTTCCTGCAAATCACCGAGAATTGAAAAGAACATGGAATGTGATTGGCTGTCTTTGTAGACAGAAGCGGAAACGGAATTCGGACTAAAGAGATTCTTAGCCAAATATTTAAGGCTTAAAAGGATGATTTCGGTTTTTTTGTCACCAATAACCAATCAAAATTTACCGGCGGAGTTAAACCATTACAAAGTGGCGGGTAAACCAGAGGTTTTCTTTCATAATAATCATAAATGACTTCATAATTTAACTTAGTTGTGCGTTCCGTGTTACCCTGGCCTGGCAATAAGGCCCATGCTTGTTGAGGGACCCATGTTGAGTTGATGCAAACGATCCGACGATTCCATAAATTCCATTCATGAACTTTTTGACTATTGAATGCGCTCAAAAACAAGTTTCCTTCTGCTTATTAAACTTGGGAATACCTTCACATATCACATAACTTCACTTATTATACTTTTGACCTGCTTGCATCGCATTGCGAGCTCCATCGGCTTTATCAGCTGAAAATCCTGCTTACCACTTACCATTTACCATAAATACCAAAGCACAACATATCGGGGCTGAGAGGAACGTGAACAGATCTGCTCAGCCACTCCTTCGTCATCGTCTGTCCTACGGAAAATAACCCTGAAATACCACCAGAGGCAGCCTTTTTCTTTGACCATTACGACGATCAAAATACACATACAACTCTGCGAAGAAAGCTTCTAGTACCAAATTCTAATATCTTTCACTGGGCATTTTCTGGTTGCTTTGAAGTCAAGGTTGGGAGATGTCCTTCAAGGGCTTTCAGAAGTCCCTGGTCAGAGTAAGTAGCAATGGAGATCACCAAGCGTGAGGGCGGGGTTTACGGCAACATTTGACTGACTGGGTAACAGGCGCCTCAAACGTTCAAAGCCAAGTTCAATTTAGGTGAACAAACGAAAGATGCCGTCTATATTGATGCGGAACGGCGATTCCAGGAGCTGGAAAGCGAGACGAAAAAGCTGCACGATGAGAGTAAGAAATACTTCGAAGCTATTAATGGCATGATGAACCATCAGATCGAATTTTCTAAAGCGATCGCCGAAATTTACAAACCAATCTCTGGAAGGGTGTCGGATCCGGATTCCCTGGTTCAAGAAGGGAATCCAGAGGGGATCAGGGCGTGTGAAGAATACGAAGAAATTTGCAAGGACCTCTTGGCAACTTTACAACCAGAGTTAGAGATGATTGAGACCAGAGTTATTCGACCTGCGGATGAATTATTAGAGATCATTAAGGTTATAAGGAAGACCGCAATAAAACGTCAACACAAGCAATTGGATTATGATAGACATCGAGCTACACTTAAGAAGCTGCAAGACAAGAAGGAGAAGAGTCTAAAGGATGAGAAAGCCATGTACAAGGCAGAGAATGATGTTGAACAAGCAACTCAAGAGTTCAATTACTACAACGATCTTTTGAAGGACGAGTTACCTAAACTCTTCGCTTTGGAGCGCGAGTTCATCCGACCTCTGTTCCAGTCGTTTTACTATATGCAGCTTAACGTCTTTTATACCCTACACGAGAGGATGCAAGGATGTGATATTGGATATTTTAATCTTCAACTTGATATCGAAGAAGGTTTCGAGGCTAAACGAGGTGATATCCGAGATCGGGCAGAAGCGCTTTCCATTGTGAAGTTCAAGACGACAGGTGCCAAACGTCCACCAAAACCTCTTGCTCTCGGTGGACCTAACCGTCTTGCTATTGAAAATAAGCCATCATCTACATCTACAGCACTGAGTGCCACTCCAAATCGTCGCGCATCCACTGACTTTCAATCATCGGAGAAGCCACCGCCACCTTACTCCTCTATGTTATCTCCTACCAACCCTGGAAACAGCGTGATGCGATCGGCTTCGACAGGTAGTTCGTGGGGAGCTGCTGCGAAAGCGAAAAAGGCGGCACCTCCGCCCCCAAAGCCGAAGCCATCGAGGCTCAGTGGAGCACCAGCTACGGAGACTGCTACCGCATTGTATGATTATGAGGCACAAGCTGAGGGGGATCTGAGCTTCACTGCTGGAGAGATCCTTGAGATTGTGACGAGAACGAGCAATGAGAATGAATGGTGGATTGGAAAGATTCATGGAAAACAAGGACAATTTCCTGGTAAGTATTTCCTGCATCACTCGCAATTCTCATCCGTCAAACTAATCCAATAATTCAGGAAACTATGTCAAAGTCAATTAGAACCAGAAGTCTGGTAACAATAACTCTTATCGATACCCCTTACATGGCAAAACTTTTGAATCATCATAATATACTCGAGAATCCTTTTGAAATGCGGATATAGACAGTGAGGTTACACAGGTAGCATTGTTTACTGAAACAATGGCATGGTCAGTAACAGACGGAGGCTCTCGGAATTGGAGCATGGGCGTGGGAATTGACGGATAAAAGGCCAAGTGTCAAGCTTAACATGTACTTAAATACCACATAACTAATACGATTCTTACACTGCGATCAATAAATTCAACCATATTTTCAGGCCTTCTTGATTATCATCTTCCTATTTGAGACATTTTGAGCCGCATCTCTATGCACGAAGAGAATAAAAGTATGGTAGAAATACTGGGTACTCCAATACATACGGAATACGGAATACACTATTGGCACATGCACATGCTTTCGGCTCAACTCACTTACCTAGGTAATTTCAATATTCATGCTGTGATTCTGGATTCGATGGTATTTCGCTCTGCTATATTGGCGGGGAGCGGGCACGGCATGGTATGATTGATATGATTGGTTTGATTAGTTTGATGTGTATGCATGTGAAGATAAATACCTTTTACCTAGGTAGTAAACGATGGAATATCTGATTGGAATTTAAGAGGCTGGTTTGCTTGTGTTGTGTTGTTGTGTTGTGTTGTATGGATTGGATGGGATTGGATGTGAGTAATGGTAAATGGGAATGGGAATGGGAATAGGAATGGCCTGGAGTGATAGAGACGGGTATTGGATATTAATTGGCCTGCATATAGTTTGGAGGAGGTTAACGTTGTATTCTCACCTAAAGTTATCTCTATAACATATTTTTAGGTAGTTTGACCTTATCATAGAACTAAATAATTCTATCAAGTATTGAAAAACTATAGATACTCTGTCAAGAAAATCTATCGAGAATCTAGCCATCCTGCTATAGATTCGAAATTATGGGATTGGATTATATTGAATGAAATCATTAAAGTATTAAGACTGAGAAAACTCCAGGTAGGTAGAATAAGTAGGTAGCTATAGGTAGATAGTGTGAGAGCCGCATACTCCCCACAACCAACCAGCCTTATCCGTTTTTTTTTCGGCTAGTCTACTCCTACTCCGTTACATTACATTATCCGGTAGATACTATAGACCCCTGAATGATTTCTGAATGGGCTCACCGAGAACCTGGTCGCTTGTAGATTGTTGTAAGGTTATTATACAGAAATGATTTAGTAGGTACCGCGATCTGTGATTTGTAGTGAACAGTTAGAACTTTAATACAAGTGTGTTTTTTTTTTCTTTTATACGAGATATTTAATATAAAAAGAAATTAAATATATATATATATAAAATGAGATAGAAAAGATATAAATAAAAAATAAACAATCTGTAATTAATTATTATAATAATTTAATCTTATAAATATTTTTATTTATTCTATATAAATAATTAAAGTTATATTACACTTTTAATTTTAATTTTATATATATTTTTTTATATTTATATATATATATATTTTATAATTTTAATATAATTATATATTAATTCTATTTATTAATTCAAGATTCATCTCTTTATTTATACCGAAATCTATTTCAATGATAATAATAATATTATAATCTTATTATATATACATCTCTATTAAAAACATCCAAACACAAATCTAGAAGCCCATCTACACACAATCCTACCATCAGTTTTGTCTCGCCCTTCTTCGCCCACACCCTGAGCTATCCAGCATCTTACATGTCCAATTATATATCTCCAGCATATACATATGCGCTTAAATCCCGATTTGTCTATCACCAGTTGGCGTGGATAGTGAAAGATAAAGCCAAGAAATGACGATAAATACTGCGTGTAGTGATTGGACAAGATGCATTAGATGTATACAAGCTACACTAATGGCAAAAATGTACGCCTGTAGCCATAGATTAGGAAGTAAAAAACGTATGCTTCTTTTCTCTTTTCCCATTATTATCATCATCTACTATTGCTCGATCCTTCCCAAAATAAAATCCTAGCCCGATATCTTGATACATGGCTTTCTCGTACCACATCCACGATGTTTTGGGGGAGCCATTAGATGTTCCATGCATATTGGCATGTGATAGTCCATTGGCATCAACAGTCCCAGGCAGAGCCGACGTATCCGTGTACTTTTGCTTTTCCTTGCCTTTCCCCTTTGGGTCGCCGATTCTCCTATCTGCTTCCTTGGCGTCACTGTACATCTTCTGATCATACGCGTTTGTATCTTCATGTGCACACCCCAAGCTTGTCCTCTGCTCAGTATCCACATCAGACATATATCCAGTAGCCCTACCATCAATATGTGGCCCCTCGCCCACTCCCTTTCCAGTCATACCACCCCACTTTTTCAGCCCTGACAACTTAATTGCTGGATCAAAACTCACAAAGATGATAGCTTGTGGACTATCGTATCCCCCTGTTACATACACTAAACTTTTTTCATCAGCGGTGCCTTCAACATTACCGAGATGAGTGGGTGGATTTAATAGCTTGTACAGCTCGTCCAAGGCCTCATTTTCTATTGCGGGATCTTGTGCCGGGGGCCAATAGGTAACGTCTGATTGTCTGTACATTTGGTTCAGGGCGTCTTCCGTGTCAGATGGTGGATCACATAGTAACCCGGCTTTTGTGGGGTGATTGGCAGGGTAAACGAGGGGTGGGCCAATTTTTCGGGAACCGGCTCGAAGTCGTATTCGTTGTTTACCTTGCCAGTCTGTTGGAAGAGGGTCATCCACAACGTCGAGAAATGTAGATGAAGAAGAGTGGTAATATCTAATTCGGGATTTGGCAAGTGTAAATGTTTGATTGGAAGATCCATCATAACCTGGATGAGTAAATTGTGGGAGTCTTGTTCGTGACGGCACATAATGAGGATTGTCGTCGTCCCGAAGGAGACGTAGAATAGGATCGTCGGGATAATTATTCAGATCGTGACTAACGTACTTGTTGTAATCTTTCGAGGTACTCGGTTCTGTACTCATCGGTAAGGATGGCCCTGCTTGAACATTATGGGAAGACATCGTTTCTGTTGAAGAAATAGATGTACCAGCCGAATGATAGATATCATCCTTCATGTGATTATGTCGTGTCGGGAAGACGATTGGGCTGGTATAATAAGTACGCTGACTCCTGCTTGCACCATGATACCATTCCTTTCGAGACTCGATTATTCTGAGCTCTCCGGTACTCTCATCTGTGTCAAGTCGGAGGGTAGTCCATCGATCATCGATGGGACCTTCTTCGTGCTGACGGCGCCACATACTTTGGTTCTCTGTCTTTTCGATCAATTCTTTGTAAGGTGATGCGAGCGGAAATCTGATGCAATGATAAAATGAAGTCCAGTCGATTTCCTCGGCCTCAAATGATGTTTGATTTGACAGAGCATAAAAATAACCGTCGTGAAACTCAAAACAGATGTTTGATCCAATCTCTGACCCTACCATATCTGGAAGATGGACTTTTTGGTCGAACCATTCTCGTTGAGTGAAATCGTAGCCATAAATTACCCATTTCTTGTGATTGTCTCTGCCAACCTCTGAATGTGTACCGTAGTAAAGATATTTGTCATCGTGGCGAACAAAAATTCTCTCGGTGGAATCAAGTTCTCTTACTACAGGAATTTCTCTACTTTTAATGCTGAAAGCAATGAGCCAAGAATTTGCATCCACGCCTGATGTTACGTAGAGGCATGAGATTATGCTGTCGGAATAATACAGAACCTGGAATGTACCTGTAGTATTGCAAGCGACTTCCGAGGTAGCATTGCTCAGTATCCCTGGGATGCTGACGACGGCTTCATGACACGCTGAATAATGCAGGTTTAAGATCCTGAGTTTGTCATCAAGGGTGTAACACAAAACGCCTTTGCAATAAAGATATGCATCGCCGAACGCAATCGTTGCTACTGAGTACGGATTCGCTGTAGCAAAAGCTTCTCGTCTCTTCGCAACTCTCCGAAGAGCCGATGCACTATGACCAGTGCTGTGCTTGGTTGACAACGCTTCATTGCCAAAGGGTATTTGGGTCTATACAGTCTCTGTCAGCAAGCTGGGCATTGTGACATTAGTCATGTTGATGACGAATTCGGTAGCTTACTTGTACTATTAACTTGCATATGCTCTCCTCAGTGAGCAAGTACCTCATTGCCTGGCAGGAGAGGCCAAGGTTAAAGACATCGTCGAAATCGATGTTTGCTATGATGTTGGACAAGACTTCATACGGAAGAGAGATCAAATTAAACATCAGATATTTTCTCAAAGTCGCTGCTTTTAAATCTGCATAATAACATTAGATCTTAACTTAAAGACAATGAAGCAATCGATACATACTTGGAAACTGTCAACGAATGATAAGGGCCGTACCAGCAAAAGAGAAATGTTATTCAGAGTAGAAAAGATCGTTGACAGGCTTACGATGAGACTGCGCCATTGTGGACTTATAGCTCAGATGCGGCTCAAAGAACTCACACCATAGCGATACGATATATACCGCAATTTAGATTATTGAATTATCCAAAAGGGATATTAAGCGCAGGTACGTACGAAGTATTGTCGGGGAGATTAAAAGAGCCTCAACAGTATGTTACACGTTACTAGGTAAACAAGGATCTGATTCGCCCGTGTTTTAAGTCAATGACCGTCCTTCCGAGTTGGCCAAAATGCATGCCAAGCCCCTGTTCATCCTGTGAGACTCTTCCCCGCCCTAGATCATACATGACTAGTCAAAATGCAAGTCCCTTCGAAGCCGGGCGAAAAAAGAGAGGGTTCTTCAATTGTCTAGCCCCCAACATATGCAAAGCAGAATGCGTACACACATACACATATTACGCACATATATATATGATGCATTGCCGTTCGTGGAGTTGCCCGTAAGGCAACCCGATAGTCGAGTAGTTGCCTCGTCTGTTGCGTGCGAATGTGCAAGGGTGTGTAAGATTTGCCTGCAGGGCGAAACGCGTGTGGGAGCGATTGAATGCTGTGAAAAGTGCTGTGCCTTGAGGCAATTTTTGAGAATAAGATAACACATTGGGATTCGATATGTATCTTTGAGGCTTAAAAAGAAACCATTGGCGAGGGTCAACCTCGGACCACCTCGGATCAATCTATCAAATCATGGCGGAGAGGAAACTATAATTAAGCCATCTAAGAAAAAGTGGTGTAAAGTTGCGGCTCAAACTCTCCTTGTACCCATTAGTCAAGGAGGCGGTGTAATGCTAAGAGCCGCATCCGCATCACTTCAAGGCACTGGGCTGTCTAGGGCGAAAGTATAATCGACCCAAATATGTTGTCCAGTTTTGCTATAGAAGCTCGGGATTCCGGAGGAAGATGAAATCTACCCATTCAATCTTAGGAACACTACCCCTTAAAAGCTCTCCCTGTCCTTTTTAAAACCAGATCTATCTCGCAACGGTCTGAATCCACCAAGCCAACGCGGGTGATGCATCATCTCTACTTAGTGATGTACGGATGGATATATGAATAGCATCATCTGAAAGATATATCGCATGGGCTAGATCTACCCTACGACTGGTCCTGTACCGTCTTCAATTTAAGGACCTTCACAATCATGGTTTCTGCTCAATCAGATCCTTTTAACCAGCCGAGCTCTATGATAGAGCTAGAATAACTGGTACAGTAGCAAGTAATCTCAGTTTATTTGTGGTGAGAAAAAGAACCACTGTACGGAGTAGCTACCTACCTGCGCAGAACACACTAAGCCTACTTCAAATAAGGTTATTTCAATCTGAAGGATTACTAAATAAAGCGAAGTTCTTCAAGGAGTGTGATTGGCCGTATCGTATTAATCCGTCCCTATTCCGGAATAAGCTTATGGGTATTTGGCTATATGTGTATATGTCCATTGTCCGGTCGAAGAATCCGTCATCCAATCATACATTCATACATTTATACACTGAGGGAGGTGCTATAGTCTTTTCGAGACCAACATTAATTTTAGTCATCAATTTTATTCCGAACTCCGTCATCTCAATATATATCTATGATACGGATACGGAGTTCAATTATCAGTGATCGACTTTCTTTTTTGAAGGCCGTTGATGAGTATTTAAACATCTACCTATCCCAAAGATAAGTCAAGATGACACAGCATGAAGCAGATTGTTTTGCGAATTGACTTCAATCTTAGGACATGGGTCGCATACAAAATTTCATCTTGGGCAGACGAGTTGACCCCTCTTCACCGCCACCTCATTTCCTCAAAATACGATCTTCGAACTTTTTTATCATCTCTACAATATGTGTAGCAGTATTTACAGATATCTTTCTTTACGGAATTATCGTACCCGTCGTACCTTTCTCACTCACCTCGCGCGCAGGCGTGCCTGAAGCCTCGGTCCAGAGCTGGGTGTCGATATTACTTGCAGTTTACGGCGCAGCATTACTCGCTGGAAGCCCAATTTCAGGATGGTATGCCGACCATTCGTCATCGAGGCGTGTACCACTACTAATAGGCTTGATCGCAATGGTTGGTTCCACGGTTATGCTGTGCCTGGCAAAGTCGGTGGCATTGCTCGTCTTGGGGCGCATCTTCGCAGGGTTGAGTGCATCCATTGTGTGGACCGTAGGATTAGCCCTATTAGTCGACACCGTTGGACAAGCCGAGATTGGTGAGACGTTGGGTTACGTGAGCTTGAGCATGAGTCTGGGGATTCTAGTCGCTCCTTTGCTGGGAGGCGTTGTGTATGAAAAAGCTGGATATTACGCAGTTTTCTACATGTCTTTTGGATTATTGGTCATGGATATTTTTCTTCGTTTGGTATTGGTAGAGAAAAAACTCGCTCGCCAGTGGCTGGACGATGAAACGGTCACCGATGTTGGAACCGGCTCCAACTCCGAAAATTCGCCTGCGGGTAATGAGAACACAGCCGACACAATGTCAAGGAATGTGAACAATACTACCACGGACGAGGAGAAGGCAACACAAAGTGAGCCTTCAGGTACTACCGCAGCTACGCCCACTGTTCCCCACAAGATCAGTAAGTGGCCTGCAATTTTCTCTCTTCTGAAATCTAAACGGCTCTGTGCTGCACTGTGGGGTTGTATAGTTCAAGCATCTCTCATGTCATCATTTGACAGTGTCATTCCTCTCTTTGTGCAAGAGACTTTTCACTGGGATTCCGTTGGTGCAGGATTGATCTTTCTAGCTCTCATGGTACCCAGTTTCGCCGCACCAGTTGTTGGGTGGGTATGCGATCAGTACGGCCCACGTTGGCCCTGCGTAGCAGGTTTCTGTTTCGCAATCCCATTTTGGGTTCTTCTGCGTCTCGTTACGCATGATTCCTTAAACCAGAAAGTTCTTCTTTGCGCATTACTAGCTCTCATTGGTGTTTCCTTGACCTGTGTCCTGCCAGGGCTGACGGCCGAGATTTCCTATATTGTTGAAGCAAAGGAGAAACAAATACCCGGCCGATTTGGGAAGAACGGAGCATATGCACAAGCATACGGTCTTTTTACCGCCGCTTTTGCAGCTGGTACTCTTATCGGCCCGATCTGGGCAGGTTATGTGAAAGACTATGCAGGATGGGGTACCATGACCTGGTCATTGGGACTATTCAGTTTGACCGGCGCTCTCCCATGTTTAATCTACACTGGAGGTTTAATAACCGAGGTCAATGCCAAAACCGCGGAGGAAAGGGCAGTCAACCCTCAATCAAGGGCGATCAGTGGTCCTCTCGCTGCAACAACAGATGCAGAGGATATTGTATGAGTAGTTTTGTATCTTGCGAGTATCTATTCATGTACATGTTTATACCAAGGATGTAAAAGGTTGGTCAAAAACTCTATGTACATTATCTCATCTCTATCTGTATCCTTTCTGCTTTATTATGTATAGTACGCAAATTAATGACTGCATGATTCATGAAACTATCGAGATCTTTGTACTCGTGAATCATGAGGTGATCTGGAGCTCGAATAAGGAGAGCGGGATGTTCGCTGGTGAATTTTTGTGTATGTGTCGATGGTTAGAGTTTTAGAGGTAGGACTTACTGGGCTGTGGATGAAAAGTTCTCAAGTAAAGGTCAAGAGAGAGAGATGTGAATGGATGAATAATATATTCAACGTCATCATTTTGAAATCGAGCGATAGGTTATTTATTACACGTTTGATATCTCCTTCCAATTCCTACATCGAAAAGGTAAATGACTAATTTCTCACGTCAAAAACTGCACCAACGTCCCCAACATATCCCTCATCATCTTCTCTTCCCCATCACCATCACCATCACCATCACCATCGCCATCCCCCTCCTCCTCCCCTCCCACCAACGTATCCAACTGCTCCTGTAAAGTCTCTCTCAAAACCTCCAAGCCCTCATCCCTCTCGGCCAATAGCGCCCTAATCTTTTTCTCCGCGCCTTCATCTTCCGCCACCAACCATGCCAAAATAACATCAATCGTCTGCAAACAAAACAAGCCCACGTCCAGCCTTCTCGATAGCCATTCATCGGCTGTCTCCTCCCTTTCTTCTGCACTCATTCTCGCTTGTTCCTTGCGGATTTCAGCATCGACGGCGGCTATCCGGGTTGCGTAATCTCGACGGAGTTTCACAAGCTTGTTAATCTTTTCATAGTCCTTTTCTACAAATTTGGCAAGTGTGCGGATGCGACCAGCTTGATTGGCTGGTAGGAGACGTAGGAGACTTGAAAATATCCCTAACAGATGTTCAACGGTCTGGCCGTCGATCTTCTTCATGAACATTCCGAATACTACTTTGAGACCTGCTGCATCCACCAATTTTTCACAAACTTCTGCGCCGGTTTGTCCTCCTAATGCATGATCTAGTAGCCTGAGTGCGCGCGATTTACTCATTTTGCCTTCTTTGACCATAATCAGACAGAGTTCGACACCTTCTGCTTCAACAAATTTTTGTTTTCCTTCCGGCTCATCAACACAGCAGGTTAAGGCGTCGAACACGTTTTCCACGAATTCCTCTTCCTCTGTTCCTTTCATTGGATCGCGCTTTCTATAGGTTGCCAGAATTTGTAGTAAGAGATCGGCGCCATCTAGTTCACAGAGTTTACGGCGGTTGAGAGGAGATGATTGTAGAAGAATCGCCATAACTTCCGCCGAGTATTGTTTGTTCTGGCTCACTGGAGACTCTTTCTTCGGTATTCGATTCAATAACCAATTCAGTATGCTTGTCTCCTGACCAATCTTTTCTGCAAGCGATACCCTTGACGCCAGGTTTTCCAACACGGACAATGCATGATACACGCCACTCCTATCAGAGTCGTTGCTTTCATTAAACCTCCCAAAATTCGAAATCAGTAAATCCAATAGATCTGCTTCGATCATGGCATCTACAATGCCGTTCCATTGCTCTTGTTCAGCCTCTACATCTTCGTCTGTAAGTTCACTGATAATCTCCACCGCATCAATCGCAATGTCCGTATTCTCGTGCGCCAGTAATCCAACCAAGCTTCCAACACATCCCAACTTCGCGAATTCCCCGTATAATTCCGGATGTTCTGATAGAATGCTCAGAGCTTTGATATCAGCATCTAAATCTGCCTCGCTACCCATAAACTTCTGCGGGTCATTCTCAAATTTTGCTCTTAATTCAGCATTCTTCGTGATCTTTTTCTCAAAGTTCAGGGCCATTTTTCTTAGCCACGCCGAATCGATTTTTTCAGGAACAATCTCTGCGCTTTCTTGCCCATCCATATAATCTAATATCTCCGATTCATTTTTTGTGATGCCACCACCGAAGAACCGCCCTTCTTCATCATCAGGAATATCTGGTCCATAGTCTTCTTCGTCATCTTCGGGTGGGGCTGAAGGCCCGGCTTCAATGTCATCATCCTCTTCTACTGCGGGCTGTTTACCATCGCTTTTGACATGGCCGTTCGCAGACAATTTCGCGGATTTATATATCTCATCTAAAGGATTGCTTAGCAAAAAGTTGGGACGGGAAGGTTGGAGCTGCTAACTTGGATCTCGAGTGGGTTCTAGTTTGCGCTTATGGCTGGGTAAAGCTGGCTTCTGCAGGGTATTAGATGATAACTCATGAAACCAGAAGAATAAATGCGCACCTTAAACAAATCATCAATACTTGTCATTGTATCTAATGAGATCAACTCGAGGCTGAGCCTTTGTAGATGTTTGTCACTGCGATTCTAATGCGGTAAAGATCGTGGTCGTAAAGTCGATGAGTTTCCCGAAGAATTGGGTAAAGCAGAGTCTACTTGAATGACCGTGAAATACTTGAATGATTATGGGATTGGAATTGATATTTGTGGTTTGTTTGTTTTACCTAAGAAATAACTTTTGGAGCTCCTTGAATGAAGCCCGCTCAGCCCAGGCCTTGCTTAGTCATACTATTCCTTACCTGTTCTCGACAAGGCTGATCAGACTTCACGTCATCCTTTCAACTTTCTCAGTAGCCTTGTAAGATTGCAGCAGCGCCTTTGTTGTTTTATTACATTATTCACCGTGGGTATTATTTTATTTCAAGGTAGTCGGATCCTTAATCCATACCTTCAAGGAACAATTAATATTCTGGAATTAGCAAAGAATTGTGCAAGGAGTGGCGTCTCTTGATATAGCTAAGTGCTCTGAAAGATTGAACTCGCCCCGGACATTGAGACCTCGGATAGGCTAAGACCATGGATCTTTCTGGATCGGGGGGTTTCCTCCCAGATTCCCTCCCCTCTCCTTCTCCAAGCACTACGTCAGTCAGTTCCACCTCATCCAATCTACCACAACCACGTAGCAAACCTCTTCGTGCCGGATCCTCAAAGGAACAAGCTGCAAGACGCTATGTAGAGAACAAATTACTCCAAATCGCAAGGCGATACACCAAAAAGTTTGAGGGTCCCGAAGAGGGAGACACGGTAGTCGGCTATGTAAGTATGAAAGAGGTAGCCAAGGACGTTTCCGAGATAATAGATGTGTTGTGGCTGTCGGGTACACGTATGTACTTCAATCTATACATGGTACACATTTCTTCGACTGACTATCATAGCAAATTTGCAAATTCCATATTTGCTAAATGTTGCTCTCACAATGTCTACATATCCCACAAAATTTCCCCCGGCACCAGCTACAACATTTGCTGTTTTGAGAAAGCTAGATCATGCATTCGCTAGTTTACTTAGGGGAGAAGACACAGTTACTGGGGAGATCTTACCGGGATTTCTCTCGGGTAGGAGAGCGGGAATGAGCCAGACTGATATGGTTAGATGCAGAAGTATAGTTGGGGATACCAGGATAATGATTGTGGACGTCATGAGTAAGGAAGTAGAGCCAGAACCACAATCCGAGAATGGAGTCAACGGTGACGCTGCTGCTAATGTTGAAGGCGAGGGTGAGGGTGAGGGGGATAATGAAATGGACAGTGGTCCTGATGAGATGATTTTGGACGAAGATGATGACTCTGAATATGACAATGATGAACTTGCTATGGACATTGCTAGAGTCTACGAGGCAACGATTATGGAGCTTGGAGAAAGGCTAGAAAGTGGTCCTAACATTGGTATCGGGCATAATGATTCATGAATGCAAAAACATCTCGCATCCACGCAAATATTACGGAGCAAACTTACGCATATTAGGCGTCGACATTATCAAAGGACAGGAGGACGTACTCTGGAGTCAGCGATATTTTCGGCGGCAAGGATTTGCACCAAATGAGGCATGCTTCCAAATCCATGGACATGGATTTGGAAAGTCGAAAGGGGCCCATGAAAGTATACAGTTAGCTCTATACAGCTCTTTCTCAAGGATTCCAATAATTATGAGATTGAAATCCGGCCTGACTAATCAGCCATGGTGGCAAGGATGATTTGCCATGAACGGTAATAGTTAGGAGTGGGATGTGGTGAGAAGAGGTGATTTCGGTGATCAAGGATTGAGGGGAGAAATGCGGAGGAAGTGCGGATTGACAATCGTGAGTATGTGAAGTTGAGGAAGAAGTGGTATAACCTCATGCTAGGTATTATCCCATGTGATGAGATCTTTATCTTTTACTTCCATCGTCGACGAGCATGAAAATCGTTCAGTCACAGAACTGCCTGCATCACTCACGATTCTTGAATTCTTAATTTTGAGTTTCGAGATGTGCAGTTCACACAGTTTAGTGCGAAGCTGTGAGTCTAGCTTAAATGGAGGGCGGGATTAGGAAGGAAGGGTTAATTTCTTCTGCATATTGGGTTTTTGCATAGCATCATCTGTCTGTCACAACCAGGTGATTGTATCTACAACGACACTAGATCAGCTTGAATAAATCATATTAGTGCCATCCAGTATCCATTTTTGTCTGCAAGCTTACTTGGCTCACTGGTGTCCACCAGCTACTCATCTGTGAAATATGAGACTAAGCTTTGATCTTGAAATGTGACAAACTGGAAAGTGAATAGTGGGTATTTCCCCTCAGAAATCGGAAAATTCCAAGCCAAGCCATCACCTAAGATAATTAACAAGAAGCTTCATTACTTATATTTTGTTTGCAATGACTACGTTATGTACAAAGAAACATTGCAATTGCCAGGTATTATTGGCATTCCCTAACTCCCGCACCTCCCACTAGTATTCCTAACCCAAAGAATCTCAGTCCCCTCCCCTAACCCTCCATACCACGGTCCCTCCTGTTTACTCCTCTCCGCTACCCCGAAATCTACCCGTTCTATCGCCCATTGCTTCTTTCTACGCATATCTACAAAGATTGCATACGTGTCGGCATTACGTATCGTACTTGAGATCAATACTTCGACGGCTGGGTATAGATCGAAGAGATCTTCCAGGGTGACGATTAACGAGGGAATCACAGCGGGGGAGTAAATTACATCGGCGGCAAGAATAAGGTCCAATGGTGTCTGCTTTGATCCAACGGTGAGTGTTGAGCTGGATGGCAGGGATTTTGATGACAGGAAGTCGGGAAATGTCTCAGATTCTCCAGTTGGAAGCATGTGACCCCAGGTAAGTTCGCATGTGCTTATCTTGTTCGTCACATTTTGACCAGGTATAGGAGTAATGCCATCGGTCAAATTGTTGAGAAACAGATTTGTGTTCATCAGTGTTAATGTTTCGGGGCTTTTATCAGTAGCTAGAACATGCTTTGCAGAGAGATACTTTGCGCACAAGATGGAAATGAACCCGGTGCCGCAACCGAGCTCCAGTATTGTTTTATTGGAGATAAGATGGGGGTTGAGGGAGATGTAATTTGAGAGGTGAAGAGCAGCTTCCCATGTTCGAAGGCCTGTGGTTCCGGAACCAGATAGAAGAGAGGCGGATTCGAGGATGGTTATTGTTGGAGTTTGAGAAGTTGGGGATGTAGAAGTAGAAGGGGGAGGGTGAAGAGATGAGAGAGTATAAGTTACATAAGATTGTTGCTGGGCTGCCGTGGCTTCTGATGGCATGGGGGTGGAGAGAAGAATGGAAAGATGGCTCATCAGATTATCTGATATTCCCTGGAGAAAAGAAAGACATTGTCAGAAAATTGAAAGAAAAAACACAGAGATGGAAAATAAATGGCATGTAATCTTATTGATATTAAGTGCTCTAGTACATGTAGAATCTATGATTCGACCAAAAAAAACTGCATCTTATGCATACCTACTTGTTCTTCCCAATCGTGAATACTGTTCTCGATTCTCCTGGCCAGCTCTTTCAGAGTTTTGAGTTGGTATCTCTGAGGCGGAGGGTACTCCAAAACATTCTCCTCAAATAATCTCGAGTATATGGCTTCCTGAAAGACTTCATCTCGAAGATATTGTTCATCTGGGTAATCGAGATTGGGCAGAAGTTGAAGATATTGACGACAAAATCGATCCAATTGATTGTCCCTAGAGGATGAAGGCATTTCCTGGCTCTCTGGTTTCACTTCTATCTTCACAACAGCTTTATTGAACAGTACTTCACAACTTGATGAAATACTGTGGTCGAAGACAATCACTCGATCATTTGAGGTTGGGCCAGAAATTTGGTACGAAATTGGAACGAGGCATATGGGTTTAATGGGTCTAATGGGTTTAATGGGTTTAATGGGTTTACAAAGTATGGTCTTGTGGCCGTAAAGTTTAGGCACCCACATAGGGTTTCTGACCTTCTCGGATCCACCGCTTCGCACATTTTTGTTGCTTACTAATCATTTTGGCTAGTCTTAGCGCATTTTGACTTACCGAATGCTTGAGAGCCACTCGAACTTTTTTGCAATTCCTCTTACGATAGCGACATCCATCGACAATCTATACCACGACAACTGTCTCGAATTCATCGCAGACAGGCTGATCGATTTAGATAATCGCAAAAATGGCCGACAATAACGCCCCAGTTACGCTGCGAACGCGCAAATTCATTCGCAATCCTCTCCTCGGCCGAAGACAAATGGTCGTGTAAGTCAACATTATTTCTATCGAATCCGCCATCCATTTCGAACCATCATCATAATGAAAGAATGTCATTTTTAATGCACGGGGGCGTATTTGAGGGATTTGGATATTCGAGAACTGGAAGGCTGATAATGGATTTCTCCATATAGTGACATCCTCCACCCAAACCGTGCCAACATCTCCAAGGATGAGCTCAGAGGCAAGCTCGCCGAACTTTACAAGGCAAGCCAAGACCAAGTTAACGTCTTCGGTCTCCGCACCCAATTCGGTGGTGGAAAGACTACCGGATTCGCACTCGTCTACGACTCACCAGAGGCAATGAAGAAGTTCGAACCCCACTACAGATTGGTCCGTGTTGGATTTGCTACAAAGATCGAGAAGGCCAGCAGACAACAACGTACGTTACAGTCCTTTTCCGGGTTTGCGGGATTGTTTGGGTGGGCATTGGCAATAATATGATACTGACATGTGCTGGAATTCAGGCAAACAACGCAAGAACAGACAAAAGACACTCAGAGGTACTGCGAAGGTCAAGGGTGCCAAGAAGAAGAAGGAGTAGAGCACTCACTTCATCTTGGGGTGGGAAATGGTTGGTGTTGTTGGACCTGGGGATTGGCTATGTGCTTTGTACGCATCTGCATTGATCCTCCATCGTATCATGCTTTGGTGTAATTAGGGAACGAAAAATAGAGGCATGATGGCATGAAACCTCTAATCGATCTCTATTAGGTCCTACACTACATATTTCAATCATGGTGTTTTGCTCGTTCATTACGGAATCTGGCTTATGTGCAGCCTGGTGATGGGTGATATTAAATGGAAATGTCTGTTTGCAACCTGGAGGTTATCATTTCCCAGAAATCTGTGTTTACTTACATGGCTCTCTTCCGCCGTCTCTGTCTATATGTCACCATTGCATCATGGACACAAACCATCATTTACAAAAGATGCCTCTGACCGTTTCTGCAAGCGCTTTTGACATGTCATATTATGCAATTTACCTTCTGTCAACAAAGTTTGCCTCGTGCGCCACCACAAACTCCATCTCAACAATTCAAGCTGAACTACCCCATCTTCCCCCCTTTTCTCGTTACAAACAACATTTTGCAGCCTGCAAGCAATATTGTATTATGTAGGTATCGTTCCGCACTTCGTTTCGGTCCGTGCCTTTTTCTATCGGTGTTTGAATCTCAGTTCCTGTACATGTTCATCTGCATTGCTGTGGAGATGACGGACGTTTCTGTGTTATACAAGTACTGAGGTTCTAAGACTAGCTTGTGGTTGTGCGTTTCACGTACCTGCTGAAGATTAGAGAATGGCATATCTCACATGTTGGGTGGACACAATTGACTTACCTGACCAAGAAAGAATGAGATTATCAACACGAACGGGCATAAATAGAACGTTCTGGACCGATGGCGACAAAAATTTGTATCTTGTACTTCAGGCTCGGCTCGTGGGGATTCCCGAATTGCTCCTCAGGGAGGAGATTTCGGAAGCTCGGCCTCATCTACCACGAGGACTAGACAAGTGACAGAGATCGGATGGCAGTTGCGGTATAGAGTATTGCTTGAATTTTAAAGCCAGCATATATCATCTTCCCCTTGATAATCCAAATACGTACAAACATTGAATATGGCAGCGTCTTACATTTTCAGCACACATTGAGTTCGATTGAACCAGGCAGTGAATGGCAGTGATTGAAAAATCTTCCTGCACAAGCCAAAACATTGTTGGTACCTTGTACTATACAATGACATGAGGTTCATCCTAAGTATCTGCTGTGCTTCACTAGTACTGAGAAACCCCAGAATGAGACATCAATTGTACAATTCAATGCAGTGCTCATCCGGTCTTCAACGGCCAGCTTCTCCCTACCAAGACCCTGATAACTCCCCCAGAAAAAAGAGCAATGCAAAGGAGCCAGACACAGCGCTTTATTCTTCACCGCACCCCAACTATTCATGGTGGGTGGGGTCTATTTCCTGCCGTGTAACTTTGTGCGACGTCACCTTCTCCCAAAATGCGCCTTCTGTGGCACTAGGTCTTGCCGGTCGTTAATCATGCAGATGGCTGCAGAGAGATTTTTTCAATGCCGTGCAAGGATGAGGGATATTAGTGATTGGGTTGGGAGCTGAAGAGAGTCGCACCCGGAAATCTTGCTTTTACCATCGAAATGGAAACTCTGGTTGCTGCCAAGGGCGTAGGATCTGCTCTTTCTGTTCACTTTTGGCTTCGCCAGTGGGTCGGTGCAGGATGGCATAAGCAGGGAAACATACTTTGGGTCGATGCGTCGAGATTGTGGTAGGAAACACAGTCAGAAAATTTTTCAGATTGGGTACATTTTGGCCAGATTGGTTAAAATTGCGAGATATGGTATTAGAATGATTATTATTATAATTAAATCTGACTGCTCTCAGATGTTGCTGTGACTACCCGAATAGTACGAAGTGCGCAGAGTGTATCCAACACGTAGAGATGCTTCCATTGCGCATTAGCAATTAAGTAATACTTGAAACCCCAGCCATGCTGATACCAGTATCGTACGATAAACACTCTGGTCACCATCAACCACGCCACGATGAGAACCTAAAAAATTCAAAATATCAAACATTTACAGTGAGCTCAAGCTAAAGCTGATGCCCATATCTCTCTCATCTTTCACAGTAGTCTCGCCAAGTTTCTTCCTTCCATCCAAGTAACAGTAGAGTGAAAAGAATAGAAAAACGGAAACATTGAGAAACTCCTCCCTCTCCACCATTTTTTGCTCATCTTTGGAACCTGTGTCTTGCCCACTCGCCATAAATTAAAAAATCAAAGAGAAAGAAAGAAATTTCCAATAATGACAGAATAAACACAATATAAATACGTTTTTACTACCCAAGTAATCTCCATCATCCAATCCCCTTCAAAGTAAATACTCAGCGAGAAATTTTCCAACACACTGTTTTAACCCTGAAAGATTGATTTTCTGTCCAACTCAAAGCGTAAGCGCAAATCCATCCTCCACCCGTACCAGCGATGGCACAAAAATTTTCCATCTATTACCCCTGAACCTCAGTCCACAATTTCGGTTCAATTTTTTTTCTTCCATAAACCCCCCAGCCCATACAATAAGAACTTTTGAAAATGACTGATATCCACCTCTTCTTCCAAAACAGGTTTCTTTTCCCATAAAACCTTCTGATGTGGTTGTAGCTTTGATGCTCAGGAGTCTTGTCGCTTAACCAAACCAGTTGTAACTTTAACCATTCTCCAATTCCATTAGACTTGTTTTGTCGATTAACTTCTGCGATATTTGGCGAGCGCCGTGATTGGTTCCAAAGAGAAATAAAAAAACAAATGAATCAACAAAGGCACAACCAGCCGCTCGCCCCGAGTGGCCTGGCATATATGAACATTTAGAACACAATGAACAGTCGATAAGGAGCGGGATGAAGCGAAGTAGAATAACAATGAAAATGCCATCTCCCTTCCACCTTCTCTGTATCCCAGCCTTTATCCCCCTTTTTTAAAATATTTTGTCTTTCCCCCGTTTTTCCTTGACCATATCAAACAAAAGAAATGTGGTTGACAGAAAGATATTCCCACATGATATTTTTTTTAAAAGAATGAAAATAAAACGAAACAGAAAATCCGACATAACGTTCTTCAAAGGTATGTTGCATGCTAGAGTATTTTTTGAATTATAGATCCAAGAGTTGAGCAAGGAAAATGATTATCTTGTTGAGAGATTCGAGACATATTCTCTCGAGGTTGGTAGGTCATCGTGTTGAACTTGAGGCGGGAGTTGCAAGAGCCCATGATTTTGCATCTGGGTGGGGATGTTCGGGGTTGGATAATGGCTTGAGGTATGTGGAATGTATGATTGTCCACTTGCTAGTAGTATGCTGTTGCCGCCGCTGCTAGACTTTCGGTTATTAGCAGGCCATGTATCTTCAGTGGTGTTGGTCTGACTATTTTGACGACTCTTGCTGGCGTCATTTCCACTACCTGCTCCGTAGTGATTGATATCTGCAGCGGAGTCACTGGATTGAGAGTAGTACAGACTGCTGTTCGGAGTTGGCGCTTCATAAATTTCCGAATCTTGTTGTGCCATCGACGGTTGTTGACCTGATTGATATGCAGACATGGCAACGGCGGTTGTAATTTCATGACTGCTGCTCGTAGGAACACCCATGTAAGAATTTGTCATGGGCATTTGGATTGAAGTCCCGTTCATTTTTCCAGAGCCATCCATGTTTGAGTTCACGAACCCATATGGATGCAGTGAGCTCTGCGCACTCGAATTGCCATCATTCGCGGATCTGTATTGTCTGTTTATACCAGGATACGGGAGTTGCCTAGGGTCATTGGTGGTGTTGAGCGCGGTCTGTGGAGTGACGGCTGCGTTCACAGTTCCATATGACGGCAGACATGCAGGATTGGTGACACAGAAATTCTTCGAGTCTGAATCAACCATTGAGCGCGCGTTATAGCTTTGGTATGCATTCTGATTATAATTTGTAGCAGCTTCTGAATCCATGTACAATGGGGCAGGAGGATTCACGCGTGAGCGCCCATTGTTTTGAGCTGGATAGCTGGAAACAGAAACCGGATCTTGTCCGGTAACTTGAAATGAGGTTGAATTTGACAGGTTAAAGTCAGCGGGTTCTTCAGTGAAGTTGTCATAAGAAAGACCCAGAAATTTGGTCCCTTGATAACCATAGTTCGAGTAATTGGTCTGTCGATAGTTTATATTGTCTGGACCCAGGTTGAAGGTTTGTGAAGTCTGATAGTAGTTGTAAGGGGTGTTGGAAGAGACTCTGTACATCGAACGCGAATTATCATCGAAGCAATCCGACGGAAGGTCTTTCGCTTGCTCTAGTGGCATAGCGGTTACCTACATACTCGAGTTAGAAATTTATCATTATGAATAAAGGGACAGTTGCAAATACTCTCAAGAATACGCATGGTTCTGAGCTGGAATTTTTGCAATGGTAACACGGTCTGCCATTCTCTTCGCCGCTGCATCGGATCTTGCGTTTTCGGCATCTCTGGCACTACACGAGAAAGTAATTAGCAAACGCGACCAAAACAATGGAAAATTCGCAGTGCTCTGAACAAAGAAGTGGGTGTATACGGCTACTTGAATTCTGCGGCGCATTTGATGATGCCCTGTTTCGCCATTCTCTGGTCCATGATCGCTGTTTCGTCCATCATTATAGTTCCGAGTCGGATATGAGTGCTCAGAACGCTCCTGAGCCAGTGGATAGCTTTGACCTCGCGGACCGCATCTACGAAAGGTAGGCTCCTGCTCAGAGTAGTAACCTGGAGTCACCATCTGGATTTCCTAAGTGTTAGATCGGATGTTTTTTAGACCTTCATTGGCGCACTGCCTGGCTTACCTTCAAGATATCTTTGACGGATTTGAGGATTTGAAAGCGTTTGGGTTCACTTGTGTACAAAAACAAATGTGTCAAGCTTCAATAGGATCCGAGATGAATCAAAGACCTGGGGTTTATCAAATCCTGGGGCTGTCAGGCGAAAGCAAGCATATTATAATGGGTACAACAGAATTTGTAATGTTTGCTTTTATCAAAGATTTTCCTGCATGCTAATAATGCTACCAGGTAGTTTTATTTGAGATATGATCAAAATAATCAAAATTATTTTGGTTTAGCTTTGTGGCCAATTCGGGGTCTTGCATACAACACTTTAGGGGATCTACAATACCTCCGGCACTTAACAAACACTATAAATTCTGGGGTATAAATTCCAGCTTCCTGGTTAGCTTTCAGGGTTGGGACCATTCTTGGAGCTTACCCTAGTGGGTGTAAGTTTTCAATTTGATATGAGACTGTCTCGATAACTGAAACAATTTTACTGTAGAACAAAGAATTTATGAGCCTCAGTAAGCTCAATTACCTCCCTCCTATTTGGGTAATGAATAGTTAAAAATGGAAATTCATGTAGCTTGCCGTATCGGCCCCCATATATGCTTTTTGACACCCATCAGACTAAGAGTAGCTTTACTCTTTCTAGACAGAGCTACATATCATTGTGAATGACAGATAACGACCATTGCGCCTAGTAGCATTGCAAAGAATTCAACAAACAATCGAAGAAACATACGCAGAGTATTGTGGAACTATACATTCTGAACTTACAAACGATGTATGACGACCGGTACTGGTCACACGTACTACGTGCGTTAGCTCTACGATTTGCGCGCAGCCTTACTCCTCAATTCGTTCCAGATAAAATTGCACGGGGTGCATAACACACACTCTGATGCAGGAGAACCAAGATTTAATCAAGTCCTTGTCAAAATGTTGGAAACATTTCCGCTTTCTTTTAAAACAAACGCGCTGGTCTTTAGAGTGCACTTCAAATATTTCAAAGTTTGGCACTGATTTACATGATCATTCAATCGGATTTCACTCCTAATGATGAAATTGGAACAAACAATTCCAAGCATGGGCTTGACAAATTTCCCGTTCTACTAGGTAGTTTGTTTGCTTCCAATAGCCGAATCGGGGCCACCAAGCAATGTTGTAGAACTTCCTCATGCAGAAGAATCTAACTCCTCTCCGTACAGACGACGAAAGATGGCAGGAAGGGGAACTATGATTCTTTTACGAGGCAATGCTCAGGCAATGCAACGTGACTGGTGCGTAAAATGATTTAATTGGCCTCCGCAAGTAGATTCCGGTACCACGGATGGGACCACAGAATTGCAGCGCTTTGAGCTCAGACGCCCAAGAAAGACTCCGTGGCTTTTGGAAATTTCATCTATACCCGTTAAAGCAAAAGGTGAAAGTAGAGCCAAAACGCTCTTGGTCGTACTGATGATGAATTGTGATGTAGTGTAAGGAAATAGAGCCGCGATAGTCACTGCAAACAGTGAAGAGTACAAGCCAACGATCGGGATGCCGATGACTTACGGCTTCTATGCTGCATCATGAAGCGAGATCTGAACAGATCGTGGTCCGTGAATATGGTATAGAAATGACGGGCCAAACGTCGAGATGGATAACAAATGTTGGAAGTGTCATCTAATTATTGAGAACCCCCTCGACTCTAGAAGTTAGATCTATTTTGATAAGAAGCCTATAGTCGAGCTGGACTCTATATTCGTTGGGATCGGTCCATCAATGCCTCAGCATGGGTATCAGATCTCGGCTTACACTCTGTTAGATCTATAATTGCGTGACATTGAATTAATTTATAGAGTGATCCGGCCGGACGACATACTTCCCCGTGGTGGTCCAAAATATGAAGCGCCGCTGGAGGATCGTTAAAGGTAGAGCTGCCTCCACATGTGCATACCATGCATAATTTAAGGGGAATTTTTAGAGTGCAATAACGGGTGGCTGCTTCGTGCCCTCTGTCAAGCCCTGTCCACATGCGCCTATCCGATTCGCACTTAACAAGAGAGCCAATCAAAGCACAATAAGTCCACCGACCTGGTACTTGTGGTTCTCAAATTAAATGTGGTGATATGTTACGCTAGAATGAGCATGCATTATGCAGGAAGAAAATCTTGATGAAATAGTAATAGACACCTCCCTCGAAAATGAGGGGCCATGGCGTTGCGTCGCCTCGATAGAAGCCCAAAACAATTTCCGTTTGCAGATCGAATTAAGGATGAGAGTCTATAGTACCGAGCATACGGCGCAGCCGTGTAGTAGAAGCTGCAGGAAAAGATCGAGTTATAGATGACTCCAAAATGGAGACCTATCAAACGGTCTGAGATACATAACTTCGGGCATTTTGGGCCATCCACCCGCTGCCCTTGCCTGCAGCTTTTCCGAATACGGGTTTGCGAGTCCAATAGGAAGAAAAACACATTGACCGACGGTATGTTGACCAACAATTGACATCTACGATCTTCAAGATTGGATGAATATTCAACGGTGACACGTGATAGATAAACGTGTTCCCAAGTGCCTGTGTTATATTTCATCAGATGAGGAGCCAATTGAGTGATGTGTCACACTTACCTGGTACTCAGACATTGATTCTACTCAGCTGATATATGCTTTACCTGGCTGGAGCTCGAGTTGGACTGGCCAATGTGATGCTAGGCAGTAATGGAGAAAGCTTTCATCCTAAAATATCAACACAAATTGGGACCTTAGCTGTGGAAAGAAAATGAAATAGAAAAGTAAATTGATGAAATTAAAAAAAAAGCATCGAGCATATATATATAAAATAAAAGGCTAAACTGTCATGCTGTCATGATTGGTCAATTGCGCTTTTGTTATCGATCACTGGTGGATGATCCTGTGTAATTTAGCCGCGGTTCCGCGCTTGTGTGATGATCATTAGAACTCCTTGCATCACACACAGCTCTACAACCTGGGATCGACATTAGGCATTTTCAAGATCATGAGTGTACTTCTGGAAACATCTGCTGGTGATATTGTTATCGACCTCTTGGTCGATTACTCTCCCAAACTTTGTGAAAAGTAAGTCTTGAATCCCTATGTCCCTCCATGCCTTATGAAGTAGCTGAACGCATAGATACTAAGATATCGCGGTAATCTAGCTTCCTAAAGCTGTGCAAAATTAAATACTACAATTTCTCCCCGATCTATGGTGTCCAGAAGAATTTTTCGTGCCAAACTGGCGATCCAATAGGACCCGACTCGAAAGATAGCGACGGGGGAAGCTCGATATGGGGATTATTAGAAGGGTCAGCAAAGAAAACATTCAAGGCAGATTTTCACCCAAAATTAAAGCATGCGGAGAAAGGAACTGTTAGTATGGCGACTGCGCCGTCGACGAGAGATCCGGACGAACGTCTTGCAGGCAGTCAATTCATAATTACCTTGGGAGATGATTTAGACTATCTGGATGGCAAGGCTGCTATATTTGGCAAGGTTGTAGAAGGATTCGATGCGCTCGAGAAGATCAACGATTCTTTTTGCGATGAGAAAGGACGTCCTTTGGTAGACATTCGAATCAAGCACACGGTTATTTTAGATGATCCTTACGATGATCCAGCAGGTCTTGTCGAGCCACCAGAAAGTCCTGTTCCTTCGAAAGCGCAGCTAGCCACGGTTCGCATCGCCGAGGATGACGACTTGAACGAAGAAACAGATGTTGAGGCCGTTGAGAAACAGCGACGAGAGCGGGAAGCACGAGCGCAAGCCTTAACTTTAGAGATGGTTGGAGATCTACCTTTTGCAGAAGTCAAACCGCCGGAAAATGTTCTCTTCGTGTGCAAACTTAATCCAGTCACTACAGGTAAGACGCAAAACTTCAAATCGATCATAATGCAAATACTAATTTCTATTCCAGATGAGGATCTCGAGCTTATCTTCAGTCGTTTTGGCAAAATCCTCTCTTGTGAGGTTATCCGAGATAAACGAACCGGAGACAGCTTACAGTACGCATTTATCGAATATGAAGATCAAAAATCTTGCGAACAAGCATACTTCAAGATGCAGGGCGTTCTCATAGACGATCACAGAATCCATGTCGACTTTTCCCAGAGTGTGTCAAAATTATCTGATACCTGGCGAACGGCAACAAATTCCAAGCGAAGACAAGGAGGCGGTGGTTTTGGTGGTGTCAGTGGATTGGAGAAGAAGAGGCAGTACAAGAATGCGGATTATAGTTCAGGACCAAGAAGAGATAAATATGGTATGGTTATTGATGAGGATGAGTTGAGGAAGAGACATGAAAGGGAAGGGAAACCCGATGAGAATAGGCGAGAAAGAAGTAGGAGCCCCCGCGAGGATAGGAGAGATTATGGTTATAGGGATGACAAGCGAGATGGTCGCAATAGGGGAGATAAGTACGAAGACAGGGACCGGAGGGACAAGGGTAGATATGATGAACGGGATAGGTATAAGAGTGATCGTGGCCCAAGGGATGATTATAGGCGGCGATAGCTCGATAGCTACCCTTGTGAAAGTTGGCAAACCTGGCGTTACCGGAGTTGTAATGGAAATTTATGGAGGAAAACCCACGAGATCCAAATCTGAAATTGAGCATATTCCCTGTCCCAATATGCCTTCATTCGAGTCCAATTATTTTCTTACTACAAAAGTCAAAGTTGCAGAATGTGTAAAATCCCTCGCCGTATCCCCTCTCTTCTCCTCCTACTAACTGGTAAATATAACACAATTTACTCATCAACCTATCCACCCACCAACAACACCCATCCCCCCAATTCCAATTCCAACTCCAACTCCAACTCCAACTAAATTACACAACCATTCCACCACCATCTCATCCCTCCTCCTCCACCAAAAACCCATCATATCTCATCTCATATCTCATATCTCCAAACAGCACGCCCACCATCCTACACCACGTAAACTAGTCCTCTCTTTCCCTATCCTTAGCTATAGTAAATATCTATATCTATATCTCCTATCCCTTATCCCCAAACTGCAAACTGCAAACTGTAAACTGTAAACTGTAAACTGTAAACTGCGAACACTAGGTACACATATAATCACGCGGTTGAACGCTTATACTGTACCTAGTAGTTATTCCCCCTCGAGGGAATTCTTTCCATTAACTATCCGCCGGGCGTTCGTTATTTTATGGAAGTATTTCTCTCTTTTAAATTGATATCTTTTAAGTCTCTTTTACTCTTATTTATAATAGATAGGTAAATGTAGGTAGATATATCTCCTTAAAGTGGCTTGGATTTCAAATGGTAATCTTACATTATAATTTTGGAATTTATTGATTATTTAATAATTATCTCGTCTCATTACACACCTCCTTCTGTATCCTCTGCCCTAAACTGTAGCGGCTTTTTCAGTCGGTATGTCCTAGGTATCGCATATCCTCCAAGTGTCCTTTTCTTTCTCATCGCTATAATCATGTCTCCGTGGCTGTCCATATCTCATCCATGCGATGTATGATACATAAGTTATTATATCGTACCGGAATTGTGAGACAATACTACATTGTTCGCTGTGTTTCCCAACAATTGTATATTTGTCCTTTCACCCCAATCTCATCCTTTTGAAGTCCATCGCTATGGAGTCGGAAACCAAAACTTTTCTGTGCAGCGGCTGGTTGGTGATACTACGACTTCCTCCGAACTTGAAGGGATTGATTCTCCTTCGCCACTTTTCAGAAAACAAAATTGCTCTCCGGGGTCTTCTGAAGATCAGCCATTGCGTGCGTTAAACCTCGCTTTTCTGCTGTCCCTTACTAAATCCCCCTTTCTCATCAATACCCGGAGCATTTTCATTCGTAACACCACTATAGGCAGGTCTTGAAGTACCATTCGCTTGGGTAATATCCTCCGCCAGCGCATCTTCATAAGAAGGCGGAGCATCATCTAAGGCTGGAGCTCCTGGCGCTCCAACTTGTGGGGGAAATGCCGGATCGAAAGGCGGCGGTGCCGTGTTAACGGGAGGTCTAGCTGGAATTCCGGGTTGAGCAGTCATGGCGGCCAAAAGTGCTGCTGGTGGTTCTATGCCGGAGAAGATTTCAATTTTGAACCTGAGAGGAACAGATACTGTTTGGGCCTGCGTTTGTTAGTTTGAATTCTCACGCTACCAGAATAATTGATTAGAAAGCGTACCTGAATCCCTCCTAGGTAACCATAACCCAATCCAACTCTCGCCTCAAGTTCATATGAACGAGCCAGATTGCAAGTAACAAATGAAGGGGCAACGGTATTTGGTAAAGGAACTGCATCCCATAGGTTACTATCTATAGCTGTCTCGGTACCAATCGGGTCGTTCGGTGATCCAATGGGGATGGATAGTCCAGTTAAACTCATCACAACCCAAGTACTTGTTTCAACCCTAATAACATCGGAGGCCTTTACTTCAGTGGAGCCGAGAAGGTTCACCTGCAATGACGTGAGGAAGAGGTGCTCAGGACTTGCGTTGGTTTTCCTAATAAGGATCCTCATTGGTAAAGGCTTATTGCAAGTTAAAATAGGAGGGCTAGGTAGTCTAACATCTACTTCTCCTTGAGGGGACGTATCTGATAGCTGTTTGGATTTCTTTGTGAACAGGCCCTTTTTGGCAAAGAGTGGCCCTTCATTTGGGAACATATATGGTCGCTTTGCAAACGCTTCATTTGTGGTTTTCGGAGGCCTTGGAGGTTCAATCGGCAGAAATTTAAATCCAATTGTTGATCTTCTATTCTCCTTGAACATAGATGGCCTTTGTACAGTAACTTTGATATAATATCTTATCTCAGCTTCTCCCGGAAATCCGGTGAGTGAGGGAGGTAATGTCTTCTTAACATGAGTATACTGCATCTGCTGCATGCCCTGGATTCCGAGACCTCCAAACCCGCTACCAGGTCCCATTTGTTGCGACACTGGATCATGACAGCCGTTATTGATAGGCAACTTGATACGGAAAGGGTATTCATGTTGCCCTGCTCTTAACGTATATGAACTTATAATTGCTTTGTTGGGAAACACTTCTGCGACCCTGTATAAAATCTTGTGATTTTCCTGGCATACCTCCTGTCTATCTCTCCTGGCATAAAGGCCAGGATTATTTGGATTTTGCCCATATAGCATATCTGGTGGTCTCAGAAGACGCGTCTTGCTCTCTCCTTCTAACTTCACAACGATCCTGCTAACGGCCTCATCGCTTGTAAGATGTAGGATGACTCTGCCGCTGATAAAATCGAGATTCGTGTAAAAGGTATGAGGGTTGTCGAGCTGTATTCGAACGGACATTTTGTGATCAGGCTATATGGTGCGCAATAATAATTTAAACATTAGTATCAAAGTTCAGAGAAATGGATAACCTTTTGAAAGCTTTCGCAAGGCTTCATACTATTTTCCTTATTCGCACTGTTGGATTATTTGTGGCGGCGCAAGTTTCAAGTGCTCAGCCTCGTTTCCGCAAACCTGAGCATAACCTTAACCTTACGTACGTATACGCGTCCGAATTCTTTTGATGTTTGCGAAAGAGTTACTCGAGGATACAGACAAGAAGTAGCCTTACAATTGAATACGATGTGATCCGAGAATCCCGAATTCTGAACACACCCTACGCTCGTAATGGCAATTGACTTCTCATTATGGCAGAAGATTGTTCCTTCGATACTACCTAGATGGTCCACAGCCCTGTGCGCAGCGCACATGAAGCTGTTTTCGAAATGACGCTCAGCTTGCCGGGGTTCTTTGTAGCCTGTCCACGAGCCCACATCTCGCATCCCTGCTGGTTACTTTAATCAGACTTCATCCCAAGGTTAATATGGCAGTGGTCAAATCGATATGACCCATATAGACTTACCACTCGCGGTACCAGCATATCAAATCTATTCTTTAGCATTATCAACTTGCTTCAAATAAGTCTACTCCAAAATCACACCAACTTGAACACGGAGGATTCTTTATGGATCCTCCTTTTCCAAACATTTTCAATGTCTCTACGGGCTCCTTGAGGGTATATTCGTTGAAACATCAAGGCTGGCAATTGAAGGCTAATAGAATGAGAGGATGCGGATTTGACGGAGATACCTAATTCTTCGCAGCATCCAGTCAAAAACGGGCCACATCGCCGTGGGTACATTCAGCCTTTCTGATACATTGACCCTTTGGTACATCGAATCTACTTTGCGCATTAAATCTATTTGATACATTGAACCTGGTCCCTATAGTGAACTCCTTGGTATTCTGGATTCCCCCTAATTGCTATGCACCTCTCTTACGAAGCATGTCTGTGTTTTGTTTCTATTCTGAGACAATACATTGCCAAACTACCCGCAAGGATCAGACCTCCACTGAGGTAAATAGGTAAACTTGGGTTAGATGTACCAATATTCGCTGCTACCAGAGGGGCACATATTCCACCGAGTCTACCCAGAGAATGGGCAATACCACAGCCGGTTCCTCTACTGGGTCCGGGAAATGTTTCTGGAGTGTATGCACTACATGTTGTTAGCACAACATACCAAGTCGCACATCGGCAAGGTAAAAATTCCGATGAACTTACTAAAGAATTCCAAACATGATATTTTGAAAGAAGGATGCGGAACATCCAAAGCCGAGTTGAAACATGCTGTCATCGCGGAGGGTGAAAAGGAAGATGAATACTCCGGCAACCATTGTTGCAAAGGCCATTGGTCGCCGACGACCTGCTTTATGGACAAGATAGCAAGCCAGAATGGAGCCAGGGATGGCGGCGGCACTGATAATTACGTAGTTCCGATAAGTATTGGCGTCGTCTTCTGTTTCATGACCATTTGATAAATATTGTGGTAAGAAGGCATTGAATAATGGATAGCCCATTCCAATGACAGTCCAAATAAACCATAATAGAGCCTAAAACGTTTAGAAAAGAAGATTGGGAATACTCGGTGCACAACTTACAGTATTTATACCCAATCGGAGAGTTCCAAATAGTGGAGAGATCTTTTTCATCGTTTCCGGTCCAAAAGATGCAATCGCTCGACGAACCTTCACCATTGTACTTGACTTCACTTCTTCAGTGATCTCTCTTGTTCCTCCGATTTCGTTCAAGATTTCTTCGGTGAGCCAAGTGTGGGTGCCGTTCTTATGTGCTAGTGCACGAACAGATCTTACAGCTTCTGCTTGCTTATTTATGCCAAGTAAGTATTTGGGTGACTCGACATTATCAAATAACAGACGAGCCAGAGCCATTACCAAAGTTATACCTCCCAAGGAGTATATAAAGAACCTCCAACCGAGGCTTGGATCGAAATTTGTTCCAACAAACAGCCATGCAAGGAGCGCAGTCATAACCTGTCCTACTGGCCACCATATTGATAAAAGTGTCAAGTAACTGCGTTTTTCGTGTGGTAGGAATTCAAGCTATCGAGGCATTAGCAGACTGAGCTTCATGTTAAAAGTTTTAACGTACAAACATGGTTCCATCTACGGGAAGACTGCCTCCAACTCCAAATCCAACTGCCGCCAGAATAATTGAGGCAGCGGTAAAATTCGGCGCATTTGCCAAACCCAAGGCAAATATTCCAGTAATAACCAGTGTCGAATTGAATCCCAGTCTTCTTCCTACGATGTCCGATCCGACACCCCACCCAGCGGCACCAAGTGATAATCCAACGTAAAACCAGAGAGTGGCGTACCGAACCAATTGGTTCGATACCTCAAAATTAACAGATAAAGAGGGAAGGATCAAAGCTACCCCTTGGAGCCACAGGCTGATTCTCGTCAGATCCTATCATTGGCAGAGATTAGGAGGAGTAATATACTTATCGGCAGCCCATCCGATACCACACAATATGAACAAGTGCCATTGATGCTTACCCATACCAATATCACTAATTGCAAGTTCGATGATTCTAAATTTTACTAGCGAGATGTCAGCATGAATACCCTATTGAATAAATCACTAGATTACCACGCACATTCTCGACCTGAATTCCATGATCCCATTTTCTCAACCTCATCTCTCAGACTCTCGATCGTTGGCGTACTTTTTTGACTGCTTGCGTCAGGTACTGCTAAACTTTCATCACTCTCTTGGGTATTTGGACGATCTTCAATTGATGCATTGTCATTTTTGAGAACATGATGAAGTCGTTTTACATGATCCAAAGGCTTAATAGCATCACAATATTCGGGTTTGGCTTCCCCAATTCGAAGTCCTAGAAGCTTCATTTTCGAATTTCTCTGAAGTTGCTGTGGAAAGACTGCTCAGGGAGTGGCGCTTTTTGGTTGATTGAGTATGTGATGTTGCGAGTTGCTTGTGGTTGGTTAAGTGTTGATGTTGCGAGTCGCTTTTGGTTGATTAAGTTTGTGTTGTTGCGAGTCGATATTTGACACTTTCACGTTGAAAAGGCTATAATATATTTTGAATAATAAAAATATGTTTCGATTGATTGATTGCTTGATTGATTGATGCTACTACCCAAAGTCGAAATCGTTATTGGAGAATATTTTTGGCGGATGATTTACTTCGTTCCCATAATGTAGGTAAGGGCGTGTGTATTTTATTCTTGTGATGTTTGTATGCATAAAGGCTTTAAAATAAGTATTGCGAGCTTCTATGTAAGAGTGATGGATGGATTTTGGAAAAAAGAATTTGTGGGAGTTGCTCATTATAAAGTTCCAACTATTCAATTGCAATAGAACCATTCAAGCGTAACGGCGAATGACTATGTACTATACTAGTTTGATGTCCTACTTTTTCTTAGCAGGTTGTTAAATCTTGCTTGAATGAACCGGTCTCCTTCTAGCGTCCCCGATCAAGGAAGGTTTATGTTGAGCATCAGTCATGAAAGAATTATGTGTACTGTGCATGTACGTATCGAGTCAAGTATATATAGAAATTAGGAGATCTCCATAATCTCAATTGCGAGTATATGGTATATACACGTTCATAGGCGAATGAATACACTTTCCACAATTGAGCCTGTCAAAGTTGTATGCAACCTTATACAAGCGAAAAGGAGCGAATTAAAGCCATCCATACACACATCCCCCTATAAAAATTAAACTTCCACGATCTGACAAAAGTGGCTATTCTACAAATCTAGTCAGTCGATCTCCTCTCGAAAAGGTTAGGAGTTTCGGTCCAAACTATCTTTTGCCAGATTAGAAGATCTTACTCTAAATTTGTTTCCAAGTGTCAAATCGGGGGTATTTCTTTCTATACCCTACTCTATTCGAGAAGATAGGATAGGATAGAATAGCTTATTCAGAGTTTTTCTATAGCTCGTATGTGCTTTTATATGATGTCAGTCAGTACCTAGGTAAATGAAATTTTAAGTCATCTTGAAGAAGCCGATCCTTGGAATATCAGCATGAATGACAAGGACTGGTGGGGCTGCGCGTTTAGTGCGCTTAATAGCTGGTTATTCTAGGTTAGGTTATTGAATTATGTTAAGCTAAGTGTAGGTAGGTGATTTATTAGATTACTAGATTAGATTTACTCTTTATGGCTCATGTGGTCAGTTTTTGTCGCGGAAAATAGATAGGTAGAAGAGCTTTTCCCACTTTTTTCTTTTTTTTCTTTGAGTGGGATTTGAGAGGGGGCTTTTGGGCAAATACATATAATGTGTGGTTTTATTCGTGTCGAATAGTGAACTAGGTATTTTTGTAACTTTTGTTTTGGTTTTTACTATAGAATATTTTATTTTATAAAAGAAATAGATTAAGATATATATATTCTAATAATATAATATAAGTTTAATATTTTATTTTTGAATTATTTCTTTTTTAAATTATTTTTTTATATTTGAAATTATAATTTTCAAAATATTAATAACTTTTATAATAAATAATCTTGAAAATGAAAATAAAAATAATTTAAAAGTAAAAAGAGAGTATTATATTAAATTTTAGATAAATAATTTATTATTTATTTATTTAGATTTGTTTTTTTTTACAGATATTAAAAAGAAATGAGATAGTAAGGAGAGAAATGCTGAGTTTGAATATATTGTTTGTTATATGATGTTGATTATTCAAATCTGAGGAGTTGAGGAGGTTCTTTGTATATATATGTATTCATTCACATTCACATTCACGATCCAAGTCCCAGCCCAGCCCGTCCTAAAAATCAAATACAAGTTAACATTGAAATTTTCTTTTCATTTTCATTTCAAATGTAAGTCTCTACATACATCTAATGCTTTCCACTTCATCTTCATTTCCTCACCTCAACTTACTTATCTCCCTCCAATCTCAGATTTCGATAGCTGCTTTTTCTATTTTAAACTTTCCAGAAAGTCAATCATCCTACCATACCATTCATTGTCTCACAACGTTTCCATAACCCCTCCACTGAAATACTGCTCCCTATATCCATTCATCCAGATTTCTACCTCCTCACGTCTGTAACTCTCGATAATGCAAAGTAGGGTATTTGTGTTCTTTACAGAAAGGAGGGAAAAGAGGAAAGACGTTGCCTAATTTCCTCTCTTCATACTTCCGCACCCCATCCACTATCTTCTTTCCATCCATCCCCAAATCAACCAAATATACCAGCCTTCCGCCCAAGAAAAATGCCCCCTACCCACAAGGTATCCCCGCCATATGCACACCGCACCAGAATTAGAACAGGGTATATTATTTAAATGTCTGAAATTGTATGCTTCTATCGATGCCCGTTAGATAGATATCGGTGTCAGGTCTGTATCGAAGAATTGCCAGAAAAGTTAAGTAAAGAAAAACTACAGCGAGGTAGTTGAAAGAAAAAGGTTTCATATGCGTCTTTGTGCTCGTCATCAGGCTCAATCATGGATTGCGTCCGTACATCTCAATCACTGTTCATTCAGCCGCCAACTTCCACCTCACGCAGTTTCTGGTTCGAGATCATCGATATCTGGCGAATAAGTATTACTTATACCCACACCTTCTGGTACATGACTCATCCCTGTATTCGCACTCTCTCGTTTTGAAACCCCAGAGACACCACTATCACCCTCGTCGCGATCGAATATGATTCCATGAATATTGAGGCCATGCTTATCGCTTGCCGGAGTTCTCAAGATTTCTTCTTCGACTTTCTCATCAAGATTCATGAGTGCTGGAGGACGATGTCGCATTTGTCTTGCTTTGGCAAGAGAAATTGTCTTCTGTTGGTAAGTTGTAGTTATAGGTTTGGAGTCATCTCGGTCAATGGTAGCTTTCATTAGTGCGGCCATCCACAATCTGCCTTGTTTGATATTTGGTACTGCGAAGTAATGCACAGTGGGTTTGGTGAAATTGACGGCTCTAGAAAGACCAGCTCGCGGTGGTACGAGTTTAAAAATAAACATAGAAACACCACCACTTTTGCTTAATGAAGATTCTGGTTCGGCATTCGCCTCCGCTGATGCAATGGTTTCTTGCGCATTAATCGGGCTTGTAGGGCTGGTCGTTGCACCCGTTAGAGTGGCATGGAGGCCAGTAAGGCGATCAGTGTCGGCTGGCAAGACTCGATGGAATGAAATATCGATCAGTCCTTTCTCCTCCTCATCGGTCTCGGAATAATAATAAGATAGCCGGCGGCCCTTCAACACAAAAAGTCGAGGTTTCCATGTTGTCATAAGATTTGAACTCTTCTTTTTCATCCATCCACTGTAATCTGCGCCAACCATTTGTTCCTGGGGCGCTTTCTTTTCCAAACCTCGAGTATAAGCACTAGTCTCCTTTTTGGACTTCTTTCTAGATGTCTTCGGAGTAATCATTGCCGTCTTATCATCTCGAGGATCCAGTTCAAAGCTCGGACCACCTGAACGTGTGCTTGAGCCAGTTCTTGAGGGTGATTGCAGTGGAGAATCTTTTGTTGAGGATGATAAAGTTTCTGTTGGCGAGGTAATACGAGATTTCTCACGACCGGTAACAGCATCAGAGATCGCGCGCATGCTGAAATGACTCGAAGATCCTGTTGGCTTAACAGGCTGCAGCCAATCGCTGGGATGATTTTGTCGGAGACTTGGTGATTTCGGCGACAGGATGCTATCCATGGATTTTTCTGGTTGGAGCTTGGTGACAAGTGGAAAATCGTCCTTCGGGGGTGGTACTGGTCGAGGAGGTGTATTAATGGAACTTTCTGAAGGAGTTCTCCGGCGACCATTCACAGATAAGCCATAATATTTTTGTGCTGCCGTAGGTGGTGGTGTTTCTCTCGTTGCATCAATACTACCAAATCTGGAATGTCTTGAATTCGTTGTTGCGGTCCTTAATCGTTGCTCATCAGTGTAACTAGAATTTCTAGAGTGACCAGCTGTGCTACCTCTTTTACGTAGCACGTTTCTCTGCCGGCCCTCCAATTCACCACCTGAAAAATATCCTCGGTCTAAATCTAAATTAGTAAGGGGCGCTGTAATTTCAGATGGTTGATCTGCAGATTCTTCGGTGGTAATTTCCGTAAGACCAGCGGAGGATAACGGACGACTCGAAGATAAACGTCGTTGAGATATGGCGGATGTTGCATCACCAAGGGACCAATCTTTGTTAAATGAGGCTTGCTTCTTGTGCGAAGATGCACCCCGGCTTTCCCCGCCCGCAACAGCGCTCATAAGTGAATTAGTGGTACTAAATTCACCGATCGAACTTTGTCTAGAGCGATGCAAATCTCGAATTGATGCTGCAGAAGGTCTTGTTTCGCCTGGGGCTCTTGGGCTGCCTTGTGGGGTTTTGAGAGATACTGGAGATGAATTTATAGCGGGGTCATTTCTCGGAGCTCGTTGAGATTGTCGAATATTGTTTGACGATGATCCAGGTCTGTTGCTCAAACTGAAGTTTCGTGGTAGCATTGTTGACGGAGTACCATTACGACTGCGACGACCACCATCTTCGGAGCCGATTTCACTACCAGCATATGTACCAGTGTTCCTTCTGGTCGGAGTTTCACCATTTACTTCGTCTTGGAGGGCTTTTATCTTTTGCCAAGTTTTCAACCTTCGTCCGACAGAACCTAATTCAAATTCTTTCAAGAAAACAGATGTTTGATCCATGCCCAATAAAACATCTCCGGTGATTTCTTGATCTCGGAACACTTCACAGTGCTTCTTCTCAACTCCCACAGTAAACAAGTATTCCGCCACTTGCTCGGGTGTCCATATATTGACCTCTTCCAGTGTGTGTATATCTTCCTCTTCTTCATCGGTTTCCTCACCATTGATATATGATAATCTTGCATCGGGATGATGGCTACTATATTCGCTGCCAGAGTCGTTGATTGATTTTGGCACAGAACCAACAATATGGGTCATGTCTGTTATATGCTCATCAATCACACTCAGAGTCTCATTCATCACTGGACTATCCTGCCCATGGGCATGGGACTTTGCTGCTGAACTCGCGCTCACTGCACTTAGTGGCGGCAGTATTTTTGCGGTAGTATTTGCTGGAGGTTCAATTGAAGTCGGAGATGAGGAAGGTCGACCGGGTGACAGTATATCTGAAATGGCCCCCAGAGCCTCGGGCGGAATTGTAGTTTCACTCGAGGGGCTTTGCGCCATCGGTTGAGGAGAATGTTGGAAAGATTGTTGAGCCAGCGGAATTTGCAGAGCTCCTAGCTGAGACATCGAAGCTGTCGAGAGATTTGGATAGGAAGGGGATCCGCGAGGGGCTAATCGAGTATAGACTTTTACGATTCATCAATCTCAATTCCCAATACGACACCATTTTCGCATGGGAAGCTCACCTTCTGGAAATAAACCACTCGATCCGTTTACTAGACTCCTTCCTAGGTACCATCCGTCTCCAAATTCATCATCTCGCTCTATTAATTCAACTCGATCTCCTTTGGACAAGCTGAGCTCATCAGAACTTCGGGCAGAGAAATCATCTAGCTTAATCATCAGTGGCAAAACTCCCCTATGTGACGATCTATCGGAGCTGATTTATATCCATATCCATCATAATCTCATTCCCAAGAGTAACCAGGGCGAATTTGACTTACGGATTACAATCAAAGTTGATCCAGGCTCTGGCCGTGGTGCATCCGGTCGATGCGATTGCATTGTTGTTGGTCGTTCCATCTTGTTCAATTCTGTCCAGCTCTTCAAATATTTGTCGTCCTCCCTAGGGTCCTTCACTTTTCACAGACTGACCATCTGATTTGTTGTTGTGCTTCGAATCTTTAGTTGAGAGTGTGCTTATCGAGATCAGTTTATAGTCGCAGAATGGTACGTTCCAGGGATCGAAGGTCTGTTGGCTCGAGATTTAGTCGCAAAGGGATTTCAAAGATATTTTCGGGTTGCATGAATGACAACAAAAGTGAATTTGTTGTCGCAACATGGGTAGCAGGTGTAGTACAACTGCCAAGTCCAAGTACACAGAGGGCAAGAGAATAAAAACTCCTGATAAAGTGGATTGAGAATGTTTTGGATCAGGGGGACATGATGGAGTCGTGGAACATTAAATAAGAATTGAAGTGGGTGGGTGAATGAGTGAAAGATGGTATCGGGGGGGTGAAGTAAGGTGAGTGAAGTGAAGTGTGTTGGCGTAATAATACTAATAATAATAAATAGTGAAAATGAATGAATGGTGGTGGGAGGGTTGAGAGAGATCAGAAAGAGAGCGAGTTGTCGGCGTATCGCGATTCGCAATGCAGAGTAAAGAAGGGTACCATGTACCCAGCAGTATATAATGTGGGAATTTCTATAGTTAGTCTGTGAGCCTGCGAGTCTGTGAGTCTGTGAGTCTGTGAGTCTGTGAGTCTGTGAGTCTGTGAGTCTGTGAGTCTAATAAAAAGTCTGTGAGTCGAGTAAAAGTCTGTGGGTAAAGTCTAAAGTCTATAAAAGTCCCCAAGGTTAAGGCGGGGAGGATGTTTTGTTTGGATTGGTTGTCAGCTGTTTTCGGCATCGGAGAGTGAGTGCTTTGGGCAAGTGGGTGAAAGGTTATATGACTCTGTACCTGGCTATTACCAGGTAGGTAGCAGTTATTAATTGTTGCTGGGTAGTGTAGTACTTATTAGTTGGTGCTTGAAGAGTGGAAGAGCTGCAACTCAGCAGAAATGCTCTGTAGAATGAATTTGGATATGCATCGGTCTGATAATAATGGCATCCAATTGGCTGAGACGTGGCGTTGTTCTCCATCATTTCCATGCTTCTAAATCTGTTTGGCTTCCGAGCATGTACCTGGGTACAGTACAGTGTCCCGGTATATAACTAACTCTACCTGGGTATTTCAAGGGAGTGTTCGATAACCCATTGCCCAAAGCTTGCCGCTGTGGACCACCAACCAAATCCATGATCTCTTCTATCAGGTTGGATCCCAGTCTTTGCTATGGAAGGTACAGGAGGGGTATTGCAATCTAGAAGTGACTATTTATGATGGCCTTCCCCTGGGACTTTCCGATGTTATATACCGTAGTCTTTGCCTACAATTATAGGTAATCATAGATACAGAAAGGAAGGCGGGTGTGTGTAGGCAGGTGTCCTTTCTATCCTTATATGACATCAGGGAGCCACAAGGGTACAGTAAAAGAGTGATATCGAGTATTTCATCTGATCACATATCAATAACTTAATCGCGTACTGCCATATTCTCTAGAAGATCATTATCGGATGATAAAAAAGCTATACCGGTACTAAACATCCCGATGACCCGTATCTTTCTGTGAATCTTTATTGGATAAGGTACGTCTAACATTTCTAGCTAATCAATGCAGGTAGTAATCCCGTACATAGGTACCACGGTAAGAGGTAAGAGGTAAGAGGTAAGAGGTAAGAGGTAAGAGGTAAGAGGTAAGAGGTAAGGGGTAAGAGGTAAGAGGTAAGAGGTAACAGGTAACAGGTAAGAGGTAAGAGGTCAAAGGTAACGCAAGAGGGAGAAAGTATTTGTAGTTTGTAATCCCTTACACTATTAATCATAAAGTCATGCTCTTTTGTAATGCTGTGACTTTCTTTACACCTCTTCGGACTTATTCTGGCCGTCCCACAGTTGGTCTTTTCTAAACCAATGCATATAAGAAAACATTTTCAAGAGTTCAAACGATATAGTCTGCATTTCCAAATCCATCCCTCTATTTAATTATCTATCTATCAATCAATCAATAAATAGATTCTGTCTCAAGTATTTACTATTTTATTTCTTAACCGTCAATACAATTTATTAAATTTTATGAATAGAGACATCTCATTGGTTTTCATCAATTCATCAATTTATTACCTTCCCATCTTTCACGCATATGGTTTCATTGATTCACCTATTCACCTTTGAGGCTGGTTATCATTCAGTACTTCTTCTCATTGATACCGAACCTCACCTCAACTTCAAATTTCGGTGCTAATTGTTCTCTTCACAAAATCAAAATTGACAAAACAACCTCCCTGCTCTATGTCAAAAGTATGTTAATATTATTCCCATCATAATTTGATTTCTTCATATATTGCAAAATAAAGAAGAAGGAGACCAAACATCTTTTAGGCAATCCTTGTCCGGAACATTTATCTCATACTATGAGACAAGGCTCAATTCCTTTCTTTTTCCACCACACAAACTTCCTAAGTACTGGAACAGAGGGTGTGGACGAGGGGGCAAAGGCGAGGGACGAGGAGAAAGGCATCTGATACTCCTTCATACATCAAAGGACTCTAATGCTTTTCAAGTCGACCTTGGATTGTTACCAAAACAGAATCAATGAATTCTCGACGACAGCGAACCTGAGACATGCGCCGACCGCCCGATAAAGATGGCCATTCTGCCATGACCGAACGAGATGTTGTCTCCTCTAATGCCACATTAAACGCCTTTTTCGGCGGGTCTCGACAAAAATCTTGGATGCTTGCAGGAGGGGCACCAGTTCGACCGACTCCACGACGCCCTAGCATTACCAAACCATCCGATCAGAGCAATTCTGATACTCAAAGGTACGTTATTTTCAATTCACTGATTCAATCCCATCCACATTCACTGTATCGAGTGACTGGCGCGCAAGGATATCCATAGATATGGATGGACGTACTGTGGCCTCCAAAGCCAGAAGTTTTATTGCCACGGCCTAGGTATCCGGATCCTGTTCAAACGTGCCCTGCAGGACCTTTATATGCCTCTTTATATTAAGCACACATTACAAGTAACCTCCATCGAATAATTTGAGGCTAATTACAGTAATCTTCAGAGGTTCGACCGCAAATCTGATATCGCCCGTAGCAAGTAACGAATCATCAAGTCCCGGACCGGCGCATAATTCTGTGCCTCTTAATACACACACCGCCGCAGTTTCCGGATCGCATGGTCCCCCGAGAGTGAATGCTACACTTGCAACTAGTCAAGCCCTTCAAAAAGCATGTACTACACCTTCAAACATCGATATAGTCCAGCCTCAGACTCTCCCTGATGCATCGAGAGGTGAAATCGACGAAGCTCGCACAGTGGAAATATCTGCAAGGTCTCCTCCGTCGGATAAATCACCTCAACCGCAGACCGCAGTGAGCACCACCTCGATTAAAAAAACAACCCATGATATACCATCTAGGTCCTCTTCAGTTCAAAAAACAAGCAACCGAGCGCCTTCTGTTACAACAGGAGACTCGGTGACAGTACCTATGATGCCGGGCAATGTGGATCAAACATCATTATCTCATGCGCAGCATCCTCCACGAAGGGGTTTTCAACCTACCATGCCTTCCTTGAAATCTCGCGTTGAATTGGTAAAAAGATATGTTGAACATTGTGGAGGTATGGCCAACTTGAATTCCGCGCTCGAAAAGCCAAGGTTCAGTTTAATGGAAACTGCCTGCAATTCTGATGATGCTCATTATGTTGCAATACACCAGCTCTTTTGCGTATGGGATACAAATCGTAAAGATGTCACAAGTATACCTGGCCTTCCAGACTCAGTGACCTTGTCTCATGCATTTCGGATATTGGGTCAGCTGATACGAGATAATGAGGGTATGGCTCCAATTCATCTTAGATGGTTTGCCAAGTTCCCAAGTCCATTGGTCGATCTGATAAGAACATCTGAGCCATATCGGCGCATCATTCACGAAGTCGGGACATTTCTTTCAAAGTTGGCTTCTACTTGGCCAGATTTAACGAGGCTATGTACTAGTAGAGGCTATCCTCCACTAGTTGATGAATTAATTAATCAATTAGGATTGTTGTCACCTACTTTGCAAAATATTGTGTTCACCGCGACAAGGCGAAACCTTAATATCATTGATGACGAATTCGGTAACCAGATGGAAAGAGTGTTCGAGCAAGATAGAACTGGACACAGGGAACTTGCAGCTCGGTATCATACTTCTCGTCCACCCACTGAAAAGGAGATTCAAGAAAGAAGTAAAATCATAGCTGAGAGATACAGGATGATATCACAGAAATCACGCCAGAAGAAACTTGCAAATATCGCACCGGTACCTTCGACAACTGCACCTGCAGTTCCCTCGAACACGGGTCAAATCCCAGTGGCTGCAAATGGGTCGTACCCTCTTCCAAATGGTTCTGGTTTGGTTTCTAACCCAAATACATTTCGTCAGCGAAATGATGTTAGAAATCGTCAAGTCGGTCAAAACTTAGGCCAAATACGAACATCATTTACGGGACCTCCATTACCTTCAAATTTGATAAGTGTCGGCGGGAATCATCCAAATAATACACCACGCGCAGCTGCAGATACACCTAGTCCGATTCCTATGCAAGGTTTGTCTATGGGATCGCCAATGCAACAAGCTTTCCAATACGCTTCACCTGTCTTGCAAAATAATGGTCCTCAATTTTCACCATCGGTAATCCGTAACAACGGCACTCAATCACCAGTTATTGCACATAACCAGGGAATTCAAGGACAATACTGTTACGATCCAAGATACGATCCTAGACAACAGACATATCATCCACAGCAACATCTGCAACAGTTTGGTCAACAAGGACAGTACGGTGCAAACAATCCTCAACAAATGAGTTTGCAGCAAATTCAACAAGCTCAAATGCAGCAATTGCAGCAATTGCAACTTCAACAGCAGCAGCAATGGCTACAGCGCTCCATGCCTGTTGACCTGCAACAAAACAATCAGCATCAGATGTCTCAGCAACAGCAAGCTTTATCAATGCAGCGTCCAGTGGGTTTGAGAATAGATAGCAATCCTACCAATGGTCAACAACAGCAGCAAGTTCCGTCAAGAAATGTTAGCAGAAACGGTAGCAGAAACAATAGCAGTTCTAGCGAGCGTACACTTCCATCCATGAATAGTTCTAGCCATACGCAGAATCTCACCCAAGGATTTCAGATACCTCCCTGTCCAAGACCGATGAGTATTGAAGAGCAGCAACGCAGGATTTATGGCATGACTGACCCTATGAAAAGACCCTTGATTCCCCCCCTTGGTTTTATGCATCCTCAAGGGATTCCGGATCCATATTCAAACGCTCTTCATCAAGCTGATGTTCGAAGCCCTCGTCTGGTTACCGTCAATGTTTCCCAGGGTGGTACTACAGCTCGCAGATTTTATCAGTTTGTGAAAAATTTCCCAATGTCTCCAAGAAAGATACCCTTTGAACTTGCACTCAACAAACTGGAGTTTCACATCCCCGCTGATGCATTAAAGTATATTTCTCGCGATAGATTGATCGGCAAAGACCCGCTAATGGTCCGTGAAGTTGGATCTAAATCTCTGCAATACCGATTAAGATGCTCGTCAGATGTCGCAGATACAGACGCGTTTCCCGTTTCGAGGTGGGTTGTTTCAGACACGGTGTGGCCTGACGTAATATTTATGGATATCAACGGCAATGAGTTGGAGATTAGACGCAAACAACATCATGGGAAAGATCTTCCAGTCGATGTTACTCCTTATATACATGCTGGAATCAACGTCATTACGATCTCAATGCCGAAGTTGACTACGGCAATCAAACAAAAAGAGTACTTTATTGCTGTGGAAGAGATTGAGATTTTACAACACGGTGAAATTATGGACATTTGCAAGGAGCAAAGAATTCCTGCAGCGACGGTTGTTGAAGAGATTAAGAAGAAGCTTGCAGTTCCGACTGAAGAGGATGATGAACTCCTAATAGTGGCTAGCGATCTCTCCGTTAGTCTGACTGATCCTTTCACCTCGAGGATCTTCGAAATTCCAGTTCGTGGTAAAGATTGCCTGCATCGAGAATGCTTCGATCTAGCAACTTTCTTGTTGACACGTATAAGCAAGCCGAAACGACCTGAGCAACCTTCCATGATTGACATCTGGAAGTGCCCGCTTTGCTCGGCAGATGCACGTCCATACAGCCTTCAGCTCGATGAATTCATGGCTTCTGTTAGAGACGAACTACAGGCACAAGATAATCTTGAAGTTAAATCAATCCTGGTCGCGGCAGATGGTACCTGGCGCGCAAAGCCAGAGCCGCAACCTTCACACAAAAGAAAGTCAACTACTGGTGGAGATGATGATGACGACGAATCCATAGACGGAAGTAGGCCAAGTAAGAAATCAACAAATGGCGCCAAAATTGCGGTGGTTGAAATTATTGAATTGGACGATGATTGAAAGTTTTCTTTCTTCATATTTACGTTACGATTACAAATGAATAAATGAGCACAATGTGCGTGGAGTTTCGCAAAATTGACTCTTTTTTGGTTGAATGGATTAGCTTCTTGCATAGGTGCTAGATACTCAATTGCGGCGTTGATATTTAAGGAAAATGGATGGAAGGAAGGATGGAAGACGAACTAATTCAATCGTTGGCGTAAATTTTTGCTACTTACAACATGGCTTTGGCGTATGCATGTTCAATTGGCTGGAGCGTGATGGTATGGCTTTCTTGGAATGGGAGGACATGGCATGATAGGATGGCATAGTAGGGCACGGCTTTCTGCTTTATGAGAAAAAATACCCCCTAGATCATGAATATCATGAAAATATGAATGCTTGGATCTGGGATTGGACTACACTGGATGGACTATTAGGTCTGACTGAGATGGATGCATGGATGCATGGATGTGTATATTGTACTTTTGTCTTGGGGGCTGAGAATTTCGCTACGCAATATAGCATTCATGTATGTGTGATTTAGCATTTAAGTGTGGTATCTAATTTAAAATGAAATTCGATGAAAGTTGTTGGGATGAGAATGAATGGGAGTTCGAGTTTGTGTGATTGTGTTTGTGATGAGGATTTTGATACTGATATTGATATTCATACTGATGATTTTATCAATAGTCATACTACTTCCTTCCTTACTTACTAGGTAGTCTACAAATCAAATAATAAATAATGGATATTCAATAATTAATCTATCTATATGTAATTAAGTACCAGCATACTTTAGAAAGTTAAGAAGGAAGACACCATATAGCTGGAAAAAAGCGTGGGTTGGTTGGGGATTGGAGTAGAAGGGTAGGGTGGAGAGGATGAGAATGAGGATGTGGATGTGGATGTGGATCATTCGAGAAGCTATGAATTTGCATGGTGTCATAAAATTATAAAATCAAAGCAAAGCTAATTCGCAAAAACCAACCTCTAAAACCTACCGAGCTTCAACACAAAGAACCGAAAAGGAGAAAAAAGAAACTCATTGCGTCGTCTCTCCTCCATCCATCCAAACTATCATGTACGATCTTAAGAAGAATCATCCATCTACACACCACGCAATACTGTTTCTGCTCTTCGAAATATTTCTTACCCACCAGAACCTTCTTCGCCTTCTGCATAAGCCGAAGGCGGCTCCGCGTTCGCTTAATGAGGGGGTGGGTTCGTAGATGTGTATGAGAATGAGAGGTGGGATTGCTTGAGGAGAGAGTGGATTGGAGTTGTGCCTGCGAGACCGTCGCCTATGATGGCATGTTTATGCGGATCTTATTTGTAGGTGGTAGATTTGGTATTGTGGGTGAGTGAATGAGTGAATAGATAGATGGTGTAGAATAGGAAGGTCGTTGGAAGAGTGGGTTCTTGGAGGAGGGAATGAGGTATGTCCAGTATCATACGAGGAGAGGGAGATAGGTAGAAATTATAGTGAAAGATAAATAGATATATTTTAGATTTATTGGTACATCATGCGATATGCCGTTAGATGTAGGGGATGCAGTAGATGCACGCAGCGGGATGTAATAATCTAACACTCAGGAATAACAGCAATAACAGCAAGCAGACCATTGCCTCAAATACATATTTCGCCGCACTCGCCTTGACGTCGCAGCTCCAACTCGATTGGGAAAACAAGGCATATGGCACTTGGTATATATATATTTAGCAGGTATCATGCTCGGCTTCAATGTTCTGAAAAGTGAATTAAAGCACTAATCTAGGTTTATGAGGAGGGTGCTGATAATCGAAATCTTTCATCTGGAGTAAATCACTAGTCTACCAATTTGAAATTCTTGTACTTTAGGCAGAGAGTATAAAGACATAAAGATATAGCTGCACAGATACTATGAAAGTATCTTCAGGTATCCTTCTCGTTGCATCAAAAGAGAAGCACGGCATTCTAGTTTATGATAGTCGTAGAAAGCAGATATTGCTCAAGTAAATCAATAATGAAAGAGCACTTGCTGCTTATCCTCTGTTATCATTCACCTACAATACTTAAAGTGACCTTCCAGAGTGTTCGGATTCTATTCCACATGGGCAGTGGTCTTCAACAACTCTGCTTTTCCCATAGAATGTTGGCTCGAGAAAACAAATCGCAACACAGCCTAATCCACAGATGTTCCCTAATCAGAAAATAACCATGAACCAAGCATCACAAGGAACTACTGGAAGCCCTAATAAGAGAAAAATATCGCAGCATGCAAAATTTGCGAACATAGGAAGTAGAGATCCATTCATCAAAAGTATCAACGCCTCATTTTCCATCCCAATGTATACACATTCAAAGTCCTTTGGATTATCTCCACTGCATCATATGCCATTGTCCATATCCGGTCTGTCCAACAGAATACTATCATACACTCCTTCCGCTACTGTATCCATCTGCGACCCATTCATTGTACATTTATCGTCATTAAAGGTATCCCTTATCATCCACTTCATTTTTCACTCTTGCCCCTTCCTCTTTTCCCTTTCCCTTTCCCATCCCCACCCATTCCCAATACCAACACACCATCCTGAAAACCATTCATTACAAACTAAACACAACAATTAGCCCCATACAAATCTAAGTCCCAAAACCAAAAGAAAAATGCTCAATACTCACGGAGGTAAAAGATAATCACTCCAACTGCTCGAAAAAAACGCAACTGCAAGTCCAAAAACCCCAATACTCCTCACCACACTCGCATTTTCGGGTGCAGTTAATGCAGAATATGTGCTTGCGAAATAACCTTTTGGTTGAGGAGTGCGACGAGCGGGGCGTTCGACTACTACGCGTTGGGCTTTGGGTGCCATTTTCGTGAGTATAATAAAGTGTTTGGATGTATGTGTGATTGTAGATTTTGTGATTTTTCTTGCCTGAAAAGGATTGTTGTGAGAGTGTTTTTTGGTGAAGAGCTGGTTGGAGCTTGAAGTTATCTTTGAGATGGTTGATGAGTTTTTGGATGATGGCGATTAGTAAGCCTGCAGGTTAGGCACGTGATTGGTGGGGGTTTTGACAAAATGAAATTGACGATGATGGTTTACAAAATGATATCTAAGGTTTTGTTGTGAGGACATCTGCATATAATGGGAGACTGAGAGATGTGCCTAGTAATACTGCCATAGTTTGGATGTACCTGGCATAGTGCTTTTGATAAAGAGTCAAGGAAGACTAGGTGTTTCTTCAGCTCTACTGCTGTATCTTCTCCAGTGTCATGATCATCACTCATTTGAGGAAAGGTTTAGTCGTACTGTTGCACTTTAATTCCAATCATTTATTGAAATGTCTTACAACTCGGTATTTTGTGAGAATAAAGTGTAGAGCTAGTGTTCATACTCCTTAGGAAAATAGATAAGGATTCCCGAAGGGATCCATGAACAAATCTCTAGCAGTTACAGGAATGGCTGTTCAATACAGATATTGAACATACAAATGCTGGCAATTAATTCGATGATGCTGGTCGTGCAACTATGTTCTTATATCTAGTATCTAGGGGGCAACTGGACAAGCATGCAATCCTTTACCGTATTGAATATTTTTCTACTTTCCGCGCCTTACAAGCCAAGTGCATCAGTCTGTTGCCGAACGCAGAAAGCTCGCGAAAAGGGAAGCATAAGACACTGAGGATCAGACATAAAAAGTGCATCAATTAGCAGTGGAAAGCCATTACATCGCCACCAACGTGATGGGCAACTCGAGATTCGTGGGACACCACATGGAGTCATTTCTATATATTTGGGGATAGAGGGCTTCGTCAAAGGAGATGTGCTATTATAGAACTTTTGATGACGATTCATCATTCATCCAAATCATAACAATCAAAACTAGACATATCCGAATGGTAACAAGGTTTTTAAAAGTGCGTACTTTTATATATTCTGGAAAATAGATGTATACATTCTCTCTGTGATCAAAATACAAATGGTAGTATGATTAGTCTTAATATAATGTCTTCAATCACAATTAAGATCTTGCAATTCTGCTCTGATCATCTTATGAGTATCTACCACACTACCTTCCAAGAACCAGCACTTCACGTTACTTAATGATAAAGGCAATAACAATTAATATGTTTATTATCTCTTCTTCCATCTATTAAAACTAGGAGTACTAGATCTTTTTACCCCATCCCCAAACATATTCCTATAACTTTCCCAGTCGCACCACCAAACCACCATCATCAGTTCTTCCGTAGCTTTCATCAAATCTGTCAAGCCCTTCTCAAACCCATTCCATATCCCCTCATCCCAACTTTCCCTCCCAAAATCCTTGCATCCAATCTCTCCAACTATACACACAACATCCAAAAGCATCCAAAAGCATTTAAGAACATCCTATATTCACCATCTATCCCAACCTAAAAAACTTCAAACAAATAACTTAAAATATCCAATTTTGACTACCAAATACTAAATTTAAACTTCAAAACCTCTAAACAACAAATTAACCTTAATTAATAAATCTTATTCTAACTCTTATTTTATCTTCATTTATAAAAAACGAAAAAAATATTAAAATTAAAATAATAATTTTATATTTTTAATTAAAAAAAGTTAAAAATTTTAAAACCAATCAATTAAACAACAAAAGAAAGTCTAACTTATAATCTTTTAATTAATAAACGATTAAATAAATAAAAAATATCTAATATAGTTATCCCGCGCTGCCCCACTCACCACTCACCTCATCCCTCACTCCCTTTACCCTCTATATAAACATCGTTTAAACAACAAATCCACCACCCAACCCCCTCCCTCCCTTCTAAAAATAAAGATACAACCCCTGATCTATCCTCTATCCATCATACACTCTCCTCTCCTCTCCATCCCCACCATCTCCCATCTCCCATCTCCCATCTCTCATTCTACTCTATCCCCATCTCTATCTCTATCTCAATTCCCAAATCTCAAATCTTACCTAACCCTTCTAACCCTTCTAATCCTACCTATTCAATTATCCAATTATCCCAAAAAAAAATTAAACCCTAATTCTAATTATCGGTGTCGCTACCCCTATCTATCTCTAACCTCATCATAACTTCTGACTCCTATTTCTATTCCTATTCTCATTTCCATTTTAAAATAAAAAGAAGTCATTATCCTTCCATTCACTTATTCATCCATCCATCATTTATTCACTCATTCACACCCTACCCACTACCCGCCTACGAAAAATATCACCCATCCACCCATCCATTCATTATCTATTATCCAGAAACCCTCTAAAAATCCTTCAAAAACATTCGAAAACATATATATTGATACCGATATAATATAAAATAAATAATATAAATAATATAATATAGTTACTCTGATGCTCCATACTTTCATTGCATTTGATAGGATAGATAAGATAAATATTCTTCTTTGAGTCTCCCAATAAATGAATCCCGTTCCTTGTAGTAAAAAGAGAGAGAAAATAGACCCATCAATGATAAATACACAGGAATTCCTCCCTTTCCCCATTTCCCAAGAGCTCCAAATAACCCATCCAACACAATATGAAAAATGTGGTGAATAAACAAGATAGGATAATCATTTAAACAAAGTAACGCCAGTTCCCACCTCACAAATTTGCCCAGTAGCCCGAGCTAGACATAATGTGAGGTAAATAATTAAGTACGTCCTCTGACTCGATCAAAAATATAATAGCATAAACACAAATGGAACCCGACCCCCTTCCATTGATTCCTATCCAACATCACACAATCGTGATATGTTTTATGTAAAAAGAGGTTTTTTTTTAGACACTTGCAACAACCACCAGCCCATTCTAACCATTTCTGAATTTCAGATTCTTGTTCACATTGACAATCAATACGCCAGGATAAGTTCGAAATGGTATGACCCGATAAACGCCAAAGTATGCCTGAAAACGCCGGAAAATTGACACTATGCAACTGAATCGCTTCAGACAGTCTCGGATATTTCATTATCTCCTAGGAAAGAAGGGTCAAAGTTATAGGTGTCATCAGCACCGCCAGTGGAATCATTCAGGAATGAATCAAAATCGAAATCGGTAAGAACATCCGAATTTCCACCCATGGGGTTCTGGAATTCGAGCATATCAAACTAGTAAAAGGTTAGTGCTAAAACAAAAAATCCCACATTTGATAAACATACCGGTTGATCATTCATCGGGAATGAATTCAAAGGATCAGGTTGCGATGAAGAAACTCCAGCGTTCGGGGCAGCCGCCATAGGTTGACCATTGACAGGCTGTACAGCACCATTCGGATTTGGACCATTGTTGAAACTTTTCGTGTGTACTGGGGTAATCGGTGTCGCTGGAGTAGGGGTCGCGGCTTCTTGGGTTTGGTCAGCGGAAGGTGTAGCACCAGCGTTGAGGTTTGCGGCGGATCCTTTCTTTGTAGCGCGCTGTCATCAATGTCAACATTTCTACCAAAAAAAAATCCATTTAACGCTAAGAAACTTACCTTTGTTTTTGTTTCCTTGGCCTCATTCTTCTTCTTAGGATTTGCCTTATTTGACTGCTGAGGCGTAGGAGGCGCAGCAGTGCTACCTTGAGGTGATGATGGTTGAGTTCGTCCATTTACGCCCGCGTTGGCAGGAGCTGCTGGTGGAGGCATGTTTCGTTGCTGGGGTGTGCCCATAGCTTGTGGAGGACCTTGCGAGGGGTTGGCGACCATGGGAGCCCCACCGTTTGGACCGTTCTGCCAATTACCGGCTTGTTGTCGTGCCATCATGATTTGTTGTTGCGACATCCCTTGTGGATTAAACCCAGGGTGGGAACTAGGTGGGCGCATGCCGTTTTGCATCATGTTACCATTCATTCCATCTATCTTGTAAAATTGTGGATTCATCCCTCCATCCATCTGTCCACCTTGTCCCATGTTGAAATTCATTGTACTTGGAGATCCTCTATTCTGGCCCTCAGGCAGAGGAGATGGGATGCCGGGGTTGTTCATATGAGGTGTCCCTCGCTTCATCTGTTCACTTGGGTTTGGTGAGTTTACTGATCGAGGTCCACTCTGTGGTGAAGTTCCTTGTTGAAAATTAGGTCCGTTAGGTCCCATACCAGGGCCGCCAGGTCCTCCTTGACCGTCAGGACGAATAGCATCTTGTTCTTGGCGAGCCATCATAAGTCGTTTCTTGTTTTGCTGTTCGAGCAACATCAATTGCATTTGATAATCCTGCAACGCATGATTACCCTGACCACCTTGTGGACCACCTGGGGCGCCTCTTACACCATTCTGATTCATCTCACCTGCGCCGTAACCATATGCCGCCATGGCATTACTATCAGCACCCTGTGTCATCATGGGCGATCCTTGGTTTGGGGGCCCTCCAGCGGCTACGCCAGACATTTGCTTCTGCTGCTGTTGAGACAAATTGGCTTGGTATGCTGCTTGAAGATTCTTCTGATTGGGATTTTGACCTTGGAAACCTGAGAACTGCTGAGCTGTCAGATTTGAATCGATGCCATGTGAAAGTGGCAAATGAGCTGCTTGAACAGTATTGCTGGGGCCGGTTTCTCCCACCTGTTGGGCTGGAATTCCAGTAGTTTGTCCTCTTCCATTAGGTGCCATTCCACCTTGTTGATTAAAGGTAGGTCCATCAAGCCTAGGTCGCTTGGATGGAGACGGGGCGTTCTCGGCAGATGATGGGGATTGAGCCCGCTGTGGATGATTACCGTCCGAAGGTTCTCTTTGCATAACTTGTTGTTTTTGCATCTGCATTTGCTGTAATTGCTGCAAATGCTGTTGGTTTCTGTCACAAGAAGTGATTAGCATTAGTATAGTTGTGAAGATGGCTACTCACGGTCCACCGCCTCTACCGTTCATCATCGCTTTTCGAGCAAGATCATTGGGACCCATCATACCACCCGGCATACGACCATAAGCTGGACCACCATGCAATGGATTCAAGCCACGAAGTGTTGCTTGTTGTTGCTCAGCCTTCTGGCGCGATTGCTATTTCAAAATTTAGTGACCGCTTGTGTAAAGCTCGAAATTAAAATACCTGTGTATGCGAGACGTAAGAAAGAACATTGCGTGCATCTCCTTTGCCTCGCTGAGCATTGAACATATCCCAGAAAAGGCAAAACCACTCGTACAGAAAACAGCCTTCAGGGCATTCTTTGGGAAGATTAGGTAGAGGAAGGTCATTGGGTCTCTTCGAATCAATATCATCTTTAGAATCATCCCCATCTTCCCCGTCGCCACGACCAGGGCTATCTTTGACGACATTAATTTGTTCATGATTCAATAACGTCCTGGCGCAATCGAACATTCCATTCTTGAGGAAGTATTCATAAATGTAGGTGTTAAGTTGCGACCGGTTGTTATCATTGTTTGTAGGGTGTCGGGCAGCTCCACCAGCTACCCCATTATTCATCATGGGCATACCACCCCCGACAGGACCACCCATATTTGGCATACCGGACATATTGACGTTATTCATCGTGGCAGACCCTGAATGCGATCGAGTAGTAATAGTTGAAGGTGAGGGTGAAACCTTACAATCCAACACCCGTTGAGAAGAAGAAAAACCGTCCGTCAGCCACAGCTCTCTGACGCGAAGCGGTTGAAGGCGAAATGCCGCACGGCAGAGTTGGTATGAACGAACGAAAGCGAAAAACAATCGATAAAAAATTTAACTTGGCTGTTAATGTAATTGTACGTGGCGCGCCAACTTTTGTGCAGTTTTGAATGAGTTGAAGTGTGATTTTTAGAGTAACTGAGGTGTTCTGTTCTGTGTTCAAGTGTCTGTGTCTGGGGGGAACCTTTTAGTGTACTGCGTAAAGCAAGCAAATGCGATTAGAACCCGGGCTAGTTGAATGCGAGAAGCAATAGGATCGAGAAGTTATTTTGAGGGTTAAAGTTGAAATGCTGTTGTTGGGATGAGATTGCGCAAGTGAAGATATTCACCATACAAGTATTAAAGGCAAATAAATATTGATGCCGTGGTCGAGGCTTTTCAATTATTCGGGGTTGATGGTTTGTAGTTGTAATTTGTCTGGGTTTCCAAGGTGGGTTTTTGGGGGGTGTTGCAATACCAAGGACTGAAAAATACTCTAGACGTGATGTAAGTTACTCCCGAGAGAAAAGGTGCGTTTCCAATAATTCTACTCGTAAATTGTTTCTTTCTTTTTTTGGTGCTGGGTCGGACGGAGCTGTGAGCTGGGGAGCTGTGAGAATTGAACGAACCAGGATTCGACACCAAGGAAAAGAAGGAATGATTTAGGTGGGTAGATGGGTAGATGAGTAGGTGATAGCTAGATAGGTAGGTATTAAAAAGAAGTAACAACACCAGAAAAGACAAAGATATTAAAGAAGTATAATGAGTTGATTAGAATCAGATGATTGTTGATCATCTATCTAATGTTCATTGAAATTATCACGGAATTTGAAGAATGAAATGTCAATAGAGTTAGAGTTTGGATGAGAGCGAAAAAAAGTGGAAGAATTGGGTAAGAACCAGTAAGATTGAGATTTCGTTTGAACTAATCTGTAATGGTGTTAACTTGATTATGCTATGACGCCGCTTTTAAGATGAAAGATGAAAGATGAAAGATGAAAGATGAAAGATAGGTAGGTTCCTTCTTCCAACGATGTCTAGGTGCGTATTGAGTTAATGTTGAATGATCAATACATAGAGGACTATGTAAAATAAGATTCTAAGTGAAGGCTGAAGAAATTCGAGTATTTGGAAAATAGATAGGTAGGGTAGTAGGCAACTCATCTAATGACCTACGTGGACTGCTCTGATCAGGAACTTTCAATACAAGTACACTCACTCACTCACTGACTTGTACTTTTCCTCCCATCAACAAATGATTATTACTCTGTACAATACATTGCCTTCACTTGAGATACAAATCATAGTAATCTTTCACAACATTCACCGATCATTTCAATCTTACGAAGCAACAACTTACATCTTACATTGGTATAGGATAACTTCCACAAGATTCTGCTTTGCAATCAAATCTGGCATTTGTACTTACATTTGTATTCGAAATGATCTATTAATCATTCATAATCTTGCAGTTCTCTTATCACCTCTTGTTTCCTTGATTACCTACTCCCTAGGTAAGTAATATCGTTCGAAACTCTCGGTTGATAAAGTGGCGAGCGAAAGAAGTGTGACATGATTTCCATCATCACCAGCCTTTCATTTCGTATAAATTTATAGTAGTCTACAAGATGAATTCGATATACAAGTATTCTTTTTGCACACCATCAATTGATCATCTTCTCCAATTCACGAAAAGAACGACTCTAATCATGAAAATTACAGTCCTATCACGTGATACGGGTGTGTATTAGTGGACTTAGATGTGGGTTTTCAATGGGTACTTATCTGAAGACAATTCAATTGGCGAAGTGGAATCCAGTATCTTAAATGACTTGAGTGAATGGTCCAAACTGCTCAAATATTCCAAAGGATTTGAATTCATATTCGCTACCTAGATAGTCTCAATGTTCCGAAGTCTCTTATTGTTGACCTTCAATCCGGACTATTGGAGATATTGCACGTGATAGAAGATAACAGCAATCTCGTGACATTGCTAATTATAAATTCCAAAGTTTAACCTGACGCTTGAGGAAGTCGGGGTTCGATGACAAGAGACGGGATAACATTCAAAAGAATCTCAAGCTACCGAAAGATTGAAGTAATCATCTAATACCTAGGTATCTATCTATCTATCTATCTATCAATCTATCTATCTATCAATCTATCTACCTATCTATCTATCTATCTATCTACCTACTCGACCACCGAGTTCTTGCGCTAGCTTCCGAATATTTGGATCACAACTTCTCAACTGGGCAAGCAAATTTCCAGTACCCACCACATAATCCTTTCTCTCCATGTGAGAATGTTGCATTCGGATAAGTTAAATATTCTATTTTCTGGTAGTATACTACCAGAATGAGAGAAGATTACAGAGTGCCATCCAACGGTTTTTTATCTGATATTAGGGATTTTTGTTTCACCCTTTTTCTCCTTGGTGGTGGATCGGTAGATCATCTTATATTTGCATACTTCATGAGCCGTTGCTCCCAAGCTTCTAGATACTTTATTACTCTCCGTTTTTCGGAGAATATTCTCCGCCTCCGCCTTTACTTAATTTTATACAGAGTGTTGTACCTAAGTAGTGTGGGGTCTGAAGTAGAAATGGGTGTAGCACTGTAGCATCAAACATCCTTCCAACGACCAACGACCCAACGACCAACTTCTAACATCCAACATTCGCCAACCACCAACGTCGTCTATTAATACCTAACCCATACTTTCATGCTATCTCCCAGTAGATGAATAAATAAAGCATATCAGTGATACATCCATCATCCCACCGCAACTCTTCAAACTAAAGATCCAAACTGTCCACAGAATCAGAAATCTCCAGATAGAAAACATCTTCAGATATACGAGTATGATTCAACATAAAAGAGAAAAGTCCTTGTCCACTACGTACAACAATCTCGAATCTGTTATTATACCCCGGCAAAATGCCACCTGTATCCCCGCACATTTCATCTAGGGCTGTAGATCCCCCGGATCTTTCGGAATGTCACGATATATCTTCTCAAGGGTATCCATCACTTTGAATCCTTCATCTCAAGTCGAAGCGAATGTATATTTATTGACAACTCCATTTTCTTTTTTTGTGGTAAAGCTTTATGATCTAGGGATTGATGGAAAGATGTCCCTTCTCTGAATACTTGATGTATACTAGCTAGAGACTCAAGCGTCGAGTTTGATTATCTCACTTATAATCACTATATTATAACATACCATCTACTTCATATCTATATACCTCAACATCTTGTATTCCATCTGAACTATAATCCTTGATAATATCTACTATCTAGATACATACAACTCTTACCTTCATCTTACCTAATCATATAACCCAAAATCCAATCATCAAACTATAAGTTTACACACTTCGATACAAATTAAATCCTATATAATGAAATTCCTTTACATTCCTATTCAATACCATCTACACTACTTCCAAATAGATCTAGAATACTAGAGCTAGATGGCTCTCAACACTACACTCCTTGAGAATCAGCTCAGTTCTACCATTAATCTCAAAAACTAATCTTACCATACCATGAAATAATACTCCTAGGTTCCTCATGTACGTGAACTATAAAAATGAGATACCAACTCATGAAAAGGAACTCCATTATAAAGAGTAAATGAGCTTCAAATATATAGTTATGATTTGATGGCTTATCTGTCTGGACATTTATAGTCTGCTCTGGATGCTATGTTGGGGTTCAATTCTTGGGTCATTTATTATGATTTACCTTTGTTATTAAAATATATTTTGTTCATTCATTTATTCATTCACTTATATGGTAATCTAATTTATCTCCAATTAGGTTTATATTCAACTTCATCCCCAACTTCATCTCCAATTACCTTCATCTCCACCCTCCTCACACCATCTCTATCCCATCTTTATCTCCAATTAATTAGCATTCCCCCCCCAACTTCACCCCCAACTTCCTCACACCACAATATCAAAATCCCATTTACAAAATATAAATGTTACGAATCACAACCTACAAGGATCACCACGTGATTTTTGTGCATATCGGTGAGCTGATAGCCTGTGCATATCTGGCCAGATTTACCCTTTTTAGTATGGGATTATGATCATTCTAAGGCAGGGTGCGCATAATTATGTAGTTACTGTATAGGTATTTTATATATATATATAGATGCTTCTTACAAGTTATAGTTCTTCAATTGTAGATTCTAGGGAATATAATTGACCCTATTTATTCAGTTCTTATACAACTCTTATACATCACACTTCTCTCATTCTTTTTTCTCTTGTTTTATTTATTATTCTTTATTCTTTTTACTTCTCTTTCTATTTCTCTCCTTACACTTCTAACGGATTTATACTTTAACTTTCATCTTTATTCCATTATATTTATCTATCTTTATCCTCTTTATTCCCCTCTACCCCCCCCCCTCCACCCCTCATTCCACCTATCTTCCATTCTCTTCCACATCCCCCCCCTCCCTCCCCTATCCCCTCTCTTCTATACCTCTCAATTCAGTCCAGTCCTAGTCCTAGTCCTAGTCCTAACCCTAACCCTACCCTAACTTCCACTCCTATACTCCTCTCTCAATCCAATTAATCTACATACTTTACTTCATTCCTCATTCTATTTCTATTTAGTTTATTTCCTATTCACTTTTATATATACTCGAGAGGATATATAAACACATCCTCGCATACACATCTTCACAAAACCCCCAAACCACACCACCAAATCAAAAGCTCATCAAAAACCCATCAATCAACCGAATATATATAAAAACATCTGCATTTTATTTTATTTTATTTTTCATTTCATATCATCTTATTTAACCTATGCGTAGGTACATAATATCAATTCAATTCATATCACACTGTTCAACTCAGTTCAATTCAGTTCAGTTCAGTTAAGCACTCAACCCATCCCCCTCATCTCAACCAACCCCTCAACCACACACCCTAAAACAAGCATAAAAAGAAAGCGAAAGAATCAAAGGCACGAAAGCACGAAAGAAAGACAATCAAAGAACAATCAACAACAATCAACGAAGGTCTTTCCCCTCCCCAGTACATTCCCCACCCCTTACATCCTCTCACCCACACCTATATTCATCCCCAAATCCAGACCCAAGCAAGCCCCTCTACCAGGCAGGAAGGTATGCTCAAGTCCAAACTTTCCTTTTCATAGATCTCATAGATATCTTATCAATCAATCCATTCCATCCATCGCCCCGTTGTTGTTCAACTTTTAATATCTTATCTTATCTCTTAATATGACCTCAAGATTGTATTAATATTGTTTTATTTTTGTCTACCTCCATCAATAAAGTATCTCCCCATTCGTGCCTCTCAGCCTCTTTTTTTAAAACGAATTCCATGTGATTAGATTGGTATATGTGAGTTGAACTCATTCATTTGGTTCATCACATTACTAAAAATAAGATAGAGAAGAAATTTTTCGCTTTTTGTTTTTGTTTTGCAAAGTCGCCAAAAATTATGAAATCTATCTTTGTAAGATGAAAACCACAGGAATAATGGCCCCACGTCGTCAAAGGTATTGTTGTAGGTATTTGCCGAGTCGCCAGTTCGTAAAGGGTAGGAAATGAATATCGCGTGTGCAAAAAAATGCTTTTTTAATTTTGGGAGAACATGTCAAGAGAAGCAAGGGAAAAGACCAAAGCGCCGAAAGTAAGCAATCCGTAATGTTTGATAAAATGCTGTTCGAATTTCGCATGCCGAGAAAACGAGCGGACGACCCAGGATCAATTGATGATTATGTCCAAATTACAAATGAAAGACGAGATACGATGAACCGTTTTTTAAAGCAATGATCGATAGTTCATCGAGGCCTATCGAACAATGGCATCCCTTTAGGAAGGAACCTATGCAACAGGAGCTGCAACAGGAGCAATTGGAGCACCTTCCATAGGATTAACTATGCTGGCAGCACCCTCTCCATCAACATTGAGACCCTTTGATGGGCAATCACGAGCGACGTGACCCTCGGTTCCACATGTGTAACAAATTTTTCCAGCCTTGTTAACACCACCATTAGGGCTACTGCAGTCACGGGAAGTGTGTCCAATCTTTCCGCATGCATAGCACTTCACAGCTGAAGCCTGGCAATCACGGGCAAAGTGATTTGGGCCACCACACTATCAGGAGTTAGCATGATATATTCGAGGTATATAACCGAAGTATTGCCGGTTTAACATGCCACCGGAAAATCCGGGACACAAACACAATTTGAAAAGGCTTCTTACCTTGTAACAAGTAGCTGGTCGAGGTCCGCCAGCAAATCCACCACGAGGGGCAAACCCACCACCAAATCCACCTCGAGGAGCACCAAGCCCACGAGGAGCACCTGGCATTCCACTGTTCGGGTTTGGGCAAGCTCTAGCCAAATGTCCAGGCATTCCACAGTTGTAGCATCGACCGGTAGTTCCAGCTCCACTAATACGCAAAGTTGGGCAGTCGGCTTGAACGTGTCCTAGACCTTGGCAGTGGTAACACTGCTTAGCTTCGGTAGTTCTTGGCAATGGGCAACCATTAGATTCGTGTCCTATCGAATATTAGTATGAGAATAAGCGGTATTTTATTCTTAAAAGCTTACCAGGTTGCTTGCCTAATAATCAAAATATTAGTATCAATTATTATCGACGGTTTCCCAATGGGGTACTCACAATTGTAGCAAAGTCTTTCAGCAGAAGCGCAAACTTCAGCATAGTGACCAACGTTTCCGCACCTAAAAATACCAATGTTAGTGTTACCCTTTGAAACAAGGATGTTGCACAACACCAAGAAAGTGTTGAGTGCCGTGACATGATGCTCTGAAGACAAGCTCCAGAGCTACGCATCTCAAAATATCCAAAGAAGTGGAGGCACTTACTTGTAGCAAGCACGACGAGATAGTGAAGACATGGCTACTAATTTATGTGTCTGTTGTGATCCATCATCAGCACGGCAAGTAACAAATGCGCCATCTTCCGTTTCCCATTCTTTAATAATCTTCCTGCATCGATGCGGTGGCTCATCTGCTCGATCTGCTCTTAACCATTCCTCAACTGCTGTGGTCGACATATTGATGACTTCTGCTGTAAGAATATTTATCGATGAGGTAAGTCGGGATAGAAATAAACACTAGAAGAACGTTGCAGTTGCATGACCAGCATCGTCAGGCTGCAGGATGCATAAGTCTTGTACCACGTCGAAGCATAAGATGGATATGGTGATACTTTGTCGATATGATATGGATGATTTCGTTCGTTGATATGGTAAGGATTGTTGTTGTGCATAATATTGAGGATGGAAAGATCGGATGTTCGATAGGGATGAATATCATCAAGCAGATGTGCCACCTCTTCTTTGGATTTATTCAAACCCCAAGACTTAATCACGCTGAGAAGGTGGGATCGCAAAGTTGGAAAGCCGGTGCGGCCGGTCTTTGTAGCTCGATCATTTTCCCCATTCCCATATTTTGCCCAAGATCCATCGATCGAATCAAAAAAGCAAAAAGAGTAAATAAAATATAGGTACTCACAGGATTAACTTCCTTAGATCCTTATATTCCCGGTTCTTTTTTTCAATAAAGTATATCAACCTTTCCTTCAACAACAGCTACGACTTCCGTCTTCCTTCTTCCTCCCGTGGTACAAACGTTTTTTCGCAAACGAGACAGCAGCAGAATTGTGTGATGTGTTTTGTGGAGGGATTCGGGAAGGCAAAACTTCAAGAGATGTTCCCTTTGTAACCTGAAAACTCTAGCAAAGCAAAGACCCAAACCAAAAATCGACTAGTCTTGATTGAGTTTAGCCTTAGCTCAGGTTAGTGTGATTAGGACTGGAATAGTTTGGCTTAAACGCCCAGTCTGACGGGATTTTAAGGTGGGATCAGGGCAAACAGGTGAATTTTGTAACGAACTAGTGGGTAGATGGGAAATTGATACATTTGATACGTCCGCTACCTTTTTGGAATGGGGGCATTTCATTTGGTGCATCCGATTTACGGTACAGTGCGGCATTAGAGAGGAGGTATATACGATACGAAATGATATTATTATTAGCTAAGGTACTCCGCACACAAGTATGCGCAATTTGAAGCTTATTGGGAACTGTGTGATTCTGGAATCTGATCGTCCATTCCAGAAATCATTAGACTGAGGGAAGAGGGATAAAGTAAACAAATGGAATTAGCATCTATCTGGTAACTATTTATTTTGACTTACTAATCATCAAAGAAGTGATTGCGATTGCGATTGATAATTGGTTAGTAATAAAAGGTGCTTGTCAAGATAGTAGAGACAGTAAAATGCAGCCTCTCTCGGATCGAATTCGTCCGTGTCCAGTAGGTAGGGAATTCTATCACCATCGTATTTCTCATGAATGAGTGATAGCTATAGGTTACGAAGATCATTAAAGGATCCCTTAATTTCATTTCTAGTTAATGTTTAGGGATGTATATGTATGTACCTAGGTATTTGTTGAAGCGCCCAAAAGATTTTACCGTGATTGAGAATACCTAGGTAGCTTGCTTGTATGGCAAATCATCGCAATGCATGCAACATGCCATGCCCCTCTTGTTGGCAGATGCTCGCTTGCTCTACCTCTACTCTGCTCTACGCCGCACCCTAACCTCAATTATCTTTTGCCGCCCCTTCCCTTCCCTTCCCTTCCCTTTCCCCTTCCCATCCCTTTCCTGTCCCTCCCTAGTATCAAAATTGAACTATTAATTAATCAAGCCAATTTATCTACTTCGTATATCATCAACTGAGACTTCTTTTCCCATCCGATACCTAATACTTGAAATTGATTCATCTATCTACCCCAACTCCCACAATCCATATAAGAATACACCCACGCTTACACTTACTTTACTTGCCTACCTACCCATATCACTCTACTCACCTACACCAACACTTATACAAAAACAGCTCTCCTCCTTTCCCTCAAAAATCAAAGCAAGACTAGGTACCTACCTACTTACATACATCACATCACATCACATCACATCTGAACCCAACATCAAAGCGAATCCCATACGCCACCTACCAATTTTACAATGCGGCTCTTTTACCATTTACCATCTAGCATTCATCACTCAATATTTTAATTCCTTTAAATCTGCATTGGAAATATTTTAATATCTTTCCTCTTTCTCTTCCCCCATTGGTGCTCTTCCTATTCACATTCCTCTTTCTATTCTATTCCTTTTCCTATTCACATATCATTTCACATTCCAGAATCTCCAATTATTCCTCTATCCATGTACTCGAATCTCCCCCTATCTCTCCTCTCTATCACTCCCGTCCCAAACGTCAATGTCGGATCTAAGCAATCCAACAAAGCCAAGCCTAGCCAAGTCATGATCGCCTTGTTAAGCATCAATCTCTGCTGCCCTCCAAGTTCTGCAATACTGCACATGTATTTTCATTGCATATTCCATACCCGTGAGTATTTCCATCAAATATATATACAGCCATGACTTACTTTCAAAAGCCATCAGCTGCCATAGACAAAAAACTAAATCTAAAATCTAAAAAACTCCAAATACTATGCTAAACGTTATCAATATTCCGTAGGTATATGCATCTAAACGCCAAAATATAAATGACTCCGTAAACCCAAGTCCAAAACCATGGACTCCAGTTCTCTCAGTTACCGGGAGAATCGAATAAAGTCCATCAAGGGCTCATTCTGCTGATCTCGTTTCAAGCACATTCAGTGAGCATCGTTGCTTAAACACGATGCCATTACGATCGGTCAACTGGATGTCGAGGAAATATGTCTTCTCCAGAAACCGTTGAACGTGGTGCTGCCTCAATTACATAATCGATACCATCATCAGACATATATGATGGGGGCCGATTACCCATCGAAGTTCTTTCGGATATTCGAGAAATTGGCCGATTTAATGCTGTTTCGTTTCTTTGCCAAAAAATCCTATTTGGATCCACCCTCTGTTTCTACTGTTAGATAATCATGCAAAAATTTGACTACAGATTGAGAGCTACTTACCACAGACTCGCGCCATAATCCATAAGCTGGAGGTGGAACTTTTGTAGCTTGGCTTTCAATACCCGCCGCTTCCTCATCTCTTGCCAGAGCTACCCTTATGGGTACTGAGGTTTCTGCATAACCTCCAGGCCCAACCATTGATGGAAGACGTCCTGGATCTGGTTGCCCCTCCATTGGTGGATTTATGATCATCATGCAAAGGCGAATAAGTGAATGGCAAAAGAAGACAGTGACTATCAAAATTATCAAAATTAAGAGAATGTGAAACTCTTGAGTCTCTTCCTTATTTGATAATGCCAATGCAAGATATATTGCAAGCACCAGAACGAGGAACTTGAAATTAAATTAGAGATGTGCAAAGGATAAATAAGAATGTAGTACATACCAGCCCGGATATCAAGGAATGCGCTATCTTTTGACGTATTATTTTATTTCGCAACTTTGGCGCACACGTTCTCCTACTCCCATGTGTTTCCCCTGGATTTTCCCTTCTCCTACCTCTGCCTGCTAAATCGGCTAGATGCTGCTCAGCAGGATCTATGCTAAGAAACCTGCGATCCGATCGTCTTTGTACTCCTGGTGGAATTGTTGAAATAGGAGACGAAACTGCAGGAAGTTGCATAGATTGTGAGATTCTACTAGCAGAACGAGAGGCGACGTGCGGTAAGGAAGTTTCTTCATGTCGAGGTAATGTTGGTTCAGCAGTGGTAGAGTTTCGGCGTGTCGAACTTTGACTTATAGTAAGGCCCGGAATATGGATTCGAGTTGATGGCAGATTACCCAGACCAACCAATCGTGGAGCTTTTGGGCTTTCTGGGGAAGGGCTCCTAGCCGCAACGCTTGGTCGTCCCGAGAACAACGAATGTAAATCTTCTCGAATATCCTCCAGCCTCGATTGACGCCTATCAGATTCAGCCAACGGCATCTGCCTATTCCCATTCTCATCCTGTTGTGAAGGCATTTTGAACAACTACCTCAAATTGTGTCGAGAAATCGAGTAGAAGCCGTGTGCCGAGAAGATGGAACAATATCTTCTATTCTTAAGATGATCGAGTTTCTTTTGTTTGCGCGATCCACAATGCCCCCAAGGTACTTTTGTTTTCGACCGCGAGAGTTGAGGCCCTGTCAACACGACCTTGTATTGATATAACACGACGACATTAGGTCGAATGAAAGGTCGAATTATCGTCGTAAGGAAATTTACCCGTCCGCAGATGCCCGAATCGAAAACCCAGCAATCGTTCGCAAATCGGTCAGTATCCACCACTCTACTGGATATGCAGGCAGCAGAAGGACTCGGAAGACTATGGGGAAGCTGTAATGTAAAGTAACAAACCCAGATGCACAAAACAAAGCGCAAAGACCAAGAGACGACCAAGAGAGTGAAGAGTGGAAGAAGAATACGAAACGTCTGAGAGAACTCCTTCGCTCCACGAATTGTGTCTCAAAAGGTCAGAAATTCCTTCGAGATTGACCACTAAAAGAGAAGTAAGGGTATGAAGGAACGGAGAATACAGCCCACGCACTTCAAACCTCAAACTCAGAATACTAATATGCAAGTATAAACAGAAAGAAAAAAAAATAAGACAGGATAGGAGAAGAAGCTTTGAGCGATGATGCTGATTTGAGTGGGCTGGAGTTAATTCCGTATCGGTCCCTCTATTTTCGTAGGAAAGGAAAGAACGAAGGAAAGAGCGAAAGAGCAAAAGAAGCGATAAAACCTTGATCAATGATCTCTCATGTCTCATTACAGAAGATCATGGGTAAAGAAGTTGCATAGTAAGTTAGCTAGTAGTTAGCTAGTAGTTAGTTATTCGATACAATGCCGGAAAATATCTGCGACGAAAACGACAAAGTGGTCCTGTATACCTAGCATAATAATCTGCATGCGCATACCAAGCTGTTTGATATCTCTCAATTGTGAATTACACTTCAAGGATACTACTCGTAGAACTAATTCGTCTGGTCCTCAATTGACCTAAATTCCTAAATGAAGTTTGATCTGGGACACATTTAGTTCGAGATGCAGCCTGGTGGCCTTCCAAATTTAAGTCTGTTTCAAATGAAGGTTGCAGCCCGCCAATCAAATTTGTTCAACTTATTTTTATATCAGGGGTTTTGGGGAACTCGTCTCGTCTAACTTGATTAACCGCGCTGATGATGATGAAAAGTTATGATTAGTACAAGTGTACCTAGGTATACGAAGTAATAGAATGAAGAACAGTACATAGCACGTCTCAAAAATGCATTCACATCTACTGTATAATCATTTAATGACACACGATATGATATGTATGTATGATGAGTGAGATCTTTCATGTTTAGTTTGTCACAATTTTTTTACATTCATCTGCACTCCTATTTTTGCAGACAAGATTCAGCCACCTAGCTCCATGAGATTTCATAATATGGCTATTTTCATCAGTGATAATTGCGTGGCTTGAACCAAATATGTCGATCCGGATTGGTCGACGGTGGTAAATATATGAAATCCTTCATACATTTTTGTTTTTACCTGTGCTCGTACGTTCAGGTCTTCCAACTTTCTCGTATCGATTACACAATTGCCGTTGATTTAAAACATCGGCAAGGCTTGTCCTGTGCACATTTCCGATCCCTCAACGCCACACGAACAATTTGCAGAAGTTTTTCGTAAGCTTCCTATTTCCAGGTCCATGAACTCCGATTTTTCGGTAAGATTGTTTTGTATGGGTATCATTTTATTGACTTTGACCTCCTCGTTCTGTGTGTTATCTCACTTCAATTCTCCTAAGAGTAAAGTACGATCCGAAGAAGCCGTAAGGACTAAAAGTCTGTTAGCAGGCAAACAAAACTGTACAAAGAGAGGGAAATCTTACTTATAGGATCTTTGCCAGGTGACAATTCGGCACAGTTAACCGTTCCCTTATGCCCTGGCAATTTGTATAGGATTTTACCGCTCTCGTTGTTCCAAACAACAGCAGTGCCATCTCCAGCTCCTGCAGCAATCCTCTTCCCTGTCGGATCCCAACTTGCCCGAATTAAATTCTTCTCCATTCCTGCCGGAGCACCATCAAATGTCCGAATATGCCGTTCAGTGGGCGCAAATGGTCTGATATCCCATGTTCGGACCGTCGAGTCCATGGAATTTGATAAGAGTGTTTGAGAATCCGGTGAAACTCGAAGCGATGTAATAGTATCTTGATGACCAAGCATAGAATATACCACGGCCTTTCTCCTCATATCCCACACCTTTATATCATTGTCAATTCCACCAGAATATAACTCATTTCCAGCTTCTGCTAATGCCACAGCTGTAACAGGAAACTCGGTAGGGATGAAGTCGACAGCGGCTTTGGTCCTTGGGTCCCAAATACCTATATATCCATCATCAGATCCACTTATGAGAAGCTCCTCTCCTCTCTTGCTGATATCCATGCAATTGATAACTTCTTCGTGTCCGACGTGTCTTCGTATCCTTGTACCGGTCTCTAGATCCCAACTAGCTAGGTGCATATCCGCGGATGCAGAAAATAACGCCCTCGAGTCGCGCGACCATTGTAAATCTAATATTGCGCCTTTATGCCCCGTTAAAGTTCCGTAGTTCTCGCAATCTCCATATGTTCTCCATAAGTCTGCAAAGAATCAGCATGAATGTGACAAATAAGTAAGACAGGCTGCTAACTAATTGATCTATCCATTGATCCTGAAGCGATGTAGTTTCCATTCGGATCGAATTTGGCAGCAAATACCTCTCCTGAATGTCCTTCCAATTGCATTACTGGGGCTTGTAAACCACTCGTCCGAGGTACCTATTTCACAAAAGTTAGCCAGACGCTTCGTGCGTATTGAATCATTCCATAAAATTCGATATGTACGTACTGCCTGTATGAGTGCGCCATTGCCTGTTGAGCCATTTGTGGTAGATAAAGCCGTGCTGTCATTCCCTATATTCTGCCTTTTCACAACCATTTGTGAGGACCCAAAGGACCCGGAAGCTGGTCGTTTTCCCGAAGACATGATTGAAGCCTCCGCCGTCAAGCTACGCGTGAATTTTCAAGAGACAGATACGAATGTTCAAGCCTGCGCGTTGTTGGTACCAAGGCTCGAGTTGTCGAACGCAATATGAATTTCTGAAAAGCACGCTAAAGTGCGGCCGCCTAGCGCAGGCTTGTGCCTGGACCAGCTTGAGCTTCAATGGAATTATATGTAGCCTTGAAAACCTCGGGACATAAAATGCTATCACAAAACATATTCAGGTGAAGTTTGATAATTACGAGATAGAAATATGGCTTCCAATAAAGCCGCAAGAATGGGTGAAGAGTAAGTGTTCTTTTTCTAAGTCATCGGGTCAATGTATACTAATGCGCAACTCAGGGTCTGGAAGTAAGTACAGTTAAAGCAAAAGGAACACTCGCCATATCTCACGATGGCTAATCAGCACTCAGAAGTCGTGTCGACAAAGTCAATGCTGAACTCGTTACTCTTACCTATGGAACTATTGTGGCCCAGCTTTGCAAAGATTACGAAAGCGATTATGTGGAAGTCAACAAACAACTTGACAAGATGGGTTACAACATCGGGTTACGATTAATCGAGGACTACCTTGCCAAGTCAAATACCATGAGACGCTGCTCGAACTTTAGGGAGACTGCGGAGATGATTGCTAAGGTATGGTTCAAATGGTTATTATGGGAGTATGATGCTGATAGGAGAGAATAGGTTGGGTTTAAGATATTCTTGAACATTACCCCCGCAGTTTCGAATTGGACGAGTGATAATAAACAATTCTCCTTGATATTTGAGGAGAACCCCTTAGCCGATTTTGTGGAATTGCCAGATGATGGAAGAGCACAAGATGAGTTGTGGTATTCGAATATCTTCTGTGGGATTTTGAGGGGCGCACTGGAAATGGTGCAAATGCAAGTCGAGGCTCATTTCATTAGTGATATTCTCAGAGGTCATGATTCCACTGAGATGAGAATCACTTTAGTCAGATATATTGATGATGAGATGCCGATGGATGATGACTAGGGAGGGAGTTGTTTCAAGCGGGGATGCATATTAATGGCGTTTAGGATTGAGGAAATATCATTGCGAGGATTTGGAAGACATGGGATCTTAGGGCTCAAGGTAGATTATAAAGTCTTGGTTTTATTGTCGAAAATTAATGCATGAATTTGAGACTGTGTACATCTGTCAGGTAGAAGTATCTACATGAATAGCTTAGTGAGATTTGTACCTTGGAACGATTGTTGTCACACGAGATATTCAAATGTTTCTAAGCTACTCGAAACACTTCACAATTCAGCCTGGTGACTTTGGAATCTCCATGAAACTAAGGATATAGTCTCCCAAGCTGTTATGGACACATACGAAACCTTGAGAAGAGAAGGCAGGGAGAACGTTGGAAAAGAGCCGACGAATGAGATTGTAGGGTCGGTGAAAAGAAAAAGAAGGAAATGAATTGTGCGATGACAAGATTACGATGTATGCTATGTAAACGAGGGGGCGAAATCTGAAGGGAAGAGATCAAGCAGGAATTTCTCTGGGGAAAACGAATCGAGGTTGAAAGAGGGTGCTTGATCTATGGATGATGTTGAGAGAGTTGTGACGAGAACGACGCAAAGAATACTATTGAAACATTCTAAAATTAGTAAGTAGTGTCCTTTGTCTATATCTAGCAATTTCACGTTTTCACAAGTTATCAAGCAATGAAAAGCATCAATTTCTTCAAATTTCAACTCGTGCATTCTGTAGAATAACTACTATGGATTCTGCAGGCAGGCGAAAAGCTATTATATGCCAACTGCTAGGACGTGAAGAGGAGTCTTAATATAAGGAGGCTCAAACTGAAGCCTGGGAGACAACATAGCGAGAACTAAGTCTTTATTGAGAGGTCAACTGAAAGAGCAGAGCAGGACGTTCGAATAGACGGAGCGTAACCGATAGCACCGTAGTTTCTGTTTCAGTATTTAATTATAGCTGCTTGTATGCATTCACCTCGCTATAAGCTTTCCGAAAGCGAGAAGCGATTTATTACTCCTCGTTTATTATGAATAACCTCGTATGTATTTGTTCCCCCAAAGCTACTTTTAACTACCTCCTCACGAGTAGTAATCACGAAAAGATCAACAACGTGCTTTTAATAGCGCGAAAGCCTCTTGTCTTTATCATATATATACTGGGCACCTATCATGGGAACCCTAATCATCAAATATTTATCATCATCTCATATATTACAATGTATATCATACTTCTAATCTTGTTCATGCAGAAGGTATATTTTTACACCATGATACCTTTCAGTACAAGTATGTTCGCATCTTCCGTTATCACGATACTTCTGTACTGCTGCGCTGCTATAGGTGGAAAGGAGCTAGCTGGTAAGTATACTCTAGAGGCGAAATGTAGCGTATGCAGTGGTTTTGGGGGTGTTTGCTAGTACCTTTATGAGTCCTGTCAATAAAAACGAGAAGGGAGGGACGGACATCATGTGCCATCAAGACCGACTATTATGTCAAGCACGGTTGAAAAATAGGCGGGTTAAGACTGCCCGCCAGAGGTATCCTAAGCTTAATGAAGAGCACAGAGAAGTAATGCGGACATGTTGGGCGCATATACTACCAAATTATGCTTCTCTCACAATTTCGTTTATTTTGAAGAATTTGATAGCAAGGATGTTTGAATTCACAAGGTACCGCGGATATGCCCGTATCTATCTAGCTTACATGTCTGGCTATTAGCAGGCTAATGTTATCAACATTTTTCTCCACAAGCATCAGCCTGAGAAGAAGTGAATACCAGAGTAGAACATGTGGGATAAGATTGTGAAACCTCACTACCATAAGTTTTCCTTCTCTCCTCTGGCATTACCAGTGTCGCCACAGTCAAAATACCCCCTTCCTCAATGAAGCAATTTCTCAACCGCCATAAACAATCTTAATTTGGCACCACTCTCATCTTCTTCCCTTCGATACTTTAGCAGCTTGCTTGCTTGGCATTGGATGCTTGCAGTGAAAACCCCGTTAACATATGATATATGTTGTAGATGGTTACGCCCTAGGTGTGTAGGTACGGAAACCAGGAAGGTCAATTTTCGATGAAGGATAGATCGATGAGATTCGATATCGGTTGCTGGCCGCCCAGAGCAGCGAAGAGTATCTGTTGATCCGGAAGGACTATCCTTAATATATCATTATTATGATGTCTTATGGTGAATGAGCCTTATAAACGTGGAATCAGTCATAACCTCCTCCGATTTGACTTGCGAATGCAGTAGAAACACTCTTCTCGTCATCATCAAATCGACGACCACTCAACAAAGAGCTGGTGCCAAAGACACTACCAGAATCGCCAGTTTTATAGTCAGCAATGCGACCGCCAGACTCAACGTATTGCTTCAAGCGGTCCGACTGACTCAAACTAGTTTGTTTCCGTCCTTCGTGAACGCTGGCACCGAGACTGACGCCACCTTGACCGATACCTCTGCCATCTGTAACACTACTGCTTGTGACATCAGTGAACTCACTAGCAGCAACAGATTCCCCGGCGATGCTCTCAGGTCCGCGTCCACGTCCCTTTTGACCATTGGCACGTGATCCTCGTGAATCAAGCCCGGGCCAATGGTCAAGGCCGGCGAGGGGAAAGTTACCAAAGCCTGCTGGATAGGCAGATCCAACACCCACACCACCGAGATGAGATGAGTGTACCGAAGAAACGTCATCCAAAGCAGAACTCATCATTGAGCCCGTTTCGGTGAAATCTTGGAATTGAGGGGCTTTGCTATTGCCATTTCGGCCATTGTGGGGCACTCCCATCTGATAGCGTTGTGGACCACGGTAACTTGTCTTTGGTCGACTAAATTGTATGAGTGAGGTCTGCAAATTGGAAAGCACACCTTCGACAAGACAGCTAGAATCCTTGAAATGCTGCAGTAAGAAATGCCAAAGAGGGTGTTTGGACAGAACCTTTGGATTACCAACAATGACAAGGCCATACTTAGCACGTGTCAAAGCTACATTGAGACGTCTAGGATCGCTCAAGAAACCAATACCTTGGTGATCATTCGATCTGACACAAGAAAGGATGATGAAATCTTTCTCTCGTCCTTGGAAGGCGTCCACGGAAGCAACTTCAACCTCCTTATAGTGCTCTTTCTTGAAGGAACCAGCATTTTGCATAGAAGTTACGACATAACTTCGTTGGCCTTCATACGGAGTGATAACGCCAATGTCTCCAGGTTGTACTCCAGCCTTGAAAAAGCGAGTAACAATCTTCTCGACATTTGAGGCTTCAGTTCTGTTGAGATAAGAAGTGCCAGAAGCAGAAATTTCCTCATTGCCGAGATTGGACCAGAACATCATCGGTGTATCGGCCACAGGCCAAGGGAAATCAACATCCCGCCGAATTCGTTGTTGCGTGGTGACGCCATTTTGTAGAGAACCATCATAGAACATGTTGGATGGAAATTTAGAAAGACATGGATGCATACGATACTGCACATTGAGTAGATTAGGTTTGAGGCCAAGCGTAGCCAGACGTTCGAAAAGTGACTGATCCAGACCTGCCTTTGCAGCCTTCTTGTTCATGATGACTGGTCCCAGTTGTTTGTGATCACCAATCAAAACTACTTGCTTACATCCTAGAACAAGCGGAATCATGCATTCTGGTTCCGCGGATTGAGTAGATTCGTCGATGAGGACTGTCCTGAATTTCATCTTGGCAAGCCTTGGATCCCCAGCTCCAACACAAGTACAGCAAATGACATCAGCATTACTCAAAATTTCACGTTCGGCTGCCCTTGTCAATGCTTTGAACTTCTTCTCATCTTGACTTGACAATTCACCCAACTCGCTTTTCAATTGAGTAAGTTTAGTCAGTTCATGGTTGCTGTCATTCATGCGGACCTGTTCATGCAACGAGAGGAATCCGACAGATGATTCAACGTCTTCACGGGACTTGGCTGTAAGGCGAACGACCTTGAGTTGAGTTCGATGTATACGCTCACAGAGTTGGTCGACAGCAACGTTAGACGGAGCACATACAAGGACCTGACCACCATTGACCTTGGCCAAATGATAGATGACTGTAGCGGATGTGACTGTCTTTCCAGTTCCTGGAGGTCCTTGAATAAGACTCAAAGGCTTTTGTAATACACTCTTGACGGCATTAATCTGACTGCTGTTCAATTCTGGTAGACCAGGAACGCTAAACTTCTTGGGCATTTGAATTTTCATTGGAGCCGCAGCTACCTCGTGACCAAGAAGTTTGTGGAAAATGTATCCCGATACACTCATTTCATCGACAGCAAAAGTTTTCATGGCAAATTGCATGCGGTCGTAAGATGTTGCCTTCCATACATAATCGGCAGAAAAGTTGTGGGTGCATTCCGTTGGGACTGACTTATCGCTGCCGACCTTTCGGAGCTCGATAGTTACTTCGTCAGATTGATTATTCGGAATTTTTACCACGTATCCAACACCCTCCCAGACAGGTCGTAATTCGCCTTTGTATTTGAGCCGCATCTCGTCACCTACAGCGAGTTTTACATCACCTAGCTCAATCTTGGGAAGAATGAAGCTGGCCAGATGTTTGTTATTCAAACCATAATCCCAACGAATAATTAAACCATCCTCGGACTGAGCTTCCTTGAGTTTACGATCGTAGTCTGCCTCAATTTTAACCAAAGGCCCAAAGATATTTTGATATTGGTAAGCATCATCGTATTTGAGAAGGACAGGGGCTGGATCATCATCAATTCCAGCTGCCTTTTCCAAATCTTGAAGAGTAGCATTGATATTATCCTTCCACATCTCTTCCAATTTTGCAATCATGGGTGGCGTGAGGTGTCGAGCGCGAAGTTGCTCTGCATCCGTAGGAAGAGAGACGAGCCAAGTCAAAAAGGATCGATCTTCAATTAATGGTTGCCATTTGGATACATCCCAACTCATATCCTTTGAAGACGCAGCGGAAGCGCAGGGTTGACGGCATAGGAGAATTACGACGGTGTCAGACTTCGCAGGAATGAAGCCGAGTAGGAAAACATTCTTTATACCACAGTTGTAGCATTCAAGTACGGTATCTCCAAGGGTTGACATTGGGTGCAATTGAACTTCCTTGTGTCTTGCGCGAACAAGATGATTGACGATATGTGAAGATGTAGCAGTTCCACGGGCACTGCAGAACCATTTGTTGCATCCCAAGCACTTAACGACACAGCTTGGAGAGTGAATTCCACAATATCTAGAAAGCAATCAGCCCAGCTCAGGACAATCCAGGTTGTCGATAATTTCACTTACGCGCATGCGTGTGCTGGTAGCTCCTTCTCATCATCGAGACCTCGAAGCCCAAGAGTTTTCATTCCATCAAGTGGAACACTTGCAAGACTCTCATTATCATCGTCATCGAATACTTCAGTCTCGTTGTCATCATCATCGCTTCTTAGTCTGCTGGATCCCAAGCCACCATGACCTCCATATTGCCCATATAACAAGCTTTCTTCCGGATCAATATTTGAAAGATCATCCGCACCAGCGTTTATTGCAGCAGCAGAATCTGATATTAGGTGGTTTCCAACATGGGCGAAAGCGCTTTCCATGATGACAGTAATGCTCAGATACTATAAAATTGCGAAGGTCAGAAGCAGCTACAGATTAGGGGAATCCTGAGGATGAACAAGAGATCGGCTGATAGAGACTTCGGCAGATTTAACAAATTTCACTCATACTTACAGAAGGTTGGACAAATTTCTTATGTGTGAAAGTAGCCTCTGTGGCGGATAGGCGGCGCAAAGGTGTTGGAGTTACTGTCGAAAACCGGACCAGGCTTTCAAGTCATTATCAAAAGACCTTGATTGTATAGCAACTTGTCTTGCAGATAATTGATGTTTTTTGTATGATACTGAACGAGTCCAGAACTTTTTTTCCCTGATGTTGGTCTGTTTGGTGGAGTACTGAATGAGGTGCACAGTTACTTTTTGATTGTGGGATTTCACATTTGATTGATACCATGATTAGGTTGCTTAGCGTGCCGATGCCGATAAAGGTTTGCGATAGAAACTTTTTTTCTGCTTTACTACAACCAAAAGCTTTTTGTCAACTCAAAATAACTACAAATTCTCCTTGAGATTGAAATATTTGTCAAAATGATCGTAAGTATCCTATATTGATGGCCATATCCTTTTTCCATATGAATATTTTGATCTCCATTGACTAACATAGATTTTATCTAGCGCAAACAAGCCCGACAGCGACGTGATTATCTCTACAGAAGAGCTTTAACACTTCGAGATGCTGAGATCAGTGAAAAGCGCGCAAAGCTTCGAGCTTCTTTAGCATCAGGCAAACCTTTAGATCCATCGATCGCGAATGATAAAAAACTACGAGAAGATTACAAATATGATGAATCACGGCCAGATTTGACGGCAAATGAGGAGCTTGATTTGGATGATGAATATGCTCAACTTTCCGGAATTGTTGATCCTAGAATACTTGTTACAACTTCAAGAGATCCCTCATCGAGGCTCTCTGCTTTTGCGAAAGAGATTAGATTGTTGATACCAACGTCAATTCGTCTGAATCGTGGAAACCTCATTCTACCAAATCTAATAACATCTGCTCAAGCATCTGGACTTTCTGATATCATTCTTCTTCATGAACATCGTGGTACACCAACAGCCCTGACATTATCCCACTTCCCGCATGGACCTACGATATCCTTCTCTCTACACAATGTTGTTTTGCGCCATGATATCCCAAACAGCTCGCGTGGAACGGTTAGTGAGTCTTATCCTCATCTAATCTTCGAGGGCTTTACATCAAGATTAGGCCTTCGAATCGTCAAAATCTTAAAACATATTTTTCCACCAAGAGAAGCGATCACGAACAAGACGAAAATTGGAAACAGGGTCGTAACCTTCAAGAATATTGAAGATAGTATCGAGGTTCGACACCATGTGTTCGTCAAAACAGGATATCAAAGTGTGGAACTCGCAGAAGTTGGACCTCGAATGACGATGAGATGTTTTGAGATTAGAGGAGGAACTTTGGAGAATAAGGACGGTGATGTTGAGTGGAGAATGAACCAATATACGAGGACTTCGAAGAAAAAGGATTATCTGTAAGAGCTTGGGGGATGGTTATTTGCTTGTTTGTTTAGCGTGGAGTTGGGTGGATTTAACTTACTGTTCGAGGTTTAAAAAATCACAAGTCGAGGTCCTTCTCCATCGACATACCTACGAAACGCTCTGACGAGGAAGGATACATCGGCTGAAAGGATAGGCAATAGCCATATTGTCGCTGCCATTCTGCATACCTCATCTACCGATATTGATAGGATCGAGACTGTACCAGGGAGGGGTTGATGCATCATGGTTGGGCATCATTATGATCTCTTCGCCTCAGCTACCTTGCTTGTTATGCATCTTACTTTCTTTGTTCAGAATTCCGTTTTGAGTAATGGGAACAAAAGTGGTGTAAGTAATTAGGAGCACAACCTCAATCGCATTGTGTGTTTGTTTGTCCCACAAGCTCTTTCAATGCTATGTTACATTTAGTTTCTGAACATGCTACTGTCTAAACTCACTTGTAAGAACTCACGCTAGGTGTCTTTCTGATACAGATCCGGATCAGATCGCCTTTTCAATCTCTTGTTGAATTGAACCATGAAATCTCTGGAATCTCAAATATTTTCATGAATTCTATGGTTTTCAGGCATTATCTTAGCACGTGAATGGGGATAGAACTAATCGCCATCCTGAACTTTTTAGATGTTGAACTTATCTCATAAAAGACATGGCTTTGCGGACTACTTTATTCTAAAAGGAGTTTAGTATGAGTTCTTGCATGTGCATTTCGACGACGTCACCAAGGACGGGACGCTAGTTCTCTTTCGTTAGAAACCCGCAACGAACCGAACTGCAATGGCAAGTTATTTCGCCTATTCTTCATGCATCTTTGATCAGACGTTTGACAGAGATAACAGATACAAAAATAGCCTGCGTTAGTTCCGACACTTATATCCGTATTGCAGCTTGAGATGATATTCGGCGATTTTCTCGGTCCCTACCTACAATATCCGCAAATTTTTATAATATGCGTGGATCTCTTCGATCCTTCAGTCTGACTCGACGGACATAGTTTTTCCAATTTTTCCGTCTACTACTCAGGGACCAATGTGAGTAAAAAAGAGACTCGCGTATCATGCCCCTATCCGCGGCAATGAGACAAATTTATGAGGGCTCTAAGCTCGATTCACCGCTAATCCTTGATTTTTATTCACAACCTTTGAACTTTTATAAATCAATGTTATGATATTTCATAATGTAAAATTTATATTTGTGAAATCAATAATAATAAATTGCTCTATTTTAATTATATTCTTTAGTATTTATATTAGTTTTTTTTTTAAAAGATTAAGTTTCATTTTTATTTTTTAAAATAATTTATTAATTAATTTATTAATAATTAAATATTAAAACAATATAATATTATAATAAGATTGATTATTAATTAGTGTATAAATATCTTTTTTTAATTTTATCAAATGTTATTTACTAAATTATTATTTGTAAAAGATTATTAAATAATAATAATAAATTCTTTTTAAATTAATTATTTAATTCAATCGATGAGAGCAAGTATTCAACAAGTTTCTTTTAAGTGAAGATAAGATTAAATCATAATTTACTAATCAAAATCCTTACACTTGATATCAATCCATCAATGTTATAACTGATTTGATATTTTCGTATATTTAGATTGCTAATCTTACCATGACATTGAATTCATCGAAAAGTCACAATGTCGGCTCAATGTATGATCGAGTTATTCATATATTTTATGCTTCAAGGCTTGCTCTCATGGACATTTGCTTTCACCGACCGGTAACCCGGTACTGATGCACAGAGAGCCGGACTTATTAATTTCATCTCAACGGTTTTGAATCCCTGAATAACATCCTCGCATATACTTTCCCTGAACCAATCAAGTAAACATCCAAGTCATTCTGATGTTATGCTTGAATGAATGATAGGTCGTCGATATCTAACAACATGGTTCAAGATAAGCTTTTCTAGAGATCTATTAGAAGGTTTGAGTGGGACACTAAGGACTCATCAATGGGGATCAATCAACTACAAAATAAAGTCTAATTTATTAACGACATATTCAATGGTTCATTTCCACCAATAATAAATATGCCTTTGACAAGTTTACGATGCTCCTGGTCTTCATTATTGACTGCTTCCCGTCTCCTTTGTGATGTTGGATATTGATATGCAGTGGTCTACACGATAACAAGATAGTCGAATAATTGAGTTTATAGTGCTTCTACGGAGTCCGGCAATTAGGAAATAAGCGTGCGCACCACTTGGAAGAATAGTTTGTAGATATATGATCATCCCCGGGATGGCACCCTTCCGAATTCCTTCAATTCCTGAGAATTCCATACAGCCCCAGCCCGAAAATTTGATGATGCAGAGATTTCGTGAACTAGTCCAAACTTCTATGCGTCAATTACACACTGTGCCTGGTATCACATACATACGGACCTTTCGCTTAGGTATGTCCCATAAATATAAACTATCGGACCAACTCCTCTACCCACAAAAGTGCCGATGCCAAACACCACCGACATCAGTCTGTGTATAGCAACTAGTGTTGCGGTCGCCGCGATACCGACCGTTAGGTATACATATTTCTGAATAGGAGAACAAAAGATGCTGGCATAATTGTTGTACAAGATCGAGATTTGGATGCTTCAATTACGTCCCCCCATCAACATATACTTTGCAAAGTGTCCCTAGGACGGACTTTGGTGGTGAAAAACATCGATGGTCTAGCAATCTAGGATTGAGCTTTTCAATATAGCATATCACAAATTTCACAAGGTTCTTTGAGCAGTAACAGTATTGAATCTGTGCTGAATCTGTGTTCCTATTCTTATGCAGGTCTTCCGGAAGGTTTCAAAGCTTTACTCTTCTTAGGAAGTGATTACTGCCGGTAAGCCTTATTAAGCTTAAAATGTCTCCATATATACCCTGTGTTCTATCCGGAGGATTCGGAAGCAAATACACAAACACAAGGGGAGATAAAAATCTGAATGAACATGAGGAAGATATGAACGCTTTACGACTCAGTGGGACATACCTATGGTTCAAGTTTGAGCCAATGCTTCAACAAACCACTTTTGTTCTCCACATCTACTATTATTGTCCAAGACATGACCTGAGTTGAAGGGAGGAAGCCTTCCAGAATCCACTGCAGGCTGATGAGAAATTTCAGGAGGCTCACCAACTATGTGTGGGTTTGGGCGCAAAGCTGTAGTGTATCCTCAGTCACCAATAAGTAATAGCTATCCACCATACCATATCTATCCGCCAAGAGATAATACGGATGATAAGAACCAGTATTTTGTGGACATGTTGTTTGTAAAATGGATTGCGAGAAACTGCAGGATGACCCGCCTACAATGCAATCCATCGTGGTGTTAGAGAGGATTGAAGGGCATCACGATAATCAAACGTCGAATCCGAACTTCACCGACATGCCGTCGACGTTGGATCTAAGCACAGAGGTGGACATGAAGTTGATGGGACGGTCCGACTTCACTGACTTCACTTTCCTATAAAGTCCAAATGCTTCGCCATGGAGCTTCATCTTCACTCCTCATCGCAAGCTTCACAGTCTCTTCTCTACAGCTCCCCCTCTGGTGAACACAGTCCTTCCTGTCTTTTGGTGTCTATTCCGCAATCATGAAGTGTTTTACATCATTCACTGCCCTCACTGCAATCTTTGCACAGGCATCTGCTTCAGCTATTCCAGCTATCCGCTCGCCGGCCACTCAACCCAAAAGTGATGCCTCCTGCGTACACTCGGCTACTTCCAGATCCTGCTGGGGAGATTACTCCATTGATACCGACTGGTATGATGTTATACCTCACACTGGAGTCACCAGAGGTATGCGATATCACATCCTCATCACTAGTCTAGTACTAATTTATGCATAGAATACTGGCTTTCGGTTGAGAACTCCACTATAACCCCTGACGGTTATACCCGCTCAGCCATGACCTTTAATGGAACCGCCCCTGGCCCTGCAATTATCGCCGACTGGGGCGACAATCTTGTAATCCGTAAGTCTCCGATAGCGCAACGAATCTCAAAGTCCTCGATAATATCGGACATTCTCAATCATCCTTTTGCATGATTCCTTTTACTAACTACGGATCACAGATGTCACCAACAATCTTCAGCATAATGGAACAGCCATTCATTTCCACGGTATTCGTCAGAAGGGAAGCTTAGAGTATGATGGAGTGCCTGGTGTTACTCAGTGTCCTATCGCTCCTGGAGATACCTTGACCTACAAGTTTCAAGCTACTCAATATGGAACTACTTGGTATCACTCTCACTTTTCTCTTCAATATGCTGATGGACTTTTCGGCCCTCTTATCATTAATGGTCCTGCCACTGCAGACTACGATGAGGATCTTGGAGTAATGTTTTTGGGTGATTGGGCACACGAAACCGTCTTCGATATTTGGGATGCCGCTAGAGCTGGCAGTCGTCCATCTCTTTCAAACACCTTGATGAACGGAACCAATAGTTGCGAGTGCGATACTTCCGACCCTAAGTGCGTTGGTGGTGGTAAAAAATTCGAGGCAGTTTTCGTCGAGGGCCAAAAGTACAGAGTCAGATTGATCAATGTTGGAATTGACAGTCATTTCGAATTCGCTATCGATGGACACAATCTTACCGTCATTGCTAATGATCTTGTTCCTATCGTCCCATATACCACTGACACCCTTCTCATTGGTATTGGTCAAAGATACGATGTCATTGTCGAAGCTAATGCTACTCCTGACAACTACTGGATCCGCGCCAATTGGGGAACTGCTTGCGCACCGAACTTGCAAGCTGCCAACGCCACGGGAATTTTGCGATACAACAGATCCAGCACCGCAGAACCTACCTCTGTCGGCGTCACACCACGCGGTACTTGTGCGGATGAACCACTTGCCAGCTTGGTTCCACATTTAGCATTGGATGTTGGTAGCTATGCTCTCATGGACGAGAAATTAGACTGGGTACTAGGCAACATGTTGACCTGGACCATCAACAGCAGCTCTCTCGTCCTCGACTGGACCAACCCAACCACACTCCAAGTATTCCGAAACGAATCCCTCTTCCCAACCGACTACAACGTCGTTCCTATCAACAAGGAAATCGCCAACTCAGACTGGATCGTCTACGTCATCGAAGATCTCACCCACTCCGGTACCTGGCACCCTATGCATCTCCACGGACACGATTTCTTCATCGTCGGTCAAGAACAGGCTGTCTTCGACCCCGCCAACACTCCCTCTACCTTCAACCTCAAGAATCCTCCTCGTCGTGACGTAGCTGCGCTTCCTGCTGGTGGTTATCTCGCCATCGCTTTCAAGCTCGATAACCCCGGTTCGTGGCTTCTTCACTGCCATATCGCATGGCACGCATCCGAGGGATTGGCAATGCAATTCGTTGAGTCTGAGAGCTCGATTGCCATGAGTATGAAAGATACTAAGATCTTTGACAATACTTGCAAGAACTGGAATGCATATGTTCCAACTGAGGTATTCCCTCAGGATGATTCTGGAATCTAAGGAGCTTGCTTGTTCTGGAGTTGTTGGATTGATCAGTGCGATTTCGAATGCTTTTAGAATTCGCTGTTTCCCTGATGCATCCCCATCCCCGGTAATCATCATCAGTCGTTGGAATTCGAATGAGTTGTACATGTATGTCTTGGGCCAAGTAGCCTTGTGTTACTCGATTGCTCATTGGATGCATATGATGATACAAACTAATAGCCTTTCTTTTAATATCACGAATGTCACGAGAAACATAGAATATTTCCTTTCATGCTGTTGTATATAGTCTTTTTTTTACTTAGTCACGTATAATTTAATTCATTTACATATTTATTTATCTATATGCATATCATTTTTTGATCTGTCGTTTCTTTTTTTTTTGGTGTGAAACTTGTGGTATTGGTTGGGTATTTGTGTGGTCTATCCTGAAGTTTGGATCTTTCAGCTGGCTGGAGGAGTGATGGAGAGGCCTAGGAGTGGGTGGTGGGACAGGAGTTATGGTGGAGGAGGTGAAGAGGAAGAAGGAGGAGAGAAGAAAGAAGAAGAGTAAACTAGCGAAAAACAAAAGGTTGATTTACAAGTTTCAACAATCTACATATACATAATCTCGAGTTCACCCAGCTAAAATGTTGCTGAGGTAATTTAATAATCTTGCAGGTATTCGCAATTGATATGCATTCTCAAAAATAAAACCAAGCTTTCGGAAAATGTACTCTGTATGTCTCGGGCCGGGTAAATACGCCATCATAGCAATGCGTGATATGTGACGATGACAAAATCGTAAAGGAATGCATCGGTTTTATTGGTTGTGTAGAGAGAGACATTTACGGAGTAGGTAGTTCATTACGGTTCTGTACATGAACATTGGACAGTGAGTGTATGTATGGATGTATGGATGTATGTATGGCGTTGTATATGTGATACGGGATATATGCAGTGTATAGGTATGTGACAGAAGTAGAGGCAGCTGAATTAATTTTCAAGGACTGATTGATATTTTGATGTTAAATGCGCAGTGATGTGATAATGAACGCGCGTATGGATATGATCAACTGCCTCCTTGGTTATTGATGGAGCTGTTAGGTATATACGTATATAACTAGTTATACGTACATACCTAGTACATACATACCAAGTAGTTCTACCTGGTATTCGGAAACTTCGTATCAGGTACCTATGTGTATGTAAGGTGATGTTTGGAGCTTCGTATCTATGGATCGAGGTACGCAACGGCACTTGGTGGACCCGACTGCTTTTTTAGCTTTAGACATTTCCGGAAGGCAGAAAGACAAAAAGAAGAAGAAATCGATTTTTCACTAATGGTATAGTAATGTAATGTTCGATTGGTGAATGCAATTGATTTTGACATTGTGATAAGATAGATAGGTCAAAGGGTGCTCGCTCCCTCGTACGCTTCCTTTCCTTTCCTTTCCTTACCTTACCTTACCTTACCTTACCTTACCTCACCTCACCTCACCTCACCTACCTAGCTAGGATAGGTCGTAACCTTATTTCACTCACAAGTAAATCTCACACTGTGAATCAATCTTTCTTTCATATAAAATCCAACACGGGAGATCAAGTTCGATTCATCTAAAATCTCTTTCTCATACAGATATATAATGATTAAGATTGCAAGTGACATTGGTTAATTCAAAATTCAGAAATTTCCCAAATTTGCGATCAAAATAAACATTTTAATTTTAAATTGGATTTCCCCGACTTTTTTTCTTCAACCTACCACCTAAGCTGACCATTCTCACATTTCAACGTCATTCGACCCCGGGTCTTTTACCTTTTTTCGACCACAACAAATCTAATCCCTCTTCTTCCTTTCGACAACAACATCCCATCTACCGAAATCCCTTCTTATCATTTTGATCGCAGATAATTGCATTATAGGTATTGATATATTGCATCAATTGAGTCAATCAATATGTCGTACACTCAACAATATCAAGGTGTGGGTGGAAATCCATATCAGGATTCTGGCGCCGCTGAAGCCGGATATGGTGGTGTAAGTTCCTTCATTTCATTCAGTCATTCTTTTCTTTCTTCCTTAATCGCATCTATGCGTAAATATCTAGTGTCTAGAATCTAGAAATGCTCACCCCGCGATAGAATAATAATCTAGCCCAACCAGGACTCACACATGAAATGTCAAACTACTCTCAAACATCCAACTATTCCTCCGGTACACCCGGCGCCATCCCACCTCCAAGTTCCAACGTCCTCACCCAACAAGCCTTCCTCGACCGCGTTGATTTCGCCAAATCCGAAATTCGTTCTCTCTCCTCTAACGTTTCTCAAATCGCTACTCTTCACCAACGCGCCCTCTCTTCCCCCGATTCCTCCTCCACTGCGTCCCTCGAAAATCTCGTAACACAAACCCAGCTCAAAAATACTCAGATTCGTGATCAAATTAAATATTTGGAAGCTGATGCTATCAAGACGCAAGATGGGACTAAGAATGTCAAGACCACGCAAGCCAAGAGATTGAAGACGGAGTTTGAGAATCAGTTGCAGCAATATAGGGAAGAGGAGTTGAATTATAGAAATGAATATAGACGTCAAATTGGAAGACAATATCGTATTGTTAATCCTGAAGCTTCGGAGGCTGAGGTTGAAGAAGCTAGTCAAATGGATTGGGGTTCGGAGGGTGTTTTTCAAACAGCTGTATGTTTTGTCCTATTCCCCTCTATTATATAGTCTAGGACTTTTTTTACTTATGAACATACTAACAAATCCCTCAGCTTAAATCCAATCGATCTGGTCAAGCCTCCTCGGTTCTTGGAGCCGTTCGCGCCCGTCACAATGAACTCCAACGTATTGAAGCCACTCTTACCGATCTTGCAGCTATGTTTGCCGATATGGCTCAATTAGTTGAAGCCCAAGACCCTGTCGTCGAACATACCGAACAAAATGCCATTAAAACCGCCGAGGATGTTGATAAAGGAAATACGGAAATCGACAAGGCGAATGAACATGCCAGACGTAGAAATAGACTAAAGTGGTGGTGTTTGTTGGTCACAATCATTATTATCCTCGCGATTGCCTTGGGTGTTGGTTTGGGGGTTGGATTGGCAGTCAAAGGGTCCAAAACTGCTACTAATTAAGAGTATATTGGCAGTAGTTGAAACCTTCAAAGGGTTGAGAGGAAGGCTTTCGGAAGGTATGAGATATGATGGATGGTATGGGAATGGAATTTGGAGGGGATTGAATAGGTTCAACGAATGATGCGGTTACCAAGGAACCAATGAATGATGGGAAAGGGATGGAAGGAAATGTTGTATGTTGTATATTTGTCTGGGATATCATTTTTCCTTATTTCTTTTTTATTGTCTTTTTTTTTTTTGCGCGCGTTTTTGTTTTACCTTTCTTTCTACGAACGAACGATGGGCTTTTTTTAATGCACGATGGGATGGATGATTCACATGTTATGTTATGCGAAAAGCTTGGGGGATGATTTTTTTACATACCTACTTTAATATGGATTATGAGGATGGAGGAATGAAATGGCTGTGGGAGTGGGAGTGAGGAGGGTAAAGGGAGGGAGGGGCTAGAGGGAAGTGGGCGGCCTTTTAATAAATCATAGTTGTGCTTCTGTAGTTTGGAGTGGGATGGAATGGATGAAGTTTAGGAGGGAAAGGAGATAGAGAGGAAGAGCAGAGAGGAGAGTGAGGTGAGCAGAGAAAGAGGAATGTAATTGAATGGATCGAAATAAAATGAAATGGAATGGAATGAAGTAATAAAATAAACAACGAATCTTAGTCGTAGAGATCATTTTCGTTTTCGTTTTGATGTATACATTTATGCGTACCTGTCTTTCATGTGTGCTTGCTAACGTAATAAGGAAACCTTTCAATTATCTAGGACAGACTAATTATTATGTTAGCTTTAGGGAGGCGGCGTTATGAGTTATAAGTTGCAAGCTGTGTGGTATCTATACCTACCTACTTACCTACCTACTTACCTACCTAGGTATCTGGATATTTTATTTTATTTTATTTTATTTTATTTTATTTTATTTTATTTTATTTTATTTTATTTTATTTTATTTTATTTTATTTTATTTTATTTTATTTTATTTTATTTTATTTTATTTTATTTTATTTTATTTTATTTTATTTTATTTTATTTTATTTTATTTTATTTTATTTTATTTTATTTTATTTTATTTTATTTTATTTTATTTTATTTTATTTTATTTTATTTTATTTTATTTTATTTTATTTTATTTTATTTTATTTTATTTTATTTTATTTTGATTGGTGTTTGATTTGATATGATTTGATTTGATTTGATGTTATATGATATTTCCCTGCCTTGTCTTAACTCCGGCGTGTGTGAATACGCTATTTATATCATAATGTAATCATGTAACTTCCTATGTATATATATGTATATGTGAGTTTATCATTTGCTATTTTTCGCTCCTCTCTTCGCTATTCTGCATTTCTTAATACTGTAATGTGATATAATGTAATATAATTCCATTCCATTTCATTTCTATCCAAAAAACTTAATAATCTCCCTCACCCTCACCCTCACCCTCACCCCCACACTCTCCTTCACCCATCTCCCACAAACCCATCTAATCCTCATTATACTTCCCACTATCCAACATACCCTTTCCGCCTCCCCCCCCAGACCTCCGTCCCCAAACCCTCAATCCCCACTCTGAAATCGTGAATCCCCAATGTCCTGCCACAAGTACCCCACTAACTACATTAACAACCTTAATTATAAATCTCAAGAGCCCATCTCGGGTTTCCTCAACCGTTAAAAGAAGTGGTTCGATGTCGTATTTGAAAAATATTCCTGGTACGTTTCGTTCTCCTACGATGTGTTCTTGTGATGTAACGGCGTATTGGTTTGTACGTAGTAATGAGGGTGATGAGGAGGGAGAAAATGCTGATGGGGAGAGGGAATACAGCGTTGGGACTATGGAGAGAAAGTATTGGTATTTGTGAAAATGGTTGGGGGTACCAGCGATGGTGCGATCGAGGGGGTTGAGGAGGGATGGGTAAAATGGTCCGAAGGATAGCTCGTTGATTATGTGGGAGAAATTGAATGCTATTCCTTCTGTTAGTAATCATCCAGCATCCAGATACTTCACATGCGGGAAGAGAAAAACGAACCATTATGATCTAAATGCTGTCCCAATTCCGGATATCCATGACCCCTCGCCGTAATGTGAAAATCTCCCTGCACCTTATTTACCTCCAAACTCCCGTAAATCCTACAACTATCCCCACCTCCCGGTCCTCCCCTAAGTCTCGGCGTCTTCGCAAATTTCGCCCTCTTCTTTCCTCCAAGCGTTACAATATCATGAACATGTTCCTCTCCAAATCCCTCCTCATGATATTCCTCCCCAGTAACCACTCTACCATGCGCATCTTTCCCTAACTGATGTACTCCCTTTGCATCTACCCATTGACTCCAATTCGTCGCATCTTCTTTGAGCATTATTCCGGCTAAAATGCGATCACCAGCCGCATCTTGTACATTGATATGTAATCCTGAACATTTCATTTTGACAACCATGTCCATGTTTATTTGTAGAGAATGCCCAATACCCTTTTCAACTACGAAAGTGTGCGTTTCATAGCCCGTCCACCAGCGTGAGAATTCGGAGAGGAGGAGGGAGAAGGATATGATAAGCATGGCGACGGTCCATTTGCCGCCGCCGGATGTTTGCGTTATGTATTGAGGTTTAGCTTTGGCTGTTTAGGATTAATTATTAGTCTATAAACTTGAATTTGGTTATGCGCTTCAAAATGAGAGCGTTTATAAATGCAGTGCTAGATAACGCAGCAAAATAAGCAGAAAGAAGAACGAATCAGTAAATAAAACAACACATACGAAAAGCATCAAAAGCCTTTACAATTCCCCCTTTCTCCCCAAATGACCCCTCATCCAACCCATGTTCTGTAAATCCATTCATTTTAGCTGCGAACTCGTCCTACTCGTCCTAAATTCTCTATATCACTTTGCGCATACAATCCCAGATTCAACTAAAACCCTCCCTAGGACTTTCAAATGCGTAACCCTCTCTCAAAATTCGTTCGATTCCTACCTAGGTAACCTTAGATAAAAAAGCCGAATTTATTTCAAAGAAAAGAATGAGAATGAGAATGAGAATGAGAATGAGAATGAGAATGAGAATGAGAATGAAAGAAAACCTTCACGAAATGACAAAATCCATTGAAACCTCACAATTGAATTTCAAGAAAAGCAAAAAGAGGTTCAGAGGTCTTGAAAAAGCTGAAGATATCTATGAATAAATGAGCGATGCGCTCAGGCCTAGAATTGCCAGTTGAAAACTGTCCTGTCCTTCAGAGTAAGGGAGCCGAGTATGTACCGATGGGATTTGATTGGCCAATTTGTTGTTTGATGTGCAAGGCTGAGGGATTTGGGTAGTGTGGTGCAGGGTTGGGTTTTGCGGGCTCGTGCATGAGGTTTATGCATGAACGTGAGGTGGGTGCGGTATGCTGAAGGCATCTTGGAGTTTGGTGAATTATTATATCTAATCGCCTTATCTAGTAGTTGGATATAAGTTCCAATTACGATGAGTACAACTAAGGACGCATCTAAGCCTGAAGGCCATTTCGTTACTCTACCAAAGATCGATGATGAGGAGCCAGCCCTGGTATCATGAGATTACATATATATCCAAACGTGGCAGTCCAGTATGAACGCTAGATCAAACTCGGGGTAGAGAGCCAGAGATATTCATCACCGGTAGCCTCTCCAAATCCTCACACGACATCACGGAAAAGGATTGAATCCTACGAATTGGTCAATTCGGGCGTGGAGACATGATGGATAGGGGTGTTTAGTTTGGGTATCTAGAAGCCAAACGGCCCATTTGGTTGTTTAAATCTAGACTCTAGTATTGAGAGTATGCTGGAGGCATCTAGGGTTGATCTAGCTTAACGCTTAGATGTTACACTGACAGCAGGCTTGTATCAGTCAAACTAACAGATCAATATTTATCACCATCACGAGAATTCCATTATCACAATCACAAAAAACGCCATATATAGGTTAAATAAATTGCATTTTCCGCAGACTATCAAAAAGCTCAAACTGGAAACTCAAATCTAAAATGAGCGACCACTGCTGAACCAAATCAACAAACGTAAACCCAGCAAGTAAACCGGTACCCAAACTTTCTTCCCTCCTATCAACTCAACTCTGTGGAAAGAATTCGTCACATTTTCATTTCCATGTAGATCCTTCTTCCAGAGAAAGTCTCCATATAGGCAAAATATGATAGTGAGTAAGTAAGTGGGTATTTACATGAATGAGATCCATACAATTTAATAAGATTTCGCTGTAGCTGTACCTGACTTCTGGTAACAAGAACATCCAGAACTAGCATGATGCGCAGCATCAGGAGCAAAATCGCATCCAGGGAGCCAGGTTGGTATTGTAGCGTCGGGCCTGGGAGCAGCGGTAGTTGCTAACCAGCCGGAACAAAATTCTGAAGCGGTAGAATGTTCTAATGCGCGAAGACAATTATCTGCATGGCAAAATTGATCGAAAGGATTCAAGGATGTTACTGCCGCTGTTGCTGTTGTTGCAGTGACGGTGGTGAAAGTTGAAACTGTTGTTTCTGTAAAGACTGTTGTAACGCTGGATCTGGATCCGGAATCAGAAGAAATATATGATGTAGCTTTGGTGTCTGTGTTGAAAGATACCGAGTTTGATTCTGCCGCAATAGAAATTGCTATGGACATCGTTGTGTATAGACTAGAAGGCCTCACAGAGGCTGAATAATTGTTAGCCGAAGACGACAATGGCAAAATACCTGTATTGCCTGTATTTGTCATTGCTGGTATTAAAATAGGCGATGGCAAAGACGCAGATGGATTTGTAAAAGCAGACACATACGTAGAAGCAGAATCAGAAGAAGTAGAGGTATCCTGTGAATGGCAGGCTAACTCGCTATCGCGTTTTTGACGTCTCTCACGTCTCCCTTCCGACTTACGCTTCTTCAAACCGGCATTGAATGGATACCTAAAGGACTTGATCAGCAAAAAGTCACTGAGAAGGATGCGTGGATATACTTACTGAACGTTAGTACAACTATTGGAATTCGGGCACTTCTTGTAAAGTGAAAGTAAACCAGCTGCTCCACAAATTTGTTGATTATTTCCAGAGCAAGGCATCGTACAACCTCCCAGAACGCCAGGAACTGGAGCTCTACCAGCAAGCATATTATTATCACAGTAGCACTCTGTGGAATATTCCAGACCAGCGATACTAAAGCCTTTGCTATTACAGAAGTCGATACATTTTTCGATTGTCATTCCTGTGCTGTCCTTTAACGAAGCTCCTTGTAAAGTTCGAGGCTGACCAGGCAAATCTGTGCCACATCCCAAGTATGCGAAGCTCTTTGATTTCGTCACATCAGTGTAAGGCCATATAGGCGTACCGATGGTGGTCGTAGCACCACATCCAGCTTTTTGAACAGCATTTGCGGGACCATTTTGAACCTCATTGCATCCAGGGAGTTTGGACATTACACCGGTAACTTGCTCATGAACTGATGGAGGGATTCTACAAGCATTTGCAGTTGCATCGCTCGTGAGTTGGAAAACGGGACATTTTTCGATGACTCCACTATCATCGTTGCATTCGTTGACAGCTCTTTGTAATGTTGGCACGTCCCAACCATTGACAAAGTCTCCATGAAATCCGTAACCGGTTGGGTCTCCCATAGCCCAGACAAATGGTTGTGAATTCCCATACCACTAGAAAGTTAATCGTTAGCATCGGATTGGGGTATAAGGGAAGGACTTGAATTCTCGGAAAGGACATATAAATTGTGCCATGACGAGAAAACCAGAAGCTGCAAGTGCTTACCATGTTAGCAAAGTCAGGAGTATCCCAAAGAATCTCATAGAAAATAGAAACAAGGCGCTTTGGATGACTGGGAGGACAATGACCACTGTCCACAAGACTAGGATAAGCCATATGAGACGTATGGTCTGGAGAATCCAAGTTTTTTCCATCCCAGCATGATGGGAAAAAAACCTGTGATCGCAGTCCATTTGGACATTTGTAATTTGGGAATCCATTCGTTTGAGGATTACTAGTACCGAGGCAGACATAGGTGATTGCCTGTTGTGCTAGAGAGCTAGAGTTGTATGACCGAAGGTAAGGATTGCCAGCAACCATTCTGAAGCCGGGTGGAAAGGCCAAAAGACCTTTGGAGTACTCGGGATCTAACGGGTCACTGCGTTGCCTAGTAATTGAAATTCATTAACAATCCAAAGGAGGTAGAATATTGAATGGCAAACTTACAAGTAGTAAACTGTAACGCCACCATTCTGACCGACAGAGATGAAACTACCATTCTGAGCTCTATAAAACAATGTTGGAGTCCAATAGTTGGAAAGATCCTTTTTTTGTTAGTTGGAGAGTACTCCCCTGTATTTGATGGAGCTTACCTTTGTGACGGTACAAGAAGAGCAAGTCGAGGCTTGGGTGGAAGCATAGTTCATGTTAAAAGCAAATCCATTACCTGTTGCAAACGAGGAGTCAGCATCATCCTTCAAGAATGACTGTGGAAGAAAATAAGAGATTTGAGCTTCATTACGAAACAGCCGAGATTTGTGGAAGAAACAAGTGGTGTTAAAGATCAGGGGGAGAATTGGTGTAAAGACAGTAAAATATGAATCATATACTAACCACCCATAATAGTGTGGACATGCGCTGAGACACTACCTGGAGAGATAACTGGGTCAGCTCTCTGAACCACGATTGGGTTCTGGCATGGTAGACGCCAAAATGCAGAGGCAGGATTGATGTTGAATGTGAGAAGGCACAAAGCCAACTGGAGCAAGGCGTTTGTTTGCATGATGAGTTATTCAACTAGAAGAGATGAATATAATGGTTGGAACGAAAGAATCTGAGACCAGCTGCGGAGATCTAGATGTTTCTGAAGTTGCAGATGATTGAATCGAAGGAAGTGTCACAGACACGAAGTTATCTGAAAAGTTTGGATTCAAAAAGCCATGCAGAATTGAAGATACAACTAGGTATTTATTGAAGAGGTTGCCAATAACAACTACAATAAGAAGAATGCAAACAAATTTCTGTGCAATTAACCGAACCAGTGAGAAAAGACAGGAGAGTATTAATATTGAAGATAGGTATGAGACTGTTGGTGAATGATGAAAGTCATTCCACCTCACGTAGTATTGCTCAAACAATAATATAACGTACTTGGCATCAAAATAATTGGTGCTCAGATTTCTTCGATATTAAATTGGTCAGTGTGATCTTGAAAAGGGGCCGATAAACACAGATCCCGTCAGTATCAAGCTTTGGTTCTCGGTTGAGTGAAGTTGGAGGTAGAGAATCCTGGATGACAGCAAGGATATTCTATTGAGGAAAATATCCAAATATCTATATCAAACTGTATTCCCGGGTGGCTCAAACTCTAATGGGGAATATGTCAAATCCCTAGCTGCCCATTATGTATCAACCCTTTCTTTGGTAAATGTGGGTGTTGGTGATTTGACACTTTTCGAATCTTGGCAGGTAAAAGATGGGTATTGCTGCTGGTACCCGATGCGATGTGTGCCACATCAAATAAAAAGCTATTCACTTGATATTTGCTTGTTGATGCCCATCAAATTGTTCGGATATTGACATGGAGTGACAAAAGAATCCTTGAAAGTCTGATGGTTATCATCCAGTATACCTATCACAAAAGTGTCCAAGGTTTAACGTGTAATGGATATGATGGCCGAGGGGCCGGACACCTTCAAGCTTAGAGAACAGAAATGCCCCTAACTGAGCTGCGAGCTTCCCGTTTGCACTTGGGTTGGATAGATCAGGTAAACCTTACCGTAGAGATCCAAACTTTAGAAGTCATTCCTTCAAACCTTGATGCGCTTACTCCGACCTTTGAGTCACTTTGTGATATCTCCTTAATTTGGTAGTTGTTATGTAGACCTCGTATATTCACCTTGGTGTAGAATCTAACAGGATATCCCACTCTCGTCGCGATATCTTGTGCCACTGGCCGCCTGCTACAGGTGGTAGGTGGTAGGTAGCACATCATTTGACATCTGTGGAACGGGAAGGGAGTACATAGATTTAGTATTCAAGATCTTGCGTAACAATTCTGTACGAGATCAAGGGATACGGCTTATGCCAAGTGTCGATGTGGAGGAGGCACCGTGGGCCATTGTAGTTGTATGTCGGTAGGTACCTTACTGGATGTTGTACAGTGAACGTGATGAGATGCGACGTTGTGCAAGCATTTTCAACCCGTTGGTGTACGATATTTATGTAAATATACCTAAACACCTATATATATTTTATGTATCTATGCATGATTAGTATTTACACTTTGTAAATTCTTAATTTGGAATCGAAAAACATGTAATAGAAAGTTTATTGACAGATTGATGAGGTAAGGAAGGTTGAGAGGCTGAATTTCTAATTTCTAATTTCTAATTTCTAATTTCTAACGAAACCAAATCTGGGGAAATGACCAAGGAATTTAACCGCTGCGGGGGATCAGCACCTAGTGTCGTGTTAGTCTAGTCCGTAACCGCCCTGATGGTCCTTACACTGATGTGATTTAATTTAATGATTTATGAAACCTCTTTTTGACGTCAACACTTCGGTCCGATAAATTATACATTGAGGAGTAATTACCACTCACTCACTCGTCACCTCCCAATGCCGTATCTCAATTATTCCGACATATCCAACATATCCTACATATCCTACATATCCTACATATCATACATATCTTTCCAGACCTATCAAAACGATCAACAGATGCAATAAGGTTATATGAGTTTGAAGACGTGTCGAATCAGTATACTTATACTAGACGATGTGTACCTAATACCTGCATTGCACCATCGTTGAACATGCATTCCTCTGAGGAGTTGTCGCCTCTTTGTCACTTCTCTTTATGAGTGTATATTTTCATCTACAACTTCATTGCCTTCGTGTCGAAATCTATTTCTTCATTTATATTTCATGCCATTCAAATGCAATTCCGTATCAGCCGCTTCATTCAAACCTGTCGTCTGACACTTAGCCGCAGCTAACCTTTTGATTCTATCTTCGGCATTGTAGATCCAACATGCTCGACAAAGTGAGCATCTACCAACGGGGGAAGACTAGAAATCGGCGAATATACATATTCTTTCAAGGAGATTTCTGCAATCATCGACCAAAAGGGTAGTAACGTCCAGAAAGGTACTTACTAGTCCTCTACTCGACAATCCTAGAATCATCTATTGACCGAAAAGAGCAAGTCAATACCCCTTTCAGGCATCAAGATTCCAAAAATGGAAACTATTCTTGATTGGCTGAGGATACCCCAGATTTTCCCCGGATTTCAAATTTACTGGGTCATGAACACTTAGAATCCCTTCAATCTTACAACCGGGATAAATACATCTCACTTTATGAGTATCTCACCGTGTTGCCGAGGGATTTTCACTCTTTTCATAACGGGCAGTCATTGATTCAAGAAAAGGGCCGAATTTTAAACAAAATTTTCATTCATGCGGGAATTTATCTTATTTTTCACACTCCAATCATATCCATTCTCGGTCTTTTCGTTGGATTTAACTCATCGTTCGTCGGAGCATGTGCCAGGCGCAATTTCCACCAAAACTATAACTCCTAGTCCGAAGAAAAGCTTCTCCTCCTTTGTTGGACTTATATTGTATGAGGACCTCGGGAAGCATATGATCTTGAATCTAGATCGTTTGACTTCGAGAGGGATATAAGATGGGAGCATGCTTTGAAGCAATTGGTGTTGATTTATCTTCACATATAGCTGATTTTCACCAGGAACGGACAGAAACTTTGATATTTATCAGGCAAGGCTTGATGATACTTTTCATGAACCCATTCGCTATGATTTAGGAGTAGTGTATACCCTGGTTCATGATAACAATTATGTGATTCAAAGAGTGCTGAGCTGATAACAAAGGAGTCAAGTATACTGGGTATCAATAAACACAGACTTATATCAAAATGGTTCCTCTTAGCTTTCCCGCAGCCTCCTCATCAAACAACCGAGTAGACCATGTCCTAGTACTACCTAGCACTTCCTCTCCTTTCCTTCCCCAATTCCCCTCACAGCACAGCGCCAAACATCCCATCCCTTCCCATAGCACCAGATTTAAGAACCTCCGAGTATATAAGTATAATCAAAACCCAAGAATACGGTAAAAGCCCAGAAACATCCCAATGACCCAATAATCGCACCTATCTCAAGAAACTCGGGAAATTCAAAAAATCTTTCGTTTATATGTGTACTCTTGTCTTCTACTTTTCTTACTTTTACTTTTATTATATTTCTTTGATTTATTTTTTAATTGATTTTATAAATCTTTTGTATTAGTTTATCATGAGATTATAATCTATAGAGATTCCTAGGATTCTTGAGGATTTTACTAATGATTAATAATTTGATAGTTTGAGATGAATAAATCATCCATTGTACGGCACGGCTTAAGTTATCACAGATAGATATAGATATAATAAGAGGTAGATAGTTTGAAGAAAACAAAGTTTGATATGAATAAATGATCAGATCAGATTGATCAGTGTATATATATTTTTAAATGCTCAAATTTTACTATGGAAAGTTAGCATCCTGATTCTATCAGTTATTACCTAGCTAGAGATGGATAGATTATCCTGGCTTTTCGTATTGATATTATGTTACGTCTTCTCATATCTCATTCTCTCCCTCTCTTTCACATACCCCTCAAGCAGACAAATACCGACCTGCCTAGCTACTCTCCTCCAACTCCTCCAACTCCCATCTTATATATTCCTTTTCTCTATTCTATCTCTTACTCCTGATTCTTCACTCCTCATTCCTTCTTTACAATCTACAATCTACATTTACAATCTATAATCCATAATCCATAATCCCAAATCCCAGATTTAAAATCCTAATTCACCAAGTGATTCCCTCCCTACCCATTAATCAATAATCGTTAATCATTAATCATCTAACATCTACTACTAACCTCCCACACATAACTCTCCAAACCCATGTACATCCAATCCAATCCATTCAAATCACATATATAATATATCTTCACTTTACTTTTATATAACATCTTATTTTATCTAGGTACGTATCTTAGCTTAGCTAGGTAGGTAGTAGGTATGTACACTGGTAGTAGGTATCAAATAAATAATTAATAGATTCATATACTCATTTATTTTGCATTTATCTCAGTTATTTATATCTAATAATAAATAAATCTAATATATAATATATATATCAGTCTCTGAAATTATAAAAAAAAATGTGCTAGCTATAGGTAGGAGTTATTAAATTCGTTTTTTGGGAAATAGAAATTTTGGATGTTGTATGTATTTTTATCTATCCACCTATCCACCTATCCACCTATCCATCTATCCATCTATCTAGCTACGAGGAATAATGCCTATCAAATGTCCATCCATCCATCTACGTATACACACCATACCGACCAAACCAGCAAAGAAACAAACAAACCACCCACCTTAAAATATCTATACCATCCAAGCCATCTCTATCATCCACCCGACCTACCCACCCATCCCCACCACACCACACTCCAAACTCCCCCACCTCCAACTCCCCCTCCACCTCTCCCACTCCTCATCACCCCCGGCAACCCCCGAAAGCGGCAATCTCGTTCCATCCCTATCACCGAACCCCAAAATCCTCGCCACACACTCCTTAATCCCCACCGTCCCAAACCTCACAACAATTTCCTCCACCCCACTCAACCTCCACTGCAACAAAGCTCTCTCCTTCCTCTCTTCCCCGCTCACATCCTCCCTAACACTCAATTCATAAAGACGCACTACACTTTTAGGGAAAAAGCCCGCGGTGCCGTCGATGGTTCCTTGACATCCTATACTTATGGCCGGGAGTAATTGTTGGCCTAATCCCGTGAAGGTGTGGAAATGCGCGTGGTCTATGTGTGGAGATAGTGCGATTTGTGCATGATGCGATATATCGCCGTGGGAAAGTTTACAGCCGACGATATTGGGGTGGGCGGAGAGAGTGGTGAAGGTTTGTGGGGTGACGCGGACGGAATTTGATACCCCTGGGTAATGGTATATCATTATTGGGATGGGACTTTGGTTTGCTATGGCTTTGAACCACTGTTTTGTGAAGGATATGGATTAGCAATTATGCATCATGCCATCAGAAATTCTTTCCCATAATCCTCAATCAGAAGTCTCCCACCCCTCTCTCTCTCAGTAAAAAAAAAACTCACCTCAATAATCCCCTCCTGTGTACTCGCCCCCGCAAAATACCCCGGCACAAGCACCAACCCCCAAGCACTACCCGCCCTCGCCGCCTCACCCAACTGCCCAACCACCTCCGGAATATTCTGACTCGCCGTCCCAGCAATAATCCCCACATCCGCAAATCCCTCTTTATCCAATGCATCTCTACATCCCTTCAACACCGTATATCTCTCTTCATTAGAAAGATGTACTGCCTCGCCCGTACTACCCAAGACTACTAATCCCTTGATACCCGAACGAGCGAGATGGATGGAATGCGCAGCTTGGGTTTCTGTGTCGAGGGGTGAGGCGATTGAAGAGTAGGAGGGGGAAGAGCGAGGGAGGAAGAAAGTTGGGACGGGGACATAGACACCGGGGGGTGGTGGTTGTGCCATTTTGGATTGCAATTGAGTTTGAATTTGGTGAGGAAGAGTAGTAGATGAGTTAGGAAAACACTTTTGGGTAGGAAATCTATGTTTTATTTCATAGATATTTGAGTGTTGCGGTAATTATTCAAAGTATATTTATTCGGTGTATCAATGTACGAGCACCCCACTAGGAGTTTATTGACCCGAGACGGGATATGGAGGGGTAGTACAAAGCCAAGCATATTTGATTTAAATTGGACAGAAAAGTTAAACTAGAAAAGGCACGGGGTCAACTGATGTGGACGGAATGAAATCCTTTCGATGTTGAGTATATGTATGTATAGTATTTTCGCAGCAAGAAGGTGGATACTTGATTGAATGATCCTCACTTATGATCTGTCCTCTTCCCCAAATTTCCAAACTCTCTTTGAAGAATCAACATATCTAAATATAGAGCCGCTGAGACAATACTCAAAGTACTATCTTCTACTCCTTCCCTCTTTCCCAGACACCCCATCTATTTCACCTCTCCCATCCTCAAAATCACTCTCCAATATTATACGCTTTAATCGCTGTGCCACTCCAAATCATAACCTGATTTTCCCTACTCAAACTAGCCAGATAGCAAAACCTCATGACCACATCCCTCCATTTCTCCCAAGCCCCCTCAACCCCAACTGTACATACCGGCCAATCAGATCCAAACATTGTCCTAAAAGGTCCGAATGTAGCAAAAACCACTGCTAAATATGGTTGTAGTGCCATAACAATATCATCTATGGGACCCTTCTTCAAAGCATCTGGCATTTCTGAAAAACATCCGCTGAGTTTCATATATGTATGACTGTATTTGCTGAGTTTGAACATGGCAGTGCGCCAAGCGAGGAAAGATGGATCAGTTTGGGTGTTGTAGATTGAGAAGTCGGGTTTGCAGAGATGATCTAGTTAAGGAATGTTGTTAGCATTGTTACACAAGATGAAAATGTGACGAGAGAATTAATGAAGGAAAACTCACTAATAATAACCCTAACTTTTTCTTTGTCGTCCACTCCCTCATGAGCCTTCTCCATCATCTGCACCGCTTCTTCCAATTGCCATCTCCCACCAGAATGTAAATCGACCCCTAAATCAAACACAAACCCATTCTTCCCTAACCACTTCAACCCTTCTATAAATTTCTCCTCGATCATAGTCCCCCTCTCCTTATCCTGCACCAAATATCTAAACCCCTTCACCAACTTCCAGCTCCCTTCCGCCTCCCTCTCAACCTCCCTAACATATCTCTCCAACACCTTCTCCCCACTCGGTACGGGGGCCCATGGTACAATAGCCTTACAAAGCTTCGCATGTTCCGCAGTATGTCCTTCACCTTCTCGAGGTTGACCCAAAGCTATTCGTTTCAGCCATGAAACTTCCTTAAGTGGCATTTCCCAACCCGAACCATCTTCTTCCCCGCTTTTCAAATCATTCTTACGGTCTGTTTCGAGAAATATAAATCCTTCAAGTGAAGGAGCAGATGATGTGGCAGCGGTGTATTCATCGAGAGAATGTTGTTTGTATAGAGGATTTGAGGGGGTACTCCAGGCAAGAGTATCGATTTCGCTTTCGGGGAAGAGGTGGATGTGGGAGTCGATAATTGGGTATGAGACTGGAGTAGTCGAAGAAGTAGTCGAAGGAGTAGAAGATTGGGAATCCATTGTTCTATATGGCTTCAAACTCGATTTAGTTATCAATAATTCGATTCAGAAGATATATTTCGATTTATTCGAAGCCAAATTGTAAGATTGTAGTTGTAGTGTATGAAGAGACCCAATGCAGTGCATGATAAGTACTCTGTAGACAAACACGCCACATAATTGAGCTATTATCGTGTAACAATGCAGGGTATGAATATGGGGTGGGGTAGATGAATATAGATAAATTGGCAATGAGGTTATTCACTTACTCGTAAGATTGCAAACGATGGTATTCTTCTTATTTTCGCCCACTATTCGCATCCACAGCTCTTCCTATGAAAGATCAAAAATCACATTCATGATTCAAGAAATCCTTGCCAAAAGTTTACAAATTTGGGCGTTGGTGAAGGCTTTCAGGGTTGTTATTAGTGTTATTAGTGTTATTAGTGTCATTTCCTTAAGGTTATTTCCCCATTTCCCCAGTACCCCAGTTCATTAAATCTTATAGATCTATAGATATTAGATACTGGGTAGGTAGATATCATTATCAATCTCGAAAAATCCCCACGAAAAGTGTTTCCTAATTACATCCTAAAGCGTGCAAGTAAATTCCCATCAAGCTGTGAGATAGGTCACGGCGTTGATGAATGCAGCAATGGGATATAGATTTCCTTAACACCAGCATCTATCTTTCTATCTTCTATCTTTCTACTTGTAATTCTCCTTTACATCTTGTATCTATGATTTTTATTCTCGTAGAGATGTTACGGGCTGTAGAGAGTGTGATGTCGAATACCTGGGTAATTTAACAAAACATTTCTCCCTCTAATAATTATTCAAAATCTCCTAATCAATCAATAGATCTTTAATTTGCAATATATAAACACTCACCTGTATATCTCAACGATTAACAATTCCCGGATCACAAACTTTCTCTGCGATAACAAAATTACCCATCCTGTTGAAAGTCCGCTATAAAAACAGCGTCAAATCTAGAATTCTCTCCGGTAGAAGCTGCGTACCAGCTATCTCTATGCTGTACTTACTTACTAGCTAGTTTATTATAAGTTACCTATTCAATAAGTTTATCATCGAGCTGAAATGCATCCTTCCCCCCGATGCAATCACTCGTGATGATCAAATATTCAATCATGAGAAGTTCAAGTAGCCAAATCTCCGGACATAATAATCAACGCACTATGCACATTTAGAAAAGAAGTATATAACTTTTGCTTGCTTGCTTCCTTGCTGGAGAGGAGATCGAGATTAAGATTAAGATATTTAACAACAGAAGCAGAGGAGGGGTGAAAGATGTAATAAGTGTAAGAAAAATAATGATGTAAAGGGAGTCAAAGGAAGAGAGTGGAGTGGGTAAGGGGAGTTTGATACGGGGAGTGGATCATTAAGAGGTGGATAGATATACTAGGAATTAATAATTATAGAGGTAAATTTAGGTGAAAAGAGGAGTTTGGGGGTATCTGCATCTGCATCTGCAGACAGCTATTGGAGAGATGTGGAATTTTTGGAGGTTTTGATGATGAGGTTTTGTGGCTGAGGCTGAGGGGTAACCTACTTACTAGGGATATGGAGGATGTAGCAAGGAAGGCTGCTTTGGGGAAGTAGAAGCTAGTTTTTCTCATGACTAGAAGTAGAAGGGAGGATTAGTTTGTGGAATTTTGGAATATTAGAGCATGAAACTTATTTTGAGTGTGGGGGAGTTACCTCTGTTCTGAAGACACTGAGGTTGAAATGAAGTTTTAAATATACACCCATTGAGAAGATTCGTGTCGTATTGTCGAATGGTGGAAATTAAATTATGAGGATATGAAATTCCTGGACAAGATGATCTCTTTTCCCTTTGGAAGGTTGAGAAGATCCTCGGACATGGAACAATTGATTGAGACGATTTCAAATGGTCATGCTTGAATTACAATTATCGAATGTCTCAGTTACAGCATAGATTAAAGAGAACGAGATTCACGTAACAAGCAGAGTTATGGATTTTTAATGATGAACCTAGCCATGGAACGACGACTTGTGGTATTGTTCTAATTGTTCATTTTAGCCCTTAGAGATCTACTCCACGATATGACAAACCCATATCTAAGCAGTAAAGTGAAAGGATGGTGTAAGGAGTGTTAGCCATGCTCTTCATGTTTGCTTCGATCATGAACACCAGAGCCTGCGATATACCATCTATATAGTACCACTTAGTATATAGCTCCGTCTTAGATATTGAAGCTATCCGCGCTCAGATTTCAGATTTCATCATGAACGCTAAAGCTGCGATCCTAGCAGCAGATCATCTCATGACTGCTCAACGAGACCATACACATTGAGACGTTACTTGATCGAAATCTCTTCTCAAACCCGCTGATTCTTCTTTCCTTGGTCTCATTTTCGGACATATTTGCATAATAAAAATCCAAAAGTGTAGTGCCCAGATTATTTTGATCCAAGATGGATCTTTCCTCAACCCTCCTGATTCAAATTGTGGAGAGTCCCTCACCGTAGACTCATGGCTATGACTAGTAAAGCCACGGGAATACCGTACCTTCCCGTAGATGCAGCTATGCATTCAACCATTGAATGAAGCCACTCGGCTTTACGGCAAGGTCAGAGGTTTCTTCTTCGATACTAGCCCTTTTACTGAATTCAGAGTGTGCCGACTTTGCCGGGCATAGAAAAAATCGCAATTTAATCTCAACTCGTAGGGAGTGGAAGCTTTCCAATAAAGATCATGAGTCGCAATAACCATCAAAACTTGTGATGGGCGAAGATCGTGGGGTTTCAAAATCTGGGGATTTCTGGCAAGGATACTTACAATGTTTCGTTACATCGAAATACCAACTCATATATTGGCAGCTCCACTGATTTTTCTGCAACTCGCCGTGTCAGGTAATGAGCTGCATGGATTGAGTTTTACCAACGGTCCCTGAGTGCTTGTCAAAAGTTCGTGGAGAAATCTGGAGAAACATTGGAGGTCATGCTCGTTAAACTTTGTCTTGAAATTTGGGGGCCGTGGTGTTTGTCATGGATGGGAACTTGGGAGAATTGCGCGATGAGCCGAATGAAGGGCAATAACAACTTCTCGGCATCTCGCTCGCTGCTTTGGGAAACACAACCTCCAATTTGTTTCGACCGATCCGATAAACTGACGTAGTTCTGCATTATTTTTGCTGCTCGTTACCTTCCATTCTCCCAATGAATGCATATTACCGAAAATGGGTAACACGAAAACCTGATAATAACACCCTTCAACCATATATTAATATCCATATATGCATAAGAACACGTATCGTCTCAAAGATCCATTTAACCCTGACCCGATTACTGCGAAAGTCTTGATTAATTTAATCAAAACTCATGTGTGATGATGTTGCTGATGTTGAAATTTTGACAAGTACGGCTTAGTGGCAATTTCATTTGCATATGCAATGCAGGTCCTGAATTAGACCTTCAAGCTCGTTTTCTCTCCCTGCGTTTCAAAGTGAGGTGAGATTCGACCGTGGATTAGGGATTGAATTCACATGTCAAGGGCTGGAGTATACTTTCAAAGATATTGGAGGAGGAAGGGGACATAAACAAGAAAAAGAAAAAAAAAAGATATCGGATTGCGCAACTCCGAACACATAAGCCGCAAAACTCGGATGCTGTAAGGTTATCTAGCGATATTTCTCTGGTGAGATGCAACTAACATGAGAGATCCTCAAGGAACGGCCTTGCTTTTCGGCCAAATTGAAGGGAAAAGACAGTACTGAACAGCTCACCCGGATTGAAGGATTCTTATGGTTGTGAGAGAGTTTAACGATGTTAAATAGGAGGAGGAAGTTCTTGATTTTTATCAGGTTATCAGATAATGTAGATATTGTAAGTCTTAGATAACGTTAGATAACGTGCCTACTGTACGGTGATCCATACACACATACATACTTGCTCATTGACGCTCGGCTTGACTGTGTAGACGACATAGACTTTACAAATGAAGATTAGTTTGAGGCTGGTGATTTGCGTTGGTTGATTCGAGCATACTTATCTAATCCACTCTTCCTTGTAAAATCTAAAAAGTGCAGACACACACGAGTCACAACTAATAATTAAGCACATCCCTCTTCCTATAACCTCTGTTAGATGCTCAGCCTCTAAGCCTCTCATCGCGTCTGCTCGTTAGTACGGAGTGCTCCATACGTACTCACTCCACTCACCAGCCAGCGTATCGGTGCCCCTTTCGAGGATTCGTCGAGGATTCGTCGAATGGATACACAACAACTACCTATGTACCCACAGTGGTAATTGATTGGACTACCGGCACCTATGCGATTTGAGTACGCTCAACCGCCATGAAACGAAACGAAACAAATCCAACAAGTTCGCTCCAACTAACGATTCATGATGCGGACATTCTCGGCCTTGGGAATAGACAAAAGCTGCGGTAGATAGATAGGGTGGCCCTGCCATTGAATCTTCTCCATTCTCGTTCATTATTGCTTCGGCTAGTAACTGCGTTGAAAACAGCCTACGAAACGGAATGTATTCCCGAATAGAATCATTTCCTTGCAGTCAAAAATAATGGTCTGGTACCTCGGGAGGAGTTGACTATAGTTTACAAATCCCATCCGCACAACAGGTTATTCCTTTCTTTTACGTGGTTGAGTGGATCTCGCTCCTCCCACCCCCGCCCCTCCATCTCTATCCCACCATCATCCCACCATCATCCCACCATCAATCCCACCAACCCACCAACCCACCATCCCACACACCATACAAAAATTGGGTCTGATGGAACTAATCATGCAAAACTTCGTCATCATCATAAGCCTCGATCCAACACTTTTTTCCCTCACCAGCAAAATTTGTTATTGAAATGTATTCGGCTTGTTTTCAACCAAACAACGGGGAACAAGGACAACAACTAACATATAAAGTTTCAGTCCATGTAACAACGCACGGTAAAAGTCGGAAAACTCTTCACAAGGATCTCAACGCGAATGCAACAACCAACATGCAAAATTGTACGAGAGTGTAGACCACCCAAGTCGATCCTTTCAACACGAGAATCGGTTGATTGCAAAAATGAAAATGAATCAGATATCCAAAGCAATGGCACTCTACCATTCGATAATGTCAAACGAAATGTATGGAGTGCACAGGGTGGCTTTACAGTAGCGGGGATGTACCATGATTTTTGATGGATCCCATCCCATGAGATTTGATGCACATCAACAAACATGGAGGGAGACCAGCTCGATGGAGCATGATGTAGCTCTGTAGCTCGATGGGGCTCGATGTCATACCTAAACAAAAATGGTTTCAACTAATTCACCGTCATGTTAATTTCTTCCATGATGAAGTCGATAATCATCATATAGAAATTATCCAAGGCTAAAAGAAAGCTCCACTTAGTGCAAGGGCCGGACACCGTTGAAAGATATACTTAGAGGAGGAGTTAGCCCTTAGCAAAGAGACGGACTTATTTTATTCAAACTAAGGGCGTGCCTCTTTGCTTCTTAAAGCTAAAAGCCATTCCGCATCAATATTGTTTGTGAAAATCATTTTACTTTCGTCTAGATTTCTTCGTATGATTGCATCTAGAGTCCCTTCCATCAACCATTCACTTCCTCATTCACATTAACACTTCAACGGTGTATCATTATTGAATAAGCTTTAAGCGCATAGCATATCCAGCAATCTTAACCTTTCCAGGTCAACGTTTCAGGCCAAGATATAATTAAATTCACACCCTCCCTGCAGCAATCAGGCAAGCGCGCGCGGCCACCTGCAGATTCCTAACCCAACAAACAACGGGCGAAGCTATTCACTATCCCGTAGCCAAAAGTTAATCACCAAATTGCAGCCGGATCCCGACGCCAACCAATTTCACCTTACTCTTACATTTAAAATGGCGCCCTCTTCCACCCTCAAACCTCCGGCACGTACCAGACCCGGTATCCGTAGACTTTCAAGTATGACTACCAACGAAACAGAAGTTAGATCCGGTGGACCGGTCGTCGTCGTTCCAGATAGAATGATTAGAGAGCCTTTATCTCGAGGAGCTTCCTACCAAGGAGGAAACTTTGCGGCCTCCTTGGAAAACGCCAGAAATGAACTCAACTCTAAAAACCTGGAGGAGGAGGAAGAAACTGCCTCAAGTTCCGCGGATTCGCCATCAACTCCACTTACCCCTGCCGATATTCCTACTGCCGATTCTTTTGCCTTTGCTTTTGATATTGATGGCGTTCTCATTCGTGGGGGTAGGCCAATTCCAGAAGCTATTGAAGCAATGAGAATGTTGAATGGAGAGAATGAGTATGGAATGAGAGTGTATGTGGTTCAAGTAGATTTAAAGAAAACATTGCTGACATGTCTCCTATAGTCCATACATTTTCTTGACAAACGGTGGTGGAAAGACTGAAGCGGAACGTTGTATTGATCTTTCCAGACAACTTGACATTGAAGTTTCGCCTTCACAGTTTATTTGTGGTATGTAGATACCAATCCACTAAAATTCTTCACTTGAAGAATGTCAGATGTTTTACTTGACTTCATGTTCGAAATACTAATTTCTTCAGGTCATACACCCATGAGAGAAATGGTGGAAAAGTACGAAACTGTTCTCGTCATTGGAGGTGAAGGGGAGAAGTGTAGACAAGTTGCCGAAGGGTATGGTTTCCGTGATGTCATTACCCCAGGTGACATCATCAAACATAACGAACATACCACGCCTTTCCGCAAACTTACCTCTGAAGAATTAAAAAACTCTCGTGGCGGCCGTGATTATAGCAAGACTAAAATTGAAGCCATCTTCGTCTTTGCCGATAGTCGTGATTGGGCATCCGACGTTCAGATCATGCTTGATCTCGCCATGTCCAAGGGTGGATACATTGGTACTCTTTCCGAAACTTTCGATGAAGGGCCACCTATCTACTTCTCTCACAGCGATATTGTCTGGTCGGCTGCTCACGAAAATGTTCGTCTCGGTATGGGTGCTCTGAGGAAGATGACGGAAATGCTCTTCAGAGATCTCACCAAGGGCAAAGAGCTCGAAACCATTGCTTTTGGAAAGCCTCAAATTGGAACCTTTGAATTCGCAACCAGATTATTACAACAATGGCGCAAAGATGAACATCGCTGTAATCGTCCTCCCGAGACTGTTTACTTCGTCGGCGACACCCCGGAATCTGATATCAAAGGCACCAATCAATTCAATGAGAAAGCTAAAAATGAATGGTATTCCATCCTCGTGCGAACCGGAGTTTTCCAAGAGGGCACCGAGCCGGCATACAAACCTAGAATGACCGTGGATACCGTGCTAGACGCAGTCAAACATGGAATCGAGAGAGAATTCAACAAGAAAATGAAGGAGAACAACCCAAGAGGATTACCGCTCAATACCTTAAGCGGTCTGAGTCTCGATGGCAAACCAATTATTGCTAGACAACCAAAGATTCTAGAATTATCCAGTCAAGTGGTCAGCGAAACTGTAACCCCTGAAGCTACAGATTGAAGATTTCCCCCTTGTGTGGCTATCTCTAAAATCTAAATGGACAACTAAAATAAATAGTTCATTACCTGCCCGGTACTTCTCGTTTTATCTTTCTATCTTTGAAAGCATATATTGATTGCGATTGATGGATACATAGACGAAGAAGTTTTGCAGGGACGGTTCTTTCACAGGTGTTTTTGTTATATTGGGTGTGTGATGGTGATGGGATGGTTGGTTGGATTACTGAATGAATTGATTGGGTATTGGATGGAGTTTTGGGCTGTTTTGGGGAAGGGGGGGCGTTCATCAGATCCACAGTATTTTAAAAGGGGTAGGAAATTTCTTCGGGGGAGGTTTCAGCGGAGGTTTCAGCGGGAGGTATGGGAGGGGATTGACTTGTGGAGATGGAGGATGGCTTGATAGGTTGGTAGGTAGCTGGTTGGATAGATGGATTGCTTATCGATAGATAGCGTGTGAATGGATAGTTAAATGGATGAATGAATGTGCTTTGTTGTCTAAGATGTTTGTTGTTCTTGTTCTTGTTCTTTTGCGAGTGGATGGTTATGTGATTGATTTGCAGAGATTAGAGAGCTTACCTTTACTTCCATCCAATATAAGATTTTACAAGTGGAGCATTCAAGTGTAATAGACTCGAAGTATATGTGGATCCATCTCCCATGTTAAAATCCCTATAGTATCAATCATTGTGAGTGCTAGTTTCTGATTATTTATATTATTAGGAAATTAAACTATGGTACGCAATGATCTTGTGTTTGCACCAGTCATAAATTTATTTGCGTTGTTTTCATCCACATCCCGAATTCTCATTGAGCGCTATTTTTCACCAGTTTCATGAATTTACTTCATCCCAGACCACTGCAGCATTCTTAAGCTTCTATCATGTTAATGGCAATGCCAATAATCTAGCGCGAAAGAAAGCAGTGTCGTGCAATAGAATAGCTGAGTGATGTTGCAACTTGCGTGCTCTATATATGTAATAGTTTTATATATGTAAGAACTTATTTTCTTTGAGATCATGAGGAAGACTTGAGATGACGAATGATAATAATCTTGTAGAGTTTGGGATTTAATCTGCGGTATTGATCTAAGATCTAAGTATTAGTGGAGGGCGCTGTGATGGGGAATTTTCATCTGGCTTTTGATAGCTCCGTCAATACCGCGGATGTGGATGCGGAAGAGGAAGGGGTTTATCTATAGCTTCAGAGTTCTGTTTGTTCATTGTAATACTTGCTTTAGCAGCTATGGTGGTTTATGTAGAGCGCGCTGTATGATCAAACCCATCAAATTATTTCGAATGTAAGAGTAAGAGAGTAGGTTCAGGAGGTTGCAATTAACTGTTTATTTCCTACCAAAATATTGGAAAAGTATGAGGCTTTATTGGTCTAGATGACAGAGTAACCTGAAGCTATCATTTCACGTAGTTGATATATCAGAGCTTCATTCCTTGGGGCGCAGCGAGTGTATTTGTCAGGATCAGGATTACAGCCTTCTACGAGATGTCCTCTCACCAACTTGGTAAGCTCACCAGCGAGTCTATTTTCTGAGAGGGGAATTGCGGTTTTGGTTCTTTGGCAAAGGTGTGTATTCAGGCGGGGAATCGTATACCCATGGAAGCTTTCGTCTTTTTGGGGAATGGCCCGGCGGGGCGGAATTGGTGTCTTTGGCTGGCACATAGGGTTATGATTTGGATATTGGACACTGAAAATATGAACTCCAGAGCTGGAGTAATTGCTAGACTATGTATGAGATGCCGAGGCAAGCGCTGGTTGGATGCTTCTATATGCTCAGTGGTGAAGTCTTCCACTGCGGGAGTAATCTTTTACCTCAAGCATTATATTCGGTTTGGGTATGTGTTACGATGTCGGTGCCAAGTGTTGTGGGATTGAATTTTGGCAAATTGAGACTTTCTTTTTTTCCTCTTTTTTTTTTCAAAATGCCTACGCTTTTTTTCTCAACTCAACTCAATAAACTTTCATAGCTGCGGACCCAACGCGTGACAGGATACTTTCGGCGAAGGTTGAAAAAGAGGTCATCGTGTGCTCGGGCGCTATAGGCTCACCACAATTCCTAATGCTCAGGTTCGTTTCGTTCTTCAACAGTTTTTTTCCTTTGCAAAAAAGAAAAAGAGGGAAAAAACGGACTAACCTTTTGATTGCACAGTGGCATTGAACCTCGTGAGAGTCTGGAAGAACATGGTATTGAAGTGGTTCATGACCTGCGAGGAGTCGGATCTGAATTAGTATGCCCCTATTTATTCCTACCCACGATGTATACTTACTAACATGCTTTGATACAGTCAGATCATATCAGTATTCCAGTCGCTTGAGAGGTACCCGCAGCCGAATCACTAACTTCCATGGCAACCAGCCCCTTGAGAATCGCACTCGAACTCTTGAAATATATCTTTTTCCGAGTAGGTCTTTTCAGCATTCCCGTTCAAACCTTAGCCCTCTACGTCCGCTCTCGAGTGATCAATAAAGACAGTACTGGGATTGTGGAAACGCTTCCGAAGTCTTCTGATCCTCAAAGCCTGATCCCTGATATTGAACTTATGCCACTTTCTACAAGTGCTATGGATAATTTCGACGAGCCGGAATTCAAAAATATTTTCTCAAAGATACCCATGTTCTGCATTCTAGCCACAATACTTCGACCCAAATCCCGTGGAACAGTCCGTCTAGCATCAAATAACCCACATGATAAACCAAAAGTCGACTATGGTATCTTGTCCGATGCTTCTGATTACAGTCTAGCTCGAAGCGCCATTCGTCTCTCACTTTCTATAGGAGATCGAATGAAAACTTCTGGTTTTCCAATTCTTCGAAATATCCCCTTTCCTGCGAAAATCCAAGAACGGGATGTGAGGAATGATAGTACGGAGGAGATGGATAAGTTTATTCGTCAAAGAATAAGATCAACTTTCCACTATGCATCTACTTGTAGAATGGCACCTGAGAATGATCAAAACCCGGAAGTGGTGGATGATCAGTTGAAGGTTTATGGGGTTGAGGGATTGAGAGTTTGTGATGCGAGTATTTTTCCGCAGATTTTGTCGGGAAATTTGCAGGCGCCTGCGGTTATGGTGGCGGAAAAATGTGCGGATTTGATCATAAACCGGATGTGAATTATTTGGATCGGTACGAGGGAAGATTAGTCGTCTCTTTTTTTGGTTTAGTTTTCTGCTTGTCAATAAAGCATGCGTGGAATTTTGGTGGGCTGGTGGCTCGGTACGTAATTGTCTATTTGAGAGGAGAAAAAGAATCTGATTGTCGGAAAGACTATTAGGATATTAATTAAAAACATACTGAATCCGTACTTCTCAATGCCGTCATAACACTATGGATCACTGGATATCCTACGCATATGAACCTTCCACCCGGAGTATGAATAACTAACACACCCATAATGCAAGAGCATTGATAGAACTCCCGTTCTCAAGCACACAGCCATAAACCTTTCAAATGTCATCTCAAGACACTCAACACCCAATTCTCTTATGGCAACCGAAAGCAGGACCATATTTCTTATGTACAGCATACCGAGCTTATAATCAGAGTTATTTTCTCTATATCAAAGAAATCAAATCTTTCGGTAACGCTTTTGACGCCCTAAATGTGTATTTGAAATATCAGATAAAGGTAATAGGAGAGAAGTCCCTAATATTTGATGAGTTATCGAATAATGATGCGGTTGTTATAAAACTAGCTATAAATAATAACATGCTGACCCTACAACTTTGTATTGGAGGACGTGTGTAATGACAAGTTACTCGACTGCAATTTGTATTAGGAGTCAAGGATGAAATTTTGAATTAGCGAGAGGTTAAAGAGGTCTATGTATTACTCCTCTGTGCCTTGTGTTTAATAGCATTAAAGTAAGATAATAATGCAGTTATGGTGTTCATGAATTTGCGATGCAGATGTCAATGAAGTAGAGATGGAAATTATAGATCTGAAGATTGATTATTTCGCTGTACACAGCAGTTGAATAATTTGTTGTGGTTCGCCTGCTTGTGATTTATGCACAGCGAACCAATATAGCGAGTTTGCTACGAGAGGTACTGCTTTATGGACGGTGTGTAGGTTTGCATCATTTCCTTCTTCAAATGTTAGGGTGCGAAAAATTCAGCCAAAATGTAAACGTAATCATATATCATTTAGGAGGCTGTGATCAATCATACTGTCGTTTAGAGAGAGAACCTTAAAGTGAGAGGAGTTTTATACAGTAATAAATTAACTTTTAGCTAGAGTACTCTACATTCTTCTTGGAACGTAGGATTTCCCAATAAAATTGAATAATTCTAGGTGCGTTGTAGATTGCAAATAATCTAAATCATATTAGCATGGAGCATGTTGAATCTCCCATATGGTTTTGTTTGCCCTGGCACTTTCGTATGGCACTGGACCTTGAGTAGTTTAGTTTCCAATTATTTGGATCATCTAATTAATACGTCTCAATCAAACTATTGGAACAGCCTCAAGTTTCCAATCGAGGGTGCTCAAACTCTATCAGTTGTGCCTCCAACCCTCACAGATGAGGTGGGACTGTGATGATATTGGTCCTTTTCGGCCAAGTTCTCATATAACTTTGGCTTCTCAACATCCATTTTGAAGACATGTCTTTTAATAGGGTAAGTAAATTGACCCCATCCATAGGCGGCGTGCTTTCTCGTAGGAACGCTGAAAACCTGGTCCAATTCTTCCAGTGTTTTATCTTTAGTCTCAGGGACGAAGAACAGAGCAAGAAAGAAGCCGACTATGTTGAATCCAGCGTAAAAGGAGAAAGCTCCTTGAGCCTTGAAGGATCTCAACATAGATGGCCATGTGATTGCTAAGACAAAGTTGAAGAACCATGTAGTGGCTGTTGCTAAGGACATTCCGAGTGAACGGATGTGGAGAGGGTAGGCCTAAGAAGTTGTTAGGGTTATGTTACAGAACATGATATAATAAAAGGTAAATTTCTCACCTCTGCCGAGTACGTAAAGGGCACAGGGCCAGCTCCAGGGCTATGAACTGTTAGCGTTGTGATACGAGCTAGCACGGTTATGCTTCTAGAGGCCCTAGAGGCATAAGACACTCTCCTTAATATGCCCATTCTAATAATCTCACATGTGATAGTTAAAAAATACAGAAATGTGCATTAAATGGTGGGGAGAAATGAAACGGCGTAATTTCTTACCTGTAGGCTAGACAGAAGAGATAGATACCTAGAGCTACGACACTAATACGTGCAGTTCCCTCTGGAATCAGGAAACTCCAACCAGTGAGGAACAAAAAGGCGGACATGAGTGGAAATGTGAGGAGTAGAAGCCATCGTCGACCGAATTTGTCGATTGTGATGATAGCAGGAAGAGCACCAAAGAAGTTAAGCGCGCCGAAACCCAAGGATGCACACAAAGCATTGACTTCCGAAAAGCCAGCATCAACGAAAATTACGCTGGAATAGTACGCTATGACATTGATACCACAGAACTAATACACATGTTAGCTATCGTGGCCTATAATATATTGAAATACGATAATTTTCTTACCTGCTGCATGAACATGGTAATCTCTGAAGCTACCATTGCTCTCCTAATACGGGGTACCGTGAAAAGTTGCTTGATCTGGTTTTGTCCATCACCCATGTTCTTCTCGGCTTCGAGGAGCATATGCATTTGGAAAATATCTCGTGCTGCCTGAACCCTAGTGTGTCTCAATCTGCACATGGCATTATATGCTTCTTGGTGTCTGCCTTTGCCCATGTACCAGCGAGGCGACTCGGGACAATAGAATACAAGTAAGCAAACAAAGAGAGCAGGGACTCCGGCGGATCCCATCATTAATCTCCAATTAAGCCCATGAATATTAGCTGCTGTATCTGGGACATAGTAGAAGGCTAGATCAAATGCGAAACCCAACATGATACCAAAGGCGGTGAAGACCTGCCATTGCATAGCCATGGCACCACGTATCGGAGCTGGAGAAGTTTCACAAGCATATACAGGAACAGTCGCTGACCTAGGAGAAAATTAGCATCAAAATTTTTATGAGACTCGACTGTGGAGAAAAGAAGGGTTATTAAATAGTGCGTAGCAGACTATACCACTGAGATCTTTAGGTCCCTGATGAACTACTGTATTGATGGAAATCTTGAAAGAGGATTAAGGGCCTAGCTCTCTATGAAGAGTCTAGGCTTTAGCTCGTGTACTACAGAGAAACCTCGTGACTAGATACCTCCATTATTGTATCACTTCGTCGCAGTTTAGTTCTACGTTTTCAATACTTGAAATCGAGACAATATTCAAAAATGAACTCAGCATTTCAAGAGACTTTAATACTCTATTGCAATCAGGGAATGAGAGCTCGTGATGATAGAATTGTGGTCGGAACTATTAGAAACCCTGTGAGAAGATAAGAATAACAGTACGTACTTTGCACCAATACCTATTCCAAGGGCAAATCTAGCAATAAACATGTGCCACCAGGTATTTGTAAATGACTGCCAGAAGCAGGTCAAGGCCGAGATCATACAGGTGACGAAGATGGTTCCTCGACGTCCCCACTATGATAAAATCAGTATTGCATATCAAAAAAGGATTTTGGAGGAGATGAGGGGCTGAGCCTATGTTGGGAAGCAATAGAAAGGTGTATGAGAAATATGAAGTGTAGTTTGAGATTGGGAAACAGGATTAGGTATTAAGAATGAAGAATTTTCGTGAACCGATTAAGTTTACTTACCCATTTATTAAATGGAACAGTAAGCCAGCAGCCAGCGATAGCACAACCGAGATATCTAATAATTTTGCATAAGTGATTGCTTGAGATAGAGGGATTAATCAAGACTTACGGGGCACCATTGGTGATGCCTAAGAGCCATGGATCCAAAGAGCTGTCTGGATCATCAATTCCGAACATCCTGGCGTAGAAAATCTGCGCTCCATTTACAACACTTTCATCTACTCCTTGAACGGCTGCGCAAACCGAACAGAGCAGGATGACTTTAGAAAAGCATGGGCTGGGACCATTTATTTGTCTTCTCTTTGTCAAAGAAATTTATTTCAGCGGCGGAAAGTTGAGCTCTCGCCCGTAGACTATCGGGATTTTTTGCAAGCAATGCTCCAGCCTTGAATGCGGAAATATCAATCGAATCGTTGAGCGCATGAGCTCGAGCATAATTCTCTGCAAGGACCTCCAGATCGTCCTCATTATACAAGGCCAAAGGGTCGTTCAAAGTTCTGTTTATGGCCGCATGCTGTCTGGCGTCGGTTAATTGCTCGATATGTCTAGGAGATGGCAACTCTTTTTCGGAATGCATATTTCCGTCGGAGCTTGTGGTGGAGGCCATAATGAAATGAAAAAGACGTTGAATATGAAACGAAGAGAAGTGAAGAGGAAAATGAGAGATATATAGTACTTGCAAGAATTATCAAGCTTTATACCTAGAGGGTGTAAGATCCTTGAAGTAGGATGTTTTGAGTTTAGTGGTAGACTACGTGCCTGAATAATCGCTCCATTTGTCATGCTTCGAGACTATTTAAACAGAAGTGTTGTTGCTAACAAGTGAAGAGGGGGTGGAACGAGAGGCCACTAATGTTGGGGTTAATTATTGCCTGCATCAACGACTAGCTTCCTGAATATCACTTCCGCTTGTAAAATAGCTGAGTAGCATAAGAAAAAGATCCGCTTCTCGAATATAAGATCGTGATCTGTTATTGATCTCTGGAGGGAATAGATCGACGATGGAAAATTGGTACTTAGGGTGAGAGTCCTGTTTTTTTTAACTTTGCTAGCCCCTTTTCAACACACGACTGACTACCAGCACTAAACGAGCATTTAAGACCTAATCATACTGCAAAGAATTCTTTGCTAGTATTGGTTATTGCTTCTTGTTTGCCTGGGCTGGATGGTCAATGGAAATACTTAATACATAGAACAATATCTTTTTTATCTGCCTGCTACTGCTTCTGAGCCCATCTAATATCATCAACAACTTGGATTGCCGCCAGACAGTTCAATGAGGGCTAAATTAGCCGTTATACATCATCTTAAAGCTAAATTGGGGCACATATGTCATGAAGCGAGAACGGTCATATTATGTAATCAGCCAAGCCGTTCTTGGCTTAATCTCCCCGGATTGACCCCCTCATTCTATTACATAAACCACTCACACCAATGTTAATGGTGTATGGAGCAGCGTACCTTGATCGTTTAGTGTTCAGGCTCTAAATACTTAGTAAGTAATGATATTCATCAGGTACTTTATCCAAGTTATAGCCCATTGAGATGTTGACACCTTGCGCTGATCCTCCGCAGATAAGTCCTCTCGATGTCTGTTCATTGATCAAGCTAAGAGCATAGGCAAGTGCCCAAGAAGTTACTTGATGCCATCTCAATATATGCCGATACCGCATCATTGCTGTGGTATTGAAACTTGTTTAATATTTATGATGATAAGGCATACATCATACCACTTTACGAAGTTTCTGAAATGCTGAGATGTGCAACAAAAATATATTTTGGCTCGTTTTTTGATTGCACTTGACTCGTTCTCTCACATTATCTAGCCAGGTCAACATGGGCTTGAAGCAGATACACGATACTAGCAGCATCTTCATGGGCTGATAATTTTTAAAGATACTCCAATGGAGAAGAACCGCAGGCACATAAGTCAAGCAGTAGTTTTGCAAGCAAAACTTATCCAGAAATTGATAATTCTACCCATCGCCACGCCAATATTGTACTCTTGCCCAAGGTGCGATTTTACCATTCTGCATTCAATATTGGTAGTTAGGGTTCTAGATTGAGCACAATTGATGAGATACTAACCTGGACAAATTGAGTTCACAATGATGAAGCGCCTCAATTGATATTAGCATTTATCAGACGAATTCGACTCTAGAGATGGATACAAGAGAGGGAAAGTTCATACTTTTCCTTAAACCTTGATGCCAACTTTTTTCATGCCCCAATATTTGGGAACATTGAAAATTGATCTCTGATCGGATATGTTACTACTATGAAGTCAGGTGAAAGTTCTACATTAGTCAAACTCTTCAAGGATTCAAATGCTTTATTTCTACTACGACGATACTCGAGTAGTCGCCTCGGATTCATCAAGGTACCCAAGTGTCTATCTGGAAGTTTATTTTCCACTATTTCCGAATGAGAATCGCCTCTCCCAACTTCCTTTCATTCGAGGTAATAGTACCAATGCCAAGGAATAAGTGGAGAGAAACACTGATCTCGAAAATGGTTCGGAATTCTTCTTTTACTAATTTTTGTTCGGTGGAAAAAGCTCCATTAGAGGAACTCAGAGAGTCAAGAAACTAGTTATCTCTTGACAGCCTTCCCCAATATGGCTTTAACACAGGCTTTCGAAGCTGATCTCCTTAAAATCCTCTGTTAATTTGTCTGCAACTACTTCTGTGGCCCCAAACGTGCTAGTGTCTAACCTAAAATCACCCGTTTGTGCAATAATGGAATGTTGTTAATATTTGGATATCATTCGACATTTCAACTGTTTGAATATTCCAATTAGAGTCAAATTAAATGCCTTTCATTGTCTCAACGAAATCCTGACCATTGGGTAGCCCGGACATCACTGCTTGCTACATCTAATAGGTGCTCTTCTTATGAGCATATAACCAAAGGAATTTTACTTATTCCATGGCTTTCACGATACTTTTGCTTATCGAGCCTTCGCTTCTCCCCCTTTCCCAAGCGATCTTCACGTTGTAACACCATATGTTTGATGGAATGGACGCATTTTGAGGAATTTCCGAGGAAATGAATGGAAAATGAAGGACCTGATTGTTGGGCAAGAATGCAGTTATGAAAAATATTACATAGTGAAGTTCGGACACACAACATGCTCTTGAAGATTTTTGGGCTCAAACATCGCGCCAACTGTATTTATAATCCTCAACAGATACCCATTTTCGACTTTTGGTTGAATTTAGCATGTAAAAAGATCTCCATGAATACAAGATTATCAAAGCAATGAGTTCTACATTGGGAATTAAAGGAATTAAGAAGTAATGTACTTCCTCTCCGGACTATAGCCTCGCCATCAGCCTTGTAGCCTCGCCAAAAGAATTTCCACTAGGCTGGCTCTCAAAAAGAATATTGCACAGCATCCCCAGCAACCCAATCATCTCACAACTTCTTCCCAATTTTCGAGATTGGTCGCTTTCAAGAAGTGTGTCTTCTCAAAATGCCACCTTCTTCCACTCAACCTCTTCTTCTTTCGCCCGCCGAACTCTCTTACCTCCACACCTCACTATCCCTCAACCCTCCAATCCGCCCAGACGCCCGTACTTCTACTCAATTTCGACCCCTCATCGCCGAATGTGATGTTCTTCCCGGCACAAATGGCAGTGCGCGCATTTGTTTCGCAGATGGTACTGAAGCTATCGTGGGTGTGAAGTGCGAAGTTGAAAAATCACGTCCGACTTATCAGGGTGCTGAATTCAGTACTTCAGAAAATGATGATGATGAAGAAGAGGATGAAGATATGAGGGAAGCGATCGAAAAAGAGAAGATGGAGAGGGAACAAAAGGGCGAGAGAGATTGGCTGGAGTTGAGCGTCGAGATTCCCGGGTTTAGAGATGATGATAGTATGCCTGTTTTTATGGCAGCTATGTTGAGCGAGGCGCTGTTAGCAGATGCAGAGTTTACGGCGAGATTATGGATTAATTCGAGGTTTCATTGGAAGATATATGTTGATGTGAGTTAGCTTCGCCTATTCACATTCGAATTCTTACGGCTTTTCCGATTTTTAATTTTTGCAAAAGCTAACAATATACTAGATTTTACTACTTTCACAACCACTGTCCTACCCATTACCCCTCCTCTCGCTAACAACCCATCTCGCACTCCTATCCACTCGCCTCCCTCGTCTCAAATCCGAAGGTGATGAAGATCCTCTCTTCGACGATGATTGGGAAGCTTCTGTCTATTTGTATCCTCGAACACCACAATCGACCAATTCTCGACCCCCAATCACACTTCTCGTCATATCTGTGGGCGATAATATAATTTTCGACCCTAGCAAAGAGGAACTTACAGTTGCTGAAGCTGTATTAGCTATCACAATTGGAGAAAAAAGACGGAAGGACAGCGATGTGGACATGGATTCTAGTGTTGCAAGAGATTTGAGGTTATTGGCTGTGAGGACTGTGGATTTACCGGCCAGATTAACGGCGCCTGGTGTACCGAATACGATGAACACCGCTACTGGAGGTGCGGCGGCTGAGACGACGGATTTAGCATCTACTCAGAGGGAGACAATGAAGGAAGGAGGCGTTTGGCAACCACCGAGAGGAGGAATTAAGAGAAAATTGGTTGCGACTATCATCGCAAAGGTCATGGAGCGCGGAGGCGTCTCAGAAGAGGTATTGGATGGATTGGAGAATGTGGAGCTGGCCTAGTTCGTGATTTTACAAGGAATTTTCTACAATGATACCCTTCTTCTTCCACATGTACAATATCTCGTCTCATTTGACTTGATGCTAGAACAACGTTCTAGCCTGAATTCAAAACAAATTGGTATCAAAATTTCCATCCGCCTCTCACCAAATTCCCAGCCATTTCTTCCCCGAAAATTGTTTCTGATAGACCACTTTCTTCTCCCCTTGCCCTTCCCCTTCCTCTCTCATCTCCCCAAGACTCTCCGCTGCTGTTCCGGCGATCTCAGCTTCCTTCTCATCTCCCAACTTGATGCCTGGTCCCATAACCTCTTTATCAGTCTTAGCAGTCCAACCGCCAAACCCTTCATCTTTATCCAATCCATGCGCCTTTCTATATGCAGCCCTTTTCGCAACATCCTCTACCTTATGCTTTCTCCTTTCCATTGTCTCTGCTGTCACATGCGCAGTATGCAGCTGTAAAACTTCATAACATGTTCTTGTAAATGCTATTGGGTGAAGAAAAAGTTGTTGCCACTCTGGTAACATGTCTCCGAATGGAGAATCGCGTTTGAAGTTTGTTATCCAGACACCTCCTGCAAGCGTGGAGAGCGTGCCCTGCAGTTCTGTGTTAGATTCATGTTTTAAGGAAGAAGAAAACAAGGAAGAAGAAAACAAGGAAAAGGCGCGGGGAAGTACCAGCGCAATCCATATGTGAATGGATTTGTTATTGAGAAACCAATGCAAAAAAGTTCCTTCTGGCGGCATCATATTTGGATATTTTTTCACACTCTGTCTGGCTATCTCTTCGGCGCTCAATTGGGGACCTGGATACCGAGGAGGGTCTCTGCGAATACGGGCAGGATGAGAAGGGGGATTGAATTTGGTGGGCTTCTCAAGAACGAGGGGTTTGCCAGACTGTTTGGATGCATTGTTCTTGGGTTTGGAGGAAGCATTGCGAATGGTCGTTTTGGGAGATAGAGACCAGAGGGGAGACCGGCGCGGTAGAAGAAATCTGGGTATGGAGGTTGTGGGAGGCATTGCGAATAGTAGACGGCGATAAAACTTCTCTGATCGTGCTTGATAAAGTAAATAGAGTCACATTGATTGATCAAGCTTCTCACACATTCACAATCCCCTCCGCAATACGTCAACCTACAAATCACTCTCAAGCAGATAAAAATTTCCAGAATTCCTCCGAAACATCCCGAGCGGCGCCACATGACCTGACCATTTACTTTGTTCCTATTGGGTGAGGACGTTCGGAAGTGTGGCTTGCCTATGACCTCGTCAATTTCGGGATCCAAAAAATTAAGCTAATAGAGATGTCTTATGCGGAACGTACATATTTCAAGATTTGTTTTTCCTTTCCTTTTTTTTGTCCTCATATTATTTTAAAAACCCTCTTAACCATCCTCACGACTTTACGGCCACCTTACAACCTTCGTTCAAGTCATACATAATTGCTTTCTATTCTTTCACATACATCCTCTTAATTAGTTAAAATGGGTTTCAAGCCAGGTATGTTTATGTTTATTTCCATTTTCAAGCAATTTCCCACTTTCGCCGGATGTGAATCGACAGCGAGGAAATTTGCCATTGGGAACTACGAGATGCGAATTTGGTCTTGGGATTCCATAACGGTATTGTCAGAGTGGTGAAGATAGTCGGGCTGCCTTTGGAGAAGGCGTACCTGTCTTGTTGTGAGGGGGTGAAGTTTCGTTCTCCATGCCGCCACTTGACAAGTCAACTCTATTCTCCGCTCTTTCAAGTGTCCCAGCACTACCCATAAGCTTCTACAAAGACATAAGGAGTCGGCAGCATCTCCCTACTCTCACATGGCATTGGATCTCTGTTCAAATTCCAGTCGCCACTCTGGGCGACGTGAAACTATTACTTTCTCGGCACAGGCGTGAAGGATACACACTTACAACTTTCTACTACAGGAGACGCAAAGAAGGGTGCCAACCTCTTCAAGACCAGATGTGCCCAATGCCACACTCTCGGCGAGGGAGAGGGAAACAAGATTGGCCCTAACCTTCACGGTCTTTTCGGACGTCAAACCGGTTCCGTTGAGGGCTACTCATATACCGATGCCAACAAGCAAAAGGCTATCACATGGGACGAGAACACACTTGTATGTTTCTATACCACGCCGGCTGCGATTTCACAGTGGATGGAGCAATTTCTGACATGAACCACAGTTCGAATATCTCGAGAACCCAAAGAAATACATCCCCGGTACCAAGATGGCTTTCGGTGGATTGAAGAAGGACAAGGACAGGAACGATTTGATCCAGTACGTTTGCCTCCACTTACACTCAGACTTTTCAGTCTTTTCAACATCCACTGCTTCTATGATGATTTTCTTATTCGTTAAACTTCTTACGTCTACCATGACTATGAGGATACAACATTATATTCCAATTGTTCCTTCTGAAAGTTCAGCTTAAATCGTTTACTTCATGCGACATTTCACATAGCAGAAGCTAATCATCTCCACAGACACTTGAAGGAGGAGACCAAGTAGGGGATTTCACGACTATTGTATACATAAGATTAGACGCAGCGGCTTGTACTCTAGGTTAGACAAATGTTCTCGGGTTAGAAGGAATTTGGGTCAAGCTTTTTTTTGACCAACCAAAATACAAAATACAAACAACCAAACTCCTCTTCATATGTCTTCCATCAAGCACTCTCTAATGTGACATGATTTGCACCTGATTCCATAACTATTACTGTGAATTGTCCATACATTTGTTTTCATCTGAACTTTGCAAATTTCTAGCGCGGTGAGTCAACCAACATCCATGACACGAAGTTAATGGCCAGCAAACATTTTGCCTGCTTGCCATTATTTTTTACGTCTGACCTCCACTTCCAGCGACTCGGAGGAGACAAAAAAGCTTCGCACATAACCAATTCATGGCTGGATTTCCAACTCAACCAACTAACATTCCGCTGCTTTTCAACATCATCCCATGTCCTCATGTTGCCAAAGCCCACCTATCCAGCAGCAAAATCAATATGAGCCTTCTCCTCTGGTCTTTCAGGTAATGATGCTTTATCGCCAGTGATAACCTCAGGTGAGGATTTAAATTGGATATTTGAATAGATTTTCTCGGCGCCGGTTATACATTGCATGTTAGCTCCGAGCTTATTCATGGTTTCCATCCATTCGTCGTAAGGGTCTGAGTCGTGCACTATGCCGCCGCCTGGAAAAGGTGTTATTTTATGGGTGATGAAGATGGAGGGATGCGTAAGCCATGTGTGTTATTTGGGGGGTGGGAATAGGGCTAAAGGATGACATACCAGCTTGCAAGTAGGCAACTCCATCTTTGACCATCATGGTTCTTAGCGCGATACATGTATCCATCTCTCCTTCGAACTCATTTCCATCGGCATCTACACTTCCATATCCGAAATACCCGACTGCGCCTGCATATACACCTCTCTTCTCCTTTTCTAATTCAGCTATCAATTCCATAGCCTTAACTTTTGGTGCACCAGATACAGTACCCGCAGGGAAGATGGAACGGAATGCATCAAAACGAGTTTTGTCTTTCCTCAACACTCCCGAGACTTGTGAAACCAAATGTTGCACGTGACTGAATTTCTCAACAACCATTAATCGATCTACGCGAGTAGTCAGGGGATCGCATACACGGTTGATGTCATTACGTGCTAGATCGACAAGCATGACGTGTTCAGCGCGGTCTTTGAGGGAACTACGTAATTCTTCGGCAAGGGCTTCGTCGATTTGAGGATCCGGGTTGCGTTTAACGGTACCAGCGATGGGATGGGTTATCACGCGACCATCTTCGGCTTTGACTAGAAGCTCTGGGGAAGCTCCTACAATTTGGAAGTCACCGCAATTGACGTAGAAGAGGTACGGCGAAGGATTCACTGTACGTAGATGACGGTATATATTGAAGGGGTGGAGAGAAGTTGGTCTGGCGAAGCGCTGAGATGGTACTGCTTGGATAATGTCACCAGATTTGATATGGGTTTTGAGTGTTTTGACGTGCCCCTCATAACCTTCCCTGCCGATATTTGAAGTGTATTCGTTGTCCAGCTTTATAGGTGGTTGAGCAGGTAATGGTGTGTCTTGCGATTCGAGAACGGACACAACTTCGTCGATAATCTCATGTGCTTTCTCGTACTCTACAGGAATTTGCGTAAAGTCTTCCGGAACATAAAGATATGTAATAACTTTGATAACTCCAAAAAATCGATCGAATGCGACAATGGTATCGAACAGCATAAAGACTGATTCGGGCACTTTGAGAACATCCTTCATAGGTCGGGCAGTTTTGGGCTCGAAGTATCGGACACAGTCGTATCCAACATATCCAATGGCTCCTCCTGTCAAAGGTGGTAGTTTTTGTCCCGGAATCTGTGCTACCCTACATTTTGACAACTCTGCCTCGAGCGCCGGCAATGGGTCCACTTCTTCGCCATGTCCTTCACCAGTTTTGAGTACTTTTCGAGGCCCAGCTCCTATAAAACTATATCTGCCAACCTTTTCTGTAGCAGCACTTTCAAATAAGAAGGAGTGGCCGGACTTTGAATGCGCCGAGATTTTGAGGTATGCGGCGGAGGGAGTAATGAGATCGGAGGATATTTCCTTATAGATAGCAACTAAATTGGGAGCGTATGGCCTTCCTCTAGATTTTGAAAGCACATCTGATAATTCCGCCAAAGATGGCGAGATGTCCTAATTGCTTGTGAGCTGTTTTGCCAATTTTGGAGGAGTCATAGTCTAACATACCCCCACCACCATATTGTATGAGAAAGTAGATTGAAAGGGAAAACTGAGCAGGAGAGATAGAGGAACTGATGTTTAGTAGGAGTAAACGATAGAAAGAGTGTGAAAGTAGTATTCCAGATAAATAGATCACAATCCTTTGTAAGTTGTGTCAAAAGTTCATCGTAGGATATAAACTGCCCCTCAATTAACCTAACCGTGTATGTAACCCTACCTTTTTTGGCAGCAAAGGCGGTGAAATGTGGCAGGATCTCTCATCAAAAGTTCTACGGAGCACTGTAATAATGCTAACCTCGTTTACAACTTCGGGGTAGAGGACGGCTATCACGTGAATGGCAGCCCAACCGTGGCAGCCGAAGACGTTTCCACATTTCCACCCCACTACTAACGACACGACGATAGCTATTGAGATCTACCATTGGTTTGTATGAGGATTTGTGCATCTGTTGAACACGCATTTCATAGATTCGTAGCGCATACCGGGTACACGTGAAACTTTTGCAACAAAAATGAAATTCTTGGATGCTTGTTGGGTCATAGCGCCTATAATGACTTCCTGCATGTAATACCGTACCAAAGATGAATATCCTGGGTTTACGTCGCCATTTCACCTCCCCTCTATCGTTTACGGACGTTGATGCTGTGCCAACTTCCCCTTCAAATGTCTCGAATCAGGACTCGCAGGACAACAAGGATGTGTTACTACAAAGACTCAATGACCTCGTGGTCAGATTGTCACATGATGATGCCGAGGATGCTGCCATCACTGCATTGCACAAGAAGACGGATGAGATGGAGACGCTGTTGAGAGTGGAATATTCTATGGATTTGGATCCGAAAGTATCTCACAATAAAGTCAAACCACCGCCGCGGCGAAGGGACTCCAATGATATATTCTGGGGGCGACCACTCAACACCAGACGGGAAAGCTACCTCCGACGGCCAAATTCTCCCACACCGGTATCCCGCAGTGCTTCATATAATAGGCCTGTAGTGGTGATCTCCAAAGCTGCTGAGATAGCAACATCAGCTGAAGAGTTGAATGTGCGACTTGCCAAAGCAGTGGGCGAGCTTCAAGCTTCTAGGATAGAAAGCGATGTAAGTTTACATGCATCAATTAAGTTTAGATTTTAAGATACGGTCACTCATGTATTCTATGTAGAAGATTCTAGCTTGGCACGTCGCGAGGTTGGACTTATGCACGGAAGAAATCACTAATTTAGAGGAACACATTTCGAATCTGTAGGTGTTGGTTCTCATTTCGTCTTGTCCCTTTTCATCCCTTGCATTTCTGCCTTACATTTTCCTTGACACTAAGAATTTTCTCCATCAACTCAGCCAGGAAGAACTGGAAACCAGTCGATCACTACTCAACCGTACCCAAATCGATATGCAAACTATGGCAGCAAAACACGCAAAAGCTCTGGACGATATCACTTGGAGGGAGGACTGGGATGAACTTAACCAAGATATGGATATGAGAGGTAATAGCAGTATAGGAGTGTGGGATGACTCTTCCGAGTTCCCTGACGAGTAAAATATCAAGTGGATGAGTTTTTTTTATGTCCGATGACCTATCGGATGGGTGGCAGCCTTGGCTCTACGTCTGTACACAAATTTGCGAGAAGCATAGGAGTTGGGGAAATATCGATTACGCATAGAATTCATCAGGTCAGGGGATAGTCGGTTGTTGTTCAATCTCACCCTAACCATCCATTATCTGGGTCAAGTGGTCGCTCCGCAAGCTTGTTTGCAGGCCATACGTTTCTTTTGGATACGACGAATCAGGGTTTCTAAAAATCCAAACTGCAGTACAACAATGAAGCTCTGGATTCACGGATTTGATTGAAAGATGAAACTAAATTGAAAAATTGAAATGTTTTGAAATATTAAACCTGTGGAAAATAAATACATTCAGGTGATCAGATGATTCTTTTGAGATTCATAGCTTTTCAAGCTTTGGGACTTCGAATTTGGTTTACTATTCTGGACTATGGCATACTCTGGAGAGTTTCAAGTAGCTACGGTCCTCAGGGCGGCAATTCCTTCTTATTGAGATCAAATTTTTCGGATGCTTTAAAAGGGACGACTCCACATGTACTTGGGATAGTAGACCTTCATGTTGTTACCAAATTCATTCCTCATCACACATTACTTCTAGGTATCAACATAATATGTCCAATCCTTCGCCATCCAACCCATGCTCACCGTCGCTATAAATGGATGGTTTAAAACATATTTTGTAGCATTCTGAAAACAATTCATTCAAGAGCCGAGCCAGAAGAAAGCAGATATTTGATACACAATGCTAATTTGATCAATACTAGAAATTTGGTACCAAAGCCTTCATTTATACCTCCAGCGCCTCAGTCATCCACGACGCAGTCAGTGATTTAGTCGAAGCCGACGATACTCACCCTTAGTCTTTATTTATCCCCAACAAAAGAACTCTATTCCCATTCCAAAGCACTCGGCAACGAACTGGTCCTCAAACACAACGATCCTACCCACGGCTTCCTCACAACTTGTATCCGACCTCTGGAATCTTCGGAGGAAATGATCCCTGCTCTGTAAAATCCTTCGCTGAAAGAGCCGCTACGGGGAAACTTAAAATCTAAATTGAAGATTGGAAAAATCTCTTCGATTTCACCTACGTGGGTAATGTCATCGATGCTCAGATTCTAGCTGCGCAGAAATTATTGCTTCATCTTGAATCTCCTGTTAAAGATGAATCTATGCGTGTTGATGGCCAGGGATGCCTCATCACGAACGATGAACATATTCCCTTCTGGGAATTTGCCCGCGCAATTGATGAAGCGGCAGGACATCCTACTCGAGAAGAAGATGTGAAGTCGGTGCCGAAGATGGTTGGACTTTTTATGGCGATTGTTGCTGAGTGGATGGTGTGGATTCTGTCGTTTGGACGGAAGAAGTCGAGGGTTAATCGGGTGGGTATTGCATACAGTTGCATGACGAGGACATACCGGATTGATAAGGCGAAGAAGGCTTTGGGATATGAGCCCCGTGTTAGTTTGGAGGAAGCTCTCAGGCGTAGTGGAGGGTCATTTGCGGTGAAGAGTCAGAAGAAGGATTGACCTGGAGGTTCAGTGCATGGTTGCTCTTAAATATGTAACTATTAACCACTTAATCATAGAGTGAAACAGCTCGACACGAATCTCTACGTCTGAATGTACTTTTGCAGTAATCTTGATCATGTGATTTCAGTCCTAGTAATACATCCAAACATACCCATACCACACTTTGTTCGACAAAACTTCACTTGATGTCCAACTTCTCACTTTAAGTGACGTTTCATAGTGGCTTTTTGGACTGAATATGATATCCTAGTGCTGGCTGCCACTTCAGCAAATCCCATCACTTCCCCTTTACCTCAACATAATCAGACTGTTCTTGAGAGCGACAGATTCCTTTCTGTAGCAGGAGCTTTCTTGGCCATCTCTTCCTCCTCCTGTCACTGCTTCCCTCTCCTCTTCAATCAAGTCTCATCAAACTTGCAATTGCTTTCCCCTAGACAACAAGAAAGGTAAAAAGACAGTGCAAAAAGAAATGTGACATACAACAGTGGGGATTCGCTGGTGGTCACCCACCCAACTACTAATCCACCGATCTGAAGCTTGTGTATGGCAGAGCGGACGGGATGCCCAATTCTCTTCAGTCTATGGTCGTATGTGTCTATGAGTTCATCTTGTGAGGATATAATGAACTTTGAATAATTATCGCTAAGCTTAGCGCTACTCTCATCCTGCCTAGAGCTCCACCACTCCGTCTCAACTCTCACTTTTATTTTCACTTTCGACCGGACTATTTCAAATTCCAAAAAACACATCCATCCTTCATCTTACATTCGTAATTCAGCTGGAGTTATTCATCTCTTCATAAATATCTTGGTAACGAGTATATCATCGTTGACCTCAAGCTTCTTTAATCTCCAGTCAATTGTCAACTCGATTCCGACCCGGAGGCACAGATAGTATTACCTCTTTCATCGTAGTTTTCCGTATTGTTTGTCCATTCAGGTTCATTGAGACAGTGAGTATCCCTCTTCTAGAATGATGATCATATTATGGCAGTGGAAAACGTGGGAAGGTCTGAAGTATGACAACTGAATTCTTGTACCCAGCTTTAGTTTTAACTTCACTCGTCCAAATTCTCATCTGGAAACCCTTCAGAACTTTTATTTACAACGCTCAAGTTTCACACCAATTGTAGGATATTATCATTATGGCCGTCACAGCTTCACTTTGTGGTGATGCGAGTGAGCATGAGGCAAGTTTTTGTCTCAGTGTCCTGCATAATAAATAACTCATTGACACTTGTCGTACAGAGTCATATTATCGATATCGATGAAATCCAGGCACATGGTAAGCTATACAAAGCTCTTGACTTTTCTCTAATTTTGATCTCTAATGGAAACAGGTATCTCTGCTGCCGATATTGCAAAATTGAGAACCAACGGTATTCATACTGTCGGGGTAAGAACATCTGGTTGGCCATCAAAGAGCGGCTCACGAAACGGTAGCTGACCTCCTTTCAGACCCTCATTGGTACAACCAGCCGAAAATTGGTCAGAATCAAGGGATTCTCTGACATAAAAGTTGAGAAAGTTAAGGAAGCTGCAAAGAAAGTAGCCGTAAGTACCTAGTCCCGCACATTCTTGTCCTCCCATATGCTAAGAGAGAAACAGGGTCCCAATACTGGTGGACAATTCGTCACTGCCGCTGAGCATGGCCACTTTCGGAAGAAGTGTATCAGAATTTCTACTGGTAGCAAGCAGTTGGATGCTTGTTTAAACGGGTGAGTTAATCCTCGTGACATTTGAATTAGACAGCTGAGTTTTGGCAGTGGCTTCCAAACCATGAGCATTAGTGAGGTATTTGGAGAATTCAGTGAGTTCACCGAAAACTTTGAGAGATGTATCTCGCTAACGGTTGCCAGGATGTGGCAAAACTCAGTTGGCACATACACTGGCAGTTATTGCCCAGCTTCCTAAGAATATGGGTGGAGCCGAAGGAAAGGTGGCATATATTGGTATAAAACTGACAACTTCGATACTCTTGGTGAATACCGGCTGAAATTACATTCTAACAGATACGGAGGGCACATTTCGACCAGAAAGAATTGCGGAGATTGCAGAACGATTCGGTGTTGACCCTGATCAAGCGCTCGAGAACATCGTCTATGCTCGTGCGCAGAATACGGAGGTATGTATGCTCATGTTTGCTTGAATTCGACTGATACACTCCACTTACCATAATTAGATGCAACTAGAATTGCTCGAAGGCCTTGCCCAAAATTTCGCAACTGATGAATATCGCCTTCTGATCATTGATAGTATCATGTCTCTATATCGTAGCGACTTCATCGGACGTGGTGAGTTGTCTGAGCGACAAAGTGCCCTCAATGCCTTTCTTCGTAGAGCAACACAAATGGCGGAGGAATTCAATCTTGTTGTCTTCATGGTAGGCTTCCTTTTCCAAATTAGAGATTCAGACTGACACTTTCCAGACCAATCAAGTCATGTCGGATCCAGGAGCAAGTGCCCTTTTTGCCGGAGCTGATGGACGTAAGCCTGCTGGAGGACATATACTTGCACATGCGTCGACAACCAGAATCCTTCTTCGAAAAGGTCGTGGAGAGGAACGTGTTGCTAAAATTGTAGATTCCCCTGGTAAGTTTATCTTTGACTTATCTTAGCCACTTGTTCTAAACAGTGCAAATCAGATTGCCCGGAATGTGAAGCAACATATATTATTACCACCGGCGGTATCAACGACCCTGAAAAGGCCTAATGATGTTCATTTGCCTCAAAGTCACACATACATATACCTCATATACATAATTACGACCTTGAATTATCGGAGATCATTATTGCTTGGGTTGGGCGTAATAGCATGAAAGGACTGAATGGATAGATAGTGGCATACTCTGGTGTATTTCTATTGCAAATCGGAAAAAGGATGTAAGGTTAGAAAGGCTGGAGAGAGAATTCTCGTTTGCTTTGGTGGTCAGTGGTCATGCACCCGTAGCTCGGGCTTAGGTACTAGTTTAGCGTCCTTCGATTAGATAAGTCATAGACCCCTGCCAATTATTTTTGCTTTCAAAAAAAGTTCCAAAGACAAGCTCAATTGAACAATCTACCTCGATATCACTTCACGCGCAAATTCTGAAATCCCTTTTCACATACACGCATGGTCTAGATAGATATAAATTATCAAAAAATGTCGAAAATACCAACAATCATAGGCGACAATTATACTGTCCTTCCCGTCGCAATTCCTTCTACACCCGCATACCCCGTCACATCAACACACCATATATATCTGCGACAACATGCTCCAAAGATACCGACCGAGAATGATTCGCGGAGTCTATTTGCAACAAATTTACCTATCGATTCAACAGATGTACATATTCGAAGCATATTTGCAGCTTTAATAGGAGTAGGAAGAGTTGAAGGTGTACGATTCGATGGAGAAAAGGAAGAGATCACTGAACAGCAACAAATCGAAGCAGTTTCGCAGAGCAAGAAAAGGAAAAGAGGAAGCAATATCCAAATTGATACTAGTTTACCACAAGGATGGGATAGGCAATTGCGCCTTAAGGGACGAACAGCTGTGGTTCTACTTGTAGATGAAAAGAGCGTAGAGTTAGTTCTAAAAGCTGCACGAAAAACTTGCAAATCCGGAAAAGAATCAAAATATCCGGTTTGGGGAGCAGGTACCGAGGGCAAAGTGCCCGCTCTTGGTAGCGCGCGTTATGCTAAGAGGCAGGAATTACGATTCCCTGACAAATTAGCGGTACAAAGAAGTGTGGATGCTTTTATGACGAATTTTAATAGCAAGGAAGAGGAAAGGGAGAGAGAAAGGAAGAGATTGAGGAATGTACCGGATGAGGATGGATTTGTGACGGTAGTGAGGGGTGGAAGGACGGGTCCAGCGAGAAGTGAAGCGGCGGAAGAAAAGAGGAGAGAGATGGCTGAGAAAGAGGAGAAGAGGAGAAAGGAGTTGGAGGACGCAGGGTTCTATAGGTGGCAAGGACGAGAAAAGCGAAAGAAGGAGGTTGGAGAGCTGGTTAAGAGGTTTGAGGAGGATAGAAAGAGGGTGGAGGGTATGAGAGAGAAAAGAGGAAGGTTCAGACCCGAGAGATAATGAAGTTTGAGATTTCAATAACACCACCTTGGACTGGAGATCAAAGAATTCTGCTCATGAGGTATGTGACATAATCTTTTTACTGGTCAATTTTCATCTCCTGTTTTCGTGATGACACCGCGGGGCCATAAAAGCATGTTCTTCCATCGGGCCAATTCCTGATGGCTTGGAACATGCAATGACTACAAAAACCGCAATAAAAAAATCTTCTCAATATTGTCTGATAAATCGCACATAATTACAATTATCCACATATCACTCTACTCGACTTGATCAGTTTTACTAACTCCATAGCTCGAACATAGGCTCATTCTCAGGTATGCCTTGATCATCGAATTGAGGAATCTCACACGTCCGATCTCACCTGAATCACCAAGCCTTTCCATACACGCTTTAGACAAAGCATTTGTTGGCTATATATATACATATATAATCCCACAATTAGCAACAACATAATTAGTCCTAGCTTAAGACCATACCATACATGACTTCAGTTCACTACCTACCTACCTAGGTACCTAAATAAAATCTCAAAAAATTTACCCAAAAATGCACTAACTATAGCATTGTTTTTCCCCTTCTTCCGCAAACAAAGAAATATATCAAAACTCCATGTAAGTAAGTAAGTAAAATCTTACCCATTTCCCATTTCTCAATTCTCATCGCTGAAAAACTGAAAGAATTCCTGTTTCCGTTTCTGTTTCTGTTTTTGCTGCGACTATCTATAGCTTCAGTAACCTCAAGTATGACTTGATAGCTAGCTAGCTACGGTAGCTAGCTACCTTTCAGACTTTGTTTTGTTCTCTATTTTCCCTTTGTTTATTTGTTCTCTTTGTTTAATTGTTCTCAGCACATACCACATAGGAAAAAGAGGTATTGTATAACATATTGATCAACTTCAGGAACCAGAGACTTCGAAACCCAAGATCCAAGGATTGGTTGGCATGGCATGACTGGGCGTGTATTGGGAGATTCGGTTTTCTTTGTCTTTTGTTTATGTTTAAGGGGAAGAATACAGAGGGGCGGTTAATGCTCTCTCTCCCTCTGTGTCTATTCAAGTGAGAAACAAGTGAACCACAGTTCAGGTGCGGAACAATGTCTTTTTTTTTCTTTTGGCTGGTTTATATAAACTGATTTAATTGTGATGCGCTTTCTTTTTTTCTATCTTCCTCTCTAATCTCTCAATTGCATTCATTTTTATCATTCCTTGTCCCAATATTCGTACTTTCTCTTCTGCCCCGGGTTGTAAGATTACTCCCTTCTCTGCCCCCTGCTCTGCTCCAAGTTGTACTACTGGATCCATCATCTAGCAATCATGTGCCATTGCACCAACATCAACTACTCCTGCAAACACTGGGGTGGACGAAAAATTACTTTGCCATGTCAATGGGCAAAGAAAAACGCTAAGACCGGCTGCTATAACGTCAAACCACCGGAAGGAGTCGTGCATCTCGACTACATGTGCGACTCCTGCAAATTCAGAGAAAACCTCGGAAGCACGTCACCATTTACGCACGTGGGCATCGATGGAATCCGACGACCGCTAACGAGAGATAGCATAGCAGAAAGTAAACCAGAAGGAACGATAGAGAAATTGAAGGAAGCGGAAGCAAAATCCGCAAAGGAGGAAGCTGAGAAAATAAGGAAAGAGATTCAGAGGAATAATCTGGAGAAGATAAGAAAACAAGATGCCGATGAGAGGAGGGAGGATCTTTTAAAGAATGTTCAGGAGCTCGATGAGTGGTTTGATGCGATTTTGGAGGAGCAGAGGAGGATATACAAAATCAAGAAGGGGGAGTTGCAGGAGCTGTATGCGGCGTTTGGGGATAATCTGGGGATAATTTAGGCAGAGAGACGGAACGGGACGGATCTTGAGGAGTAGAGTGGAGATGTGAGAGTCGGCGGCTGGACCGTTTTGGACTTGATCTCTCCTCTTTTTCGCTTCCCTTGGGATTTGGTGCTGTTCCTCGTGCCCAGGTGAGTGTCCTTGTTTGGTTTTGACCGTCTGTGACGCTACTTCTTTATTTTTGCTCCGCAATCTTTCGCCATTTCGATTTGTTCGGCGGATGCAGTGATTGGAATGCTTTCGACGGTCCAACCAATTCTATGCTCAAATTATCCTATTAAGTGGTCCTGGAGACTACGTCCATTTCCATCATTCTATCGTCCTTTCGGGACATACTTTCAAGTTGCCGAAGAGCTGGTCAACTCTCAGTTTCACTTCGCTTCCCTCTGATCAAGGCTTCTTTGATTGCCATGTTTTTCTTAAGAGATCGAAAATGTTGTGACTGGAGGATCTTGGATAGATATCGAGAACCCTGAGAGCTCTCAACAATTCAAAAAAGAAAGAAAGAAAATAGCAACTCAATTCAATAATGCAATACACTTATATTGTACAAATGACCATGGAAATACATTGTCCCATGAAGTGAAGAGTCGAAAAACACTGGAACATGTGAGGTTACTGTATATCCCATACTCACACATTGCGATCCAACTTCATCGAATGACTGACAAGACTCACATCTAACTTATTCCAGACCCAGCTCCGTGTATTGAGATTTAGGGTTTTCGACATTTTCCCCTTTCTGGGTAAACCTCTGCCTCATTGTCATCAATCATATCTTCGTTAAAGATCCGGCTGCATTTACCACCAATTCCTACGTAAACACGATCCAATTTAAGACTACCATTGGTATCAAAACTTATATCCATATATGCCCGTTACACCGTTTTTGCGCCAATACCATTCATAAATACATGATCTTATAGCGTCCGGTGTCGCGGTGTATACGATGTTTACTCATTCGATTCTTCATTTGCGGATGGTTGTAACATTGGCGCATGCTCTGTAGGTATTCGGACTAGAGTCTGAGGTAAAGGTACTTCAAAGCCTGTTTTTTGTTCTGATTCCTCCTGCTTATCGTTTGATTCTTTTGGTTTTGGTATTTTCACTAGTCATTTTAGAAGACTGCTGTTGGAAGAGAAGTACCTTGTGACCTACTAGATGCCATACTGATGGCCTGCAGAACATTGTGCCAGTTCCCCAAAACTGTTGCGACAGCTTCTGTTCCATCCGAAAGAGTCGAAAGCTTCTCTTCTAACATTTGCATCTGTCCAGCTAGCCCTGCACTCAAATCTCGCAATTGCTTCAGATTCTCTAGCTCTGCCCTCTTTTCGTTGATGCGCGCCTGCAACATGGGGGATTGACCAGAAGATGAGCCTAGACCACCACCCATTGAGGGTTGTCGTAAATGTGAACCGAGGGGTCGAGATGAGTATGACATTATTGTGATCTTTGCTTTCCACGGATCTTAATGCAGAGAGATGGAGTATTTCAATATTTGTGAACGAATTTGACATGAATTAAGTTTCTCCATTCATGAACAACAACAATGCGGGCCTGCGGGACTGTGGTAGCCCTATCAACTCACACACAAGGGTCCACTTTTCTGACACTAGCGTCAATATTCTCAACCTAACCTTTTTGGGTTCGATGTAAACAAATCAATTTACCTTATTTTCCTCTGTGCACAAACACTCTGCTATGTGGTAGAAATTGCTGTTATTTTCTACAGACCCCTCATTGTAGCTTCCAAACTTATCAGGATAATCTTCAATTTTTCTCACATTTTTCTCATACTCTACAACAAATCATATTCCATTGCCGCATGCATTGCCAGCTCACATGGCCCGCTTAAATGAGCCTGCAGCTTCGCTGGAGAGTTTGGAATCTCGTGAGTTTCTAAAATCGCTCCATGACAGTCGGGAAAAAATGGAGATGCATCTTTCTGACGCAATAATAGTCAAGCGCAAGTACAAACGTCAAAATCGAGATATAGCATCTGTCAATTCCTCACAAGCGGTTCGAATTCGGATCCTAGAAAATGAAACCTCTAAACTTCTTGCTGAGAATCTCGAGCTCCGGGAGGAAAATTTACGTCTTCGAAGCGAAATTGATAATGGAAAAGCCCGGAGAGTCGCAGATCGAGTAAATGTGGTCAAATCACAGCTGGAAGAGAGATTATTGGAGATTGGGGTTTTGATAAGTGGTTTGGGAGAGGAATCTCCACCGAGGAAAAGGTCACCACATCTTCCAAGGCAATTAGGCGGATTGAGATCGAGCTCAAATCCACCTCGTAGCCCACAGGAGAATAAATGGGAAAACATGTCTCCCTTGAATGAGAACGGTACAAGTCCAGAGCGCAAAATGCCCCCAAGGAAGAATGTGGCTTCGCTGAGTGAGGACATTGGTAGTCCAGACGGCAAACTACCCCCAATTTTGGAGAACAAATATTATCCCAGGAGGACTTTGGAGTATGTTTCGCATTCCTTGATTTGATTATACATGCTAACAATACACAGACATCATGAAATTGAGAATATGCTAGCTGAAGTGGGAACAGAGACTACAGATTCGCCAGATATTGGCCCACCACCGGTATCACAGTTTGTGGACGAGGACCCTGTAAAGATCGATTTGCCAGAAAAAGTACCTCGCGAGAAGGAAGAGGATCCTTGTCTAGAGCCGATAATATCAACGAACCTTGAGCAGAGAAAGAGGCGCAAGGATAGTATAATGGCTTCTGACATCAAAAGGAACAGCCGATCAGAACCTTCACAGGCAAAACGGGAGACTACAGGGATACTCAAGTCCGGGGCAAAGCGTAAGCTCAGTGCAAGAGATGACGAGGAATTGGAACCTATAAACGTCGACGATACTGATGATTTCCAATTCACACGCGTGTCTTCCGAGGAACGAACGAAGAACAGACCGGTGGTCTCATCAGCTAAAGAGAATACAAAGTCGTTGAAAGATGTTACTGGCTCTAAAGCATTATCCAAAGATAGGCCGGCTCTGCCTCCAAACACCAGAAAGGTCCTGGCTGCCAAAAGTGTCAACAGTTCTCCCAAGAAAAGCGCTAGCGCCAGGAATTTGATTCATGATGGCATTAAGCCAGGAAAAATGAATATTTTCAAGGAGAGCCTGACAAAGGAAGTTCAGGTCGAGGATAAGAAAGTGGAAAGTATTGAGCCTGGTTCACAAATCGTTCAACCTCAACTGCAGGCTTTCAGTATCCAGCAGGAACCCGAGACGCCTGCACCAATCGATATCTTTTCACCTCTTTCGTCGCATCCATCAACAGCCTTTCGAATGGAATCTCGGGACACTCCACCGCCTTCAGAGATGAAAGAATCTGTTGAAGGTCAACGACCTAGCCGACGAGCTCGAGGAGCAGTAAGTTATGCGGAACCTAATCTTCGAGACAAGATGCGCCGACCAGGAAAAGAACTTGTGAATGCTGTAACGGCAGATGGAAAAGTTCGCGCTGTCAAAGTTGACGGGGAAGCTGGCCCAACGACAGTAAGCAGGATCAAAGTAGAGCTCGAAGCAGAGGATGGTTGGAAACGATTATCAGCCGCGCCAGATGCTGACCACAGTCCACTAAGTGGTAAAACTTCCATTCCTATGAACGATATGCTACCAAGCAGTATCACAGATCATAGGAGACGTCGCGAGTCAATCTTGCATCTGACAGAATCGGGACCTTCTTCAGCATCGGGGTCGAAATCAGTCACGGAGCTTCTTGCAGAGTCTAGGAAAATAAAAGCAAAGTCCAAGGAACAATCTGGCAAAGGCGATGAGATCAAGGCTGCCCTTGAAGACGTGGATATTTATGAATTTCAGGGTTCTCCGAAACGTGATACAGATGAAGCGCCAAAAACCATCAAAGAGGAGAAAATTGAGAGGGCGCCATCACGTTTCTCCAGGAGAGCTTCAGCTATACCGGCAGGAGATTCGAATGAAATTAAGGATTCGGAACAACCTGGGAAAAGGATTGCCGCAACAGGAGGGGCATCAAGACGAAGACAATCGGCATTGTCATCCTCAGTCCGATGCTCATCGGCTACAGGACACGAATCAGATAGGGACAACACAGATTCTGAAAAATCATTGAGAAGATCAATGAGCAGCACGAGTATGGCAGGAGTAGCAGCTAGAAGCGATAGGATGTCCGCTAGGAGAAGAAGTATGATGTTATGAGTTGGGTCTTTATGATGTGATCGGTTTGGGTTAAACAAAATATTCTTAATCTTTGTTCGGTTTTTGTATCTCGTTGGATTGACTCGACTCCGATGATTGGATTGAAATGAATTGGATGAGGAGTAATTGGATCTTTATGGGAGCAGAGCAATTCTATATAGGATATGCTACATGCGCATACCCTGGTTGATGGCGCAAAAGTAGTTTTAGTTCTTCTTCCTCTTTCGGTTTTACGGAGCGGAATATGATATCAATGAAGCCTTTCTTTCAATCGAATTAATTTTTGAGTTTCTGACTTAATATCAGTGTAGCTTGCGCTACAAATGTGACTTTATTGTATTATCAGGTGGTATCTTACGCATTCCTATCTAGTAAACCAGCAGGCGTCCATTCGTTCACCCTCATGAATGAATATGGCAGGACTTTAATCGTCTAGCTTTCTGGTATTAATTCTCTCCTCCTCCCTATCATATCTATCGTTATGTATATCATATTGTAATACCCGTAAAAAAAAATCCCCCCAACACCAGTAAAATGCCCAAGAACTTTTGTAACTGGCGAAAGCAGAAAAAGACCCCTTAAACTAAAATTGGTTTATCAAATGGGTATCATTAGGTGGAGCTGGAAGCGGTGGCTTGAGTAGAGGGAATTGCTTTCGTGTAGGAGATTTTCTCAACTGAGACGCTTTCCTCGCCTTGGTCGCTGGTTCGCAATTGGTAGACATAAAGGGTGAGACCTAGTCCTTGGACCTGGGGGACTGGTTAGCTTGATGTGGATATGGTATAATGTGTAGAGAGTGGGCAGTAAATTGAGCTCAAGCTAGCGCAAAGGAATAATAGAGAAGAGAACTCACATCCATCAAGCAAAAGCTTGGTACAATTTCCTCACCAGGCTCCATCCATCCCGTTGTCATCGCTCCAGTCGCACTCCCCGGATTAATAAAAAACTTATTGTCAAGCTCAAACGCATCAAACTTGTGAGTTCCCCCCCAGCAGAGTACATCCACGTCCAACTTATTGGCCTCAGCAACCAACAAGTCTACCTCATTAGGCGCAACGATTGTAAATCCCTCGACAAAACCAATGCGGAGAGACCCATGGGTGACGACTTGAGAGAGCGGAAGAGACGTAGCGTCGGTATCGTAGCGGCCTCGGACGATCTTGAGATCCGGGGTGATGGAGCGGAGATAGTCGTATGTTTGGCGATCGGTGAGGTTTCCGAGGCAGAGGGTTTGACCGATTTTGCCTGGTGTGAGGAGCTTCTTGAACTGTGATATCATCGGTTAGTAGTCACATTCGTGGAGGGAAGGTGCAGAAGGAAGATACAGAAGAGCGGAAAGTACCTTCTGAGGAACGTCAATTGCTCGATCTGGAATATGGAGATCGCCAATTACGAGAACGAGTCTGGAGGTCATGGTGGTGGGTTTCTTGTCGGCGGGCAAATTTGCAAGACTGGATTTTCGGGTGGGATATTCGACGGCGCCGGTGAGTAGCTCGGAATTGGGAGTTACAATTGGATTGTATTTCGTGGGTTGGGGAGGAAGCTGTGAGCTCTTGAGGGATGCGGTTGGAGATGGAGATGGAGCTGGTGGAGACATCGTTACGTTATGGTGGTGGGTGGTCCGGGCTTCGGGGTTATGTTGTTCCTTCCATTTCATGAGAATGAGGAAGAAAGAAGAAAAGAAGAGATGGATAACTTCAGAAAATAAAGACAAATTAGAAATAGGGTTGTGCAAATTCTACTCTTATTTTTTACTCAATGGATATATATTACAATCTCAATTTCGAGGTGCAATGTCCCTAGTGGAATGAATATCCAAGTGAGAAAAGCTTCAATGCTTCATTAAGAATTATAGACATCAGCTCATAGTAAGCTTGAAAGTCTTAAGTTTGAGACATCGATATATTTATGCTGCTTCATTCTTCGATATTTCATTTCAATATTGTCTCCTCTTATCCTTTCAACTGTTTCATCATATCCCGAAAGCAGTCTTTACATGGGGCTGTTAGATTCACTTTTCTTCTTATGCTAATTCTCTTGGAATTATGATTATTTGGAAAGTAAAGCTTATATAGGAGTCCTACAAGCTTGCAAAGTCCTCAGGATTTGTCAATCTGCGTGTCATGAGTGCATTGCTTTCTCCTAAGGACTGAAAGTCAAACTATTCTGATAATCATCGGAGATCAATGGGTCATGGAGCAAAGTGGTGCATACAATCGCATTGAAGAAAACACTTATTTATAAAGAACACTTTACAATGTTTCTAGTTTTTATCATCCATATTAGAGGATAAAAAGTAGATGACTGCAAGTATCTTTGTGGGTGCTCTCAAACACAATATTTTGCCTTCTCTCACTCTCATCTGCTAGATCATCAATGGCATAAATTTAGCAACAGTAATACCATTGATCCCTGCTGCAGGTGTTAAACTACACTAACAATATTAAAGGTAGGAAACCACAATATCTGCATACTTTCTTTTATTTTGAAGTTGGAATTTTGCTGTAGACGGCCGCTAGTCATTTATTTCAGTAGAATGAAAACCTGGAAGCATAGCTCTGGATAAATCACCTATTGTTGAATGATCATACTATACTTCAACTTTGCTCTTCAATATCAGCATGTTATTAAAAGAAGCTTCCTTTCCATTCCCTTTCCCTTCGCAGTTTACTAAAAAGAAGTAGGTAACAGCTCCTTCAGTCAAGGGCCCATAAAGTCCCGTGGAAATGAAGACTGTGAAAATACCGAGCGGAACATTCATGGTTTCTTGATAATTTATTCCTGCAGCTTAACCACAGAAACTCCTGAAGGGAGTGGAAGAGAGAATAGTAGCATTCGTTGCGGCCATCGTGTACACTATGCGAACAATTAATAGTGGATAGAAACGATCATCCAGAGAGTGAACATCAGGGATCTCACCGCGGTAATTTGTCGCTCTGTTCTGATTCATAATTTTACATAGAGGCACAAGGGAGGAGTATAGAGTATTGAAATTTCTATTTATGAACCCTAGTACATCCACTATTGATATGTATCTGAGAAGGACTTGTATTGTTCTGAAGATAGGGACGCAAACCTTTACCTTGATTCAGCATCGGTCGGGGAATCCAAAATGTTTTTGATGGGGTGATGTACCATGGTCGATATCGATGGTCAACTGCTACCGCTATGTTTCATTTCATTGTTGTAAAAATACACACATATTTACCATTTGATATGTATGTTTTTCCGAGCTCAAATTCCGCTAAGGTATTAAGATAGTTAATTTTCTTGCAGACTTGGAAGTTAAAGCACCGGTACTAGGACAAGGAAAAGTAGCCTGACATATGGGTGTGGAATCTGGTCTTAGGTTTCACTTCTTCTTGGCTTAAGTAGTGCTTTTTAATCCGCACATGTTACTTCATATGATCCTACTTTATTGTTTCCACTGATCCACTGATCCACTGAATGCACACAAGTCCCACCAAAATTCTACTCTATCCTTTCTACTATCTACTGCGACGCAAGTCTACCACCCGAGTTCATCTACACTTAGCCTTCCTAATTCTAACCCTAACCCTTCATCTTCTCCATCATCTCCCCAAACAACCTCTTCCTCCCCATTTCAACCACCTCATACCCAAAACCCCTCAACGTCGTCCCGACGGGAATATCCTCATCGCCCCTCTCCAGCCCCCTCCACGCCTCCTCCGTAAACTCATCCAACGGCATTCCTATACTCCTCCCATTCTTAATATCCGGCTGATGTTTCTCATCATGAAGTTCCGTCTGTACAGAAGGCGGATAAATTTCAATAACCTTCACACCTTTGATTTTGTTACCTCGAATTCCCGAAGCCCTTTCCCTCCCTGTCTCATTATCATCATCCTTCTCACCCAAATCTCTCAATTGTTCCCTCATAACCAAAATCAAGTGATGCATAGCCGCCTTACTAGCACAATAATTTCCACATCTCAAAATCGGTACTAATGCTAATCCACTCGTCGTGAATATCAATCCTGCATCTTCGCCACCCTTTGCTCTTTTTTGTAAATGTGGGAGAAGTGCTTTAGTAAGATGCACATAGGAGAGATAATTAGTTGTGAATTCGGATGATATTACCTCGAGATCGATGGATTCTGGTTCTGTGAAATCGAGAGAACGTTGAATACCGCTATTGAGGAATGCACAGTCAAGTGCAGGATGGGATTTAAGAACTCTATGAAGGTTTTTGTATCAGTATCTTTGGTTTGGTAAAATGAATTGAAATCAAAAAGGAAATACTAAATACCTTTCGACCATCTCGGGAATACCGTCAAGATTCGTGATGTCGAATTTCACAGTTGATACTTTAGACTCTCCATGTTTCTGCTGTAAATCATCGAGTTTATCCTGACGACGACCGAGTGCTATGATTTTGGTAACGCCTTCCGATAACATTTTCTCGGAAAGAGCGAGGCCAATACCTGAAGTGGCTCCAACGACCAGTACCTGATTTGTTGTGTTAGCAAATCTCAGTCTGTAATTGACGACGTCTATATTATGGGACTTGCTGTTTTGTAAGCGAATGGCATTTTGGCTTCCGATTTACTCTGTCTGAAAGTTGTAGTGAATGTGGCATTGTACTTTTCAAAAAAGGGCTTTGATAAATGGGCAATGTTTTACGTGAATATCTATGATATCATCGCTTATGTCAAATAACAAATTTCAGCGGGGTGTGCGGGGTTTTTATTGTGACACGAGATGAGACTACCATTGAATGCGCGCAGGGCTCAACTCATTCGGAAATGAGAAGGTATGGATATGCTATTGCCAAAAATAGGCTAAAATGACATTTGTTGTGTAGGTATTTATACCTTACTTAGGTTGTACAATTCGCATACCCCTTTTCAGGGGCAAAACTTGAAATACCGAGTAGTTGGAACTACAGACCGAACAGAACTTAATCTAGAGGTAGGCCATAGGATTGGTACTTGACATGAAGCCTAACCGGTTACAGTAAAGTGGTCTTGAATGTGAAATAGTTTATTCACTGGGTAGTTGAAAATGTCAAATCTAGTAGTAGTAAAGGTGCTTATTCAATAGCTTAGATCCCTACCCCGAGTTTGTCGGAAGAAACCTCAACCTCAAGAGAACTGCCTCAAATTTTCATCTATATCTCACAGATGGAAGCCTGGACTTTGACAGATAGTCCCGTGTTCCAATGTCCAACAGTCCATAATCTTCCAATCTCCTTACTGACCCCTCCGGATCAAGCCCCAGATAAATGATATCTGCCACCAGGAAGAACGATAGTGCGTCGAAGATGTAGCAATAGATCCCTCCCAGCTCCCTTGAGACGAAAAATAGAGTTATGAAATAAATCGCGCAAAAGAGTGCTTGCGGAGTGACCCGAGCAGGGATTATGAACTTGGGAATGTATGATTTGAAGTATATTGCTTCAATGACATTGCCGTCAAAGTCGACAATAGAGGCTGTGTAGGCACTTGGGTAGTCGTTAGTAGCTCCGCTGGCGATGTTGTTCGCTTTGGTTCTTGCGATGGGTTAGTGGATCCTTATAGTGATTATTGAGGAGTGAGATACGTACAGACCGAGAACATAAAATTTGTTAACTTGTGCCTTGGATGATGCGTAAATAGTGACGCGAACGCCCCCAATTGGCTCAGCAGACTTTTCATATCTCAAGGAAAATTCGGAGTCCAACGACCATCTTCCTCTAAAGAATATCTTGGTGCCAGTTTTAACATATATTTTGTAGCCTAAAGGCTTCAAAATGGTAGCATAGAACTCTTCCGATACATTTAAATCGGTGCAAGGAATGCTGATATGGGCAATAGTCATTCTGTCTAGTATTGGGGTTGGTAGGAAAGAGGATGGTTGTACTGGGTGAAGCTGTAGGGTGCTTAGTTTTAACTCAAGAGCTTATACAAAGCCAAGAATTATGCCGGATTAGTGTTGCCATGGCTTTGTTTTCTATACACCCAATAAGCATTAGAAATAGAGGATGCCAAACAACAACCTTGCTTAACAAAGGTAATCTACCCCTTTAAGTCAGTCCTCCGGAAGTAGGCCATTATATAATTCCTATAAACCTTAGCTTTTCTCTATCATCCTCCTCAAAATCAAGGTCCATATGATCCTCTTTGTCTGCCCTCTCCAAGCCCCCGATGCCCCTTTCGACTCTTAACATCAACATCCTCATTCTTTCCAATTCTTTCTCAACTTCGCCATTTTTGGTAACAAGATTTTCTTGAACATTCTTATCCGCCTGCTCAAAAGGCTCCAGCAATTTCTTTGCAGCATTACACTGTTCAAGTTTCTCCTTTGCCATTCTTCGCTTCTCATTCAATTCCAACAATTTACTTTGTAGCTCTCTGTATTTTGTCGCTTGCTTCGGTGCCTTCGTTTCCGCTTCTTCACTCCATTCTTCTGGCAATTTTTCAATGTTGGATGTCAATCCTGACAATTGGGATATCGATTAGCGTGATGTTACTACCCACTGATTGACATGATTGTAAGGAGCTTACTGTAATCTGCACCCTTTTCACTCCATTCCTCTGCGTTCACATTCACATCTCTCTCCCCAGCGGCCCAATATAATTGATCAATTTGTTCAGCAACATGACGCTGTGCCTGCGGAGGATAACTAATCTTATTATGTTGTTTGAGGATAGTATTGAGCTTGAATAATGCTTCATCAATTGCGCGCTGTCGCAAGGTATTCTCTTCCTCTGAAATTGAATCTTGCCAGTCTTGCGATGGTTGAAGAGGCTGAGAGAGGGCAAAAATTTGTGCACGTAAAAATGAAGATTTGAGATCAATTATTGTTGGCTCGTTGGATTCCATTTTCGCAGGTGTAGATGTTCAATTTGGGAGACGCGTACTTTGAGCACATGTCGCGACTTTTTATTTGACATCATGTGACACAGATTTCGCACTTGTGTTATTCTTAACCAAACCTCAGCATCGTCAATTATTGAGTTCCAATCGCGGTTTGGATCACATAACTAGACATTCGAAAATGTTTTATCCATAACATTTACCTGGAGTGATGCATTGACAAAGTCCTCAAAAGGATACATCGGATATCCAAGATTCTTGCCGTGATACTAGACCTGTTGGCAGGTGAAATAAACGCGAAGCACACTCTCATCCATCTATTCTAGACATACTAATCACCATCTACAACAGAGGAGTAGTTAGATCATGCAACAAGGATCTGTTGGCCTTCGACATATCAGTCCTAGCCAATCAATCATTGCTGTCATGTTATTGAATGAGCCTCTGATTTTTCGAGTTCGATCTTTCCTTGCATCTCAATTACGCGGCAACTCTCTTCTTAATCCTCTCGCTGCTATTCCTCAAGCATGAAATTTGACCCAATGATAATGTATACAAAAAGATCTAGTTGATCACATGCTGGGAAATCTTTGCGACATATAGTTGCACTGCCCTTAGGGCTAATGACTAGAGTTTGAGTGATGCTTGTGAGTTTCATTTCCGCGTCCGCTGACGTTATGTGAAGACGAGATTTTGAAATCGGTTGATATCGTCTTCGTAGCCAGCGTCTTTAAACCATTTTTTTTGATACAACCCGTGGTTTAAAGGGGCTCAAATTTGAGACCGCAGAGATTTTGATAGCCTCCTGATATTTTGAAGACAAAACTAGATTTCACATTCGAAGTGTCTGAGCATGTGAGCATCAATTCGGCGTCTTCGGCGTCTGGAAAGAAGTGTGAATAGCAAGGGTAGCTCGTATCTTTTCTTTCGAGTTCACAATATCTATTTCCAATTGTTTTTCCACCTTCTCCACAGTGACAATGTCTACCGAGTTAGCATTGCCATTTGAACTGCAGTTCCATACTACGAGTATGGGCATAAACATTCACACACCCATCTCTTTGTGATCATAACCTAATGATTCGCTTGGGTTTCCGGCACGTCGCTCTCGTTGGAAAATTCACTTAATCCTTTCAGTGTGTTTGAAATACATGACAAATGGGAGATTAGTTAAGTATTTTCTGCAACTCTAGCTTGCGGATTCTTCCTTTGTATGAGATGGGACTTACTGGGCATTGAATCTCGCCGCTGCACAAGTTCTCTTTGTCAGTACGATATAGTGACCGCAGCAGGCTGATGGACGGTTCACCCTCAAGACCTTGCGCTGTTCTTGGTCATTGCCCTAGCATGATGGCACATGTAATCTTGAATAGCAACATGCCCGCTAGATTACCGGAAACTGACCACAAGCTGGAATAATCTTACTTGCGAGCTCTCTAAATACTAGCCGCAAGCATGTTATTGCTTAAAGTACTTCCGCGTACGTAGCGAAAGGAAACCTTTATTGATTTTTCGATAGCCCTCATTATCCACTTTCGCTCTCACTTGTCATATTCTTAATCGTACGCAGTCTCTAAATGGTTATCTGCCTCGAGTGGGATGAGCTTCAATCGATCAACACTCGTTGGCCTCTCTTATTCTATTGGGACTAGATTCAATATATGACATTCAATGGCGGACTTGTCTATTACTATATCTTCTCGGAATCGACCTTTAGGCGAGAATCCTAATAGTCAAAGAGAGGCACGATCTTGTATTCGACTCATTAACCTTACAAGGGTTAGAAAATTCTATATGTTCGCTATCAAAAACGGTCAAATTTCGTGAGCCAGTAAGTTTATTTCGTCCTTGTGATGGGTGGTACGGCTCACTACTTTCCCATACATGAGGTATAATTCAGTATACTGAATTCTATTTTCAGCTGCTTCACCGTAGGTTAAAGTATTTTCCGTAAATAAGCATTACTGACTGCTTACTCCTCATATACATATACATCCTCAGTTGTCAAATAGCTTGGAATCGCAAAAACGCACTAACGATTAATTCAATGTGCATCCGTAAGGAGATGCCATCAAGAAGCATGAAGAAGCCAGAGGTGAATCCGTCACCGCTTTTGACCAATAAAATTTCAGACATCGATCTTGGAAATATCCCAAAGCAATTTCTTACAGGATTGCTTACCAGATCTGAAGATTTATCGCATGGGACCCCTGCGAACCGATGCAGTATTAAGATCGCAATGACCATCGAAATCTCTTGTTCTGGATCAATCGTGGGGAAGCCAAGGTAGTATTCGCTAAGTGTCTCGATTCATTGTGTATGTCGTATAGCATATTAGGAAAGTGTCTATGCAAAAGTAAAAGATTCCCATGAAAGTATCATGGGAAAGGACCATATCGATAATCCGGTCACGAAAATACGGCAGCGAGAAGTTGAGATATCCATGGGACGGAGCCAATAGTAGTAAAGAACTACAAATTTGGAAGAGAATGGATTCGTGAAGGCGTTTATATACATTCATTTCACTCCATCTATGACCAGTTGACTCTTTCTTTGATGAATATGGATCGGTTGACACGATCTTATTACCATTCAAGGAAAGCATAGGCACGTCGATGAACAAGCCACACATCATAGGAAAATCTGGTAGAGGGAATTGGTAATATTGCTCCAAATGGAGATGGGTGCATGAATGAAGAGTTAGATGGGTATTTTGGAGCCAATAGACTTCTTAACTTTCAGTCGAGGAATAGAGGCCACCCCGTCTAGGGAAAAGAGTAGCGGGAAGAAATATGGGTTTTAAGCCTAACACACAAGTTCTTTTGATTTCGAACTTTAAGCAGAGAGCATTGGAGTCCCCCAGGAAGATAAAAGGTGTGTATATTCCCCAAATTTTCAGATCAGATCTCATAACACATCAGCACAACATCTTCACTTCACAAAAGCCTTCCAATTCCAACGTCTTCGATAAGTACCAATAAAACAAACATGCATTTCTTCTCCATCCTCACTCTTGCATCCACCGCATCTCCTCTTCCCACCAGGTCCTGCATATTCCCCCTAAAATCCCCCATTATACCTATACCTTATGAATAACTGAATAACTCTCATTCCCAAGAATCAATTTCACAACCCCTTTCCTTTCCCTCCATTCCGTTTCCTCCCATTGCCTTCCTCCTCCTTTAATCAATCTTCTCTTCCTCCACTGCCCCCACCCGCCTTCAAAAACAAAAACAAAGAAAAATCACATATAAAATAAAAATATATAATCCAGACCCAAACCCAGATACAGATTCTAGATTAACAAAAGTATAAAATAATCAGGAACTGCTAATATAAAGAATAATTATTCATTAACTTAAATATACTCAATATTGTAAGTCTTAGGAAAGCTCGTTCGTCGTACTTGATATATATATTCAAAAATCTGGATTATATTTGTTTGTTGAGTATTGGGATGATTGGGAGGGGAGGGTGGGAGAGAGGGAGGGAGGGAAGGAAGGTATTTTTTTAAAGTAAAAACGTATGATTCATTATTGAATATTTTTCTTGACAGTATATATATATACATGGCACAGGAACAAATAGAGATATATTAAACATTGACTCCGTCATACGGTGTTATAATTTCGAGGTAAGTTATTTCTCTATTATGCAGAAATGATGTCAAGGAATATCAATCAGTCTATTGAGCTCTTGAACCCTCCATGCGGCTCCCACTATCACAAATATCTAATCATTTCTCTCGGAAATGCAATATACCCGCATATCATGACGCGTTTCTGATACCTCCTATAAATCGAAGCACAAGCACATTGGGAGCTTCATGCCGGTGGGAACAACAGGATTGCATAGCTAGTTCAAACCTACCGACCTACCTAAATTGGTGATATAAGCTTGCAGAAGATAAGACAAATGCTGGCTTAAGACTTTAAATTCATTGCTGATGACGTTCTGCCATTTTTTTTTCTAAAAACCACGACTATCGTCACCAGTTCCCATCACAGTCTGAATTACGCAAGTGAACTTCCATTTCATTATGTCTAGAAGGAGCATGTGTAATTCTGTGACGGAATTGATCGTAATGGTTTTCAGTTCCAACTGCTCCTTCGTTGAAATAATTTTATCGACAGAGATGATGCTATCATCAATAGAAGATCTCTCATCTACACCAGCGACAAAACTCAAGGGTAAGCAATGCATCGCCTACAGGGACACCGCAAGCACAAGGCCATCATTTGTCCCAAGGAGGCAGAATTGGAGCCGTTCTGATGTCATCGATATCAACTGCTTGATCACTGAAGTGGGTCTTCATTCACTGTTGATGGCGTAATCGAAGGAAGTGTGGAGAGAACTGCGAAGGATACATTAAAGCAGAACTTGATTCCCGACCACTTGAGAGGAGTTTTGTGGGAATTAATAGGCCTAAGAATGTACTGGAGCTGAGGTACTTGTGAATGAGCTTTGCGTAGAGAATGGTAAAAGAGTCCCAAAGAGCTGGAAGCCGAAAGAGTTGTCCATGAAACCGGTTCCATGTACTCAATAAGAGAGGCAAGAAACTTTCATCTTTTAGGCTGCTTGTGAGTTTTGAGCTTCGATTGTTTCTTTGCTACTCGGTCTCTCTCTTTCTCGGCGGGTTCGACAACCAAAGTTTTGAATACATCATCGTCTCGATGAGTCAAGTTATTTTTACCTAAACCAATATCAATGATTGCTCCTCAGTATTACTGCGAGAACCACTTACAAAATTCTGCATACGCAGATTTGAGCTCCAAAAATGTGGCTGAAAGCATTGGAACGTCCGGAGCTACTCTACCCGCAGCTTCGGCCTCCCAGTCAATCGTCAAGGGTGTGTTGTCACCACGACAAAGAGTGCTGAATGCTACAGCTAACTGTTTATACATGAAACCACATTGTTCGAGTCGCTTTTGTGGATCTGTCTTGCCTGGGTGAATGCAATTTTTAAGATCTTCATCAGTTTTGCATCTCGGAAGGTTAGATCTTAACTCAATCCGCACGACTCGTTCTCGATAGAAGAGCATTAACCTCAATAAACATATTCCGGCAATGATGCGAGTTTGTTTATTGCTTGCGGACTTCTTGCTGAGATTTTCAATCTCGGAAAAGAAATATTTCTCAGACTCTTCAAGACCCTCAGAAGCTTTAAGGCGGACTTGTTCGCGAACGGTGTCTGGTGAGAAAGTGTCATTGATTGTGTTTACAACATCAAGCTGGCCATGAGGATGACAGTGAATATTGGCGACTCCATAGAATGCAAGACTATTCAAGCTTGTGATTCTGAAGGCAGCATTACACAGACATGCCTGTTATTGGTTAGTTAATATCCAAATATTCTTAAAGAAGATGGATTACCAGATGTGATCCAAAATATTGTTTGCAATAGATGTAAAGAAATTTATCTAATATATGTGTTATTTTACCAGAATGGCTCTCCGGAGAAGAAAGGAGAATCTCTCGGCCGAAAAAATCCAGCTCATCAACAGTAGGTAGTGAATCTGGCACAACAAGATATGTTTTGTCCCTCAAGGACTTGTGCGTTATGTAAACACCATTCATTTTTGTCAGACTTCTCCATCGGCAGAGATCCACAGATCTACAAACCATTACCTTGCAGGGAAGCGAGCGACATGGAAAGCTTGCCATTGAACAATCTGCTCGAAGTTCGACTTTTGCAACATGACCTTCCAACGCCCGGAGGAGTTGATGCACTTGTTCTTTCCCGGAAGTGAGTAACCTGGTTTGGACGTCTATGGCAGTCAACATATAGGCCAACATCTTCAGTAACTAAACGTACCTGTGACTCCCAGGTAAACATCTTTCAATTTGTGCCGGATACATATTTGTTTAGCCATAAACGGGTCACCAGCTAACTTGAAACATCGATCACAAACGCCATCGGATGTACACTGGACTGTCAGGAATTCATTTTTGAACAAAATATCGGGACGATTAAGTAAACATACCTCGACCTTACGTGCTCGACAGCTTTGACATGCTCCAACTTGTCGAACTAGATGAACCTTCAACTTTTCACGTCGATTGAACTCTTTTCTTTTTCTCTTAGGTGCCTTGACCCCACTGTGAAAATCGATTAAACAGTCTTCCATATTTCGAGGAGTTACCGCGACTGGCTCACTCGCACGAGGAGTTAGTTGGTCCGGAGGACTGGAGAGATCTGTCTGCAATTTTGATGGCGCCAAGGTAGGCACATCCTCTTTGAAGTGATTGCTATACGAGTCCATTTCAGGTATATAAGTACTCGGGCTTTCAGCCTTAGGAAGTGCCTCGACGCTAGGGTGATCAGGTTCACATGGCGATTGCTGTTCTGTGAAGGCTCCAACTTGCAACGAGGAGTAAGTTATTGGCTCAGGAGATTGCAGGAATGATGTAAGCCACCCGTCAGACTCGAAATGTGAAAGAGAATCTTCGAAATTAGCGCAGTTGTCAAAAGGTGTATTCATTGCCGCTGTCTCCGGAAAGTAAGGGTTCGATAAATTAGTATTTGCTGCATCAAATGGCCAGAGGTCATTGTACGATTCTACTACATTCGGTGAAGGATAGACAGAACACGATGGGTTGACACTGTGGACGCCCATTGTTTGCCACTGGCAGTTAATATCTGGAATGTCCTGTAAAAAGGCATTCGTGCCAAAAGGTGTATTCAAGAATGTCAAGGATTGCTCCAAACTCTCATTCGGGACACTTTCCTCGTCAAAAGATGGTTCCTGAGAATGGTGTGGGCCTTCGGTCATCCGGGGTAAATCTCCGTTGGTTTGTGAGGCCATTGATTGGAAAATTGGGATTCTGGCCTGCATAAAATATGCGGGTAGCAAGGTGACAATGGAAAGGATTAATAGTATATACTAGTCTCTGAACCATATACGTAGTTAGTTACTCGACGATCTCAGTTTTCATGCCAACTAACGGTGAATGGTACCTCGGTGAAGCAACAACCTCAATGAGGACTTGGTGGGGCGAAAATTTTATCTGACTACGCAGTACACCCGTGATTTTGTGAAGACATGTACCGAGATAATGCCGTCAACGCCGTCGATGACCTCAAAATAGAGTTTGAAACATTTTTGTATAATGCTAAATAAAGGACACCAAGAGAAGGCCATTCCTCTGGGTGTAAGGAGGAATAGCAAACAACCGAATGATGATGGGTATATTTGGTCACTACTCGGATATCTCAGTTCACATCCGTGTGTGTGCCGGACATGGGTAATGCGCAATAGCCGATGAATTATCGGAATGTCCGGAATTCGAGGTCTTCGTCGCAAAAAGATATATACTTCAAAGAGGCATTTTTATTCTATCCAAGCGTTTTTTGGATCAGATATCCAAAGGACTGCCGCTCACCCGCTGGAAGCATTGCAAGCCCCAAGGAGACAATTCACAGTTCGAAGCAGATTTGGCATAACTGTATGCAGATACCGAGTTCGAATCCAGCAGGAAAGCGCGTGAAGTCCATGTAGTTGCAATCTGAAGAATACTAAGTTGAGATTTAAATAAAGAATAATGGAAGACATATCGACGGAGGTAACAGTGTCACTGCTGTGCTAGAAATGCACATTACCCATCAAACGGGAGATACTCGGCTTGTTTGTCCAAGGTATAGCAAGTACCGTGATTAAGGACGATTCCGAATATAATGAAGTTGTCTCCTGATCTTGGTCTGGAATGTTTTGTCATGAACAGCGTGCAAGTCGAGATGACATGCCAAGAGTATAAGACCGATCAGGTGAATCTCGCGTGACTTGATCCGAAGAAATGCCGACACATGACATGACGTGAACTTCTCGTTGCATCACCATGTTCAAACTCGGAACAAGCTGCATGCCAAGCTGCGAAGTATGCAATGTTACATCCATGATTTACATGCGTACGGACACCATAAGAAGTCTCCACGCGCATAATGTCATTGGCTGCTATCATGGAACAGACTAGTATCATTTCACAACTTTTCATTCCTATGGTGTTGGCGAATCATTCAACCATCCCAAATATGGGGTAACGAAAAGAACCGAGACCAACCCATCATTATGCGGGGTTGCGGGGATGAAAAGACGGAATGCGGGGTAAATGTGTTAAATCGGGCCGTTGAATTTTACGGCTTCTCTTTTTTCCAACTGTACCCAAGCTTAACTCAACTACTAACCTTAAATACCCAAGGTAACGATGCGGGGAGATGTACAGAAGAGTGCTAGAGTCCTTTATTTACTATTGATCTACCTCGTCCTCGCTTATCAATAGCTTCCTCCTCTAACGCCGAAATTGCTGTCCATCCTGGGAGCGTGCATCCGTCTGCATTGTCGTGCATACAACATGGCGTTCTAGAAATTAAAATCTGCTGCAAGTACAAATTTGTTGTCATTGTTGTTAAGCTTTCCCAGGTTACATCGGCATACATGCGAGATTCCATGTCGATCACGAGAGAGTATGGTATTTGAGTATAAAGTCAATGATAATTGAGGATTTGGCTTCCATCATCAAAGTATTCAACATGGTCAACATTCTACACTTTTGCTTGTTTTTGACCACTACCGTCTTAGCAGCAAGTTCTGACTTCTTACCTCGTGATACGAATTACCATTCCAATTCTACGCTTCCTCTCTCGAAATGTCCAGGTTACAAAGCTTCTAATGTCAGAACAACAGCATCAAGTCTTTCGGCAGACTTGACACTTGCTGGACCTGCTTGCAATACTTATGGTACTGATTTGACAAAATTGACCTTGAAAGTGGTTTATGAGACTGGTTCGTACATTTCATCTTAGGCTTTTGCTTTTGCTAATTAAAATAGATGATCGTATTCATGTGGTAATTCAAGATCCGGAAAATGTCGTCTACCAAGTTCCAGAATCAGTTCTCCCACGCCCTGCTGAATCAACAGTCAATTCCAAAGATGCTAATATTAAATTTCATCATGTTAATTCTCCATTCTCATTCTCGATCACACGAGCAAAGACAGGCGAAGTTTTGTTCGATACTTCCGCTGCAAGTCTTGTATTCGAATCACAATATTTGAGGTTGAGAACAAAATTACCTTCAAATCCAAATCTCTATGGTCTTGGTGAACACTCCGATTCATTTCGATTGAACACTACAGATTATATTCGTACATTGTGGTCTCGTGATGCCTATGGAACTCCTACTGGTACCAATTTATATGGAAATCACCCGGTCTATTTTGAGCACAGAGCTGGTGGTACTCATGGAGTTTTTTTCATGAACTCAAATGGTATGGATATAATGGTCGACAATGCGAATGGAAGAAATCAATACCTTGAATACAATACTCTAGGTGGTGTTTTGGACTTCTATTTCTTGGCCGGACCTGACCCTATTGTCCTTTCTCAACAATATGCAGAGGTTGTTGGTTTACCTGCAATGATGCCTTATTGGAGTTTCGGATTTCATAATTGTCGTTACGGATATCAGGATGCCTATGCAGTGGCTGAAGTTATTTATAATTACTCGAAAGCGGAAATTCCTTTAGAAGTTATGTGGACAGATATTGATTATATGGATGCACGAAAGGTAATGGTATCAATTTTCAAAAGAGAGTGTGCAAAGCTAATGTTAGTAAGGTCTTCACTCTCGATCCTGAACGTTTTCCATTAAATATGATGCAATATATCAATCATTATCTTCACGATCACGACCAGAAACAAATCCTAATGGTTGATCCTGCTGTTGCATACCAAAATAACCCAGCTTATCAGCGTGGAGCAGCCGACGATATATTTCTCAAGCGAGATAATGGATCTTTCTGGCTTGGTGTCGTATGGCCTGGAGTTACTGTATTCCCAGATTGGTTCGCCAAAGGTGTACAAAATTACTGGAACAATGAGTTTTCAATATTCTTTAATCCAACTAATGGTGTTGATGTTGATGGACTTTGGATTGATATGAATGAACCATCAAACTTTCCATGTTATTTTCCATGCGATAATCCATACGCATCAGCAGTAGGATATCCTCCAGAACCACCGGCAGTTAGAACACCACCGCGTCCATTACCTGGATTTCCTTGCGAATTTCAACCATCTGGAACGAAAAACTGTACGTCCACAAGCAAGCGAACGTCAATTGAAGATAGAGATCCTAAACCTATACTGGAGACTCACGCAACTGTCAACAAGCAGGCACCTGGACAACAAAAAGGATTACCCGGACGTGATTTACTCTACCCCTCATACGCAATTCATAATGCCGCCGCCTATCTCCCTTCCTGGAACGCCGCCAAAGGAGGAATATCCAACCAAACAGTCAACACAAACGTAATTCACCAAAACGGGCTCGCCATGTACGATACCCACAATCTCTACGGAACGATGATGTCCAGCTTCTCACACACAGCAATGATATCTCGTCGTCCCAACGAGCGACCTCTAATCATAACCCGCAGTACTTTCGCTGGCGCTGGTACAAAAGTAGGACATTGGCTGGGCGACAATTTCAGCGATTGGCTACACTACCGTATGTCCATCCGAGGCATGTTAGCCTTCGCATCAATCTATCAAGTCCCCATGACGGGCGCCGATGTCTGCGGCTATGCCGAAGATACCAACGAGGAGCTCTGTGCTCGTTGGGCTATGCTCGGTGCTTTCACCCCCTTCTATCGAAATCACAATGCATATCCACCTACCATCAGCCAAGAATTTTATCTCTGGCCGTCTGTTACCGAAGCCGCAAAAAAAGCTATTGATATCAGATATCGTCTTTTAGATTACATCTACACAGCTCTGTATCGACAAACTCTCGATGGAACCCCATTAATTAATCCAATGTTTTACCTTTACCCAGCTGATCCTGCGACATTTGCTCTGGAAACACAATATTTCTTCGGAAGTGGAATACTCGTTAGTCCAGTAATGGAAGCAAATTCTACATCTGTAGAGATCTATCTCCCAGATGACATCTTCTATGATTTTTACACTCATGTGCCTATTCTCGGACAAGGAAATACGATAAAGATCACGGATCAAAATCTTTCATCAATACCTCTTCATTACCGTGGCGGAGTTATCGTTCCTCAAAGAATCGAAAGCGGAATGACGATAAATGAAGTCCGGAAGAAGAATTTCGAAATTATTGTTCCAGTGGATAGGAATGGGATGGCGAAGGGTGAATTGTATTTAGATGACGGGGTTAGTGTTGTAGGGGAAGGATATGCGTATTCATTAATTAATTTTTCATGGGATGGGAAGATTTTTGATGTAAAGGGACATTTTGGGTTTGATTCTGGTGTGGGTATTGAACGGATTGTTTTTCTGGGACTAGGGACTGGAAATGGGAATGGGACGGTTGCATATGGGAGAGGATATGCAATGAATGTGAATGCGAATGAGAGTAAGAATGTCCAGGTAAATGAACAAGGAGATATGATCATTCATATAGGAAAAGAATTAAATGGGGAATTTTCGATTACGGTTTGAGTTATGGGGTGGGGGAGGTGTGTTTATGGATTCTATAGGATGGGAAGTAACAACATGTGAATATTCAAACATATATTAAATATAAACTCCCATACTATTCATTCTCCTTCTCCTTCTCCTTCTCAAACCTGACAAAAAATAAAATCGGAATATAAAGAGACTTTAGGGAGGTAGGTACATATATAAAGTTTATTTTTACTTCAGATCAAGTAAGGTCAATCCAATCCAATTCAATCTAAAGATCATTTTAGGATCACATCTTTATTACTTCTTATGCTTCTTTATTTAATTTTTAATTCATTTTTAACTTACACCCTTTCATACCTCCATCCATCTATTCAAAGCTTCATACATACATACATACATACATACATACATACCTCCTCCGAACCCCCCCACCCCCAATCTCCTCCCTCATTTCTTCTCTCTACAAATCCAAAAATCTTATTCATCATTTTTTTCTTTTCTGAGACTTACCAATTTTGTTATTTATCTATTTATTTATTTACTTGTTCATTCATCTCTTCATCCATTCAACCATCTCTCCATTTATGTATGTATGTATATACACCAAGTAAGTATACCAAACAAACAACCTATATCCATTCATCCCAAACCGTCTTCCCTATCCGCTTCTTCTTCCAATACCTTCCCATCCTATCAATCCCCTCTTAATCCCCCCCCTTCGCCCCACACACAGAAACCAACCAACCACCCAACCACCCATCAAGCCACACCTCGCGGATGTAATTTCACTACAAAATCCTCATTATAACTTAAACCACCTGCACAAACATATTTTCCCTTGTTCAGAACTTCGATATCGAAATTACGGATTATCTGTCGTCCGTCGCGTGTTAGTATATGTATCACTAGGTCTCTATACCCATGTTTCTTGATTAACGCTGTTGTTGTTGTTGTTGCTGTTGTTTGAATTTTTTATGTGTACTTGTATCTCTTACTTCTCTCCTTCGATATCGCCTGCATACTAGACATGGTATGGACTGTTATAGATAGGTAGAAAAATAACCAAAACCATCGGTCGATGTAAAACAAAGCATAGCCAAGCCAGAAAAGAAAAGAAAGGAAAAACCACTAACCTCAGGAATCAACTTGTAAATTTCCACCCAAGCAATATCTTTTCCTAGACAAACTCTTGGACCTACTCCAAAAAGAAACATACCATGTTCTAATTCTGCAGCTTTGTCTTCTTCCATCCATCGTTCTGGTCTGAATACATATGGGTCTGGTGCGCTGTTTTGTGTTAACTATGATCGATCATTCACCATTTAACTATGATAAAAACTCAGACGAGAAAAGTGTGACAAAGAGAAAGAGAAAGAGAAAGAGAAAGAGAAAGAGAAAGAGAAAGAGAAAGAGAAAGAGAAAGAAAAAGCTCCACCCATAACAAATACTCACAATAAAACAGGATCAGTTTGAACAGCCATACTATAACTAGTGACATCCATCCCCCCTGGTACAAAAAACCCATCAATGATTTTTCCCTCCGGTGGTACGATTCTCGGAAGCCAAAGTGCCACGCTAGGTTGTAGACGCATGGATTCTTTCACAACACTGACTAGATATGGAAGATGAGTACGCGTTTCCTCATCTTTAATTGGTGTTGAAAGAAGGTTTTTGTCCTCGGCTTCGCGAATTTCATTCAAGGCTTTGGCGAAACAGCCCGGAGTTGTGGCTATGAAACGAAGTATGACACCGAGGGTTGTGGCTGTTGTGTCAGCTCCGGCTTGAATGAGGAGGGTAACATTGGAGCGTTTTTGAATGGGTGTAAGTGGTTCGCCGCCGACTCTTGCCTCGAGGATACTAAAGCACTTTTAGTGCTAATTACTCCAACCTTTGGGTGGGTGAGAATACTTACTGCTGTAGAAAGTCCGGCTCCTCTGGATTTACACCTTGTGATATTTCGTGTTCTCGCTCTGTGATAGCACGGTCTGCTTCAAAAATCAAGTATCCCATACCACTTTTGTTGTCAGGTTTGGGTAATACCAATGCGCCTATTCCTGGAATATTGAGGATATGTTTCCGGAAGAAGGTGAACCTTGCTATGAAGCCGAGGAAATCAAGACCTTTTCTCCAGTTTTGAAGCAAGGCTCGTTCATCTCGACTATTTTTCACAAATCCCCATGGTTGATTGAATAAGAATATCGTCATGATCTCGGCTGAGAATTGCCTGCACAAGTTGAGCTAATACTTTGGGTATGTGAGGGGCAAGTGACTTACGCTACTTTATCACCGAGATTGACGGATTCGCCAGCCTTTGCCTTTTCTGTCATAACTTTAGTGAAAAGGATTATTTGCTCATTCATTTTATCTTCCCAATCTTTCCTTATATCTCCAATTGCCCACTAAAATTTTCAAGTCAGCTAGTTGATAGCTTTTGAAGGAGTTGCTGTAACACAGACGAAGATATGCTCTCGTCAACGATAGACATAAAACTTACTGGTGCAGCTCCTAGTGCTTTTCTCAAAGGTGCATGATCTGAACCAGAAAGGGTAGTAAACAACTGTGGTGGGCCAAAGAGACCAGTGTAATAGAATGTAGATTTGTTGTTGAGACTTCGGTCCCAGTATATTTCCTTCAGTGCGGATGGCCTTGGAAAGAGGAGCATCTCAGGTGCAATACGAATTGGTGCATCTCCTAAGAACTGTTAGATCAAATTTCAGACATTAGCATTATCAACAAGGAGTTTTCACATACTTCCGTACTTTTCCATGACGCTACGCTGCCATTGGATCTCATATCGAAACAGCGAGATAATTGCCAGAGGAAGTGAAAAACAAGCTGTGTACCATGGTCCACCAAATTTTGCTAAAGGATGAAAGTATAAATTGTAAATTATACGATAAGCCAGAGACGTACAGACTGTAAGGATAGATATAACAAGGACAGAAGAAGCATCGATATTGGAGAACATCATTTTCACTAAACGATGATTGGAAATATCACAGAGGAGGAATTCGAATAGTCCGTATACATGCGCATCAACAACAGCTGGATATCCATTAGAACTATATAAAATCCAGGAAGCACCGAGGATATATTTCTTCAACGGAATAGTCCACCAAAAACTGCATTTCAGCGGATCAGTGCAAGTAAATGGAGTTCATTTATTTTCGATCTACCCGGATACCCTCAGGGTTGTTGATGGATGAAGAAGTAATCCGGATAATGTCATCGGTTCATTGGTGCAACATGGATGGCATTGCCGCTTTAATCTGGAGCTGAAATGTACTCAGTAACCTATCAGGTTCGCAGAGTTTAAGCGGCGTCAAAATTGGTCTGGGGCAGCAGCCGAGGCACTGGGTAGGACGAAAAAGAAAGAAAAGGGCAGATTCCCCTCAATCCTTTCTCTCCAAGCAAGATAATGGATGGAATCTTTCGTTTGCGACGCACGATGATGGAATGTAGTGTTGCATTGCATGAAGGACATGGCATATATACTTGCCACCTTGAGCTTGATAGTTTTGCATGTGAATGGATGGGATGGTGGTGGTCAGATGCAGTCAGGACATAGGGATCTAAATCAGAACACTACATAAGGTTGGGTTATTCGTTATTCTGATGAAAATGGATCGAGTCAATCATCACCGTTTGAGATAAGTACCAAGCACCAAGCACCAAGCACCAATTACCAATTACCAATACCAATTACCCAATCCGGAACCAGTTATTTCTTGCATAATTTGGTAATACTTGGTCATTTCATGTGGTTACCCGTCAATAAAATTAGACTGCACTTCTCCATTTCGAATTCATATTTCATCCTCACCAATTAAGGATGCACGGACCATCAAGTCACGCTTCACGCTTTACCTCGAAGAAGAGAGCGTTCACCAGTTGTTCCTTCCCGATGTAGGATGTCGGATGTAGGATGTAGGATGTAGTACATTGTACTCAGTACGTCCCTAGGAGGTACTTGGTATCGGAAGCAACAGATCAAAATGTTCACTTCCTCTCCACCTTCATTATACTTCATTCTTCAAAGGGTGTCTAGAATGTTGTCTTGACCTTCTTTTTCCTTTTCATCTTCATCTCCTTACTCACTCATTCACTCATTCACTCATTCACTCATTCACTCCTTCACTCCTTCACTCCTTCACTCCTTCACTTATTTCTCGGATTTTCAATTTCTTCAGTCATTCCTTTTAAACCTTTCCATTCCTTACAAACATGCTTCTCCGGAATAGAAGTAGTCTCTTCTTTGCGACGGGAGTTTTATGCATTCTCTGGTTACTGTTAACCAACCACAGAAGGATAGTGAGCCATGTGGTGGAGCAATATAAAGGTGCAATGGAAACAGAGGTTGTTAAAGCACCGGGATTTGAAGAAGTACCTACCATTCAAATAATTGATCCTCTGGTTGCCGAAGTTCCAAAACCACAGGAGGATCTTTTTCCCGCCCCGCCACGTCCTCCGCTTCCCGAAATGACTCTTCTTGAAGCTACTGCAAAGAGTAGTAGAATCACTCTTCATCTCTCCATACAGTTTCCCGAGGCAACAACGACATCATCTTCAGCATCTTCAACTGCTACATGGTCACTTCAGGATGAATTCATCAAAGAGAATTCGGCACTTGGAAAGTAAGTTTTCCAGAGCCTTGATTTATTGTTTTCTGCTAAAGCTTTCATCAGGGAACAAAATGCAGGTCAGATATATGGAAATACACTTGATGGGGTTATAGGAGTGGGTTTGCATGCCGAATCACACACATTATCTCTTAAGGAGACCAATACCTGGAAACCATACGCACGCTCAAAACCACTCGAATATCACCCATATCCCGACTACAACAGTGAAGTGTGGAAGTCGAAAAATAAAGGAACATATGTACCATGCGATGGAGGGGATGGACCGATCAAAGATATCTTGACATTTTCTGGACATTCGAAGGCTTTTGAAGAACCTCAGATGGGATCATATTCACTATTTGACATCGACAGCAATTTATGCTTTGAGAGAGAGACTCGGCTTGGTTCATACGGTTATACGGAGAATTCTGGGGTCTCAATCAATCCAGATTCGCCTCCTGGAACGGCTAAGGACAAACGTAATATGCAGACATCAATACGATGGGACGAAGTCAATTGGGGATTACTCCAAACTCAATGTTTTGAAAAGAACAGAAATCGATACTTGGTATCAGAGATCCCGGAAGGTCTTGGTGGAGAAATAATTATTCCTGCTCAGAACGCATCATCTCCATGGAATGATTCCAAGGCCAAGCAACTGAATACCAAGAAGAGAGTGTTGGGGACTATCGTCAGTCGAAATGAAGGCGAAGAGAATGAAATAAAAGATCATTTCGTGAAGGCACAACTGGAAAAAGCAGCTAAAGTCGCACTTGATGCAAAAACGCCCTATAAATCACGCACGGCAATTATGCTTCGATCATACTCAGGGAAAAAATGGAATGAGAACGACAAACAAAATGTTCGTTCTATAATTACAGAGTTGTCATTAAAATCTGGAGGCGAATTTGAGGTCTTTTTGCTTGTTCACATCAGAAATAGTACCATTGCCATAGGGAACGACGCTGACTATATTGAAGCTCTCCACAAGAATGTACCAAAGGAATTTCATGATATTGCGGTGCTTTGGAATGAAGATTACGTTCAAGGATATTATCCACTAATTCCAAAAAAGGTTACTAATGTACATCAATCTCAATGGCTTCCAGTTCAAATCTTCGCACTGGATTATCCCCAGTTTGACTTTTACTGGAATTGGGAAATGGATACCCGATATACTGGTCATCATTACGGCCTTGTTGAGAAATTAACAAAGTTCGGAACTGATCAACCAAGGAAGTATTTATGGGAACGAAATGAAAGATACTACATTCCGTCGGTACATGGTTCTTATGATACTGATTTCCGCAAAACTGTCGAAATTCTTTCAGGCAAAGACACTATTTGGGCACCGCCTAATGTCTCTAATGTCGTTCCAACTGGCCCATTACCACCAGTTTCAGACCCAGCTGAAGACAATTACGAATGGGGTGTTGGTGAAAGTGCTGATTATATATCGGTTGCACCAATGTTTAATCCCAATGGCACTGGGTGGGTTGGCAAAAATGATGTTTGGGGCTATGATGGACGTAATGATACCCCTCGACGTACAACTATCATTACCCATTCCAGGTGTAGCAAGAAGTTATTAGATGCCATGCATACCGAGAATCTTAACGGTAATCATGTCAGTAGCGAGATGACACCTCAAACAGTCGCCCTACTTCATGGATTAAAAGCAGTATATGCACCTCTTCCAATCTTCTTTGATAGAGCTTGGAACGGTACAAGTTTGAATAAATGGTTTAATCCTGGCCCTAAAGAAGAAAGTGGGAGTTCGTCTGATAGTCCATTTGGCTGGGGTAAAGAGAAGAGGTTTCTAGGAATGACCTGGTATTACAGAGCGATTCCACCAGCTAGACTATATAACAATTGGATGGGATGGGAAGACCATGGAATGGGTGGAGCTGAGGTATGTTTGATTATCTGTTTAGATGTTGTGCAAGTGTTAACTTATTAAGTGGGAGAACTTATATGGCAGGCCATGTCTTCCTCCACTTTTATTACATCCGGTTAAAAATACTGAAAAGTCGAAGAAGGGTTTTGCCACAAAGTACGATTTTCCTTAAGAGATAGGCGATGTCAAATGTATGGGGAGTTTGGCAAGGTTAAGGATTGATTTGGGAAAAGGTGTATGAGTATGGGAAATGAATTGCTTTACTTGCTAAAGAACGAATGTAATGATTGACAACGGGGTGGGATATTAGGTACAAGTACGATATACAAAAGATGGAATTATTTGCTGGCTTAGGATTTGTTAGGTAGAGGAATAGTGTAGAAGAATTTGTTTGTTTGAATGGCGAGTTAAGATCTACTTTTACTTATTATGATATTGAACTAAGAGTAGACTTTTTAGTTGTAGAATTTATTGAATATTTTTAAATTAAATAGAATTTCTATACTCAGTAAGTTCTTTTATAGTACAATTATACTTGAATAATATAATGTTATTATCAGATTTGTTATTTAAGTATTGAAGAGATTATATTGATATTATAAAACAAAAACCCCCAGAAACAAATCGAAATAAAAACTAATAAAAAAACCATATATAAAAATAGAATTAATAATAAAATGAATTTATTTTAAAAGATTTGAATTGTTAATATTTAATAAAGTATTAGAAAAGGGAAAAAGAAAATATTTTTAAGGGGTTTATAAGTAGTGGTTTTTGGATGTGAGATTTTGAAAGAGGGGGGGATTGAAAAAGAGTGAGAGGAGAATGGGAGGAGGGTGGGAGGAGGATGAAAGGAGGATGAGAGAAAGAAGAAAAAAAGATGAATCTAGTATTTTATTTTTAGATTATCTTTCATATCAAAAATTATAATTTTCAGTTATTAATAATTTAATAATAAATAAATAAAATTAATTGATATTTTAATTATAAATTTGTTATATAATTATCAATAGATTTTGAAATTTTCAGATTTTTCCTGATTCTATTAATTACAATATAAATAATTTAAATTATGATTTTTAATTTATATAGGATTTACAATTCTAGATCATTTATATTAATTAAAGTGTTTTTTTATATCAAAACTTATTTACTTTAATAAATGATTATATTTATAAAAATCATAAAATGATCTTTTAAAATTTTATGATTTATTTTAATAATTTTTCTAGATTATATAATCAAGATAGAAAATGAAAATAATAATTTTAATTTAATTTTCATAGAGAAAATTAAAAAAAATTTCAATTTCAATTTCCAATTATTATTATCTAATAAATATTTTTTTTTAAATTTCAAAATTCAATATATATAATCTTTATATTGTAAGAAAGTTGGAATTATAAACCAAATACATAAAGGTTTTAACTAGTCAATCATATAACCTTCTATAATTAGATATAAAAGAAAAGCCTTTTACCTCTTCTTTTTACAATAATCAATCTTCTACATATATACATTTGAACCTATATAATATCAACCCCAAAATTATTATGAATCTTGTTTTACTTATAAGTGATGTATTACAATATAATCTAATTCAGCTTTCTCTTCCAATTCCCTCCTCACAGCATGCTATCGGGATGCACGTATCTCGACCTACCACTTTTACAATATAAATATTTTTTATATTTTAAAAGGAATTAATTCTTGATTTTTTTTTGATATCAAAATATTCAAATTTGAAAATCATTAAAACTTGAAATAAATTTTCAACAAAAATTATTAAAAATAAACTATAAAAATTTTTCACATCTTTATAATAAATCATTTAAGCTAATTTACTTTCAAAATAATTTATATAAATTCTTTTAATTAAAATATTATGATTTTTAATCTTTGTAAAAATTAAAAATATTAATAAAAGTTTTTTTTATATAATTTAAAATATAAAATTTTGATCTATTATATAATAAATCTATAATTAAAATTTCAATTGATTTTATTTATTCGTTATTGAATTATTAATAATTGAAAATAACGATTTTTGATATAAAAAGATAGTTTATATTAAAAGTGATTCAAAAAGAAGATATTAGATTTAGGGAGAGTATAAGAAAGATGAATAACAGAAATTCAAAAGTGGTACTAAACATCAGGCTTTTTGTTAGGTTCGAGGTTTGGGATAACATATAGATGTTTATTGAGGGGATTAAAGTTCTTTTGTGATAATTAGAGGAGAATGAATATTCGAGAGGATGTATAGTTTATGTATCACATTTGTTAAATTCAAGTTTGAGAAGTTGTATAGAAGTTTTCTACTAATGATGATATGTCTTTTTGAATCTATAATACTTTGGTATTTCTTCAAATCTTAGTTCTTTGTATATTTATTATAAATCTATAGATCAAATGAGATGATCTCTAAATATATATTTGTTATATAGATATAGATCTTTTCAAGCTGCTTTTAAGTAAAAACTTGTTTTCTGTTTTCACACTTGAATATTCGAGAAAAATCTCTAGTTAGACAATGAATAGATATTTCAAAATCTTTATTTATTGAAGGAGAATTTGATTGTGATAATTCAGAATAGGAAAGTCGAAGTGGAAGTTTTTTTTCTTGACGAATATTATATAGTAATACCTTTGCTATTATCAACTAAACTTTTATATACAAATGAAATTTTGTTCCCTTGACTAAAAATGCTGCCCTTCTCCTTTCTGATATTTTCTTTACTCGAATCTTATCAGATTATCAAGATTAAGAAAAAAAATAGATATTTTGAAATAACTGCTAATAACTCATATACAAATTCAACCAATCGCATCAATATAATCAATGGATGTAGAGTTCCCGCTTGGTATTCTCCCGAATTTAACTAATTATAGATAAACGGATAGTTCAAGTAGATCTATAACATATAGTACCACACTTCGAACTATAAAGAGTACCAATAAAAGAGCAACGGATGGTAAAATGGTGGAGCATAGGTATTGGCAAGCGGCGGAACGTGTTTCTGTATGAATCGTAGAACACCGAGGTATTAATGGCGGATTTTTAATTATATTAGGAAAATGGAAGAAATTGAATAGGATCTTTCCGAAGGTTTCCCTATTTCCGAAAAGATTTAGTTAGTACACTACGAAACTCCGGATTACAAAATGAACTAGATATTTTGAATTAACTTGATCAAATTTAAATCTACTGAAAAGTTGAACAATCCATCCAGAATAATATAAATCCTCAACAAAGTAGACTGCCGTCTATGTTATTCGAGCTTTTAAATTAAATGATACTACTTATATATGATATTCTGCTTTTTCAATTGGATCACAAATGTTTGAATATCTTTGGGGTTATCCAAGTTATAAAATGATTCTTGTAGATCGTATAGTAATAAGTTTTGTGGAGTCTAGAAGTCCCTATAATAGTCTAGAATCCTTAATATAAGATCATCTAGTCCAGACATTTATATTGAATTCTCCCCAATAGTTCATCTACTCCAGGAAGTCATACCGTGGCAATCCGGGCAACCATCCGGGCAACCATCCAGATGGAATATGGTAGGTCTATTGGATACATTGAGACTACAATACTAACTCAAACAAAGCCCTACACGGAATCTAGAATATAGCTTTTGTTCATTTTAATACTGAAATTCTGAAAATTAATGTTTTAATTTAGATTCAAAAAACGTCCCAAGCTTTTTCAAGCTTTTGATTATCTTAATCTTGGTATAGTGTTGCAGACTTGGCGATGGCAGTAGTTTCGCTATCCGGAAAAAGTTAACATCAAATTCAGAATAGGGGTGTTCGGTAAGAAATTGTGCTGTGTGATTTCCTACATCTTGGACTCTCCCACATTATTCAGTTATTTTCTGTTCGAGCTAGAGTCTTCAGAAGTACAGTCCATGGCTTATTTAAATATATTGTAAAAGAGGTAGGTCGACATACGTGTGTCCCGATAGCATGATGTAAGGGGGAACGGGAGGTAGAAGCTGATTAGATTATATTGTAAGGCTTCGCTTAAAAGAATAATAGTCACAATGGGTCTAGGGCTGAAGCTATGTGGGTATAAATTACAAGTCTAGTACCCTCTTTTTGGACCACCCCTAATATGGACCACCTTTTTACACCCAAAATCGTGATTTTCATCTATTAATAACTTTACAACTAATCAATAGAATTTAATGAAATTTGAATCATAGATTCATTATATAGTTATAACTTGATTCTGGAAATTTTAGATTTTTTGGAACTAATTTCATCAAGATTTATAACCTTAAATTTTGTGATTTTTGATTTGTATAGGATTTATATATAAGTTTATAAAATCTTTAAAATCTTGAATAACTTTTCAACCAAAATAATGAAAAATAAATTATAATTTTTTTTTCGAATATTTATATTATAAATGATCAAATAGATTAGTTTATTTTAAAAAATATTTTACAAAAATCCTTTTAATCAAAATGTTATAATTTTTAATCCTTACAAAATCTAAAAATATTAATAAAGATTTATTTATATTATTTAAAATTCAAAACAATAATTTATTATATAATATTTAATCTAAAAATTTTCAAAAAATTTATAGTTTATTTTTAGCAATTTTTGTTGAAAAGTTATTCAAGATTTTCAATATTTTCAAATTTATATATAAATCTAATACAAATTGAAAATCGTAATTTCAACTTTCAATTTCTCAATCAATAAAATCACGAAAAATCTAAAACTTTCAAAATCAATTAATAATTATATAATTAATCTATAATTAAAATTTCAATTGATTTTATCTATTCGTTGTTGAATTATTAATAGTTGGAAATGACGATTTTTGGTGTAAAAAGGTGGTCCATATTAGGGGTGGTCCAAAAGTAGGGTACTAGACTTATAGGTAAAAAATTGATTGTTGTAGGAAAGGAGGAGCGAAAGCCTCCTTTTATATCTAACTACGAGAGGTTATGCAATTGAATGATTGGAAACCACTACGTATATGGCCTTACAATTCCAAATTTCTCACAATATTACGTTGCTGTGAGATTATTTCGTGGCAAAATGCATACTCCTATAGAGCGCATAGCAAAATACAGTAGACATTGGGTTACAAAAACTAGCGTTGATGAATGTAGATTTTTATGAAGGATGCTCCTACATCACATTTAGTTCCCACCTCCAAACTTGAAAGATTGTCACTCCCACTCTCATATTTCTTTCATGGTCTTAGATAAACTGACATGGTTTAATTCGACTTCCAGGTCCAATTAAACAATTGTTTCTCAGTTTGAAGCTCTCGTGTTTCCACTTTTAGGATTTTCCACTCTGTAATCTTTAGTTCAACTTTCGCATCATAATATGGGACTCTCGTTCTACTGTGGAGTGCCCCACTCTCGTGATAATATGTGCGCTGTCATGGTTCATTCCGAATTCGCATTCAACCTTAGTACCATAACATTGGAACTTTCGTTCCAAACATCGGGTATCCTCCACTTTAAAGATTTCAAATCAATCAGTACTATTCTTTGTATCATGGAGGGTATGCTCCGATATTTCGTGCGGCCAGAACACATGTTGCACTCAACTGATAAGCAAATACGATAATATGGTAAGCTGCCAAGAGACTATTGAGCCATAACATACATCCCGGCAGCACGAGTATTTAATATCATATTTTGACATGCGCTTTTTCTTTGGATTCAATCTGTAAGTTGAGGACTGCTCTACTAACATTGACAGAAAAGACAGCATCGACTATCAAAAGAAACAAAACCAAACAGCCACAAACGACGGAGAGATTGGCACAGAAGCAGTGAAAAAAGACCTCAAACAAACGGGCATAACTTCAGGCAACACTGTAAGTATTTGATCTCAATGGAAATTATTTCCGAGCAACTCCAGAGTGAGCCGTTTTTGAACTTGTGCCAGTTCGCGGAGAATGAGGAGTGCATTTTGCTTTCTGGAAGACCCTGGTGAAGTGTTGTAGATAATAAGTGGGTGCTGGGTGGTGTTGGGATGCGAATATTGTTACAACGGACATCAGATCGGACTGATTACCGCATCACATGACTAATCGCATACTGAAGTTGATCACCTGATTAAGGAATCCCACCAAAAAGAGTTTTCCTATCTCAATAGGAAATATTCCTACAACAAGAGGACAACAAGAAGCAATAAAACGAATAGCACGAAGATCTATATAATGAAGATTGATTTCCTTATTGTAAAACTTCATACCCAAAATCAATCATTTAGTATAATCTACTATTAGTTACAAATTGCAATCATTATTGTATTACTTAAATCCCTGCTTAACACCTAGAACACTTCCACGTGATCTAGACGGCAACCCTCGTAACAAATATGGTGTGTATTCAGTGCCGAAATAGATACGAATATTAAAGTATTTTATAATCTATTTAATTCTGTGCGTATATTGTTGTACGCCGCCTGCTAGACTTCTACACAAGTTATTGGTGACGCTATTTTTTGTATACTCTGAATCCACTGACATCTACTTGCGATTCACTTGAGATCTGGTGTAGCTGCACAAGAGTGGATATCGAGATTTGAGATTCGGTATTCTCGTATCAGTCTCAAGGGACTTCCCCAGCAATTCCTTTCACGCGTGTTCTTTCCTCATCTTACTACTTTATCCCTATCACCCAAAAAATCTATACGAGGTGATCTAATCTTACTGTTTCGATCTTTAGCACCTTCCGGTGTTCGGGCGTGGAATCATGCTTGAATATCTTGACGGCGTGTATGTAACAATTGCAGGGATGCGGAAAATAACTAGGAGTGATTATATGGTTAATGGTGATGGGTGGATAAAAGATGGGTAATCAAGGTCAGATGTGGCTCAGTGCGTTTTAGATCCACTATTAACCCAGTTTGGAGTAGTGATGCTACTAGACGATATCTAAGTCTCGGCAATCTTACCTAATATGGCAAGGTCTAGTGAAAAGTTACGAAGATTCTACGAATTAGATCACGGTACGGAGTATAAATTAACATATAAAAGCTTGCACTAAAGCTTGTTAAGACGAGGACTGACAACGGGAGGACTCGGAATTTTCAGGCTCAATAAAGTATGAGATTCCAACGTCGATTGAGTTCTTGATGGTGAATTTAATACGCCAATGAGTACGATTGCTTGGTCAATCGAACTTCTTTTAAAAAATCCAACTAGCTAATTATCCTTTAAAAGACTTGACTGGAACATTAAAAGGGACTAGTGTGGAGTTGAAAGCTGTTGAAAAGCACGGCTCTACGTTGATATCTAAAAACAAGAGATTCAACAACTGGTCGGTGATGATTGACTAGGGTTGCGCGAAGGCGGGGTATACCCGGGGTAGCCAGGGGTAAAATACGCGGTGTAAGGCAAGGTGAAATCCGTAAAACATGTCGTCCCTGATAACCCGTGCATTCGGGGTACATCACACGTGTAGAATTATTCTTGGTGGTGGCTGCAGAGAGTGGATAATTAATTCAAGACCTTTCCTGGAAAGAGCTAAATGCTTAAAATTGTCCGCAAAAGCTGTTGCAAATTTAATCACTAGACAGAACCTTATCTCCGAGATAAAATCGAATTGTAGATGTAAGGCCGCACTTTCGTATACAGGAGGTATCGATATTATAAGGGATGCTGCATCTATCTGATAAATTGTAACCTCTGGAACGTTCCAAAAATGCAAAAGTTTTGTGCCAATTGATTGCAAGTAATCAAATAGGCCAAAAAGTTCTTGTTCAAGAAAACAAACTTTCAAAGACATCCGAGAACAATCTACGTTGCAAATGAGCTTGATCTAGTATGAATTTGGTTAGCATTCTATTGCCAAGTTAGTTCTAGTCCGAAAGATGGGATGTTAGAAAAGGTGCTGAGTACAAGGCATAAACGAGATATACAATCCTTAAGGTTTACGGCTAGACTCTTCCTTCGGTATTTTAAGAATGGTGGTGCCAGATCACCCGGTATTTCCGCCGGCCATTCCTTGTTGCGATTCATTCTAGGATTATTCCGTACGCATCGTGTCGGAGAATTTAAAGACACAACCAAATACCGTCTAAGCTCAAGTAGTTCGTTCAAGTGTAAAGTCTTTTCGGAATAAGGTTGTGTACATATAATTGGATGCACGAATCAAGTAGATTGGGAAGTAGATTAATTAGTAGAAATTTTCTATCAACTTTACAAATTCTCCCACCCGGAGGCAAGGCATGGAGTGGTCGCGATGAATATCAAAGTAAGGTACCACACAGAGAACGCAAATCAGTCACATCATGCACACTGGATTGGCTGGATCTAACCTATGGGGTCAGAAAGTATAAGATTTCGCTTATGCTGATACGTGTGCCGCTCAGGGATGTCTTCCAGAAGCAATAAGGAATATCCCAGCTGGACGTGCCAGCATACTGTACAAGTAGTAAAGTCTGTTGAATTAAGGGACCACAATGCCAGTGGATATCATGTATGGGTCCTTAGCTATCGATAGTACTAAATCAATGAGGTCCAATGCTTATCGATGACGCAAAGTTCTAGAACTTCTTTTAAATTAGAGGAAAATTGGTTTATCAGACTGTAGAAGATTACCTCCTTTTGTAGGCCTGATGCAATAATCCCTTGAACTCACAATTCAAAACAGTCGCCCATACCGGTGGCTTGCAGTCGAAAAAGCATCAGGCACCTCAGACGGTCTGTGTACTCCTGTTAGAGATTAACGTTCAATCGGCTCTTGATATGTAGGATGATTAGAGATTTCCGTCTAGTAGATTACCAAACCTCACAGTTAGGTCAAATAAGGTTCGCACCCTGAGGCCCCTGACACTACCGAGCCAACCTTTCGCTTAAAATTCGGCATTGTCTTTTAGTGAAAAGCTTCTCTGTTTAATCTAGTACCATTAGAAAGTGTATATTCGAGTATCAAGTAAACTCTTTGATCTCGTAACCAAATTACCACGAGATATAATTCGGGGAAACGCTCAGAACTGAGGAATGAGTATCATGACCGAGTAATCCCAGACGCTTGCATTTTCACGGTTCTTCCCTCTAACTTAATAATAACCCGCACAGGTTTTGACAAGATGCATTTTTGTTCTAGAAGTTTAACAAATTGCAATATTATATTTATGTTTTAAGGTTATCTCTCGTTCGTACTCGGCACGTCCTATTTAATTCTATGAACGGTTAAGGGCATTGGGACTAGAAGAACCTAAAATGTTCATTTAAACTTAATATGCAAGAGGTCCTTTTACTCAACTGCGTGGTGGTCTTACTGATAAGAGGAACTGACCGCGGATTAAACCGAAGGATGGGTTAATGTGCCGAATATAAGCTCATCAGACGCCACAAAATTAACCTTTGTCTAGGTATCAGTTACATTTAGTACGTGCATAACTTGTGTTTAATAATTATGGCCCTACACTAGCCACCCTAGGGAGCCACTTCTCACCACTACACTCCTCTGACATACTAGACGTAGTAGAACCTTAAAAGTAGTCGTGGCCTTTACCCAGTCATCATGAATTGAGGAGTTAGGTTCATGAAATGTTGGGAGGCTAGTGGAGGGAGCTAGAATTAGCCTGTGTTATACTTAGCTAAAGCTTATAGCCGACGAAACAGTGAAAGGGGCCTTTAATTTTTCGCTAGCAAGAGCATCACCATTCTGTAGCATAGTGATTGCCTTCTGGGAATGAGTAACGAACATCGGCGACGGTCTGAGGACGGAGGACACTTCTGGATTTCAAATCTCAAGTTTTTCTATAAGTACCAGCTGGATGTCCATTCTTTATCTTCTCTTTAGCAGCTCACTTCATTCACTTATCAAATAATCACTTCATTCACTTATCAAACAACCACTTCATTCACTTATCAAACAACCACTTCAGCCATTTCTACTCAAAGGATTCCTCTTTCAATCCTTTGCAACAATGCTTAATTTACCGGTCCTCGCTGCCTTTTTGGCCAGCTCTGCTTTTGTAGCCGCTGATCCATCTTTTGTAAGACTATCTACTTTCCATAGCATTCACTTCGACAAGTATTAACATTTCATCCTCTTAGGCTTCAGAAGATTTGGACAAGCGCGCCGCTTGCACATTCACCAGCGCAGCTACGGCCATAGCCCAAAAGGCAGGATGTTCTAGTATCACCTTGAACAGTATTGCTGTACCAGCTGGCACCACTCTTGATTTGACCGGCCTCGCTACCGGTACCAAAGTTATATTTGAAGGAACTACTACGTAAGTTCTCCACCCTCATATTCACAAAACAATTCTAAATGAATTACAGCTTTGGATATTCGGAATGGGAGGGACCTCTCGTCTCTATCTCTGGAACTAACATCGTCGTTACTGGCGCATCTGGAAACAAGCTTGACGGAGGCGGTGCAAGATGGTGGGATAAACTTGGCTCCAATGTCAGTGCTGGTAACGGCAAAGTAAAGCCTAAGTTCTTTTCTGCACACAAGTTGCTTGGATCATCCAGTATCACTGGTTTGAACTTCCTCAATGCACCAGTTCAATGCATTTCTATCGGTTCATCTGTGGGCCTCTCGCTCATCAACATCAACATCGATAACTCCGCTGGAGATGCTGGTGAACTTGCACACAACACAGATGCTTTTGATATCAACTTGAGTCAAAATATCTTTATTTCTGGCGCGGTCGTCAAGAATCAAGATGATTGTGTTGCCATTAACTCCGGTTCTGTAAGTTTTCTCCTCCCTTCAAAAAACCTGTGACTTCTCTGATGAATAACAGAACATCACTTTCACTGGCGGAAATTGCTCAGGAGGACATGGTCTCTCCGTCGGCTCCGTCGGTGGCCGCTCCGGCACTGGAGCAAACGACGTCTCGGATGTCAAATTCTTGTCCTCTACTATTAGTAAATCCAGCAACGGCGCTCGTATTAAGGCTGTCAGCAATCAAAAGGGTACAATCAAAGGCGTTACCTATAAGGATATCACCTTAGTCGGCATCACTGGTTTTGGTATTGTTATTGAACAAGATTATCAAAATGGTAGCCCTACTGGCACCCCAACTGACGGAGTTCCAATCACCGGTGTCACTATGGATAATGTCCACGGTACTGTTTCGGGTGGCCAAAATACTTACATTCTTTGCGCCAACTGCTCTGGCTGGACTTGGAATAAGGTTGCTATCACCGGAGGAACTGTTAAGAAGGCCTGCAAAGGTATCCCGACAGGAGCCTCTTGTTAAACTACGAGCCGGCTTGATCGCACAGAAAATCGAACGTGGGTTTTCTGAGAAATACAAGTCATTTGCAAGATAGTTAACAGATGGAATTATGGAAAAGGATAGATCTTTGAGAGATTTGTTTGAAATTTAGTTTTTATTGTTTTCTGCTATTTGTTTTTGAAAGTTCATCATTGAAAAGAGGAGAATAGATTGTATCTTATACTGCCTTTTGTTTTATCCACTTAGTTCACTATAAATATACTAGTGTTCAATAGAGACAACTTGTCACACAAAACCTTTTCTTCTCACCATGTGATCATTTATTATATTGCTCTTGATTGGCAATCACTTCTGTTAAGGAGTGAGTCACTTTGCGCTGTGTCACAACAACCAGGTCTTGCAATGAAGATTCCATAGTCTGACATGGGAATCATTTTGAGTCCAAATATTTATTGAACGAACAACTTATATCTTAAGTAGCCAGTACTAATTCATTTTATATTCGACTTTGTAATATTATAAGAGAAAACAATAAATATTGTTTATGTTTCTCAAATACCACCCAGTGAGTAAATGGATAAATAGTTGAATGGTTGAGATATAGAATTATTATTGATTGATTCTTTTTATATTATAAAAAAGTTGGAATTATAGATCAAATACATAAAGGTTTTTAACCAGTCAATCATATAACCTTTTATAGTTAGATATAAAAAGAAAGCTTTTGCTTCTTCTTTTCACAATAATCAATCTTCTATATATATATATTTGAATCTAAATAACATCAACCTCAAAACCATTGTGAACTCTGTTTTCTTTATAAATGATATATTACAATATAATCTAATTCAACTTTCTCTTTCAATTCCCTCCTTACAACATGCTATCGGGATACACGTATCTCGACCTACCACTTTAACAATATAGCAAAGTATAACTAGAAATAAATTCCCCTCATTGTTCCTCAAGAATTATAAGCTTAGATTTCAAAAAAAGTATACAACTCCAAGCAAACCCCCAGCATATAAAAATCTAACCCATCATCCCTCTCCACCCACCCATCCATCCATTCATCTATCTATCTCTCCTCATCTCTATACTTTCCCCTTCTAAGCCCTAACCCCAAGTACACACAACCTCGCACCCACGCCTCCATCTTCCCCACCATTGCCATTCACCTCCCCATAGCCCACCCACCCAAAACACAAACTAACCCTCAACCCGCACATCCTCCCCTCCAACAACCTAACCTCCTCGCACTCCATCCCACAAAGTCCCTCTATACTCCTCCCCAGTAACTCCTTCCACGCCTTCTCACTCCAAACCAGTTTCCCTCCATTAACACAACCCGTTTCATCGAGTAGCGTGGTGATGATTTTAGGGTTAAGTGTTAGGGTCAGAGGTTTATTGCAGTGTAGACAGGGGGTTTGAGGGGTATTGGAGTAGATTGGGATACCGCAGCTAGTGTGAGTGAGTGAGGGGTGGTTAGTTGGTTTGTTTGCTTTGTAGAAATGGAAAGGGGAAGAGAGAGGAAACAAACCATTCAGTACATAATAACATATTTCTTCTCCAACATTTAACCAAAGCCATCTCCAATATGACGACATTAATCCACCCTGTGAAAACTTCTCCCTCACTACCTCTAACCCTTTCATCTATATCCTTCAAAGTGAAAAGCGCACTCCCAGGTCCATAAATCGCTTCTTCTACTTCTTCTTCTCCCCAAATATCATCTGGAAAAGTAATCCCTATACTTTCTTTCATCATTAATCCTATTGCCCATTTCTTCAACCATATTGCATCAGGAAAGTCGGGTTCTACATCCACCATTGTATTTCTTCCAAAACCAATTATTCCTTTCCCTCCGTAATCTAATTTATGCATCGGATTTGAAATAAGGAGGATTGTTCTTCCAGGTTGCCATTCCTTAACACTTTCGACTAAATCGGACCAACATTTCATTTTCGTTTCACCTGTATGATCGAAGAGTATAACTTCAATAAGATCCGATTCTCCTCCATCTTTTTTAATGATCTTTTTTCTTGCTCCAATACTCTTTACACAAACTAGAAGTTTCACATCTAATACTCCATCATATCCTCCATTTAAATATGCTTCAAGTGTCATGAGTCCGGGTAATGGTTCGCCTCTGATATAATTTAGAGGGATACGACAAACATCTGAAGCTCCAGAATGAGTATGGATCATAATATGATCACTAGTATTGCGACCAGGGAATAGATTGGCGCAGACTAGAACACCGGATGTTGGGGCACCGTCGGATTTTGATGTATCGGATATGAAGGCTGTCCAGATTGAGAGAAGTTGACCTAATTTTAGCGGGTAAGGTTGATTTGCGAAGTAGAGTTTTACCTGTGAAGGGAACTGGAAGTTAGTATAGGGGAAGCCTCGAGTAAACGAAGAGAAGTATAGCGAATATCATGAAAGACCAGCAGATGGCAATCAAGGAAAGGGACAAGATGACAAAAATAACAAATCAAACACTACTCACGGAAACAACGCCTCCTTCTCCTCTGACCCCAGTATAGTGCCATCCTCTAGCCCTAGGTTGTTTCGCACTTTTACCAATGATTGTTGTAAAACTAACTACTCTTCCAATGAAAGTAACTGCTTTTGGTCCTAAGATATTAATAAATCAGTAAGTCTCTTATAAATCTCTTCCTAACAATTCTCCTAAACTTCCATTTTGCCAGTTATAAATTCTACCCAGCGATGCAGCAAGAGAAGAAGATACAAAACATCTAGCAACCAAAAACATGGTATATTGCTGAGTAACGAAGGGCCCAAAACACACTGAATATAGTTGAAGTGTACATACCAGGAACAAGCTCTCCTACCCCAACATTCTCATACTCCCTACTTGGATTCCATTTCCTAGTCAAAGGATCCATCGCTTCATTTAATTCTTCTTCCTGTTGCCATAACAAAAAATTAGTTGTCAGACAAAGATAGGGAATGAAGTCATCATCGAAGCATTTCCTATATTAGCCTGTCGTTCCTTTCCTCATCACTTTCTACTTTCCCCCATTTCATGACGGCGCAAAGCGCACAGCAAAAAATACCAATTAGCGCACAAAAATCCAAAATCCAAATCCAAAATCCAAATCCAAAACTGCAAAACACAGCAAAATTCAAAAGCAAAATCAAGAGTAACAAAAGTATTCCCTTCCCTCCCCTTCAACTCACCGTAAATCCATCTCCATCTCCATCCACCTCATCCCCCTACCCCTCCGCCAGCTTTCCCCTAACCCCTCCAACATCCCACCCCACCCCACCCCCACCAAAATCCGCCAGATCCGTTAGAAAACCATCCCTCTCGGCTGCCCTCTTCGCTCCGCTCTCAAATTCCCTTCCCCTTCCCTCTCAAACCCCCTCGTCCATCCTCCCTTCAAATCCTCTCCCTTCCCCTTTCTCCCTCAAACCATCCTCCCCTCTCATATGCAACCCAACATCCCTCTGAAAAAAACTCTGAATAGACGGGTATGATGAACATGAACCTGAAGGTGGCATTATAGATTAAGGTGTAATAGTAAAGAAGTGATTGATTACTACGGACTCGAAAAGCGCAGAATGTGGTAGGTTTATAGATGTAGTCGATGAGGAAGAGAGCGGATGGAATGTAGGGAACGTAAACAGTATATCGAACTAATTGATGATGTCGCAAAAATGTTAAAGGTCGAAAGATTTAATGTTCAAAGGTGAAGGAAGATGTTTGGATAAAATTCAAGTGAGTGACCCGCGCTAATGATCACCATTTTCTAACTCCTTCCTCATTTAAATTCACAACATGAACCATGAGAATTCCAAATTTATACAATTATAAAACATGAAAATATTCACAAAGATGGTAATGAAAGTCAATATTTGAAGTTGCAATCTCTTCAATTCTTGTTAAAAAAACTATTCTAGGTAATGAATGAATGCATGGTATTTAGGTATCACCATGAGGTAGAAAAGAACAGTAAGAAGCAGTTCGAGAATCAATCAAAAGTCCCACCCCACCAGAAAAACTCAATCATCCATCAGCTTAGACCAAAGAGACAATCTAGTAAAGCTTGTGCTCCAAGGTCATATCATTCTCAGGCTCAAGACCAACACAAGCACGGAAGATATTAGTCAAAGCACCACGTTGCTTGGCAAGTGCATTAACAACTGGAGCTCCAGGTGGAGTCAAAGGAGCCTTGAGCATGTAACTGAGAATACTAAGAACACTGTGGAAGTTCTTGTAATCCTTAGTCGTGGCACCATCAGTGGAGTGAGCCTTCCATTGAATACGAGTCATCATCTCTGCAATAACAACAAGATCAATGATCAATGGAGAAGCAAGAAGGGAGTCCTCGCAAACATTGAATAGACTATTGGTGATTAGTATGATATCAACATAAGGATCAATGGAAAGATGGCTTACGAAATGGTTTGATGACCTCCCATGAAGATCTCAGCATAGTACTCATCAAGAGCACGCTTGTTATCACCAACAGCTGGCATGTACTTGATGACGACACAATGGTCAGGATGTTCACCTTCCTTGTAAAGAACAGTGTTGGCTGCTACCATGTCATCGACGACATTAGATTTAGAGATCTCCTTGGAACGGAATTGCTTTTGAGAGCTGAGATTCTTTCCATCGTTGTTACCAAGATGATTGTAACTGGAGATAGCAGTAAGTTTGATACCAGCACTGATCAAGAAGTCGACAAGAGCAGACTTCATCTTGGTTTGACCAGATTTGAAGTCATCACCACCAATGAAGGAACCATGTTTCTCTGCGAGCTCAATGCAACCAGGAACAAATGTGTTTTGTGGAGAACCATTGATGAAAGGTGCATTTTCGAGAATGCAAGCAACAGCGAAGACGGTAGATGGAGCAACTTCCTCGTGTCCGTTCTCAATGGCTTTCAAAAGATTGTCGGCAGTGTCGTTAACACCATCAATGAGATCGGCGAAACGTTCAGTGTTGGCAGTCCATAGAACGACGATCTTGTCGAGTCCGTTGTTGGCCTTGAAGTCACTGAAAAGAAGAACATTAGCGAATGATGAAAATAAAGCAAAAAAGAAAGTGTATGGTTACCGGATATCCTGACGAATCTTTTCGACATGTTCATTGCAAGCTTTGCTACCCGGAACGAGGTTGTCGGCACGATCTTCTTGGTTGGCAGCAATGAAGTCTGGATAGTAGAGACCAGGAAGTGGAACCAAATCAGTCATCTCTTTCTTGATTTGTGCCTTCAAGGTAGGTTCAAGGACACCAGCACGATCCATGGCATCAGACAAGTTGAAACCACTGATGTCCCAACCACCAATGACCAAATCATTGGGGTGAACCATTGGCAAGGCATTGTGGAAAGGAATGTTGACATCATCACCGGTCTTTGCGTTAGTACCAAGCTTCATGGTTGAACCCATGACAACAGAACCATAGTAGTTAGCATCACGACTACCCTCGCGAGTAGCCCACGAAAGACCACGACGATTAGCAATGATACCAGCAGTGACAGTTGTACCATTGTTTCCACCCCAACCGACAAGCATCATACCTGTCTTGGGAATCTTACGATCAACCTTGAAGTCATAGACAGTGTCTTTGGGAGTAGCAACAAATTTGCCATTAGCAGTCTGAGAGACTGAAGTTGTACGGTAATTGTACTTGGAGCGAATCTCGTCATCAGTGTAGATAACGTTTGGAGAGCTGACTGTGAACAAGTCTTGGTTAGAGGATTGGGAGATTGCACCACCCATGTTGCTGGAGCCGTTTGCGTGAGGAGCCATCTTGATTGATTTAGAAAACTCGAAAAGTTCTTAAAAAGTTCTTGATTTGAGGTAGAAGATGTTTTGAAAGAATCTTAGGACTGATGTAATAGTGTAGGAAGCTTGCAAGAGCAAATGTAAGATTGTTTTCGAGTTTGATGGTTACAAATGTATAGACAAAAAGTGTTTGCAAATGTTGTGTTTGGAAGAAGAATTCAGATGATTGAACAGCTATTTATCTAACAAACGGCGAGTCCGATGCTCCTGCTGGAGAAGAGCAACGGGCACCAGCAAAAGGATGGTGCGATCTGTAGGTAGAGGGTTAGTATGCGTATTTCCCAAATGATCCTCCCTCATTGAGAGATTGTTGACGGTCGATTGCATGTTGGGAAGGAAGCATGAAAGCAACAAATGACAAGAAGATCGGAGATATGCCCGACATCGTAACGTCATTGAAAGTTGTGGAAGGACGTAATGCGCAGATGTAAACAAAGGAATTTGAATGACTTCAAGTGGTGATGAGGATAGAAGCTTGGGAAAGAGCTCCCTCCATTGAGGATATATTCTTTAAAAAGGGGCACTTACGAGTTGAGAAGATTGGAAAACGTCTTGACGACGGGGGGATCACACTCGTAAGTGCGATCTAATTGATTGAGTGGAGTTGAGTTTTGAGGAGCTTTCGCAATTGATCTTGATCTTGATCTTGATCTTGATCTTTCAGTTGATTCGAAGTATGTGGTTATTGAATAGAAGTTCTTTTCCGTGGGGATTGAAGTCAATTTAAATCCTTTCGTTCTCAACTTCCGTTGTTGTCCGGATTTCGTAATAGCCCCCCACTAAAGCTAGGTACAGAATTAAAGCCAACAGAGCGGTTTACCCACTCTTTGCATAATCATCGTTGATTGGATCAAATATCATGCACATCGATAACGATCAACCAAAAAATTATAAGATTCTCCATCAACTTTCCCATTTGAATGTTGAGCTGGATCATTTTGCGGAGACTCTGGAGAAGTTGTGGAGAAGGAGAAATCGAATGAATTCCGGAGTACTTCAAGTATTTGTCTATGAGCATAGAGTAAGGTAAGGAAAATGGAAGAGTAGCAAATATCACGATACTTAGAATTGTTCAACTCACACAAATCATCTGGTCGAGGCAATATATCCCAGTTCCAGAGGTGGCTGGCTTATCGACTTGGCTTGTGAAATTGCTTCTAGGGTACCTTATCGGCGCTCTCATATAATTTGTTATCAATCGGACGGACCATTCACTTCCTACCAGCCACGGCTTTTCGTCCTGCATGCGCAAATTTCCTAGTATTCGTGTATTGATGTAAATGATGATCTTTCATTCCAATCATCCTACTTGTTTAATGTTCGACAATTTCATTGCTTCCATTGAAACCTAGATAGATACAAAGACAGAGAATATTTCCAATATCTATCCATACCTCACTATCATTTGGTTCCCGGCCTCCTACTGCGAAATCCCCGTCGCGGTTATCCATTAGTAGCATTTCAACATGTTGCACTTACTGCACTATTGGTATTTAAAACCACAGCAAGCCAAGGAAGTAGCGGTCAGAACGTGTCAATATGCATCCATACTTCCATATACTTCCACTCCTGGCCATCACACAAAATCAATCGCATATTTCCGGCCTCCTCAATGGCATGGAACAAAATCCAACACGTGTAATTTCACCGCATGTTCGAACACAACAAGGTAAAGAGGTGTGATGAGATGCAACCAGCGGCATTTAGGAATTCTCCTGTCTGTCCGGTAGATTGGACCTCACATATTCCGAGCTTGGATGTTCTTTCGGGCTGGAAATTGGCTGTTGGAAATAAATGCAGGTAGGTGAATACTTTTAATGGTTGTGTTTGTAAAGGTTCGATGTTCAACCCAACCTGGGATGCGTGAAGAAATAACCTCGCTTGGTTGGGAGTGGTTTGGAGAGAGCTTGGCTGAACAGAGGCCAAATTGCGAAGGACAAGGATAGGGGCTTTTGGATCTTGCGAATTTGAGAGAGAGAGGAAAAGATGCTTCGTGGAAGTTTCTGCGCGATTGATATATGTATGATGTGTGATGTATCCTGTCGTTAAAGACAATTGAATTCCCCTACTGGCTCTAGACCACCGATCAGCATCGCAAATAATCTCATGATGTATCTGTGATATTATTGACGGGTAGAGGGGTACTTTGTACATCCCACCTGCAAAAAGTTAAATGATATGAAGAACTGCATTTCCTAACTAGAGAGGAAAAGGATCCCTCCTCTTCGGACCAAAGAAGATGAAAACCCTTTCGGAAATCTTCGAAAATGGAAGGGGATCGTCTACATATAAATGAAGACGCCCTTTCAGGAAATATCATGTGGGGATCAGGGGCTAACACATGGATGGATGTAAGGTCAATCTATTTTCGGTATGGAGGGAACACCAGAAGAAGTTGGTTGATAGATTACCGGGCTTTTCATTTCGACCAGGGAAGGATTCTCAACCGTGTGAATGAATGAATAGTCGCCGTTTTCCGAGTTTTGAACATCAAAGCAACGGAAGGAAGACGGGTACTCTGTTTAATTTCAGGAATCCGAACCTTCATCCTGATGAAATAAACAAGGATAAGGTCACCTAGTACGCTGTAGGGAAAATGCATGTTTGTTCTAGTGAAGCAATAGCTTCCAAATACTTCTAGATCCACAAACCATAAATAAATAAACAAGTACCTATCAACATCAACATCGACATCGACATCGACATCTGTAGTACAACAAATGATCTCGACGCTTGATTACCTTATTATTACTCCCTTCCACAAATTACTCCATCTGCAGTGTAACCAACACGACGAGGAATCATGGTTAAATCTTGTGTTCTCACGGCAGTCAGGACCCGAATCGGCTAATTCGATTTTGGACAGTGCAATGAAGGGAAGGAGGATGGACGGGCATTTTTGTGCGACTTTTTGACCTCCGGGATAAGGTTAATAATGCATGGATGCATGGATGCATGGATGCACTTCATTTCATATAAAGGAGTAAGAAATAATAAATCACAGCAATGAAAGAAATACCTAATAAATAATGCACAGTGTGAATGGATATAATTGAAGGAACAATCATAACATACCTACCTAGGTACTCATACATACAGACAGCATCTTGACATCATTAAAATGGATAGATAGCTATCCATCCATCCATCGATAGCATGCATCCATCCACCTATCAAAAGCGCGCGACATCTGAAACCATGGAGACCCAAAAGTCAAAAAGGGCTGGCTGGCGGGCTTGAACGGTAGGTCCCTCCCTTGGTCTGATGGTCAACACGACACGATAACATCGAACCAAGAAATGAATTTGATGGTTTTTGGTTTTGGTTTTGGGGCGTGATGGAGTGAGTGGAGTCGCTGGAATCGCTGGAGTGAAACTTTATTTTCTGTACCTGACATAGCGCCGAAATTGAACCCTGGATCATTGTGAGTTACGTGAACTAGGATGGTTTTTTGGTCCGTAGGGTAGGTTAGTGGTTTTGGTGATTGGATTGATGTGATGACTGGATTGATGACTGGATTGATGAATGGATTGATATGAATGGATTGATGATGGATGTATATATGGTGACTTCTACCTAGGCACTATGAGATGATGAGGTAATCTATTTACCTAGCACCTGAATAAGTAATAAGTAATAGGAAATGGATAAATAGAAAAAGTGAAAAGACCAATCAGGTATTCAGATGAAGTTTAGGATTCTTAAATAATGTCAGTGCAAGAATATAACAATATCACTTGATGAATTCATCTATCCAGTGAAGAGATCTCCTATGTTAAAGATAATTTCCAATTGAATTGATCCATACCGCTCATCCTGATTCATTCGCAATATGGGCCTGTTCATCAGTTTGTCGGTGATTTTAGCTTTGACCTTTTCAAGCAAGCAGATAGATGCTTATTAGAGTATTAAGATTATTATCCCATTCTCAATCATCGGTTTGCTCACTCATTCAATTGTGTAGATGGAAGAATATCGAGGAAATCCATCTAGAACTACATATATTCAATTCATTACAAGAGAAACCAATGAAACCATATCTCACACAATTTCATACAATCTCATAATAACAACAGAATTCCATCACAAACAACGCACTCGATTGGTCCATTTTTAATCATCGATGTCGTGGATAAACATAGCTTGAATCAATCTTCATCCAATCATTTCCCCCAAACCTTGATGGCAATGTTACAATAACCTCCATCTCCAACCAAGCTCGGTTCACCATCGAGTACGTACTTTGTCTTGTACCTGAATAGATAATACATTGGCCGATGCTCTTTTGAGATACATTCTCTTGAACAAGGGGGGATCACTTTTTTGAGAGGTCGTGCAAGGTCTCGACACCATGAGCTAGGTAGGTAGGTAGGTAGGTACCAAGAGATCTTTTCGTCTCTTCTTCCGTTCGGAGTTTCATCTAACTTAGCAAACCATTCCATCTCTTTTCCACGTTTTTTTATGGTTTTTTTAATCTTTGTAATTCACAGTCTTTACCTTGCCTCAACCTTCCTTACCCAACAGCATAGCATCGAATCTTGCTTGTATCTCGTCGTTCGTTCTCTGCTTTTGATAGCAATTATATCAATCAATCCTTACCTACACAAAATCCTCGCTCTCTATCCGCATTGACATTTGACCGGACTTCGCATTTCAATCCCCAATACTCTTTGGAGAAATTTATCCTAATCAAGAACCCTTTACATTTTGCGATCGGACCCAATTGAACTTGGGGGACGTTTCTAGAAGAAAGTGTATGACATAGAAGAGACGAAACCATACAATTGACTATCCATATTATCGCATTTCTCCATAGACATCCTTAAATCCAACATCACTGCGTCATTCATCCTATACTCAAGTATTTTACCGCCTTTAATCTATCCATCGCAAAGGAATAGGTACCAACACAGCCTAGCCGCTATATGCTCAACATTTAAGAATCAATCGAGGGAATTGAGAGGTTGGAGTACAAAGAATCATCTTGCGCGTCATGGCAAATCTGGTGAGATCGTCGAGCGTTTTACCCACGATAAAATGTTCGAGTTGCGCGAGGGATATCGAAATTGCTATGATGGGGGAACACATTTGCTCTGGACCTGCTCCTGCCGAGGAACGTAAGTTTTGAGTTCTGCATATGTAATATGGTATTATACTAAATATGTTCATGTAGCTACACCACCTCTTGAATTAAATACCACTTTGGACAGAATGCCATATAATCAGCAGTCATCCAATGGCGTGAATTCCTCGAAGTCTGGAAGAACAATGCTTCCAAGGGTTGATACATCAGCTGCGAGTACGTTGAAGAACTTCCTAACAATTAAATTTATACTAACCATCTCAATAGACCGTACTTTCTTCCAACAAGATCAATTTACTCCCGCGAGTAGTGCTTCTCTTTCTCGAAGTGCTTCACCATTAACTCCTCACGATCGACTTCGATTACCTTTCGGAAAATCCTCACGAGTCAACGAATCTTCATCTATACAAAGACCTCTTTCACCAGCTCAATTATCATCGAATCTAGACTCTGCATTTCCTCGTTTCCCTATACCAAAAGTGACTGGATCACCTCAACTTAAGAGTGCATATGGTAGCCAGCCAACCAAATATGAACAGGCAGGTTTGGTGGGGTTCGCTTCTTCTAATATCAAAGTACAAAAGAAACCCAGGATAGCTGCGAATGATGCTTTTCCACTAAAATTCGAAGCACCCTCGCCAGAACCATTTACGAACAATTTAAAAAAGACTTTGGGCTCTAGTGAAGAGCGGATTCATCAGAGAAACCTTACTATGGAACGTAAGAACGGCATGATCTCACCACCTTTGACTGCTGAGTCTGAGCAAATTGACCGAACACTTTCGAGAGCCTCTGGTCATTCTAGGACTTCAACAAATAGCTCAAGTAGTAATTTTCCATTGCCACCGCGCAGTAAAGGTTGGGCTGAACCTGGGTTATCGTCTGGGATAGGAGAACACTCTCAGGAGCTTTTACGTCCAGAAGCTACAAGATCACAAACTTTTCCTCGGAGAAAGGAGAGTTTAGACCTAAACCAATCGAGTAGAAGTAGAAACCCATCAGTGTCAAGTAACGGCGTTGGTCGGCGGGAATCTAATGATAGAGGTCGAAATGTATCACTATCTGGTCCTGATACTTCAAGAGCATTGCCACCACGTGGTGCAAGTCTTATTCGAGGAAGATCAGGACATAAAGCTGGAGACCTTCCACCTTTACCAAATATCAACTTGGAAGCAGAATTTGGGGCGAATAATCCATATCATTCTGCGTCTGATTCTCAGTCATCAATTCATTCAAATCATTCATCTTTTTCACAAGGAAGCAAGACTAGTTCGAGATCTAGTCCACCATCCACGGCGGATAATGATTATCACAGGAGACAGCACTCAAACCCTAGAATGTCAGATCTCATGTCTGAAATAACTTCTTCAATGGCAAATATTTCACCACAAGACACTTATCCCAGACTAAGCGATTTAGAACCAGTAAGAGAACAGGAATCATATTCGCCTTTCAATCCCGCATTTCAATCTCAAAATTACGCCACGAATTCGAAAGCTCGTTTATCCCCCACACCTCGTGTTCCCTCACCCGCGCCTCTTAAACCCCGCAATCGTGAACCCTCACCTGCGCCACTCAACCCTCGATTACGCAACATCTCACCAGCCCCTTTAAATAACTTCCAAAGATCTAATACAGCTCCACCACTCGATCAAGACAAACCACTACCCAATCTCCGCCGCCCAGTTACTTCAAAAGGAAACTGCAAAGCTTGTACACTTCCCATAAAAGGAAAATCAGTCTCATCTGCCGACGGTCGATTAACAGGACGCTATCATAAACCATGCTTTGTTTGCACAACCTGTCGAGCTCCATTCCTCACCTCGGAATTCTACGTTCATAACGATGCACCATATTGCGAACATCATTACCATCAATTAAACAATTCATTGTGTCATGGATGTGATAGGGGTATCGAAGGACAATATTTGGAAAGCGAGAAAAAGGAAAAATTCCACCCTACATGTCTGAATTGTGCGGATTGTAAAAGGAATTTAAGACATGATTATTTTGAAATGAATGGAAAGATTTATTGTGAAAGAGATGCTTTTAGAAGGGCTCAAGAGGAACGAAAAAGAGGTCCCGGAGCTGGATTATTAGGTCCAGCAACGACGAAAATGGAAAGGAGAACTACGAGGTTAATGATGATGTGATGAGATTAGAGGATCTGGACTCGAAAGATGGTATGACCTGATGTGATGGGATGGACTTGGACTTAAATTAAAGAACTTGGGCGGGTCGAAAGGAAGGAAGGAATTTGACCTGATAGTCTTGATCTTGGCCTTTGGTCTCGGACTTTAATAATTGTTTTTTGTTTTTTATACCTATTATACCATACAGTCTTTAAAAATAGACTCGCGTTGTTGTTGTATATTTTCTTCTAAAGGGCATGCATACATGGCGTCGTCGCATTATATCCTTTCCTTTTGATGTTATTTCAATTATTGTATCAAGATCATATCTCGGTTTCTAATATTGTTGTTTCTATACCCTTCCTTACTTTTACATCTTGTCCTTTGTATTTTCTTTTAATTTCATCTATTAAATTTCAATTCTCATATTTTCCTTGATTACTTTATTAAGATTTCAAAATTAAAAGTAAGGAGTTTTTTTTTAATTTTATTTTATTATAAGTTATAATTAATAAGATATTTAAATAGATATATTATATTGTTTATATTATATTGTTTATATTATATTGTTTATATTATATTGTTTATATTATATTGTTTATATTGTTTATAATAAAAATAGAAATAGATAGATATATATATATATATTATGAGAAAGTTGAAATTATAAATCAAATATATAAAGGTTTTTAATTAATCAATCATATAACCTTTTGTAATTAGATATAAAAAGAGAGTTTTTGTCTCTTCTTTCGAAAATAATCAACTTTCTATATATATATATTTGAACTTATATAATATCAATCTTAAAACCATTGTGAATCCTGTTTTCTTCATAAGTAACGTATTATAATGTAATCTAATTCAGCTTCCTTTTCCAATTCCCTTCTTACAGTGTGCTATCGGGATGTACGTATCTCGACCTACCACTTTTACAATATATGTTTATGGGATTGTATATACGCGATGGATAGATGGATGTGGATTGTATATATATATGTATAAAGATTAGATTGAGTTGAGTTGAGTTGAATTGAGGGTTTGATAGAGTATTTGAATGTTGGAGTGTATTAAATAAGTAAATAAGAGGGATGGTATAGAGAGAAGAGGAGAGGAGAGAAATGTAGAGGAGATAAGATAGAAAAGGGAATAAAAGTAAAGAATATAATAGTTTAAAAGGGAGAATGGGGATTAATCCTACATCTTATATTAAATCATCTTTCAGAAAATCATATCACATTAGAAAGAAATAACATACGAGATCATCAACTTAATATGGAAAAGATACACCAAGTATATCTATTCATTGTATTTATCATTATGTAAACCTTCTCTCTTCTCACTAATCAACCATCTAGATACATTTTCTTACCTCATTTATCATATAAGTAAACAATCTCATAGATTGAATCCCAATCCCATTCATGATCATATAATCCTCTTTCAATCTTTCAATCTAAGCAGATCAAAAGAAGAAAAGAAGAAATGAATCTCAAAGAGGGGTGTTTCAAATTAACCCATCGACATTTCTGCACCTTTTACATTCCCTCCCTCTCAAGAAGGAAAAAAGGTGATACCAGAAACAGAGCAAGATGTGATGTCGTGAGTGTATGCCAGAAATAATTAATCCATCTCACAACCGAGAAATCGAAAGATTCCACTCTCAGCGCACAATCGCTAGCCCATTTCCAATGTGCACTAGTATATTTGTACAAAAATTTCATCAACAGCCTGCTTTATCCATAATCGCCCATCCTATGCAGATGCAATGATATCATAAAAGAAATCATTTCATGATGGGTATATCCATTCCGTTACGCCGATTTTCGTGAGAAAGAGGTGTGTACCATAAAAAAAGCAATCTTCGTAACGCCGTTCCACCGTAAATGTGTATGTAAAAGATGGGAGTTTAAGAAGAGGAATCATCGTTATGGCCCAGAACAATACGAGCCATTTCCTCGCGTTCAGCAATGTATGAAGCACAAGCAGTCTTCTCAGCTTCAGGGATATCGCCAGTAGCACCACCTTCACCATCAGACCATTCACTAGGATCTTCACGAAGACCAACACAAGCCATACGCTTCCAGAAACGACGTTCAGACTTGTATTGATGAACTTGAGTTGTGAGCTCAGTAATGATCTTGTGCTCGGATGCATATCGACGAAGTTGATTAATGTAGTCATTAGCCTTAGCAGCATGAGCTTGCATATCAGCAATATGACAACGAAGTTCGAGATTTTCTTTACGCTCTTGAGCGAGTTGATCACGATAACTCTTGTGCCAAGCAAGAGTGTCTTTCTCGTGCTGGAACTTATAGTTATGGGCCTTCTCCTTGATATCTTCAAGGATACCAGCAGCGTGAAGCACCAATTTCCAATTCTCCTCGGAATCAGCCTTGGATTGTTCGATTGCTCTGCGCAATTGAGAGTTTTCGGCTTCAAGGTTTTCGGAACCCGCTATTTTTAATGTTAGCTATATTTTCTTTCAAGGCATGAAATGAATTACCATTCAACTCCTCAGAAACAATTGCGAGAAGTTCATCGTTGGTCAAATTCTTGTCTTTGGCTCGTTGACGAACATTGCCGATCTTCTCAAGAATACTGTCAGTAATCTTTTGATTGGCTGCTAAAAGGCGGCTCAACTCTTCGACCATGACCATAATGTAGTTCAAGTCAGATTGGTGTCCAGCTGGAGTCGGAAAGCCAATCATATTAGCCATTCCAGCCATGTTCATTTGACCGTTCATTCCGTTTGTATGAGCCATGCCTTGACCTGGCGATGGTGGAGCTTGTCGTGAGTTTGATTGTTGACCGGGTTGATTGGGATCACCGAAGCCTTGATAATTCATCTTAAGTGTTTGTGATGGAACGTATTTAGTGGAGGTTAGTTGGGGTAGAATGTACGTCGCTGAAGGGATTTGAGGTGGGACGTAGGTAGCAGAAGTGGGCGACGAGATACAAGAGGATCGAGAGTGTTGAGATCCGCGGCGAGCTCTTAAATCAATAGTGACCGGATGATCGGCGGCAAGTGGAAGTGACCCGCGTCTTGGTAGCAGAGGAGCAACTTAAAGACAATTAGTATACAATAGAAGCGCATATGATTCGACCTAACTTTACCTGGTCGCGCGCTCTGGACACCACGGTAATTGAACGCTTCACCTTCAGTATTTGCTGCAATTGATCCTTCGTTAAGACCAAGACCAATGGCAGATTCTTCAACCTCTTGATTGTGCCGCGCAACCTCCGCACGAAGACGTTTGATCTCTGCGGTATATTCGCTTGAAGTAGATGATACTGAATGGACTGAATCGCGACGCGCTGATGTAATTAAATCCTCTATTTGGGGAGGTTCTGCGTCTACAGAAAGACGGTTCGATCTCGATCTTGATCTGTTTGGTAAATTCGAGGTGGTTGAAGTGGTGGGAAGTGCTTCAAAGGTAGGGAAAGCGATTGTATGGGATGGAGAGGAGGGTGGAGGAGGGGAACTTCTGCTAGGAGAGCTATCCATGGTGGCTCGAGCGCAGTGCGGTCACAGAACCGAGGATGGCAGAATTGTTTGTATGGAAAACTCCTCGAGAAGTCAAAACCAATGAAAAAGGGTTGGAAAATAGCAAATGTTGTTGATACTGTCGTCGCCGGTTATTTTTGGGAATAAATCAGAGTTCAAAACTGTTTTGGAAGAAACCGGAATCAAACTAAGGATTTTGCAAAGTGGATTCCAAATGTCCTTAGGCCACCGATGCTCGGATGTCCTGGTTTACAATTCCACATAGACCGACGAGTAGAAGTCTACCTTGTGTGAATATTCATGTATGGATCAGACATTGTGGCCTTGTCGTCTCATCTTTGATCTGTATAGCTGTTAATATTTCACCTTATGTTACGGGATTTGAAGAGAGATCTTGCCTTCATATAAAAGTCTGAGATGCCAATACTGCAATACAGATATCCTCAAAAAGTGCAAAGTTATCACTTTGTACTCATCACTTATAACAGCTGGTATCTTGAACAATACTATATGAATATGGTATTGGTTTTAGTTTGAGAGTTTCTTGTATATTATATACCTATTGAAGTAAGCACTACAAGATGTAGAAAGAGTTTTCTAGCTTCTGATTGTGGTCTATTTAGGTTCAGGAAGGAACCAAAGACTTGGTGATTTTCATCTGATCTAAACTGTTCAACTATCTATCAGAGAGGATTTTGTAACTTGAAAAGCTTCTAGTTTGAATGATGTTATCTGTACCATCTCGTCCAATTATGAGGTAGATCTGTATTAAAATCTAGAATAGACCTTTGTAAGTACCTATAATCTACAAAGCTTAGAAAAGTACCCATAATCCAATAATTGATTAATATTCTTTGTATTAATATAAAAGTAAAAAGTTTCATCATCTCATATTTGACTCCTGCAAGTTTAAATGCTATAACCAAAGAATTTCATCGCTATCTATCATATTTTCTTTCAAAATATCAACAGATTATTACTGTGACATTGAGGCTTCATTATAGTTCAAACGTTGGAAATATGGAAGTCATCATTGGAGTTTGGCTAAGAAGTCACATTCCACACAAGCTTAACTGCATGTTTTAAGACATCTTCCCTCTTCCCAAACTCTTCCTTGTCAAACTCAAAGCTCTTTCCTTTAAGTCAAAATTGAAGAAAATATTCTCCTTATTCCCATTGTTCTAAAGTACCTGCATGTAAATTCAATTTAGCATACTCAGGATTTAGAAAGATACAATGATTCTTTGAGTGGGTATTGTCTTGTACTTCATCACGATGAATTTGTACATTGAAGTTGTTGTGTATGACTTTAATTGAAATCAAGGACAATAAGCAATGGTAACAAAATCGTTATGATTGATGCATGAAAAACCAAAAGTAAAATCTAGACCTATATCTGCTGCCCAGTATACAGTGAATCGAAATAGAGATAGTTAAAGCATTCGAAGAGATTCAAAACTCTCTCTTTTTTTCTAGTTAACAAAAATCGGAATTTTCGAGGGGAAGTATTTTTAGGTCATCTTAATAAAGTCGCTCAAGCAATGAAAGCTTGGGAAACTGTAGTTATTGTAATCACTGTCAGTATAGTGATGCTATAGCCACATCCCTCTATTCTCACAACACCATTTTGATAGCTACTCCTTTTACTTTTCTTTGGCACCTTCGTTTGGCCTACGGGTGACTGTCCTTGTTGGAAGATCTCATATTGTATTAAACTTTTCTGGTGCTCTCAACATCATTAAAGAACTATACATACTGGTTTTACTAATTCCAAATTTGTGGCATCTGACTCTCAAGGTCGCTCCAAAGCTCCCAGTCATGGCCATATTTGTGTTGCGAGGGTTGCCGTCTAGATCATGTGGAAGTGCTTTAGGCTTTCGAGGTAGTTTATAACTAGGTATCAAATAGGGATTTAAGTAACAATAATAAATGATTACAATTTGTAATTAATAGTAGATTATAATAAATAATTGATCTTGAGTATAAAACTTTACAATAAAGAAATCCATCCTCATTATATAGATCTTCGTATTCTGGAAGTCGATCAACTGCTTTTGGATCAGGTGACACTTGTCACGGGATCCTATTAGCTAATCGGTCACATAATATAGGATATGTTACGCCGTCGTAACAATTTGCTCTTGGAATCTTGTATGCTGAAACCTATCGTACTGAATCACAAGACTAACGTTCATACTGTTGTGCCACAGTCACCACTTCTATCGCTCGATTCATTCATATACTTTCCGAACTTCACGGAATGTCGATCTAGGTACGTATAGTGGTAAACAGCATTTCTTTTGGGAGCAAAGAAAAAATATCTGAAAGTGACACTCAAAAATACGGGAGTATCTTAAGCTCAGTCGAAAAAACAGTTCCATCGAGTTAAACTTCATCACCGCGTGTGGACACGGCTAATGACGATCCAGAAATTTGGCCCAAGCGTGTACCCATAGTTCTCAGAGAATCTGCGTAGATTTAAGTATCGAAGGATCTTTTCCGATAACTAACCAAGCCCTCTGTCAGAAGATATCACGGTTATCCGTAATCCGCGTTATTAAGATGTAGAGGTATTGCTTTGTACTAGGTTTTATACTATTACGCTTTGATTTGTCTGATCTTACTTCAAATAAAGTATCTGAATATGCCAAATAAGGTTCTTCAGTTATGTGTTCATTTGTATAGTTTGTACCAGCCCTATTTTTGGCTTGTGGAGCGACGCATAAAGTTGAGACGACGTTGGTGTTAACATGTATTCACTACCCTGGAACTTGCATGGAAGGGAACTCCCTAGGTACAGGATTGGGCTTAGCTTATGGCGTAGATAGTACGTACCACAACATAAAGGTACCAACTCCCTCCAAATTCTTTCAATTATCCAGCTCATCACCTTTAACATAGCGGAAATCGATATGGCTTCAGCACTCAAACAAATGTTTCCGCCTCTCCCACTTTCACAGATAAAACTTTGCCCAGTCAAAACGGAAAGGTTTTCATCATTACTGGTGGGAGTTCTGGTCTTGGTCGCGAGCTCGCCGAAATCTCTTCCGTGCAGGCGGCAAAGTCTAAATAGCTGCACGGTCGGAAGTCAATGCCAAAAAGGCAATCGATGATATCAAGTCATCATCTCCCTCGTCAAATGTGGGTGAGCTCGAATTTTTGCACCTCGAACTCGATGATTTGAGTACAATCAAAGCGTCAGCCGAGACTTTCATGAAAAGGGAATCTAAGCTCGATGTTTTATGGAATAATGCTGGAGTATCACGGCCTCCACTTGGTAGCGTTTCGCGGCAGGGCTTTGAGTTCATGATGGCTACTAACTGTCTGGGTCCGTTGCTCTTCACGCAGCTTCTTCTTCTATGCTTGAAGACCACTGCAAAAGCTTCCAGTCCAGGAAGTGTTCGTGTTGTTTGGACTAGCTCCCAATATGTGGATCTACAATCTCCTAAGGGCGGAATTATTATGTCAGAGGTGAAAACGGCAACAAAGGACAAGGCGAAAAGCTATGGTGCATCAAAAATAGGGAATTGGTTTTGGGGCAGTGAAATGGCACGGAAGGTTGGTCAGCATGGCATTGTCAGCATAATACAAAATCCAGGAAACCTTAAGACAAACTTGATGAGACATGCAAAGTGGATGTACTCTACCGTATATCCAATTTTGCATATGGCAAAGATGGGTGCATTTACAGAGCTCTTTGCTGGGTTGTCGCCTGAGATTTCGATGGAACATAATAGAGGGTATGTGATTCCTTGGGGCCGGATTCATGATGCTCCTCGCAAGGATTTACTCGTATCTTTGAAAAGCGTCGAAGAAGGTGGTAATGGGAGGGCTGAGGAATTTTGGAATTGGTGCGAAAAACAGATTGCGAAATACAAGTGAAGGCTTATTTATCTGCATGCATGCAGACCCGGACTTTGGCGTGTTTTTTTAGAGTAGGTTTCTTAGTGGCTTTTAGTGTTTAATTTAGTCATCTAAGTTAATATCTACGTTTTCGAGGTGGCCATTGACATCGTCAACTATCTTGAGAATGCATGAAGTATAGTTTTACTTGGAACTTGGAAGAGATTTAACTTGCAGCATTGTACTCCTACATCCAAGAGGATCTTGCCACACCCCATTTCGTGTTGTGTACTGGCTTCATCTTATCGTGACTCCAACAGTTGGATATGGATAATATCATTGGGTCCTGCGTCACATGTGACACGTGGGGGTATTTGCGCCGCAAAGGTACATGACATATTAACGGCACAGCCCATGACTTACAAAACCAATGTGCTAGCAGTCGGAGATTTATAACCTCCAGCGTTTCTTACCCCCTTGTCTAGTAGGCCTGTTCGAGAACGTTGAAGTGTAGATGATATTGCGAGAAGCTTTTCCGGCCAATTGTAGCCGTAAGGGCTGATCAGCGGAAAAATCACATTTACTGGCATGTGGATGCCCGCAGGTGTAAGTGATATTCATCGTTCATTTATTGACAGAGCTTGATTTCCTGGAATTCATTCAACAGACCTCCCACTAAAGCTAATAGTCCCGAATAGACAAGCGTTTCACTGCAATCTTGGACACTTTTCCGTGATCCAAATCGCTTTCATGATGCCACTTCCCTCATTCCCGAGCGATGGCTCCCTGCAGCTACGCGTCAAGATTCGCCATGTGTTAACGACCAAAGACAAGCTGTTCAAGCTTTTAGTGCAGGACCCAGGATATGTATGGGAAGACATCTCGCTTGGGCAGAAATGCGCTTAGCTACCGCGAGATTGCTTTGGGCATTTGATTTGGAAGCAGCAGGAGAAGTCTTGCACTGGGATAATTTGAGAACCTTCTTGCTCGTGGAGAAGAAGCCTCTCGAAATTAGAATACGAGCGAGGAGTGATCCGTAATGTTTGTTCATGCAATGGTTTTGATATTGAGACCTCAAGATTAGCTGAAATATATCTGGAATGCATATTTCCCCAGACTGTTCTGTTGTTGGACGGTAAAATAAATCCTGAGACCCCGGGAACTATGGATGTATTCATGCTATAAAACAGTGAACCACGAATTTCGGATGCGTTATGAAGACTCGTCTAAGCTGCTTAGCAAATTCCACAAAACTAATCACAAATGCACTGATGCTATAGGCTTACATGATCACCTAAAACACGTGTTGCGAATGTTAGCATCTAATTACAGGACATCTCATTGCTGTTGAAATCCTATCGGCTCCATTCTTTTACTGCGCACTTAGTTGATACTTTCTAAAGAAGCTTGGAACATTCAAGCGAATGATTTCCCCAACTGCCCAGCTGCGCTTTGGCTCCATTAGCCAATGCATTTCTCAACCATACCATGTGCACATTGCCGGCAGAAAAGGAATAAGTATTTCTGATGCGGTAGAAACAATGGTTGCCATGAATATTGTCCTTTCTTGTTCTTATTACACTTTAACTAGAATTCCCTCCCTGCCGGGTCTACCCAGCTGAAACCTTTCGGTGAAGTCAAATTTGTATAAACCCTATATCAACTTTAACAAATTGGCATCTCAGCTTTCTCCTTGGTCAGCCCGGACTTTGCGGCTCTGACTGAAGTCGGATTCAGATTTTCATATCCTCTTCATCTTCAACCAGCTTGCGAGAGCATGTTATTGCATCTGTTACCCCATGGCACGTGCTTTTTTTTACGCGATGTAGTCTATGGTACAGACCCAAGGGCAAAACACCCGAACAAATGAACGAAGTATCTAGTGAATATTCGGCTCTCTATGTAACTACTAGAAGAATTAGTCGGTTTAATAATCTAGCTGATAAGACTACAATCAACGAGAAGTTAGTAGTCACACATAACGATGATATTTCCTGATTGATAGTTAGTGTTCGAAATGTTGGAGCATCCGTCAGAGTGAAGCTTAAGGTATCTCATCATTCTCCATTTCTACTTAGACGGCTGCTATGATTGCTAGTAAGGAAACAGGTTTGGAAGATGATTGAAATATACCCACGAGCAAATATTAGGGGAAAGGGCGTTCACAATTCATGTAATGGCATATGATAGCAAGAAAAGGGATGGATCCATCATAATAAAGGTGACTAATAATATCTCAACATTATGGATATCACAATCTCCTCCTCCAGCAAGCTAGCAATAAACTACAATTTGCATTCCCAAATCCTGTTTCGGGAACTGCAGACTGTGAATTTACAAACCATTCCACCATTCCGTTTTCTCTACCTCAAATACACCCCTCAATTCCCCGTTGCCCTCCTCACTAGTATTTCCCACAATAACCTCATACGTATCCTTCTCCACAATCCAAGCCTCCCTGACTTCATCCCAAAATGCCGCCGCATATTTAATCTCAATCTCCACATCCACAGTTTTCTCTTCTCCTGCCTCGAAAAATACTTTCTCAAATCCTTTTAATTCCTTCTTTGGTCTGCGAATCGATGGATTTTGTTGTCTGATGTATACTTGAATAACTTCTGCTCCCGTAAGTTTCCCTGTATTCTTTACTTTTACTGAAACTTTGATTTTCTTGCCAATCTTTTCGACATTTAAGTTGGAGAGAGAGAAGGTAGTGTAACTGAGTCCATGACCGAAGGGGAAGAGAACAGGTAGATCTATTGCCTCATACCACCTATATCCCATGTAGACATCCTCGCCATAAATAACTCTACCTCTTTCCGTTCTAAAGCTCAAGAATGCCGGATTATCTTCGATTCTCTTTGGGAACGACAGGGGCAATTTTGCTGATGGATTCGTTTTACCGAAAATGACATCGGCAATGGCATTTCCAGTTTCATTGCCACCATACCAGGCGTGAATTAGAGCTGGAGTTGTGGATATAAAGGGAAGAGCAATGGGGGTTCCAGATTGGATTACGACGACTGTGTTGGGATTGACTGGAGTGAGGGTTGAAATTAATTTGTTCATATGCATTGGAAGACCAAAAATTTCTCGGTCAGATCCTTCGGCTTCCCAGTCGGACTGTGAATTGTTAGTGGCGTCTGTTGTATAATGAAGAAATATCTTACGTTTAGACCGGCACAAATGATGACTTGATCAGCCTCTTTGGCCAACTCTGCTGCGTGTGCAATTTCCTCATCCGCGTCAATGACTTTCGCACCACCAATTCTCAGGGCTCCAGGTCCGAATAAGACATTCTCTCCTCTATCCAGCTTGCAAGTCGGTGAACTGGCAAACTCAACTTTGATGTGATATTTCTGTCCCTTCTTCAGCGATATGAATCCCTTTTCTTCGACTGTACCACAAGAGAAAAACATAGTTCCCCTGGTCTGTTTAGTCGAATTGTCGATTAACAATTTGCCATCCACAAATAGATTTGCAGTTCCGTATACTCCTAGACCTAGCTCAAAATCACAATCGTCTTCGGCGGTCATGTAACCTTCGACATCCGCCCACCACAATTCATCCTTCAATTTGGGGCAAGAATAGTCCATCATTAGGAGTTCTGTCTTGGTAAGGATTATCTCATCGGCCAATTCACGATTTTTGACCGTGGGGGGATCATTGTAAGCTCGGAAAGAGACACCTGTTTCTCCCTTGTCTGTCTTGAGGAGAAGGCCAATCAATGGAAGGTCCTTATGTGCGTAGGCCCCCACAGTGTATAATGGAGCTGACTCGAGGACAGCACTAATGCCATCAAATGGTGTAACGGCGTAGTATGCTGCCAGAGATGCCGAGCCTCCTCCGTGATAAGTAGCAACCTTAGCATTGGGACCGACAATTAAAGTCTATCAACGTCAGTCATGCATGTTATATCTGAGTACAAAGTGTTACCTTCTTGTCTTTGCGAAATGGCAAAGCATTGCCCTCATTTTTCATCAATACAATAGAGTCACCTGCAATTTCTCTTAGAAGAGCAGCTGTCTCTGGAGTGTCAGCAGCTTTTTCCTCCGCATTTTCAGGAACCTTTGCATCTGCGGCGCGATCTACAAGTTTGAGCACATTCCTCGCTCGTTCATCAAGAATATGCTGAGGTACTTTTCCCGTGCTAACAGCTTGTATCAACAGTGGGCCTCTCCATTTTGTGGGGCCTGGCATCTCCAAGTCTAAGCCAGCCATGATCGCGCCCGTCGTTGAATATGTACCCCACCAGTCACTCATGATACATCCTTCCCACCCCCATTCTCCTCGTAAGATATCTTTAAGTATCCTTGAGTTTTCACTAACATGAGTTCCGTTAACTTTATTGTAAGCAGACATGAATAGTGCAGGCTTTGAATCCCTAACCACCAATTGAAACGGTAATAAATATAGCTCCCTCAATGCCCTTTCCGTGATTATAACATTGACACCATTCCTTTTATGCTCCTGGTCATTACAAACAAAATGCTTGATGGTAGCTTGAACACCTGTCTCCTGAATCCCATTCACAAGGGCAGCAGCTCCCAATCCTGATAGAACAGGATCTTCACTGAGTGATTCGAACCCACGACCTCCCAATGGTGATCTTTGCATATTGATAGTAGGGCCAAGTATTACATGAACTCCTTTTGCTTTAGCTTCCTCTCCCATCAAAACGCCAGCGCGATGAAGGAGTTTAATATCCCACGTCGCACCCAGAGCAGTGCCGCACGGGAAACAAGCTGCTTTGATGCCCTTGAAGAATCGACTACCACGGACGCCATTGGGACCGTCCGAAACTCGAATCGAAGGTACATTGTACTTGGGGATGGCGGCTGTTTGCCACCAGCTGGCACCTGAAAATTGTTAGATAATATGACTTCTTTTTTTTAACATACAGGGTTGTAGATATATGCACCCGCTGTTAGAGAAACCTTCTCTAAATTATTAAGCTTTGAAAGCACATCTTCCACATCGATTCTGTTCGTCATCTTGGTGAATGAAAATGCAATGCTCGATGTTCAATGTTCAATGTTCAAATTGCAGGAATGATGACTAGATATATATGTAATGGTCTAAGGAAGGAACGAATGTACTGAACTCGTATACGTACACAGTCTTCTGCAGAAGGCTGGGAGACCTCCGAGATCATCACGGAATGTCGGGCCTACATCACGCCCTTCATCATATTTTCGGATTCACCCTCTATTCATCAACCCGGCCAATATACCTCAAACGATTGGTTTGTCAAGGTGATCTGTCTACACCGGCTTGTTTTTGAAGAGCACCTAGCCCGAGCTTTAACGATTTTCTTATCGAAAATCAATATCAATTTATTTATACATTATATAATTTTAAAATTAAAGGTTTGGAAGAGGATTTGATGAAAATATTTTACAAAATTAATTGAGAATAATTAAAGGATACCATATTAAATTTTTAAATTTTTATAATTTTTATATATATATATATATATATATTTTTTTTGTAAAAGAAACAAATATATTTCATACTTGATTAATGTAATTTAATTCCTCAAAATAGATAAATGTTTAACAAGATCTTATAAAAAAATATTTTCTCTAAACCCCACCCTCAGCCCTCTTCAAAAACAAGCCCTAGCTAGGTAGGTAGTAATGCTGTTCAAATGATCGAAGGAACGGGTAATATTCGGCCACGGATAATCCTCGGGAAAAGCTAGAAAGTTCGAATATGATACGGAACTGCAGGTTCCGTCAGAAATCATGGTTGAGGCAGAGCTGATATATGGGTCAATGGCGGATTCCAGGGATTTTCAAGGTTAAAGACTCCGGGAAAGCAGTTCCGCTTGTTAATCTTATCGGTTGTTGATAGACCGACTAGCGCATTGGCCTCGAAGCATGTGGGGATGAAAGACCCCCCTTGACATGCTTGTTGGCTTCCAAGTTTTGCCAACTACCGTGTAACGCGTTTTCGAGTAGAAGCGCCTTAGAGTTAGTGCAGGTACTAACCAAATTCATTCGACCGCAATGTATCATTATCTAAGGAAGGGGCTGGTGGTAAAACATTGTAAATTTATGTTCATCATATCATAACCAGACTGCACATCATGAACTAAACAGTTACCGAAACTCCTTGCCAAACTCATCCATGCGAACTAAATTGATCATCGAATCACTGCCAGACTAGGCACAACAACCTGGCCTTTTTAGCCAAATACGTAACCGTAAAAGTATAGTGCTCCCGAATCCCTCCCCTTCTTAATATTGATTCATATCTGCATCAAGCCATAGCAGCAGTGGCCGCCCTCTGGCCTCTCTCTGAATTTCTATTCCTCCTTCCACCACCAGGTCTTGCAAGGGTGTACTTTGCAAAAGCACGAGCAAGTGCTTTCTTGCAGCTGACCTTCTGACTACCAACGAAAGAATCAATCGTGACAGCAATAGCTCGATCAACATCTTGCGCGGAGACATATTCGGAAAGTCGCATTCGACAGAACGCTTCACTGATACGCATGATAGCTTCGAGATGACGAACCTGGAGAATGGGTTAGAAAGCTGGTTTGAGAAAGAGGAGTGTATCTACTTACGGTAATAGGATATGCTCCGGTTGCTAATGATTCTCTTCTCATATCTGCGAAAAGTTTCGACACTTTCTCCTCATCAATATTGTAAAGCTTTGGACTACATCTTTCTCTAGCATAAAGAATATACTTTCGAAGTAATTCTTGCTTGATTTCACCTTCTTGCTTGGGCTCGCCACCATTAATAGCGCTATCTCGCATTTCAGCGTCATGTTCTGTTTCCATAGAAGCTTGGTTTTCATCCGTAGGCTGGCTTCCTGGATGAGAACGCCCATGAGACCCCACAACAAATCTGGCGAGTCGTTCATCTTCAGCCGGATCCACAGTATCACGAACAACGCAAAGAATATCAAAACGAGACAAAATTGGCTCAGTGAGCTCGACATTTTGCGAGAAAGGGATAGTTGAATTATAGCGACCACCAATTGGATTTGCTGCAGCAATGATACCACAACGAGCTTGAAGTGTTGTGACGATACCAGCTTTAGAAATAGAGATAGTTTGTTGTTCCATAGCTTCATGAATAGATGTTCTGTCCTGATCGTTCATTTTATCGAACTCATCAATAAGACATGTGCCTCTGTCTGCAAGGACTAAAGCACCACCTTCCAAAGTCCACTCGCCAGTAAGAGGATCTTTGCGTACACTTGCTGTAAGACCAACAGCACTAGCTCCTTGACCTGTGGCAAACACAGCTCTGTGAGCAGTCTTCTCGACATACTTGAGAACTTGTGATTTCGCTGTTCCTGGATCTCCTAGAAGGAGTACATTGATATCACCACGAATATGATGCTTTCCTCGAGCAACTTTCGCGACTCCACCCATAAGTGACAAAGCCACAGCTGTTTTGATATCAGTATGGCCGTAAATACTTGGTGCAATCGAGTTGATAATTTTGTCGACAATTTGAGGATCACGCGAGAGAGCGCGAATCTCATGTTCATCTTCCTCCGTGAGTCTGAAACCAGCAAGCTGATCGTGAGATTTGACAACGTTGTTAGCCTCTAAGATTGTTGCAAATACAGGGAAACCATTTCGGTTATTTAACTGAGCATCGTAGTTATTGCGGTAAACACCTGTCACTTCAATCTCTTCACCAGGCTTAGCTTTATCGATTAGATCCCAAAGAAGAATAACTTCACGGTGACGGGGCAGACGACCGGCAGGCACAGTTCCCGGTGATTCTTGGAGAGTCAACTTCTGGTAATTGCGGTAGACAGTCTTTTCAGAGTTAAGGTTGAAAGGACCACGAGATTGACAATTCGCGCAGAATGAAATCTTAACTTCAACATTAGACTCCTGTTGGAAAGGACCGAGTCTCGTATGACATTTGGAACAATCAAACATGACATATTTTAGCTGTGGAAATACACCACTTCGACGAGTAACCACACCACTGACTCTAACGAGGCAGTTCAAATGTGTTTGGCGTAGTTGGCGTAGGGTATAATGCACAGGTAAGTCAGTAATACGAACATGAATTTCGGAATGAATTTGCTGGTAATCGTTATAATGCAGAAGGGTAACCTCCATAGCAACTTCGTCAAACAACTGAAGCATTTCACCTGGAGCGTTGGCCAAGAAATAGGCAAGAATAGCTTTTGAGGCAGACAAATGGTCGTAAGAGACTTCCAGCGACTCTGCGTTGACCTCTCCGAGAGTCTTAATGCGGCTACCATAAACAGAAACTCCATGATCGTCGGTGTATTCGGTAAGGAAAGCTTTGAACTCTCTCCTGATAGTTCTTTGGACAGACGGTGTAGCAATCCACTCGACCAAACTCGATGACTTAACATCTTGTAGAGTCTCTAGGGATAATTCCTCTTCCATAATATCCTCTTGCATATCTTCATCTTCATCTTCGTCATAATGATGACGCCTGCGTCTTGGTTGATTCATTAAATCTAGGTCTCCATCCTCATCCTCATCCTGCAAGAAAGCAGCTGGCATGCGACGCTGTCTAGCAAGTTCTCGGTCTCGGCGATTCAATCTAGCTTCGAGTTGTCTTCTTGCGGCGGCATCTAGCTCTTCATAGTCCCCCTCGTCATCAATATCCGCACCTTCGTAGTTTCTATCGTCCCGGGAATTGTAATCTCGTTCGTAGTTTCCGGCGAAAAGATCGATTCCATCCTCATCTTCGGCCATCTCATCTGCATCATCAATATCGAGAGCTATTTCAACATCATCTTCTATCTCGTCATCGTCCTCATCTTCGACGCCGTGTCGAATTGGTGCTGGTGGGGAAGATCTGAAGTCTCCAGGTGGACTAGAAGGTGCAGCACCGCCTGGAAGGTCATCATCTTCTGGTTCTCTGGAGCGCTTGCGACGAATTCGGCTGCTGTCGACACCACGGTTGGCAGACGACATGTTATTTCGCAAAGGGGAACTATCAAACGCAAATAGTCAATATTTAGGAGTAAATAAACGTTCGAGGCTGGGGGAGTTGTGATTGAAGAGATGGATTATGCCCACCTCATAGTATATTAGAGAATGAAATTTCGTGTAAGTATTAAAAAGGCTGTGAGAAAAATGAATGAGTATAGTGGTGGATTGTGGTGAAGTTCAAATAGAGATATTGAAAGTTGAAGAGTTGGGGAAAACACGTAAAATCTGCTGGAACTTTGCCGACGCGACGCGGCAAAGCTAAACCCATTATAAAGCCGAGCGCGTAAAGTGGTTTTTGGCGGCGCGCAACATTGCGACAATCAATCATGACAATCATGAACCTCATCCTCATATTTTAATTTATATTTCTGCCACAACACCCGTTTATTTGAGAATAAAATTCGAGAATAATTGCTATGGAATCTCTGCCAAATGCGCAGCCAAATGAGGCTTCTGGTAGCCATACCGGCGGCACGTCGCGAAGCCAGAGCTTCTCTTCCCAGAAATCCGATGATTCCCATACAGCAGCGGAGTATGTCATGCGAAATGTACAATTCATTGGATGCTAATGTATGTGATAGATTTATCACAACTCAATTGAAGCTTGAGGCCGAAGCGCGTGAAGCATTACCCTACGTAACCATACACTACCCTCAATTCCATGAATACTTTACTGATTGAGCAAATAGAGCATTGATACCTGCACAAAGCCTCTTGGATCTTTGCGACAAATCTTGTTTGCTTGTTTGACATGCAATCCAGCTCCGTGCAACTCACCCGACCCGTATAATCCAGCCGGTGTCTGTTATTCTTGCTCAGTACAATGTCACGGCGAGCACAATCTAGTAGAATTATTCAACAAACGGAACTTTACTTGTGATTGTGGCACGACACGCTTCCCATCAACTTCACCATGCAGCTTGCGCATCAATGCAGAGACAAACACAAAGGGCAATGTACACTCAGAAGCTCCAGATTCGAAGAATAAATACAATCACAATTTCAGAAATCATTTCTGCGGCTGCGCATGCGACTATGATGCTTACAAAGAGAAGGGTACGATGTTTCAATGCTTGGGTCTAGGTGGTGCTGATGAAGGTGGTTGTGGCGAGGATTGGTGGCATCCTGGATGTATTGCAGGTTTAGGTCCAAATTGGTACGAAATGATGAGCAACGAGAGCTCATCCAATAAGTCAAAGCAAAAAAATGAAGGCCCGCTCGAATCCATTGCAGAAGTTGCAGAATCGGCCGCGTTAGAAGCAGATAACGATGGAACTGGGCACAAGAAAAGTGAAACGAATGCGCCGAAAAGCGATGCAGCCGCCGAAGAAGATGAAGAGGAGGAGGAAGATCCACCTTTACCTCCAGGATTTCCTGATGAAGACGATTTTGAAGGATTTATTTGCTACAAATGTGTTGATGCAAATCCATGGATCAAAAGATATGCCGGAACACCTGGTTTTCTCCCGCCTGTTTTCAAAAGAAGTGCTGCTCCTTCTCCTGAGAGTGACGTTCCGACCAAATCTATGGATCTACTTACCCCGCCGATACCTGAGTCTAGAAAACGCAAATACGAGGATGATCAGATTTTGAATGGTTCTTCAACTTCGAAACGAATCAAGAGTGAGGAAGGAGGAAAGCCAGCCGGAGAGGAATCCAAAAGCAACGATAACAGCACACCTGCAGCATGCAAATTCAAGGGTTTACCAAAAGCACAAGATGGTCAAATGTCTTTGTTTTTCACGTCCAAATTTCGAGATCATCTCTGTCATTGTTCAGACTGCTTTCCAAAACTATCGAAACATCCACAACTTCTGGAAGAAGAGGAAACCTACGAACCGCCAGTATCAGAAGAGGGAGATCGAGGAAGCACGGTCGGCAGCGGAAGCATATATGATCGTGGCGAAAGTGCTCTTAAGAATGTTGATCGTGTTCGGGCAATTGAAGGTGTAATGGCGTACAATCATTTGAAGGATAAATTGAAGCCGTTTTTCCAAAAATTTGCAGAAAGTGGACAGGCTATTAGTGCAGAAGATATTAAAGAACACTTTGCGAAGATAAGAGGTGATGAACAGGCTATTAGGGGTGCTGGTGAGGGTACTAAGGTGGAGGATAATAGGAAGGAGCAAAGTGGTTATTGATTCGTGGGTGGGGCAACGACTTGTGGTTTTAATAATGTATGATATTGATCAGAAACTTTAATGCATTTTTAATTACTTGAATGTTGGAAACTTTTACACGTTTAGCTGTCGTTCTGCATTCATCAATACTACGGCGCAATACCATCACACCAAACTGCATTATAACATATTATAAGAATCATTAGTTCAATCGCCTATCTTTCGATCATTGCGCACACATGCATGTTGTTTTTAAGGCAGGAGGAAGATGAGGATAGTGTAGCAGGCGGGAGGAATCAAATTGAGAACAGGGAAGACGGAAGAGGGGAAGATTCGGAAGATTCAGAGTACGAAGACTGGGGCGATGAAGATTATACAACCAACGAAGGAGATCAATATCCGCTTGTTGGTGTTGGTGTCCCTTTAGATGTACTCCATAATTTGAGCATGACACAACATGAGTTGGGGAATGAAGAGTTGGAGCTAGATGACAGGACTGTATTGGTATTATAAAGGTTTCGGGGAAAAAAAAGTCCAAAGACGCTGGCATGCTTCTCGCACAAAGTTCTGAAAAGCCAAGGAATTACGACGCACTTTTGGGCCGACTGAATGCAGATCGTGATAGTCCACCTCCAATCAGAGAAGTGTACAACTTATATATCTCTACCGTCAGAAAGAAGAATCAATATGTATTCATTGCAAGGGACGGGACTTGCTGTTGAAGGAACCGGTTCAACCAGAACTATTTTTGCCCGATTGCGCCGTGATTACTAGGCAAGAGTTCACGATATTGGGCGATCATGGTGGCTTAAAGGATTTAGTAGGTCCCCAGCCAGATTATACTGAGGGATCTCTTAACCGTCGAGATGTCCTAAAAGGGTTATATGATGATGTGGATGGAGCTGCCTAGATGATGCCTACGCGATCATTGGTTTTTTCTTTCTAGCCTAGCAGGCCAATGGATCAGACCTAAAGTCCCGGTTGAGATGGCAATGATTCAATTAAGATAGGAATAAATAGGGGCTGCCATGGTCAAAGAGAAATGGGAAGCTCCAAAACGTATCCGAAAGTTTGCAGGGATGAAGTTCTTGAAGAACGGCCGATACCGTGCTGTCATAGCTTTGAAAACCCCATGAATTTGCTTTAACGTTTTACACACACTTTTGTTGAACAGGCAAGGCAAAAAACTACAGTTTCAATATGCTCCCGGAATATCATACATATGAACTTCAGTCCGTCGTGCTAAACCAATCGCTGGCAGTTTTCCAAAAAGGGTGGAAACTAATTCGAAATGCTCCTGAATTTGGGCAATTCAACTCTAGCTCGTTGTTCGGTGCTTTGTCGATTGCTTTGCTTTATGAAACTCGCCTTGTTGCTACTGGAGCACGAGACAGGGCGATCGAGGATAGATTGGTGGTGTTGGTGATCTTTATGTAAGGAGGACTGAGATGAGGAGATTATGGAGAGGATGTCTCTTTATTCATGGGGGATTGAGATGAAAAGCGATATGAAGAGGAGGGCTCTCAATGCATCGAGGACTGTGATGAGGAGGGTTATGGAGAGGAGAGTCCTTAAAGCAGGGAGGACTGAAACAAGAAGTGTGATGGAGAGAAGGGCTTGAAATATGCCGGCTGAGGAAAAGATTGCCCGTCGCAGATGGCTGCAAAACAGATTCCGCGAAGGGAAGGCAACCTGTTGATTGAGTAGATTTAACCATTAAATTCTATGAGCTATTCATCTGTACTGATACAAACATGACAATGAGTAATATTAAGGTATGATGATCATAAGCTAATGCGCTGCTTCCCATGGTCAACCAATTAATAATGCTATCCTTCTAACGAGATATCTTATATTAAGAAACATACAACCCAATAAAGCCACTATTTTATGACTTTTTAACAATTTCTAACCCGGGCGAAGTGTTTTTGCTGCAAGGAAGAAGAATAGGTTCACCAGACTCGCTGGTAAATAGTCTTAGAGGAAAGGGTTGTGACATCTGTCGTTCACGAGGTTGTGGTAATCTCGAATCTTGCACCGAAGACATTGGATGAGGACTAGATCTTTCCTTTTCGCTACAGAAGGGATGATCCACACTATTATTATCAGCCCAGCTGGTTATTCGACTCCGAAGTCCTTGGTTGTTTGTACTGGGTGGTTTGCCGAGATGTGTGAATTTTAGGAGCATGTTTATGCGATGTCTCCATTGGGAATTGTGGCTTGGGAGGCTTGCTGCTTGGTTCTCGTTGCGAAGTTTTTCTCGCTCGTCTGTTTGGGTGTTGGTTTTCGTCTTGGTTAATAATTTAAGATTATGTGGTTGATGACTTACTTAGAGAACCTTCAAGTGCTGAAATCAGGGGTAAAATTAAGAGGATACAGGCAACGAATTGCCCAAATGTCCAAGAATTCTGCTGTGTGATGAAGTCTTCCGTGATTTCTAAGCCCGGATAGCGGGATTTATCTCTCATTATGAGAGCATGGTTAATGCCAAATATCAATGTGATTATTATTACGAGAATGGGCAATACCCAAAACGATGCGATGAACCCCTGGAAAACAAATGCTAGCCATAGGCACAATCTCTCTCGATTAGTAATACGAAAGATTTTCAAACACCTGCCGTAAAGCCAGAGACTGAAATCATTCCGGATGCGCTGTGGAATGCATTTCAGAAGTGCTTGGAAAAAGAGTAACGTTATGATGGCGATTCGGAGCGAATGCTCGTAGCCCGTATATGGAACCGCTGTCGCACACTTCGCTAGGCAAGCTGCTGCTTCTCCATTTATCTTCTCACTGTTAAAAGATCTAAAAAGACCAGATGTGTTCCCAAAACTTCTTGCTCGGGATTGTGCCGCGATGAAAAGTAGAAGGTTGCCAATGTACCCACAAAATCTCACTCCACCCAAAATGCGGTTTTGCAAGAAATAATCGCTCATGGAAAGGAGAGCAACGCTATGCGTAAAGCTTGAAAACCAAGCTAGATACACGATAATGTTGTAATAATAGGCGCTGATCGTATCAAAGTTGTAGAGACCAGCAATCATAACAGCTGAACTTATCACTAGTTGTTGGTCCGCAAGTGAGAGAATAAGAGGGGTCAAGGCAGCATTTAGTAACTTCCATCTGGGAACGTTTGGCTTCTTGGAAGGCAGGGGCAGAATTCCTCGTCTGTAAAACCGCACTCTTTCCTTACCCAGGTGATAAAGCCTCGCAGCTGTACCCTTGTCTGACTTGTGATCGAAATCATGATACTCAAGTTCCGCCTGTTCCGCGTATTGGTGGGAATGAAGTGCAAGCTGGCATGGGACGCGTAAAACGGCGGCCGAGAGAGTCCATAGTGCTGTGGCGATGAATGAAATATAAACCTTGACTAAAAGTCAGTCATATTGTTGATATGGGCAAGCTGGAAGCCCGAATATCTCGAGGGAAGCATACGCCGACTCCTTCGATTTCAATATCAACTGAAAGTGGACCGCAGTCATTTGGGAAATTGGAGCATCCCGTGGCACTCATGATTTTGGCTTTGATGTAAATCTCAATAGTCTTCAAGTCCATAGAGGCCATAGAAAGACACTGAACTGGCATAGCTAACAAAAATGACGACATCGTCAACATAGGAAGGAACAAGCTTGATGATAGCCATTGACTTCATTTGAGTTGGGTAATCATGTATTTGAGGAGACGATACGACTATAGAGGAAATTTTATCCTTATTGCACTTGCTTCAAGGTGAAATCCTACCAAGTAGAACCTACAGACATTGCTCGAGGTCGAGCTTTGGGAAGAGCTAGCTCCAAAATCATCACCGATAATATGGTAAATTGCAGCAAGCAGTTGTCATTATCACAGCTTTAAGAGAGGCAAAGTCGTTATTCTCACATCAGTGAGCTCCATGGTTGACAGCAAATGGATACCTTGGACCTAGTATTTCATGTCAACTTCAAAAGGAGGTCATTTTGCGTCACTGAACACCATCCAAATGCATTGGCTAGAGGATCCCGATTCCAGTCTCCCACAATCCATAATCTATAGAAGTAAATTCTCAGCAAAAGTAGTTAATGTGAGGTACAAAGCCCTGGCGCTGTCATCATACAGTAGAGATTTATGAAGCTACTTTTTGATTGCTTTTATATACGTCGATTGAATGACTCTACCAATCACATCGACGCCGATTCAGGACATAACCATTAATTCGATTAGTGTTAGCGTGGCAGAATTCTTGTGACCGCTTTCATTCCTCGACTTTGATAGGTTATCGGTGAATTCTGGTGGTTATCCGATAAAATCTGGAGAGTAATTTTGAATGTATTGAATTTCAAAAAGAAATCAATGAATCCTTGAGCTATGTTACTGGTAAGTATCACATCTAATTCAATATTGCATTCGCTGACGATGTTTCTGTTAGAGAGTTGGTCCCAAGGGCCTGCGAGTCACGGCTTCCCGTCCTCTACACGAATTGGGAGCTCTACGCGGGGGTTATCGTGCATATACAGCGACGGCAAGACGTTGGCAAGATGTATTCCACTCGCAGATAGAAGATCCAGCTTCTTCGGCCATTTTATCTTCCCTGAAAACCACACCTCGGGTTGCGCAGACCCTTACAGAGAAAATTGTTCAACGATATTCCCTTGGACTTGCAAAGGATAAGGTTGTGAAGTCTGGAGGTATGCAATTACTATTTTACAATAGGAAACCTGGGAGACCTGCGAATGTCGAATTTGCATTCGCTGTGGGAGTAGCTGTTTGGAAAAATGTACTGACTGGATATGAACAGATTATGTTACCCTGTCTCCGCATTACTGCATGACCCATGAGTGAGTCAATACCTCCAAAGTTGTGCTCATGATTCTAACATTACCTAGCAATTCTTGGCCTGTCGCAACCAAATTCATGTCCATTGGCGCAACTAAAATCCACAATACCAATCAAATAGTTTGCACCCTCGACCACGATGTACAGAACAAGAGTGAAACGAACCTTAAGAAATACAAACAAATTGAGGAATTTGCACGGCAACAAGGGGTGGACTTCTACCCCGCAGGACGAGGAATTGGACATCAGATCATGGTAGAGGAAGGATATGCTTGGCCTGGAACTGTCACCGTCGCTTCAGACAGTCATAGTAACATGTATGGAGGTATTGGATGCTTAGGTACGCCTATGGTACGAACAGATGCGGCAAGTATCTGGGCAACAGGTCGAACATGGTGGCAGATTCCACCAATCGCCAAGGTAACTCTCACTGGAGTATTACCGATTGGAGTTACAGGGAAAGACGTTATCGTTGCACTTTGCGGTTTGTTCAACAGTGATGATGTTCTCAACCATGCCATTGAATTCACGGGATCGGAACAAACGATGCGCAGTCTCTCTGTCGATGACAGGCTTACTATCGCAAACATGACAACTGAATGGGGTGCTTTATCAGGATTGTTTCCAATCGATTCAGTCCTCGAGTCCTGGTTAAGATATAAGGCTACCACAAGCGCAATGTTTGCACCCAAAAATGGCAAGGAACCCCGGTTTACCCATGCTCGTATCGATGATCTCGTCCAAAATCAGCTTGTAGCAGACAAGGGAGCTACATATGCTAAATCTTTATACCTCAATCTTTCAACTCTCTCCCCTTACGTGGCGGGTCCTAACAGTGTCAAAATCGCCACACCTATCCGCGATTTGGAAGCCCAAAAGATCAAGCTCAATAAGGCATACCTCGTTTCATGTACCAATTCCCGTGCTTCTGATCTCGCAGCTGCTGCGAAGGTTTTCAAGGACGCTGCAGAGTCTTCTCCTGATAAATCTATTCCTAAAATTGCAGAGGGTGTCAATTTCTACATCGCTGCTGCTTCCATCCCTGAACAAGAGGCTGCCGAAGCGGCAGGTGACTGGCAAGCACTTCTTGCAGCTGGCGCACAACCCTTACCATCAGGATGTGGTCCTTGCATTGGTCTCGGTACTGGACTGCTAGAGCCAGGCGAGGTTGGTATTAGCGCAAGTAACCGAAACTTCAAAGGACGCATGGGATCCACCGACGCCAAGGCATATTTGGCAAGTCCCGAGCTTGTCGCCGCTAGTGCTCTTAATGGCTATATTTCCAGTCCTGGATGGTACGAGGCACCTGTTGGGGTGAACAAGGTCGTTCTCGGTGAAGGTAATGGAAATGTTGAAGAAGACAAAGCCATTAGCATCGAGGAAGCTCTTGAAAAACTTATCTCACAGGCAGAGTCGATTGTCGACGGAGCTGAGTCTAGCATTTTCGGCAGTTCCTCGAAATCCGACGAAACTGACGCCGAAACTTTGACTGAGATCCTCCCTGGTTTCCCAGAAAAGGTTGAGGGTGAAATTGTTTTCTGCGATGCTGATAACGTCAACACTGACGCTATCTATCCAGGGAAATATACCTACCAAGATGGTGTCTCTGTTGAAAAAATGGCGGAAGTGTGCATGGAGAATTACGACAAGGAATTCCGCACAATTGCTCGTGAAGGCGATATTCTCGTCTCCGGTTTCAATTTCGGATGTGGTAGCTCAAGAGAGCAGGCTGCTACTGCGATCCTCGCCAAGAAGATCCCTATGGTAGTTGCTGGAAGCTTTGGAAACATCTTCTCCAGAAATAGTATTAATAACGCTCTAATGGGAGTAGAAGTTCCAAGACTGGTACAAAGATTGAGGGAGCACTTTGCTGCTTCTGCACCAGTGCCAAAGAAAGAAGTCATTGAGCCAAGTGAAAACAGCGAAAGTCTTGATTCACCAAAGCCAGCTGAACAAGCTGTACCACAAGGGGAGAAGATGTTGACTAGAAGAACAGGATGGAAATTTGTATGGGATGTTAGACGAAGCAAGGTAGAGGTACAGGAAGGTGAAGGTGGAGAGAAGTGGAGCCAGAAGGTTGGAGAATTACCACCAAATGTGCAAGAAATCATTGCTAGAGGAGGTCTAGAGAAATGGGTAAAGGCAGAGATCGGGAAAAACTAAAAGTGGGCTCTTGGATTGGGAGTTGGAATTGTAAATGACATGTATACTTGTTACCTGATGAATCAAATAGATCGGGATGTTTCGGCCAGCGTTCGTTTGGCAATGTGTGAGTGAGTATATATATACCAGCCTTGTTGGTCCTAAGCTGAAGAGATTAGGATTTAATCAGCTATAAGAAAATACCTTACAAGGGGATATAGCATTGAATGAGACATGGCTACAGATTTCAGTTCTTTTCGAGGGGCTAGCCATAACCAGACGCTGGTGTATATGTGGTGTGAAAGATTTTCCAGATGAGAGTACATTCACACTTCAAAAATGGAGCTAAGGAAAGTAGTTGACATTAAAATGCCTAAGAAAAAAGCGAAAATTCTATAACAACATCTTTCTGTGGTAAACCCTGGATTTCTTATACTACAGAAGATTGGGATCTTCATTAGTACTTGATTTCTTTTGATTATAGATCAGGTTATTTCATCAATTGGTTTTCATTCAGAATCTTAACTTTCGATTAGTTTTTCACTTTGAAAAATCTGGGCAAGTGATTTTCAACAACAACATTGAATGATACCATTGGTAGTAATCATGTTTCTGTCCAAATTCATCTCCGTTCTTTTGTTCTCTGACTTGGCAATAGCTTGGGTGAGCAGTGAGGCAGCAAAGTCAATGGATGTTGAAACCTTGGTGCCGGTAACCTTCACAACCTTATCAGAATCAGACGAAACTCAGATTTCATCTCCAAATCCACCAGAAACTCTACTTTCCATCCTCATCAATACCAGTACTACACCTAGTTCTCCATCCACAACACTAAATTTCCTTCCACTTTCCTTGACAGCAACACTGCGCACTCTTAGTGAAAATGACTCCAAAGCAGCTCCAACCACGTCCAGCAGCTCCAGCTCCACTAATGTCCAAATTTCAGAACCGCCTCTAAGTACACAAGCTCTACCAAGAGAAACAGGATTTAGCACTCCAGACCAGTTCAAGGTTCAAATCCTTCAAGCTCAGAATTGGTACAGAGCTGCGCATGGTGCAAAACCGCTTGTCTGGAATGATATTTTGGCTGATACCAGTTCTGAATGGGTGGCGAGATGTGTTTGGGAACTTGAGGTATGTTATGCTTTCTAGTCTGAAGCATTCAATTGTCGTGGCTACTCTACATATTAATCGTTGTACTTATTCTCGGGACCACAGTCAACTCCAGGCATAGGCAAATCATTTGTATCTGTTATACCAACAAGTGTTTTTGGAATTATAAACTACTTGGGGTTGGAACGTCAGTTCTATAATTGGTCAGATCCAGGAATGAACAATTCTACGAAACAATTTACGCAGATGGTATGGAAGAATACAGCGCAGGTTGGATGTGCTTGGAATAATTGCCGTGAGTACTCCTTTATACTTTCAACACACTATTGGAGATTGAGATGTTCTGTGTCACTTGCCACTCTAGTTCCACAGTCCCTTGAAGAGAAAGAAAACGCTAACATCGAATTTTGTGCTAGCACCCGGATCATCACCAGACCCCTCTCCTCCTGCTTCAAATGAAGTTGCACTATTTCTATTATGTCAATACTACCCCAAAGGAAATCAAGGAAGTTCCCAAGACTGGAGCAACAATGTGGGAGAGTTAGAATCTGGAACTTTGGGAGAGGGCGTTGTTGCTGTTGATGGTTTTGGGCTGAGCAGTTCAACCGGCACAAGTGGTACTAGTAGTACAACTAGTAGTTCTTCCGCTGCTACTGGAGTGGATAGTCAGAGCATGGCTAATAAGCTTCATCATGGTCTTTTTGAAGCGATTGCCACCTCAGCCCTTATCATTGGTTTGGTCACTATATGTCCTTCGATTATTGTCCCTCTCATTCTAGCTTTTGGTTTCGCCGATGCAACATTTCAAGTGGGCATTTCTGCTTCCTTTACAACAACCCATCATGTGGGAGCGGTATCTAAGCCAACCATTACACTCATAGTCAATACTCAGGCTCCTCCAGTGGAGACTGGGTTTAGTTCACCTCTGCAGTTGCAAGCATCTATGCTTAAAGGTGTAAACTGGTACAGAAATAAATTTGATGATACAGCAATTGTTTGGGATGAAAGCCTAACTTCTGACGGTGAAGCTTGGCAATATGTGATAGGTCAGTACTACCGACCAGGAAATCCGGATGGAATTTCCTATGACGATCAGCAATGGACGGGGAATGTATCGGGGTTAGGCTGGGAATTCCTAGATGACATTTCTTACGGAATCCCAAGATCATCACTGTTTACCGATTCATTCAGGACAAAGACCGCTACAAAAATACCTTTTAACACCGCGTTGGCTTCAACAACTGCTCTCACAACTAGTACCACCGTCACAGTATCCAGTATTGAGACCGCAAGTATAGCAAGTTCGTTTGTGGGGACCTTCTTCACAATGATTATCAGCTTAACGATCTCTTTTTCGATCTCTAAGCATCCTTCTGTCTTGATATCTTTCCTTCTGAGCTCTGGTCTTGTGATTGCTATGCCGCAATCCGATATGTTGACCACAAAATCATCAAAGTCAGGGCCAGCTTTCTCCTCAACTCCACAGCCAGGCTCAACTTTCCTTGAAACTTCGATGCCTAGATCCGTCTCGGTAACTTCAGTCGAAAATCTCAATGCATTACCGATTTCGGCAGAAAGATTTGTCACAATCATACCACGACCTTCCCAAACTACAACAAATGATATAACCACATCGCCTATAGGTAGCGTCACATATAATCCTTACGTCTCTGGTCAATTCAACATGCCGACACTGAATACACAAGCTCAACCATGGCAAACAGGATTTAGCTCCCCCGCACAATTCAAAGCCGAAATTCTTTGGGGAATTAATTGGTATCGAGGTTTTTTCAACTACAGTAACCTTATTTGGAATGATACTATAGCTGGCTGGAGTACCGACTGGGTTCATTGTTGTGATTGGAATGATACGGTATGTTATTTCTTTTTATAGCTTGTTACTTCCTGTCGATACTAATGCTCAGCCATCACAGTTAGTTGTGACGGACCCAGACCTCGGGTCTACTAGCTTTATGGCTATCAATGTAGGTGGTATGAGTGATACTCCTGGTGTGTTAGATGTTGTCAATGCCTGGGGAGCGGAATCTGTTGAATACTATAGTGCGGACGGTGGCCCAAAGTTACCAACTTTCCCCATTGGCAGCATTGCAAGTGATGATTTTACACAAATGGTATGGAATGGAACAACACAGGTTGGATGTGGCTGGAATAATTGTCGTATGTTATTATTATTATTCTTTTATAAAAATCCCCTCCTAGCTATCCCCTTTAAATAAATGCGTCACTACTATATAAAATCCCTAACACGAAACCTCACTAGCTGCTGGCTCCTCACCAATCTTTACAAACAACTTACCTTGGCAATTCACATTTTGTCAATACTACCCACAAGGAAACACCGGCGATACAAAAGCATGGTATAAAAATATCCAGCCCGTAAATCCAGGAATCATATCCCAACTTATCCACGGAATCACCTCAAGCGATGCATCATTCAGTGTAGTCAGTACAACTACTATTCTGGGACACCATTCCAGTACTACCATTGGTATAGCTCACACTTCGAAAAACGTGGCGGAGAAATTGGAGGTTTCTTTGTTGGTGGTGGTTATTAGCTTGGTTATTGTGGTTGCTGGCTTGCTTTAGGGGGGTGTGTATAGGAGTGTGCTTGCAATTGAGCATGCGTGGATATAATGGAAATTTTAGCGCTAGTGTTGTTTCTTTTCGAAAATTTAGTATAGATGAATAGGAATAAGCTTCTCTGACGCGAATCCGATGCTCTTTTACATGCTAGACGATGAATTTTTTTTTGCTTATTAAGGTTACTGGCAAGATTTAGGTGTTTAGGCTTGAGAAATGGATAGGAAGTTTACTCATTGGGTAGGCGAAGCTTTGAAGGGAGTTCTGATTCGAGCTTCGGTTTCTACGGATATAACCCTAGATTTGGATGGGTGTGGACGGCTGGGTGAATGCATCTCCAATCATTTAAAACAATCATCTAAGACTGCAATTGACTATTTTGTTCTGGAATATTTCTCACTGCAATATCTTAACCATAGGTATTTATCTAGCGATATTCCATCGCGCGTCCCTTGTTCCTTTTTCTTCCGGGTCGGTGTCTGTGATCCTCTTGGGGCCTGGCTTTAGATCCCATTTACACATCTATACATCTATACATCTATACATCTATACATCTATACATCTATACATCTACTCAAATCCGAGAAATCCGATATATCTCTTATAAGATCATTTTCAAATATATTCACTTTCTGCACAATCTATCTATAATATACACTACTCTACTATATAGCGAAAAAGGAGAAATCAAGCGATTCGTCCCGGAATGTCCAATGCTCTGAAGGATATGATGGTGTGAATCTGATTGATATTCTTCCTTCGGCTTCGGTGTTTCTTTTTTGCTTGATTGGAGTATGTATTCATTTGGAATTGAAACTCCGGCGTACGGGTTGAAGATGCATATGACTTGGGAACTTGAAGTATAAGGTTGACCTACAGTATTGATGTTCAGGGTGATAGGATGATTTCTTCGTTTAGGAAGCCGTGTATGAATGATACACCAATACAATTACGTTTCTTCTATCATCCAGAGAATAGCATTTTAAACATCAATTATAAATAAGTATACGAATGAAATTACCCAGGGGATAAGTTGAGGAATTATTTAGGTAGGTTAGGTTAATGTGATGAAATTTTTCGCTAAATAAGGTTAACCTTAATAGTATGGATATGGATATGAAGAGTAATTCACAAAAACAAACAGATGTAAAACCTTACTCGTACAGAACATTTGGAAATGTTAATGCAATCCATCGAGCATAAAAGCAGAGTCTTTCTCTCTTTTTCGATGCAGATGCTAATATAAGAAAGGTTAATTGCGGAATAATCTGTAAGGGTGGGTTTGAGTTCTATGCATCTAAGGTTAGATGCTATGGGTGACGGTGAAAATAATTATGCGAAGGGTAACCTTTAGTTGTGATTGATGTGGAGATATAATCGCCATGTAGGAAGGACTATTAGATAGGTAGGTATACATTTCAATAGATTATACAGTCACAATACGCGGGTGCACTACTTCTCCTTCTTATTTATCGGTAACTAAACCTTATATTAACCTCGTTCTGAATACTAATCTTAATAATCAATCAATCTCTGGGTTAATTGGACCGCCACTAGCTCTACGGAGTAACCTATTCCATAACCTATATTCAGATTACTCATACAAACCCCAGGAAAAACCCCCCATAATCTTACATAAGCTTAAATGAGTTCACCTTAGTCCACCAAGCAAATTACCCTTACTTTACCCCCTTACATCATCATCAATCTTACCTCAGACATATATCCTCACCCTCACAAAAAAGCGGTACACAGCGGCGGCCACTTACCGAAAACAGTAATGCCGCACCCACACGCACACGCCAAGCAAGTATGTATCTCGGACCGATATAAAAGATCACAAGATCGACATTTTGATATTCCTTTTATGGGTTTTCCGATTATTTATTGATTTCCGACTCTATTGATTTGTTATTCTATTGATTAGTGGTTTTTGGTTTGCTTTTTGTAATGTATTGATTTGTTATGTACTTTTACTATCTACTTGATGTAAATTCGAATTATTCCTTCCCTACGCCCCTATGATAAGCTTGAGAAAACTACCGGTATGTAAACGGTCAACTCAAGATCCGCCATTTCAATTTCCCCAGACGAGAGAAAGAAATGATTGAAAATGCAAAATAAAATCCTACGCCATGCTCGCTATCAAATAACTCCCAGACTATTCGCATCGATGCAAATCTGAATTTCGCTTCTTTCCTCCGACAGTAAAAACTGCCAACCGCGCATTTAATACCCATTATCCTATCCTATCCATCCCACATTGAAATACCCACCAACCCAAATTCTCCACATCCTTAAAATCCCAAATATTCATTTCCAATCTTCACAGCTTCTTCAACACCAGCTCCCTTCTCACTTGCGATAAATTTACTCAATCCCATTGCTCTTAATCCCTCTTCACCAGTCCATGCTTCGAGTTCCTCGAGTCCCGGTCGACCGATATGTTCACTCTCACCCTTTCCACCTGGGAAATCTGGACCGGGGACTCCGGCGAGGAAGGTGTCGCGTTGGCGGGCGAGTGCTTCGGCGTTGATCGGGGTGAGTGGACAAGCAGGGATGTAGAGGACGGAACTGTCGGATTTGCCGGCGTGGGTTTTGTCTACGGCATGAATCACTATTTGGGCGGATTGGTTAGCAAGGAGTACATCACGAGAACATTATAAAGTAGGTTGAGGAATTAAGAACTTACTATCGCAATGCCAGGCAACATAATCACCTGGGTTGATCTTCGGGATATGAATCATGGTATTCTTCAAATCCAAATGTGGATGTAATTTTTCAGTCATCTCTTGTCCCTGACTAGGTGTAGCACCATGAAGAGCAGTAGTCATCTTATCAGTTGGGATCAATCTCCAATTCTCAGGACTGAGAAATTCGGCAGTATATTGATCTTCCTTTCCCTCTGGCAATTCCTTGATGGGTTCAAAGAAGGGTCGGAGCAAAAAGTAGGCAGTGGTGAGTTGAATAAGAGGGTTCACCTTCAACGTGCCTTCACCAGGTGCAGTATGAGACATACCGAGCCAAGCTTGGAACATGCGGAACATGGAACAGCTACCTCCACCATTGTAGAGGTCACTAACAGCAGGGACACGGGATGAAGACTCGAAAGGATCGAATTCTTCCCACTTTCCTTGGAAAATGGAATCGTAAACTCCCTTGATACCGTAACCATTTGGTTCCCAGCGTTCAACGGATCCACCATCGGCATGGGGACCGAGTGCAAATACAGCATCACCTGGTTGACGAATGCGGACGCGGTCGGCATAGACAACTGGTTGGGAGAATGAGATTGGTGAGTTAGGGTCGGAGGAGTGCCAGAGGTTAATGAGGAACTTTTGAGCAGCGATCATATTTGGATGACCACGTGCCTTGACTTGTGGTGGTGACCAATAGAGTTCGAAGACCTGGGGGTCGTTTGCTGGGAAGCCTATTTCTGTCAGTTTTGCTCTTCTCGGTTTCTTTTTAATGCCACGAGGGGCACTGTATCCAAGCTCATGGAGAATCCGTGAATAGAGATTAAAAATGAAAATAATAACTTACCCTTTGTGCTAGGATTTGATTTAACATAATTTTCGACCTCCTCCTTGTAACCTCTCGCCATCTTCTCATCCACAACTCCCCTAATAACAACTGAGCCCTTGTCTCTCATTTCTTTCAACTGTTCCTCAGTTACATTCTTCTCGACAATATCCCTGAAAGCCACACTTGGAATAATCTTCGGACCCAATTCTGCCACCTTACGATTTTCAACCGCAAGACGATCGATGAGACGAGTGAATGATGCTTGAACAGCTTCTTCGTGACCGCGAATAAGGTTGCGTTTGATGTCAGCGAAACGTTCTGGGAGGGGTGTAGCTTTGGTTCCAGAGAGTGAGGCGAAGACGCTGGAGATATCGCCCTCTTGTTTTGTGTTCATGGCGTTCATGGAAGACATCTTGAATGATTTAATTTCTGTAGCCAGTGTGCGTATCGTAAATTTTGGTTTGGACTTGAGAAAGGAGGATGTACGAGGGATGGAGGAGAGGAGACGTCTGGTAGATAACATGATGGGATGTCAGGCCACAAGCGGTGACTTGTGGCACAGATATGAGTGAATGAAAACCAATTATGCTTTTATGCCGAGGTGTTGAGCAAAGATGAGGTAGATTTCAAATCAACCTTACCTTTGGTAAACAAAGAGTTTCAGAAGTGAATACCTCGATAAATACTTCGGTATCGACAATGATCTTGTTGAATGATCGCGGGCGTCAGTAGAAAATGATTGGAAGGAGAAAAGTTGTTCGTACAAGAAGGAATTCGAAGATCTTTTAAATAGGTAGGTAATGAAAGACCGCATAAGTACGGTTCATTATAGAGCAAAACGTTGAATATCATACGCATTGGCGAACTTGACGGAGGTTACCAATTGGGAAGTCCGCCGACCGTAGTGAATGTTTCCTCACGGGTATGGATGTGGGCTATGGATGAAATAGCTTACTTAATTATGATTGCGAGGTAATTTGAAGTCGGCGTTAAGAGAATGCTTTGCAGTACAATGCCCAAAATTTAATTATCATATGGTCTAAGGATGAGCTGTTGGGAATTCACTGTGGGACGTGACATCGGCGGTGTTCTATTCCCTGTTATACCGATGTATATCGATAGGCGCTCATGCCATCCATCATGCTTGTGCATGTGCATGTGCATTGAACTGCAAGGGAATATTAATCCATCTCTCACTTTATGTATCTAACTTTAAGACTTCTCCCACATTGAATAGACTTTCATCCTTCTATATAAAGAATGGCGTGGAGTGTTTGACCAACTGTCACAGTTGCCAGATAAATTGGATTGAGAACCAGTTACGAGAGCAACCGTAAGTACCCGATGAGGTATTTCAACAAGTGGGCTATGTAGGAAATAATTCACTTCTGCTTGGATCATGATATTTGGCACCTGTGACCTGGTTAGGCGGTGTTACTCTAAGCAGACTTTTAAAAACATGGAGACCATGGGATTAGATAGTAGCACGGAAGAAGTTGAGAACATTAGGGTCGGCGCAAGTATGAGCTTTCCGATAGAAATTGTCGGGGATATAGCAGAATATGTATACGTTTGCGTGTTCAAAAATCTGGGTAAGTCGGTTTGATATCAATGGTGTAAGCATATAGCTTTCGATCGAGCGTATTTCGAGTTTATCATTTTAATATTTTATATGTTGTTAAGAACCTCTCAACAACTTTGTTATTCTATTAGATACAACCATCGAGGAATTAAACTCCACCATTATGAATTACGGAGAGGAAAAAAGGATCAACGACAGCGGCAGATATGTTCATGTACACCAAGACTCCTTGTGCGGCTCTTTACCTACATTTGCTTAACAAGTTCTAAACCACACCAGCGAGAAAATTGATGGAAGCGGATTTAGAAGATCATTAGGGTGATAAGAACTTTCTTAAATGGCTCCTTGACTCTCCCACGACCTCAACCAAAGCATGTCACAATGCAAGGGTGCATGCACCGAGCAATTTGTGAAGCGATTCTCCTCCTATTTTTGATAGATCCTGCTCTTTTCCTGCAGAAGTTTCGCAGATGCATATGGACCATGGGAAATATATCAAATTCATCATAATGTAAGAATAATCCTTCCACGGTGCGCCGTTGTAGTATATATATATTGGTTTTAGGCAAATGCGCAGACGTGTCATACGGATAATTTCAAAATTGCCAAAGGATGGGGTTTGTTGTCAGACTGACCGTTCCGAATTCAGAGTAGCATGGCTTCTCTGTGCATCGTGAAGTCGCGTTAGAAGTCGAGTTTGTGCTGTCTTGATTTGAAAGTCTGAAAGCTTCGTCTTTTGCGGAATGAAAAGTGTCGATGTGCAACATAAAAGCCGTCTCACTGGTCCTCACGGTGCTTGAATCTCGCGCAAAGATGCTTATAAGTGCGAGTAACTTAATATTTATGGCTAAAGAGCCTTGCACTTTGAGCATTGGCGGTATCAAATATAAGGTATCAAGAAGTATCATTGATAGATGAACATTTTTGTGGACGTCCGACATGATTATGTTAAAAATTGAGATGTCTGCCTGAGGCATGAGCTAAGCCGGTTTCACCAAATAGATTTTTGTTTCTCCACAACAAACTTAACCTTATCGTCATGACATATTATAGCTGGAATTATCTTGAGTGCCCTTTACCTTAGCACTTTCTTACTTTTCTTTGCAAAATTACACGCATTAATCTGCGTGTTCCATGCCTTGCAGCTTTTCTAAAAGGTCACCATCGTAAAATCATGTTCGAAAACTTCTGATCTTCTATTTCATCCGCTTCAATCGGACGGTTTAGGTTATGGGTCATTCTTCCACGCAAAGGCCCAATTTTGTATCTTGATGAAAAGACGCATAGGCTCGCCGAAGCGCTAATTATTTGCAGACTCGGCATATCAGCCTGTACATTAGATCTTCAATCATCTACAATCCTATTAGCTGTCCTCAGGAATTTCCCCTGAATCTCGTTCCGAGGTGTATCATAGTATTGACCACTGGGAAGTTCCTTGGTTAACGTCAAACCGTTGTTGTGCAGCATCAAACCTCCATCGGGACGACCTGAAGAACCTTCAGTCCCAAGCTAAAGGAATCCTGCCCCTTCCCACGTTAGATTTGACCTCGGGCATTTCCCAGTCTATCCGAGTGCCCGGATTGCAGTCGGAAATACAGAGATTTTCAATTCCTTACTTAATCCAACTGGGGTATTGAAATCATTTTGAATATTGAGTTCATTTTGAATGCTGAATTGTTTTCAGGCATTCAAAGCTTTTTAAAAAATTCAAGGCCTTTTGGACATTGAAACTTTTTCCAATGTTCAGTGCTTTCGAGCATTGAAATACTTTCAAATCGGTCTCACTACTCTGGAATACCGGACTTCTTGCTTTATCCACTATATTGGCCTCGGCCCACAACATCTTCTCATCTGAAAATACACAATGCTATGAGGCCGTCATAGAGACAAACCCGCCCAAATTTACCGAATTCCGGGAGAGGCTCAACTACGCCATATCACCACATGCAACAGCGGAGTTAGCATCCACAACTATGTTCAGATTTGTAGCTTCCGACGGAACTGGCTCCGTCAAAAGGCAGCAAGCACAAAAAGCATGCGACTCCTGCAGGAAGCGGAAAAAGCGCTGTGATCACACCGCAGGTGGTATCTCAACATCTGCAAATTCTTCACCTGTACGAACACCCAATCAACTCCATTCTGACAACCAGGTTTCTCAAGAGGCCATCAAGCCATATGTTGCAAATTACCTGCCTTGTACCAAAGATGCCGAATATCGAAGCCCAGTATCTCCTGAGAATCCTGGTACCATCTCTCCTGTTGCATCAAACCTAGCCAGTAGTGATCAAGACCTTGAAGCTGCCAGAATATTGAGCGGAGGTGTCCATATTCAAGCCAAAACACCTCAAATTCAAGAGCCATCTGGTGTCCAGTCTCGGTTTATCGGAGATCTTAACCCAGAATCAATTTTCCTAGCTGCTACCAGCCCAGATGCAATTAGTGGCGTATTACCGGACAGCGTCGGGGTATATCTTTCCTCAACACTCGGGAAAAAGCCCCACCATTTCTCGAATTTACAACAAACAAGTTCCAACTTGTTTTTTGGATGTCCGCCCTTGATTCGTGATGTTTTAGTACCTCTCATAGAGCAAGAGTGTTTAACAACAATGCCACCTGAAAATCATCTCGAATTGTTAACCCGGATATACTTCGAAAAGATCAATCCTGTTTTTCCAATTATCGATGAAAACATCTACCGTGGTCTGCCTCCTTCGAGCCCATGTCTAATTCTATTAAAACAAGCAATTTGTTTGGCAGCATCCAAGAATTTCGTTGCTGCAGAGCATCTAGTTCTCAATGAAGCAGACTCGCCCATGACATGCCGAGCCTTTGGTGAAAAGGTATCAGGGGCAATGAGACTTACCATCCAGCTCGGGATTGTAACTGACAAGCTTATATTGATTCAAGCCCTCTGTCTCCTTTCTCTATTCATAGACAACTCTAGCAGTGAAGATCTTGCATCTCAATTCTCTGGGAAAGCTACTCATTATCTCGAAGGCATGGGGCTACATCTCGCGGGGCAACAAGAAGACGCAAGTGCGAAGCTTCTATGCTGTGTTTATGCACTGGATCGCATGAATGCTGCGTTTCATGGACGTCCTGTTTTGATGCATGAGCGCGACATGAGAAAAGATCTTCATCAATGCTTCAACCAACAGGAACCTTGTTTTCGCCTGTTCTTACAGGTCATATTATTACTGGACAATGTGATCGAGATATACCGACCTCTAAACCAATTGAAACATGGCGGTATGGATATTCAGTTCCCTGCTTTTGAAGAGCTGGTCTCAGAGTGTGGGGCATCGCAGATTGGTACTTCCTCCCTCGGTAGGTTTTCTTGATTTCCCAAATTACGTCACCAACGCTGCCGATGGTGGACCACATGTAATTTTAATGGCATTACAAAATAACACTCATCACTGCGTCTTTAGCAACAATCGAAATTTTCTACCACAGCATCTCTATCATTTCCCATAGATCACATATCTGGGCCGAACCCAAACGATCCACACCCTCTTACCTTCGGCAATCTCTCTCAACCAGCATTCTTTCATCCACCACCCCTCACGAACTACAAGAGCAGCTCGTGCTCTTTCCTTTTATCCCATATGCTATTTCTCTTTCACTGAGCATCGCGTATCGGGAAATGCGTCACAACAAACTGCCCATCCATCGAATGCGTGCTCGAAGTCACTTCCAAGCGAGTTGTAGGCTCTTAGAGGGACTGGAAGGTAAATACTTGACTGCTGCTAATGCTGCAAATATGGGCAAGAAGATGCTCAGAGAAATTGACCGAGTTTTTTCTACCGTCTCATCTGAACATAAAGCAATGGCATCGCATCAAGATATCAATTCCAACACTGACGTTACTTTACCACTAAATGATCACAACACAGCGATGACGAATACTGAGAATCGTAAGTTTTGCATACTCCTCTTCCATTCTTCCACACCTCATATGACTATCTTCAAGTGGCATTCTAATAAATCAAGTAGAATTCGTCGCGGCGAATTCTAGCAACCAGATAACTAACCCATCCATCGTTCCCCTCCACGGAGGCCAGACACAAGTCTTCGATACGTCATTTTTTGACTTCAATGCCACTGGAGATGTCGACCTCTTTTCCATGTTTGATCCTTCCTTCGATCTGGTTGGTTTTGATGCTTGTCTGGAAAGCAATCTAAACCCAGCATTCCCTACTCCGGTGTCTTTTCCGTGATTAGCAGCCATTCTCGAATTTATGACTAAATGGAACACCCAACGGGCGCAATTGCCGCAGACCAAAATAATACTCCGTTTTGACGTCTGAGGCCGAGTGAGCATTCGATTGTCAACTGTGGCCCAGGAAAGTCAAAACCACGTATATTCGACAGTACGTTCAGTTTTCAACTACAAACCGGATTATTGCACACATGAATAATATTACATGGCCTAGGGATATTCTTTTGGCGTCGAGAAAATAGTTTCTTTGTCGTCCCTCGCTTCTATCCGATCAGTTTGGGTCAGATGACAAACCGGAATTGTGTGATGGTTGTTTTGAGACTTAAATGTGCTTCAACATGAAGCAAAAGACAGGGTAGAAAAACGAAAAACAGGAATGGAAAATTCACCAGGTCAATATATCTACGGTTGGGAATGAACTCTATGGGTATGTTGGAGTCAGGAAAATTTCAGGAATTGGGCTCTGAGCCTCTGTTCTCGGATATATAGATACGGTCTCTACATGCATGTAATAGCTAACAGTCGGATACTTAGCTAGCAAGTTGGTATGAAATGCACAACTAATAAAGAAAGGTTGCCCTATCCCAGCCATCATGTGAAATCTCATATTGCTTACATAATCGATCACGTTCAACACCTTCCTATTTGGATTATTTGCCGCGGCTGCATCGCGAATATGACATCTCATAAGTCCTATTTTTTACATTCTAACATCTTTCTTGAGCAGCTTCACTGCGAACATGAGCTGATTGTGGCCCAAATCCTTCAGCGGCATCACATTGTATCAAATATCTATGCTGTTTCGCAACTATCGGTTTCATTGGTTCAGGCAATTGCTCTTGGCGATCGAAATTTCTGCTACAACAGTGTTCCCAAGCTGCCTTCCAGCACATGCGGAGGAAGCTTTATGAACTTAAAGTCTGTTCATCATAGCCACTCAACGGACGAGCATACAAGACCACGAGACTTCTCCTTTGGTTTTCAACCAGAGACTTCAATCAACAAGCACACCTCCAGAAATCGATAAAAGCAATGCGATCTCGTATATGCACCGGAATTTTTTGACCACGGCTCCGAATCATCACTTCGATTATTTTGTTAGAGCCAGGTATGGAGATTAGCGGTTTTCGCCACCGTTCGAGAATATCCAGTTCATTCATCATACACGGCTCTTGGGTATAAAAGTGCTCTTTTCCTCACACCCACCTGCAAGCTATATCTACATAACAAGCGGCGAAAAATTTGCTCTGATGCATCTGGGATATTTTACCATTACGAAGTGATGTTGGACGCACAAGTTACAGCTGGCAGAAAATAAGTTTTGCGCTTTAGCCTCTTTCGTGGTCCAAGCCAATAGAGCCGTATGTATCAATGAGTCCTTTGACCGTTATTCGTCGCTCAGCTGGGATGGAAAGAAGCCTCATTTCCCCGAGTTCAATTTAGTTGCATTCCGATTCTAAAGGCATACAACTCATGAGCTTATCCACGCTTCTCGTGGTCCTTTCTTGAGAAAATACAGGTGAACGATCAAGCCTTTAAAGTGCCAAAAGTTCTAAACTCATCTTTCATTCTAGGACGGTCAATGCACAGCTCCAGTAAACATGGTTCTAATTGGACGATATTTAGCATGATTCAAGTGATACCAACTATCTAGAATAACACTGGGGCTCAAAAATCACTGCTCGTGTCAGCACGGCTTTTTTGAAGGCATCAAAAAAATTAGATCCGACGGACTTGGCGCTGAGCTCAGAATTGTGAGACCTCTTGCAACCAGTAATCCAAAAGCTAGGATTCCATTTCTAGCAGTTTTAAACGGACTAAGCAACGGCGTTGCTCGGAATTTCGGATGGATATTTGCTGCTAACACGAAAATCATCTATGTCATCGGTGTCAAGACTTGTAGCATATCAACGAGAGAATACTGTAATCACAATCATGATATATTACATGCAGTTCTTCCGACGAAGCGCTATAATCATCAATTATCATGATATGAATTATCAGGTGTTGGCGGTGGCGCAACTCTGCTGATCAACCACACCACTCAACTAGCTGCATAAATTATACATGCACTGTTACACAAATGGGACAATTGCTTCTAGAAGAATCAGATGCATGGCTTGGTCAATGAATTCAATTTGATTGGTCTAACGGAAAACGGGCATGCAGCATTTCCTCCTTGTCCTTCGAAATCCACTCTTCCTAAAATTTGCTGCCCCTTAAAGTTTACTTGCAGCGGGGCCAAATCCATCAATCCACTCACATCCGCACAGTCCAGTGGTCGCATTGTAAACGGGATGCTTCTCAGCAATGCAGAGAATATCTGAGCAGGTTTTGATAGGTTTTGGCACGGTATCTTTTGGCTGAAGACCTGGAATCCACTGGCATTCGCAGAGACCGGTAGATGCATTAAAACCCGGTTGCATTTCTGAGATACAGGAAATACCTACACATGGATCTATTGGCCCAAGTCCAGGAATCCATTTACAAATACATTCTCCTGTCTTGGCATCAAAAGTAGGGTGCATTTCGGAGATACACACTGTATCGGAGCAGGTCTCATCTCTAATAGGGGTCGACGTATTGTTTGGCTCCAATCCTGGAATCCATTGGCAGGAGCACGAACTGGCTGATGGATTGTATGTAGGTCTTTGCTCAGCAATGCAGAAAAGATCTGGACAATCGGGATCACATTGACACTTTCCGGTCTCGGGATGATATACACGATGGTTTCCTTCCACGCACTTAAGGAGTGGGCAAGTGGGAGGAATTGGGTTATCAAGTTCGCATGTGCAATTCTTTGACTTGGGCTTAAGCACTTTGTGAGCACCGCCGGCACAGAATATTATGTTGGGGCATACGGGAGCGTTTGGTTCGCAGGTACATCTCTTGGTCTCGGGGTGATAGACAGGGTGAGTGGTGGATGTGCATCGAATTGTGGGGCAAGTTGATGGATCCACTTCTCTGATAGAATTGCGCTCGCATTTGCAAGTTGAAGTGTCAGCATGCCAAACTGGATGAGATCCGACCAAGCAGGTTGTTGCAGTAAGGCAAATAGTTTCGGTTTGATCAGGAATGCATGAACACGTCTCAGTCGTGGAGTCCCAAAGAGTATGATGTCCGGCAATGCAATTGGTGGTCGAATAACAGATCTTCTCCCCATCATCTAGTGTGCAAGAGCAGACTTTTGTTTTGGGGTTCCAGAACAAATGGGTCCCTGGTGTACAGAAGATTTTTGGGCATCTCGCGGGGCTGTCAACTCTTGCTTCTAAAAATAATTAGCATAATTCTTGAGAACTTTAGTTCAAAGACACGTACCAAGTGTGGACCCAGGAGCTGCTAACACACCGCTCAGCCCTAAGGACAGCAAATACAATAATGATGTTGAGCGCATCTTCTCGATAGTTGAGATGCTGAGATATCGATAAATCAAGACAGACTAGAAATCGGTTGAAGCTTTTGAAGAGGCAAGTCGAGGACTTTGAGTTTGAAATTTTTACGACAACTCTTCGTCTCTTTATACGACTATCTAATTGTGTCACAATCAATATCATGACATAGCTGATCTCAGCAAGCAAAATACGAGCCTCTTGGCAGCTCAAGAATGCTGGGATGCCAAGCCTGAGCTGTGCGGAACCGCGCCCATATAATTACCCCGCATCTGCCAAGATGTAAGGGACCGGGATACAATTCCTGAGAAATACATTCCATTGTGTCGCAAACTGGAAAGCCAGGTGATACAAAGCTTAAGTGAGAATCTAGGATGACATGAGATTTGACGATTTCCTGCTTGAAGAGGTTCTGTGTATCGTTGATACGTCGAATCCAAGCAGTACTGCGCTCCGCCATGAGGTTAGATTATGATATGGATCGCCGGCGAAAAAGAATGCTTGAGGTGTTTTACCCCTTACTTCAATAGTGATTGGTTCTCGATAGCTTGGAGCTGTCATTTCTCTTGTCAAGTCCTCGGGCTGGTCATAAAGACTTTATTTTTGTGTACAGTGTGACTATACTTCGTTCTTTCATCCAGTCGTTTCTTTGGTTCTATGTTTATATCTATAGGTTCCAAAAGATATATTTTGGTTGGTGGCTTATCCAGCATGTGTTTCACAAAGGCATTAATCCTACAGGTACAACATCCCGTGTGCGTTGATCTTGCATGTTCAGTTGACGGAGCACATTTTCTCAATTGGGCAAAATAAGTTCGGATACGCAGCCATGAGAATTCTTCACGTTGGATTGCACCTCATGACATTCCATATGCTCCTCGGCATCCGAAGCCACCGAACTATACGGCTTCATGGACGGGGACGAGCGGATGTTCTACTTTCTTCCAGTCTTCGGATTGACCGATGATGGAGCGGGAATCGGCCAGATTCGCCAACCAGCAAAATTGAATTTCATCGAAAATTAAACTTCCTGCTGCGAAACAGGCGTGTTTATGATAGCTATGATTTTCTCTATACATATCCGTCTGGCTTTTCCTTTCCAACGATATTGGTACAGGTATGCCATCAAACTTTCATGGCCATTAAACAAGCATTAGAGCAGCCTGGTAACCATTCGGGATATACGGCACACATTCAAGTTTCAAGGTCAGCATTCTTTTCTCTGAATCTCTTGCCCTGGATAAGCTGGCACCTCTTCACCGATATCTCTTTCAAGCTTTCTTTTATTCTCTGTAAGTTTCATTCTAAGCTCCCAAATACCATACCCTTCTCCAGGGTCTAAATTATCCATGAGATCCCTCGCAAATATTATCCAGTTTCCTAGTATCTCTATCCATACTCTTTTCCCTCCATCATAAAGCCTTGTTAAATACCTAATTCTCGCCGATTATTGTCGGGCGGTCTCATAATCTACACTATTCCATACTCTCTCACGACTTCTAACATCACAAGCTAGTTTCAGGAGACCTGCGCGGGTCAGTGCATAAGAGTATTGGGCCTTCGATTTGACTGATCCGTACAATAACTTCTTGACAGTTATCAATATGTCCTGAGACGTATTCGATGCGAGCCTGTGATATCATATTGATTTCTTTTCGATCGCCCGTATCAAATAGTCCAGTCGTTTCACCGGAGACAAAGAGATACATCATCGCCAGTTCCAAATGATTTAATATAGTGCTGGAATGAATGGCTGGATGTGGAAGTTCTGTTCTCCATTCTAATTTGAGTTTTTGAATGAGTGCTCTCATTCCCCAATTGAACTTTAATAGCTCAATTTGACGGTCTGTTGAAATATTTTGATTGAAATTATCAAGTCCCAATTGGTTTTGCATTAGAGCTATGTGTTTCTCTGTTGCGTTCATTAAAGCATTAAATATTTGCAGTCTATATTTTTCGGCTTTTACGTTATTTATTTCGTTGTCCTTGATCCTAATAACATATTCGTTGATATTCTGTCATTGCACAATCGAATCTGACCAGAAAGCTGGCTCCATGTTCCGCACTTTTGATTAGTTTATCCCCAATTTGGAAAATTTGCTTCCCGTTTGGGGTTCAGTTGGTAACATTTTTGAGTCGCTCCATCTACGAAATATTTTGGTTCGTTTATCAGTGGAGAGACATGTAATCGTCCTTTAATATCATCTCTACCTCAAACATATTCATCTTGGACTTTTATACCCACACTAGCTTTCATTGTCCGGTAGTACAAGATCTTGTGGCCATATGGTCGCACCGCGTGCTCCCAAAACGAGGCGGATTGTACATCCTCATAGACTGTCACTGGAATGGATGCAAGTATTTATAATCTGGAGGTTGCGGCTCTTCGTCGAGTTGGGATTTTCAATGGAAGTCGTATAAGTTAAAATCATCTCCATGGTTGGCCAGGGGGTCACTAGCCAGCAGCCCAACGGGCGATTTCTCCATATGGTTCCGTTGAGCATTGCTTCTATGTACCCTCCATCAATCTATCACATACTGCAAGAAATTTGGAATTATAAACCAAATACATAGAGGTTTTTAATTAATCAATCATATAAACTTTTATAATTAAATATAAAAAAAGAGCTTTTGTTTCTTCTTTCGAGAATAACCAATCTTCTATATATATATATTTGAATCTACATAACATCAACCCCAAAACTATTGTGAACCCCGTTTTCTTCATAAATGACATATTACAATATAATCTAATTCAGCTTCCTCTTCCAATCCCCTCCTCATAGCATACTATCGGGATGCACGTATCTCGACCTACCACTTTTACAATACGTTAGAGATTTTCTTTGGTATTTAGAACTTGGTTATGGGGTAGTCCAACCCACGGCATTTTCGTATGAATATCCTAACTCGGCTAAAGCTGCATCTTCAAAATATGGTTCGTTGGGTACGGGTGGGGCTGTCATTTTGATGTTGGGATTCGGATAGTTTCTACTCAATTCCATAGCATGGATTAATTCGTAGACCATCTATGGTGTCTTAGCTCCTATTATCCAAAGATTAGGATTCCTTGAATGTGCCCAGCAGCAGGTGCTGAAGAAAGGGGCTTACTACAACAGACATTCGCCAGGATATAGCATATCGTTCGGCATGATAATTTATCTACAACTAATGGGATTACATAATCGATATCCAACATAAGTACGATGTTGTATCGTGGTTTCTCTTTAGGGTCAGCTGGGTGCCGCTGATTACAGCATAGGTGCGTAGAAGCCAGTGTGTTGCGATCAGGGTAAATACTCTCATCGATATCTAGACCGATCTCACCCGTATATGGGTTCTTTCCGGGTTCGAAAAAAGAGAATAGAATGCCGTAGTCTTTTGAGAAGCGGTCGTTGAGTATTTTTTCGCGGGCTTCTATTGTTTTTGTCTGCTATTAACTAAACAATTGGATATCGGGTACATCTAGTAGGTTTTGATGAGGTGCTAACCGGACCCGAGTGGCGAGAAGGAAAGCATCGAACTAGAATCGGAGTTAGTGCTAGCTGCAACTCGATCGATACACGAAATTTCTGTTCACATATTTTAAAAGAATAACAGACCCAAGGTAGCATGACTCGATAACAAATATTGACTCGCAATCGCCGAACTCGACCACAATGCATTCCACACATGTTCATTCCCAGAAACCCAGTCCCTATACTTTCCGTATTTTTCATCACCACTTAGTCCCCAGTCATCAACGACGCCTCTTTCCTCCCAAACATCTTCCCCATACTATTCCATTGATTTCTTTGCAATAATGATAATATTGGTAAATCAGATAATGTAGATGCAGCCATAGGTCGTTCGCTCATAGCATCAACATTTAGTAGTTTGCGGGTGGTGAAGGAGTGGAGACGATTTGTTTTTTGGTGCGCTTCAATAGTATTCCAGTCGCGGAGAGCAAAGCGGCAGGAGGTAAAAGAGGAAAAGTTGCTAGGGCGGGAGTGGGATCACTGTGTTCGTCTGCAAAGTCATGGTAGTGGAGGGCGAATGAGGAGGGTTTTAAGGTCTGGGCCTGGGCCTGGGTTTAGAATGGTGTTGTAGGATGACATTTTGTATAGAAATATAAGATTTGAGATTTTTAATAAAATAATTGATTGATGTTATTATAGATTATATTTATTTAATTTTGATAATATATATTTTTTGTTATTAATTTTCTTTTTTATTTTTATTTATAAATTAATATCTATTGATATATTTTGTAATATTTTGAATTAGAAAGTTTAATATTTATATTTTGTAAATGTTTTTTTGTTAATACTTTTCTGCTTTATTTGGTGGGATGGATTTCCGAAGTAATATATTTAAGGTTATTTGTTACAGGGTAACAGTCAACCTGTCCACATGAGCTTAGGCCTCATCGAAAAGCAAGGCGATTTGTATACAAATTTGTATGGTAATCGTCTCATGTAATCTCCCCACCCTCAGCAAGCTCGAACATATGGTCTGATCGTAATCACATAATGGATCATAGGATCTAGGGGATCTAGAGAATCGTATTCTAAATCTATTAGATCTTTATGATCCAATTGATACGAAGGTCTATATAGTTAGGAAAGGATTCCTTTTGTAAGAACTTCGTATTCAAGATTAATCATTTAGTATACTCTACTATTAGTTACGAATTGCAATCATTGATATTATTTAAAGCCCTTGCTTGACACCTAGTTATAAACCCTTCGAGGATCCAGGCCACTTCCATGTGATCTAGATCGCATCCCTCATAACATTATTCCAGTGAATGTAACAAGAGTAATTTTATCAGGTCACATGTACGCTAGTTTAGTTTAGATCTAGTGCTGATCCGGGTATAAATACCCTGTCAGTTCTATTCTTCAATCTACACCCCTATCGTCTAAAACTCATCTCTTTTCTGTGTTTGTCTGCGAAGTCATGATAGTGGAGGGCGAGTGAGGAGGGTTTTAAGGTCTGGTCAGATCTCAAAAAGCCCAGGGAAATCTTGACATCGATCCGTTCCATCACACCGGTTTGTCGTAGGTCTACTCTAGCTCTCCACAGGCTAGAATGGTGTTGCAGGATGACATTTTGTATAGAAATACAGAATTTAAGACTTTTAATAAAATAATTGATTAGTATTATTATAGATTATATTTATTTAATTTTGATAATATATAAATTTTGTTATTGATTTCTTTTTTTGTTTTTATTTATAAATTAATATTTATTAATATATTTTATAATATTTTAAATTAAAGAATTTAATATTTATATTTTGTAAATGTTTCTTTATTAATACTTTTTTGTTTTATTTGGTAGAATGGATTTCCGGAGTAATATATTTGAGGTTATTCCAGTGAATGGAGTTTTTAGTCTAATAGATCGACTCCCTACGCACTTGCCACAGGAATCTTCATTACCTTGAACTTGTCATTTTCAATTCTAGGGCATAAAATCTTCTCTTGAGGTTATTTATGTAATTATACAACTTATCAATATGGTCCCAATCAAAAATTTAGGTGATTGAAAGCCCCAAAGACCGTGGCAATGTTCAATCAGATTTATTAGGATAGTTATTGTCTATAAAATATAAAAAAAGATGGAATTCATTTTGCAACAGATAACGGGCTTTTGGAGAAAATGAGCGACAATAGTTAGTGTTCCGTGATAGTCAAAAGTATAATTGAGATGAGGTGAGATTGTCTAATTGTGTCATATTTTTCATCACGATTTTTGGAGATGGTGAATATAAGACATCTGGATTTCCAAAGCTTGGTCGAAAGCCTGACCTTCACCAAAATCATTTTCAATAACTTTTGAAGAGGGAAATTATATGCATGATTTAGGGTTATTATATAGTCACTTTGAGAAATGATCATGATGCAAACGAGGAGCTTGAGCAAGATAAGTGGGACTTTGGCTGACGACTGAAATTGTATATACTAGTGTGATACAATGCAATTCCGTCAGGTTTTTCGAGCCGGCAGTATAAAAGAAAGCTTGAATGTTCAGTATCACGTCGCATAGCAAAACTTCCAATTTTCAAATCGAAGAAGCATTGGAGAGTTGGCATTGACTTTGACTAGCGCGTCGCTCAGGAAGAGTGGACCTTTTGGAGCATTCAGCGACGGTAAAAAGATAATCAATATTAGTTAATGCTTTGGTTTATAAGATTGGCTCGACAAATTCCATAGTTATGTCGCACCTAACCTTTATAGGACTTAGATGATTTGGCTCTTAGCCTTATAATTTGCTGCGTGTGAAGATTCTTGGGGTCACATAGGCTGTTTGCTGGGTTTCCTGGTACGCTTAAGCTCTATCCAGAGAGGATAGTGAGCCAAGTTCTGGATGATTTTATATACTTCTATCTTGGTAGTTTTGTCGAACTAGTGCATTCCACCGGTTCAGATTCACAAATTGCTTTTTAATCATCGTAACTGCAGATAATTTAGATCCGCTTCTCCAAGAGGGGGGAGTGGCATTATTTCATCATCTGAGACCAATTTTCAGCCATGGGTGTACGGAACTTTTTTGTGGGATAGTATCTTGCGAAACCTCGTTGTTGATTCAACCAGCATAATTCTGAAAGCTAGGCCTCAGCTGTTTAGAACAATTTGTAGTTGATGTGGTTGACTGAGTTTCCCTGCACATCTCGAACTTCACCGTAGTTGAATATTAATATGACGAATATTCTCATCTGAAATGACAAGAAAAACTCGAGGACGACGAATAAATTATCCACACATATGAAGAACGACTGAGGTGAAACAAGTCTTGCCCTTTAGCCTTTTAATTATTGGAATCTTTTCCTCTCGGAGGAAGAAGAATTCTAGGAAGGGGCCTGGATGGATGGATAGGAGAGCAAATCTTAATCACTCCTCGTCTCCCACCTCGGCTCTGCTTCTCTCCAAATCCCAAGTAGATGGCTTTGTTTCCAAGAGGAATAACTTCATTTCGACTCGGCAGTCTTTGACACATTGCATAAATCATTTACCGGAATTATGTATCAATATTAGCCTTAATACTTTGTGAATAACGGCTTGAAGATGAGACTTGATCTAGTTTGGTGTCAAACCTATTGTCCAAAAGGAATAAATATAAATGTACCAGGAAAGGTTTCTCTTGCTGTCAGGTTTCCGATCTGAAGCATCCATAAAGTTCGGATTGTGACAGCGCAAGTTGAACAGACAACAAGATTTTTGGTTTTGGTACTTTCAATAATGAAAAAAATCTGTCCGCAACTGGCTAAGTGTATTCATTGCACACACTATTTATTCTATTCAGTACATAATGCTTGAAAGTTGTGGAGGAATTCAGCTCAAGTCCAAGTATTTTGCTATTGCGTATGGCATCCTTCTGTTGTACTGTAGGCTCCAACTGGCAACTTTGTTGACAATACTAGAAAAATGAAAATCTATTTATATCTTCAAAGCTTATTATAGCTCCGCAAGGGATTAGATAATGTAGTTAAACTAGATATCGACCTGGCTTCTACACATATTTCATAACTTCCTTCATACTAGGCATCCTCATCCCAATAATGCAAACCCTTACCGCTTCGCTATAAAAGCATCCTTCTCCCAGATTTAAAAAAGCCTAAATACATTTTTATTAACAAAAAGATGAGGTCATTCCTAGGCAGAACTTCCATCCACAATCCCCCGACTACTTTCCGACTTATCTCTCCTATGCCTGAAAGTCAGTCGCTATTTGAAAATGAAGAATTTAGTTTATAAATAATGGCAAGAATAAATGTACTAGAACCTTCATGAGCTGGAACAATAATGGTAAATAGCTTCAAAAATGACAATAAATATTTCCGACAACTACAAAGTCCGTGGTGGAAGGATTTCTGGACTTCACCCACTAGGAGGTCGGTACTGAGAACACAAACGCTTGCGTCTTGCAGCCTTTCCGAATAGCTAATCTTCTACTAGGAAAAGAATTTCAGATTGATCTATGTTCATATACCACCAATTAGAAGGAGCTGCTGGCTCGATCGGAGTAGCTAAGATCGAGATATGGAAATGCATCTTGCAAAACCTCAAGTCTCCCTGTTAAATCATGTAAGACCATTTAATTTCATTATATCTATTTAGCGAACACAAGCGGCTTCATATATAAATCTCGAACTATTGAAATTTCGAGCCCTCAGGCTAAAGAAATATTTCTCCTTAATCCTCGATTAAGCTACAACTTGCCATTGTACATAAAAACCGTGATTCAGACTTGAAAACTTTCCCTCTTGTTGATAGATGTTTCCCCAGTGTCTGTGGATTGATAAGTGTAGAGTGATGAATAAAAGCAGCTCTCAAGATTACCAGAAGACAACGAAGCAAAAAGAAGGGATGAAAGTATGAGAATATTGGATTTTATTCCCATTTATTTTCTTTTTTGGGGATTCAGCTATATATAGCATCTGAGTTATGAATTGCTTGAATCTTACCATAATACAAGAACTGCGCGTCACCTGAATTAAGAAGATCGTTAAGTTGATTTTTGGCTAGCAGCAACGGGGTTAGATGGGCGCCCTGGAAGCTCTAGACATGAAAGACTAGAAATTGGTGGTAAATTTAGGCTGTTGACATATTGAGAAGTAATGCAACTACGAGCTCATGAAGAGAAATAAGGTAATATGATAATAATCATTATTTTGCTATCATTCTTTTCGATAATTATCGCGCAAAAAAGCTTTTGCCCACAATGTTAATTTTGACTTTTTTTTTTCGGTAAATTTGTACTGAAAAGAGGCTGGCACAAACTTGACAAATCCTATCCTTTAGTTTTCGCCATATCTCCACGTAGTGGTGATTAAACTATAGGTTTATACAGTTCAATCATAGCGTTGTAGATCAGTTTAATACTCCGATTGTAAAACAACATTGTTGCTTTAGACTGTTTGAAGGTACTTCAGTTCATCTAATCACATGAGAACCATGTTTAAGCGAATTGCCTCTGTCTGTTTTCCTTTTAAGCGATACTTGCAAACTACTTCTACTGAGGGCTGAAGTGATTGGACTGGGTCGTAAAGAATCAAAAATCATGTCTCTAAGATAGTGCTACAAAGAAAGTGAATTTCCATTGAATGAAACAATGCCGGCGCCTACCTTTCAAGTGAGAATACGGGGGCGGAAAGAAAGGCATTGGGGAAGGAAAATCAAAACAGTTTCTAACTTCATATGTAGATGTAATTCAGTCACAAGCGGAATACAGCATCTGAGGCTATGGCTAATCTCATTACGAACTAAAGCATATAAAAAATCCTGTTCTGATGTGGATATAGAGTGAAAAATCCAAAAAATCCCAAGGAAATCGATTTTGAGCATATCATTTGCGAAAACTTGGGTGTTTATTACAAAGCCAGTTCGCCACTACGCAACAACAAATCTATGGTTCTGGTTGTCCTTCAAACTTTACTTGCAGACTAAATACCCGCATAAATTGACAATAAAGAGCAAATGGAAAAATTGACAGCAGTCATGAAGAGTGACAACAGTCTTATGTCATAATATGATCTCCTTTATATTCATCGTGATAGTTTTATTTTCACGCACCTCATTTCAAAATGCACCAGCTCAAATTTGTAATAGATGATTCATGCCAAATAGCCGGTTTGATAGCAAGCCCAGAAGCTTAAACCTGCCAATGGGAATTCCTATTCTGACGATTCAAGGTTTCCCGTATTAAGGTGTATTTAAGCTCCCAGTTGAGCGCTAAAAGAGAAGGCTAGGAGGTCCCCTGTAGCAGCTATGGAGAAGCGAGGTCAGATTAGTAAAGATATAATAAATAGTGAATGAAGGAAGTTAAAAAAATCCAGGAGTTAATCTTCATTCAAGCCCAGTTCTATTACCTGTGCATCAAATATAGATATTTTCTTTTATAAAATGCTACGGCATTTCATTACTTTCCACAATGGCTTGCTGGAGAACGAAACATAAATCTATTTGACGGTTTTTGCAATGTAAGGAAGGTATTTTCGGGAACCCGAGGAAAGAAGCAAAGTTGGATATTCTCGAGCAATTCCTTCACTTTTAATTTACCTGTTGCTGGCCTTATTACCTATGTAATAAATGAGGGAGAACAGTAGAAAATGGCCAAGTAAAGAAAACGATTACTTCAAATGGCAATATTATTGTGTTAAATGTTAGACGGCCAAAGTCTGTCCGAGCTGATAACTAACTGTATTTCCATCGCTCGAGAGTGTCTCGCTTTATAGATAAGCTTATTATATGAGTATTTGCCTTCTTCCATCGAGATGCACTAAACAAAGCGGAAATTTTCAATTAAGGAAGATTCTTTGCCTGCTATTGACTGTATAAATAGTACGCCGAACATCAACAAACTCAGTGGGTGAGGTGGATTATTACTTGGAGATTCACACGGAAGAAACTGATGAGTGATATGTAGGAAATTGTTTAATTCAAGATACTATAAGTCTTAGCTTAAGCGTCTCTCCAAAGATATAAATACTGAATGTTCTCAAATAAATAAGATTAAAAACAAGTATGTGAAATCTAAAGACAATCTCAAAGGGAAATTAAGTGATCTGTTTGATGTTCTTAAAGACTTTTAAAATCAGTTGGGCTTTTTTTGATGTATAAATACAATCACAAGACCAAAGTTAATTTATATAATATATTTTCTTTTAATAAATTTCTTTTTTGTAACAATATTAACCCCTTGCTATAAGCGACAGTAGGAACAACTAATGATAATCAGAATTCTAACACAATAATCAATAACAATCAATATCTGAAAATACAATTCCTGAAGAAACTTTGATTTAAATATTAAATGCTTAGACGTTTACTTTTCCATACAACAACACTATTAAATAGATGCCTATAAGAAACGACGACGATTAAACCACAGAAGATGATAATATATCAAATCACCGATATCACGAAATCCCCGAGTCTCGTAAGAATACTCTGGAGCTCTTCTGCCTGTACTTCCCTCTTTCGACCTGAATGAAATCAATTATAAGGTATATGATGTGATGTTTTAGCCTCTACAAGAAGCAGTCGGCCCTGTAATTGACTCTGCCAAGTGGAAAGTCTCTTTGAAGCTGTAAAGATTGGAAGGTAAGAGGGGTATTTATAAGCCAATGATTCAAAATTGATGCTACTAGTGGGGCTCTTGTAGTCTTAATTGATATTATGCTAGGGATAGGATATTGTAAATAGTAAATGAGAAATATTTAAATAGTTATACAGGAGAAGTGGCGTGGACTGCGGGGTTAAAAAGTATATTATAAATATTATAATATAATATTTATTATTATTATTCAATAAAAATAATTTATTAATTTTTCTTTTATAAATATAAAAAATAGAAAATACATTCAAATATTAAAACTAATAGATTGTTTAAAGTTTAAAATGATCAAATGATGATGATATAAGATTAAAAAAAAAAAAGGTATAAGTTTAATATTTTATTCGCTAATCGCAGCCTCCACCACCAACAGCCGCAAGGCAATAATGATTGAATATAAGGTTGGTATGGAATCGTTCATCATTTTCAAGACTTTACGTGGAGTTACTTTCTATCTTGCCTTGTTTCTTTCATCTCTTCCTAATATCCCCAATACCATCTAACTAACTTCAACCCCACTGGTCCAATAATCCCTTTCCCTTCTTCATCTCCTCCTTCACATCCCCATCTTATAAAACTCCGGCGCATACTCCACCAACCAACCCTTCTCAATCCTACTCAAATCCCTAATATAAACCTTCCCACCCAACTCCACCACCTCACTAAAAACAACCCACTCACACTTCCGATTAAACATTAAACTACTCGGATGAGCATGTAAGATTGTTCCTCCTCCTACATTCCTAAATGTACCATCTGGTTGCATTTTTGCTGCATGTGCGAAATATCCCGTGGTTAAACATCTGCGGATTTGTTCACTTTTGTCTGGTCCACCTACTGAGAGCATATTTGGGTTTGAAGAGGATGAGAGAGTTTCGTCAATTGAGATGCCGAATCGTTCGAGATAGCGTTTTAGTTGAGATCGGATACTGATTGCTTTTGATAGAGCTTTGAAGTTTAGATAATTATCGTGGCAAAATCGTGGTTGCTTTTTGCCTTTGGTGATAAATGATTGGTAAATATTAAGTAGAGTAATATGATCACCTTCTTCGACAGCGAATTTCCGTTTAGCGGTTTCCATGGCTTTTTTCTCATCGTAATCATTATAAAAGATATTTCCTCCTACAGATGTCATAGCAGCAATTGTGAGAATTTCGGAAAGACAGTTGAAGGAGCTAGCTGATAGAAGTGTTTTAGCCATCATTGGTTCGACTGCTAATTCGGCCATGCGTGTTCCGAGAGGTTTGGTAAGTTTGGCGTAAGTGTCGAGGGCACCGAGAGAATAGAGAAGTTCGAGGGCGCGAATAATTAGTTCGGCTGGTGGAGAAGTAAGGAATGGAAAACGGACTATATTGTCGATGCCTAGAGCTTTGAGTTGTAGGATTATGGGCGCGAGATTTGATCGTTGAATTTCAGGAACGGTTGCTTCTTCAAGGGCTTGAAAGTTTGCTTCTGTGTAGAGACGAAAACATTTTCCGGGTTTGGTACGACCTGCCCGACCAGATCTTTGGGTTGCTGATGCTTTAGAGATTGGAGTTGCTGTTAATGTTTCAATGCCAGTGATTGGGTTATAAGCTCGAAGTTTTACAAAACCACAATCGACTACATAGGTGATACCATCAATTGTGACGGAAGCCTCTGCAATATTTGTGGAGAAAATAACCTTTCTAGTATTTTCTTGAGCTGGTTCAAAAACAAACATTTGCTGTTCAGTTGAAAGTCCAGCATAAAGAGGAAGTGGCATAAGAGCTTGAGATCTTGGATGTAAACTTGCTGCACGTTCTGATATTGCTTGTACAGCTTTATCTATTTCTTCTCTTCCAGTTAAAAAAACTAGAATATCTCCATCTGGTTCTTTTGTATGAATATCAAATACTGTTTCAATAGCTCTTTCCAAATAATCTTCGGCTGGATTTTCTAGGTAAAGAATATCAACAGGATACATTCTACCTTCCAAACTAATAATTTGTCCAATTTTGCCATCATTTTTAGGACCATTTGTTGAACCGCCACCTTGAGCGATTAAATCATCAAGAGTCATCGCATCATCAACCTTAGGTTTCGCTTCCACATCTGTATCATTTGAAAAGAAATTCAGAAAATCTTCAGCTTGAAGAGTAGCACTACTGATAACGATTCTTAAATCATTTGGACGTTTCTTCACTATCTTTTTAAGAACCCCAAGGAGAATATCAGTACTCAAAGAACGTTCATGAGCTTCATCAACCATAATGACCGAATAACGTGATAATAAAGGATCAACTAAAGCTTCTCGTAAAAGAAGTCCATCGGTCAAGAATTTTATCTTGGTAGCAGCTGATGTGACATCTTCGAATCGAATTGAGTATCCAACTTCTTTACCTACTTCACATCCGACTTCTTCTGCTACTCGGATTGCTACAGTCGTTGCAGCTACTCGACGAGGCTGTGTACGTTAGCAAAGGATTATCGAAGGCCTGACAATATCATACCTGAGTAACAGCAATTTGCTTCCCATTTGCACACCATCCTGCCTGTTCAAGAAATTGAGGAATTTGAGTTGTTTTTCCCGAACCCGTATGTCCAATTACAATAGTAACAGGATAAGTTTCGATGAGATAGAGAAGACTTTCCCGATGTTGAGCTATCGGTAGTAAAGAAGAAGGTTTGTGAAGAGCAGGAATAAAAATGGATGACAAATCAAAGTCGGCCATAATTTATATGACTATGTTGTTATTCATCGACATCGTAAATCGATGGATAACTTCATCCCGGGAGGTAGATGCGGTACAAGGGAGGAGGATATGGGAAAGAGACGTGAGGATTGATTGATTGAATACAGGTAAATTCGCCGTCACGAGTTTTTTTGGTCGAGGCAGCCATGCCAAGGTGGGTCTAAGGCGGTGAGATGAGATTTTTTGGGTTGATGCCTTACCTGCCTGTATGGAAACAAGGCGACCAATTTCGAAATTGGCTCACATCAAATCTTCCTGGTCACAACATCAGCCAGAAAGAAAAGGTTTGCTTGATTCGGCACGACATTAATCCCTTGTTCTTGAGCAAAGGTTTCATGGAGAAAGGACGTTGTGGCACAATTATTTCCACCAACGTTAATTACTGATGGCTTACGGCATTTTTGAGGATTGTTCGAGTCCGTTGAGTTGAGCTATCTTTAGTTTTATTAGGTAATTAACCTTTAATGATTTGATTTGATTTGATTTGATTTGATTGATTGATTGATTCATTGATTCATTGATTCATTGATTCATTGATTGATTGATTCATTGATTGATTGATTCATGGATTCATCGATTCATTGATTGACTTAGCTATCTACGAAAAGCAAAGCCTCAATTGAAAATATCTTTTCGAGTCTCAATTCTTTTCTTTCCATTCTCTCATCTAAACCTAAATCATTCCTTCATATTTTGCTACCTGCTCATTGAATATAGTCAAGTACTAACAAAAATGTTTAATTCGATCAATATATTTCAGGATCATTCCCCAAATTGATACCCTTCATAATAGGATTATTTAATCTCGCTATCAAACTTATCAACCATGGAAAGAAAGAACACAATGAGCCACCTTCTCCCCCGAAGCCTTGTACAGTAAAAGTAAGCCCATGCCCATGCAGATCATATATTTTGGTGCTCCACCACCTATTCTCAATTGGTCTTTCGTGCCGTGGTGGATTCTTTTCTATCGGTCTGGCTTGTTCTTCCATGGCGAATTTAGGAATTATTATCTCAAAGGAAAAGAGTCTGGAGTTTGGACGTCGTACTTTTAAGGGGGTAAGGGATCGAGTCGATGGGGATACGCGAATCGTCATGGGGATTTGGTAGGTCATGATGTAGACAGGAAAGTATATCATAGTGCAAGTACGGAATATATCGAGATACATGGTGGACGGCAGAAGTGCAAAGGACGAGATACGAGATACAACATGTCGAGTATATGCGGAGGACGGGTGGACGAGGATTCTTTACCTTGTCAGCGAGGAGACATGGTTTAGCTGAGTATACAGAGTACGGACTACATAACGGCGGAGTACCACGAATACAGCACGAGGTTCATCATCACAGCTTTCGGTACACTGCATTTTATATTATATTACATTTATACCTGTGATGCTGTTGAAGGATGGGAAGGAAAGAGCAGAGATCATGTAAGGATCATGTCAGATTCCTCCAGGTTCTGACTTCAAACACGTTTAAAAGTTCAAGAGGCGTGTTTTGAAATATTTTCAGAATCGTTAGGATTTTATGTTACGAGAATGAAGAGAATTGCAACATACAATTGATAACCTTCGATGATTGCGCCTCTTTCTGTTGACGCGGCATTTATTGGTGTTTCTCTTTTTTCTTTCCCGATGTAGTTCAGTCATTTGGGTTTTCAGACAGGAAATAAAAGAGAGGCGTGTCGGAAGAGAATTGTTTCGTATAGGTAAAAGTAAGTACGAGAAGAGCATATGGAGATTGTAGTGATATTCAGCAGTGATGGATATGTTGGAAGGAGGTGGGTATGCGTGATGCTGTATCATATATATATGTATGATTGTATAGCACTAATAGGTTATCGAAATACAAACTATACAGATTATATGTACAGTAATATCGATAGGACATCAGAAATCACTTCAAGCACCAAGCAAGGTATGGATGGTATCGAAGGATAAAGGAACAGCGATATTCGACATCTCCTTCTCCTGCCTCCGCCTCTCTAAATGTTGGTGCCAACTTTACTCCATAGCATGTCCTCGAGCGAAATTAATGGTTGCGTACCCGGTGTTGTGTTGTCCACGTCTAAGCTTTCTGGGTGGGAACCATGAAACTAAGACATTTGAGAGAAATCGGGGACATTCCACAAATCTATTGATAGAATGAATGGTTAGAATACTCCGTGGCCATGATTTTGGTCGCGGTTTAGATGATCTGGTAGCTTGATGTCTAATGCATTGAGGTAGTATGAAATAAATAGGAGTAACGTATGTAGATGTAGGTGGGTGATGGAAGATGGGTACAATGCACGATGAAATATCAAGCGGACATCGGAGTTGACGATGCGTTTGAAGAAGGAGATGTAAATTCATGAAAGCCTTCAAATCATCACAGTTGACGGCTCCTGATTCGTTGAAGAAATGGTCAAATCGTCAAATAAGCAAATCATCAAATAATCAAAGATCTATCTCCTGTTTACATTCTACCAATTATCTATCAAGTTCATCCAATCTTCATCTGACCATGCGCAAGGATACCCTAGTACGTTTTCAGTTAAATCATCATCTCCACCCTTGTCGACATCATGCTCTACCCCTGGCATTAAACTCCTTTGAGTATAGTCATCCATTAACTCTGGCCCAATTGCCAGTCAATCCAATCAATCCAATCTTTCCCATCTCTGTTTTTGGCTTTTCATCTCTTTGCCTATCGCCGCTCACTTATCCTCCTCTCTTCTCTCTTCTCTCTTCTCTCTCCTCTCTTCCCTCTTCTTCCTCTCCTCTCCTCTCTCCTCTTATCTCCTTCGTTTCTTTCTACCTCTTACCTCTCTCTACCTTCACCTTCACCTTCACTCCCTTCACCTTCAGCTCTCTCCTTGGAGCCTCGTCCTCCTCAAACATTACGACCTTTTTGGAAATTTAACTTTTGCTTGTTCGCAGGCCTCACATTCCTTTTAAAAACATAATACAACTTCACCAAGAATACCCATATTCACTCATTGTTTACCCCCATGATCCCATTCATTCATTCATTCATTCATTCAAACATTCAATCATTCAATCATTCTTCCAATCATAGTCACTCTCTCGAAGAAAAGTAACATCACATCAGATCAACAAATAATTACCTCCATTGATTCCCCTCCTCATTCAATCATTCTCCAATCTTCATCACTTACTACTTTTTGATATTGACCGTTTCAATTGTTTTATATGGACTCTCATATATCAAAAGAGGTGTAAAAAGATAATTCATCAATCCATCTCGAATTTCCAATTCCCATCTTGGCCTTCATCTCCCATTTCCTTCCAAACAATCCATCAACCTTCTATCTACCTACAACTTACCGCATTTAAATCGCAACTTCCTCCCACGAACAAGAACAAGATCTTCGACGACGACGACACCCATTCAAAACAAACTTTGTTTATAATTTCTTAATTAATCACACATTTATACCACTCCTGCAGCAAACTCAGTCAATTCAGCAGCGGGATTGCCTATGCCAATATGGAGGACCATCAAAGATTAGCAAATATTGTTAGATTGGCACGTCGTGTACCATTAGCAGAGGCGGCTGCAGAAGATATTGATAACATCGCATCGATATTGAAAATGGCGGTACCAGATCGAGTCATCATGGGTAGAAGTTCTACGACAACATCTTCTACATCGTCAAGTACTTGTGCTGCAGACAATAATGCCCCTGATTGTGAAAAGCCAGTCGGCCCCTCGTCCTACACTTTGCCCGTCATTTTGTGTATCGTGTAAGTTCACTTTATCTACCATACTGGTGGGTATCGGTTCGATTCTAATCATTAATCTTGATAGTATTCCCGTCGCTGGCGCCATCATTCTATTTACATATCTACAACGAAGATATATGAAGAAGGCCAAGGAAGAAGATGCAAACGATCCAACTAAAAACATGGACTTTGGTATGGGTAGAATTTCGAGAACGGCTGGTGGGGAATCAAGCATCTCAAACTTCGATGATGAAAAAGGAGGTCCTGCAAGAACGCGACAAATGTCCTTGGATTTAGGAGGTAAAAGCCCATACTTACTACCACCGGAACTACAGGATTCTAGGGAAAGCCTTCACTCACTCTCCAAAACCATCCATCAAAACGAAGATCCTTATCGACCGGTACATGAAGTTGTCGGAGCTGCCTCTGTCCGCTCCAAACAAGGTCGAAATGGATCTTCCATCCTGTCTGCGTCAACCGTTGCTCCTTCTGGAATAAATGACACTGGCTCAACAGATGGGCAAGGACTCCTATCGAATGCTGCTGCAATGTCACGAACAACTCCACCTACCGCTGGCTCTAATCCACCCCCAAGGTCAAACTCTATTCCACCTGCAAAGATACCAGAGGGACCAAGACAAGCTACATCTCCAGGACAAAATGTTGACAAGAAAGGTCCACCAGGTAATTTCCGCCCCCAAAATGGTTTTTCTTCTACCAGGTCCATTCCAATGCCTTTTCTGGACCGGGAATCTTATGCTGGAAATCAAGATGTTGCGATCAGAGATAGTAACAATTACCTAGGCTCCTTAATCGTTTCTGGTCCATCTGCTGCTGCTCCAACTGGTCCCCTGGAACCAAAGCCAACAACGACTCGCAAGGCACCTCCTCCGGCAATTAACACTTTACCACCTATGGATCCAAAACCAGAGCAACCAAGACCACGACAGTCGGAAATCAGTGATTATGGTGATGGAATTGAGGTTACACCACCATCCCCCGTCCGTATAAAGATCAATAACAAGGCAAACCGATACTCTATGGATGTTCCACCCGAAGAATTTGCTCAAGCTGGTTTGGGAGCTCCTGGATTTGATCCCAAAAGACTTTCCATGGGTTTCCGACCTCTGCCTCCTGATGCTCCAGCTGATGCTGCCGAAGATCCTGAAACTCGTGCCAACAGAATTCGATCATTCTACAAGGAATACTTTGATGACTCTAAACCAGCACCACAAGGCCAATACATTGAAGATTACAACGCGCACTATCCTGGTCCAGGTGATTCTACTTACTTTGATCCCGCTACCAACAGCTTCGTCTTACCATACGCTGAACCCATTGCCCGCCGTGCTATGACACCACCTCCACGTGCAACAAGATTCCAAGGAGCGCCACCACGTTCAATGCATGGTTCAATGGGCGGTGCTTCAATACGTGGACCTCCTAGAATGCCATTCAATGAAGGACCAAGAGCATCTTCATCCGCGTCTCAACGTGGCCCTATGCCATCTCCAAAAAAGAACTTACCCCCTCCTGAAGCACTTACCTCTTTACCTACTCCATCCAAGCTCAAGGATGATTCATTTGCTTTACTTAACACGCTCGACTTCGCTCCTGAATTAACTACTCGTGATCGTGTTGCTGGTCGATCCGCAAGTCCTTTCGGTGAAAGAAGACCATATTCACCAGCAGTTCCAGCATTTGCACCCATCGTCGGAGCATTTGATGAACTTGCTGCAATGCCAAGCCCGTAAGTTCTTTTTTAGTTTGAATACGAAGATTGATAACTAATTTTTGGTATAGTCACATGTTCAGAAAGTCTGGTACATTCACATCCCTTGATTTCGCTCCACCAAGAAGATTCAGGGATCCAGAAAATATGAGTGATGCTGGTAGCATTCGAAGTAACAACAGTGGAATCTCATCAGTTCAAGCAAATGCTATCCGTAATGGAGCATATCGTATCAGTAAAATTCCTACAGATATCGTCTTTACAAAGGATGATATGGCTGCGACATTGAAACCTGAATGGGGTATGCGTCAAGGCATGTGATCGCACAAGACTTTTGAAAATAATGTCTCTTTACTTTGTTCATTCTGAATGCATTTGAGCGCGCATTTTTGAGGATTTTACAACAATCAATGGGTTACCCTATCAACTGTTCATACTTTATCATTTCCTTCTGGTTCGATATTTGCATCATGATGCTTCACCATACGCAATTTCCAAACGATGGACGTAGTTATTTGTTTTGTCAAGAGGTAGTAAAGGGAAGAGGTGATTGATGGATGGATCAATTGAAAGTTGATTTGTTGAATTGGTGCTGACAGATTAATGTCTTTTTCTTGTAATAGATGGGGAAATATGGATTGGAGCCTTTGGAGTTCTTGGACTTCAATTTCGAGAACTTCATAAATACTAGGGATTTTTTGAGGGTTGCGATTACTGTTACTCTGCATATAGATATTACATTGTATGGCAACTTTAGACTGTGGGGTGTGGTTGATTGACTAGGGATGGGCGATTGGAGTATGGGTGTACGAAAGAAGGATTGTGGGTGCTGGGATTGGATAGAAGAAAATGGTTGCGAGAGGGATATATTTGAGATGGGTGATGAAAATTGAAAGGAGAGGAAGATAGAATATGTTTGGAGGATGGAGTAGGGACGGGATTTCAAGGTGGTCAATCAATCAGTCAGTCTTTCTTGTATAAATCCAAAAATCATAAACTCAAAATTTATATATCAATTGCAATTCATGTATTCATGATTATGTTTACATTCAATGTGTTTTTTCCAACAAGTGATTTATGATTTAAGATGGAAAGTGTGAGATGAGAGATATAAAGTATGTTATATAAGATGTCATTTTTAATTATCGACTTTGCCGACACTGAAAACTTATTATATATATAACTGTTACGAGGGATGCGATCTAGATCACGTGGAAGTGACCTGGATCCTCGAATGGTTTATATTTAAGCATCAAATAGAAGTTTTAAAATAATATCAATAATTACAATTTGTAACTAATAATAAAGTATATTAAATGATTGATCTTGAGTATAAAGCTTTTATATATAAGAAACCCTTTTGGTTTATATAGATTTTTGTATTTTATAGATTTGTATAGATTTATAATTTGTATAAATTTATAATTTGTATCTTTGTATATATAAAATCTATTATATAATCTTTAAGATCAGATTATATATCCGAGCTTGCTGAGAATAAAGAGATTATATAAAGTGATTATTATATAAATTTATATACAAATTGTTTTGCTTTTTGATGAAACTATTACAAGAGATGCGATCTAGATCATTGTCACGAAATCATTTTATAGAATGTTATGGGGTAACAGTTAATCTATCTTTATGAGCTTGGATCTCTTTAAAAAGCAAAGCAATTTGTATATAAATTTATATAACAATCGCTTTATATGATCTCTCTACCTTTAGTAAGTTCGGATATATAGTCTGATCTTCAATTATGTGATGTGTTAGTTCTGTTAGCCAATTAGCAAAGCTAGTATCACAGGAATACTAGTTATATTAGTCAGTTAGTATAATTAGTATACAAGGAAGAGATTAATATATAACTAGAATAATTTCATAGTTTAAAAGCTTTGTGTTCAATTTAATTATTAATTAGTTTATTTATATTCCGATTGATCTAGTAATATATTCATCTTTGAATGGATAATCGGTGATTATTAGCTTTAATCTATAATTATCAATTATACAAAACCTCAGGCAGCTGCTACCTCGATCAGATCGTTATAATCATATAAAAGTGGCCTGGATCCTCGAATGATTTATAACTAAATATCAAGTAGGAGTTTTAAAATAATATCAATAATTGAAATTTATAATTAATAATAGAGTATACTAAATGATTGATTTTGAGTATAAAGCTTCTATTATAAGAAAGTTGAAATTATAGATTAAATATATAAAGATTTTTAACAAGTTAATTATATAATCTTTTGTAATTAGATATAAAAAAAAAGCTTTTATCTTTTCTTTTGAGAATAATCAATCTTTTATATATATATATTTGAATTCATATAATATTAATTTTAAAACTATTACAAAACTTGTTTTTTTTATAAGTGATATATTATAATATAATCTAATTCAACTTTTTTTTATTTTTTTTATAATATATTATCAGAATATATATATTTCGATCTATTATTTTTATAATAATAATCTATATAAAAAAATCGAATTATATCGTTTACAAAATATATAAAATCAATTTATAAAAATATTATATTGAAAAGAAAATAGAATTAATTATCTATTGATAAAAGGATAAAATAGATTTTAAAAGAATAAACTTTTCAAAAATGAAAGTATTAAATAAAAAATGAAAAAGGTTTGGATTTCTAATTACTTTTATTTTTGTTAATCTATTATATTATAAATAAACGATTTATTGTTGATTTATTTATTTATATTTTATATAAAAAATTTACATCAATAAAGTTTTGTTTAAAGTTAGATTTTAATAATTCATAAAGAAATTATATAATCATGGAAATAGAAAACATCTAATTTTAAAATAAACTTGATAAAGTACAACTAATCGGATTGAAGAATCTTATATATCTTATAATTAAATGAAATATCTCGATATTCATTTATAAAATGATATTTAAAAGGATTGGATTATAATATACAGAATTGTCATTCTCAATATCAGTATTCAAAAATTTGAGATACATTTTAAAAAACTTTTAAATGAAAGATTTAAAATCCGTATAATCCTTTTATCAAAAAGGATATCTTTGAAGGAATTATTTAAAACCTTCTTTATTTTTTCTGAATCTTACAAAAAGAAAAATATAAATAATGAAGATTATCGAGAATTTAATATTAATTCAGATTCAGATATATTTGATATATATTCTTTAATCTAACAATTATATAAGACAAATTTATTATTATCTAAAATTTGTTATTATTCTGTTATTATAAAAAACCTTAATCAATTTAAAACTTGTTTAAAAAATATTCTTTAGAAGTCTTCAAAAGTGTTTATTTTTTATAATTCTAATAAGAAATCTTTTATTAATCTAAAAGGAGATTATATTAGAAAAGATAAAAATAGTTTCAAAAAAAAAACTAAAAACCAAAAATGATAATGATATAGATTAACTAATAAAAATCTATATATTATAAAAGTAATAAATCGAGATATATATATTCTGATAGTATATTATAAAGAGAGAAATAAAAAAAACTGAATTAGATTATATTATTGTGAGAAAGTTGAAATTATAGACCAAATATATAAAGGTTTTAATTAATCAATTATATAACCTTTTATAATTAGATATAAAAAAAGAATCTTTTATCTTTTCTTTTTATAATAATTAATCTTTTATATATATATATTTGAATTTATATAATATCAATTTTAAAATTATTATGAATCTTGTTTTATTTATAAATGATATATTACAATATAATCTAATTTAGTTTTTTTTTTAATTCTCTTTTTATAATATATTATTAGGATGTATATATCTCGATTTATTATTTTTATAATAATAATCTATATAAGGAAATCGAATTATATTGTTTACAAAATATACAAAACTAATTTATAAGGATATTATATTAAAAAAGAAAATAGAATTAATTATTTATTGATAAAGAGATAGAATAAATTCTAAAAGAATAAATTTTTTAAAAATAGAAATGTTAAATAAAGAATAAAAAAGATTTGGATTTTTAATTATTTTTATTTTTGTTAATTCATTATATTATAAATAAGTGATTTATTATTAATTCATTTATTTATATTTTATATAAAAGATTTGTATTAATAAAGTTTTATTTAAAATTAGATTTTAGTAATTTATAGAAATAAAAAAGATTTGATTTTGAAATAAATTTGATAGAATATAACTAATTAAATTGAAGGATTTTATATATCTTATAATTGAACAAAGTATTTTGTTATTTGTTTATAAAATAATATTTAAAAGAATTGGATTATAATATATAGAATTACTATTTCTAATATTAATATTTAAAAATTTGAAATATTATAAGAAAGTTGGAATTATAGATCAAATATATAAAAGTCTTAACTAGTCAATTATATAACCTTTTGTAATTAGATATAAAAAAAAAATCTTTTGCTTCTTTTTTTCATAATAATCAACTTTTTATATATATATATTTGAATCTATATAATATCAATCCTAAAATTATTGTGAACCCTATTTTATCTATAAGTAATATATTACAATATAATCTAATTCAACTTTCTCTTTCAATTCTTTTTTTATAATATATTATCGGGATATATATATCTCAATTTATTATTTTTATAATAATAATCTATATAAAGAAATCGAATTATATTGTTTGCAAAATATATAAAATCAATCTATAAGGATATTATATTAAAAAAGAAAATAGAATTAATTATCTATTAATAAAGAGATAAAATAAATTCTAAAAAGATGAACTTTTCAAAAATAAAAGTATCAAATAAAGAATAAAGGAAGTTTGAATTTCTAATCATTTTTATTCTTATTAATTCATTATATTATAGATAAGCGATTTATTATCGATTTATTTATTTATATTTTATATAAAAAACTTATATCGATAAAGTTTTGTTTAAAATTAAATCTTAATAATTCATAAAAGTAAAAAAGATCTGATTTTGAAATAAGTTTGATAAAATACAACTAATCGGATTGAAGGATCTTATATATCTTATAATTGAACGAAATATTTCATTATCTATTTATAAAATGATACTTAGAAAGATTAGATTGTAATATACAGAATTACTATTTTTAATATCAGTATTCAAAAATTTGGAATATATCTTAAAAAACTTTTAAATGAAAAATTTAGAATTTATATAATCCTTTTATAAGAAAAGATACCTTTGAAGGAATTATTTAAAAACTCTTTTATCTTTTCTGAACTTTACGAAAAGAAAAATATAAACAATAAAGATTATCGAAAACCTAAGATTGATTTAGATTTAGATATATTTGATATATATCCTTTAATCTAACAATTATATAAATCAAATCTATTATTATTCAAAATTCGTTATTATCTTATTATTATAAAAAAACTTGATCAATTTAAAGTTTATTTAAAAGATACTTTTTAAAAATCTTCGAAGATATCTACTTTTTATAATTCTAATAAAGAATCTTTTATTGATTTAAAAGAAGATCATATCAAAAGAAATGAAAATAGTTTTAAGAAAAAGAAAACCAAAAAAATTAAAAATAATGATAATATAAATCAATCAATAGGAATTTGTATATCAGATTGAAGTATTATAAATTATATATATATATACCTTGTTATACTTTATATAAAAAACTCTAATGTTTTTACTTTTGATAGAAATGATATCTTTGATTTCTTTATAATATAGAAGATTTTATAAATTGATTATAATATATTTAATAACAAAATGTAAATTTATTTTTTTTGATATTATAATAAAACTATTTCAATTCAAATAAAACTTATATTGAAATATAATTTTATTAATTACAATTAGAAAAAGGGATTCTGTTTAATTCTTCTTTATTGTTTCTATAATTTTGATATTTAACAAATTACTAATATTTATAATTTCTTGAATCAATTTGTTGATATTCAATAATCCAAATATAAGATATCTTATAATATAAATTCAATCTTGATTAAGAATTATATTGTTAAATTTGTTCTTTTTACAAATTAATTCATTGAAAATAGAATGATTATCGA